AATTAGCAGCATATGCAACATATACTATGCCATCTCTGTTTATGACCGCTCAAGACCCCGAATCTTGAGCGGCGGCGGGTTCATCATGGGGAAGCTCGAACGCACAATCTCACAGTGTTCTATCTTCGGCACAATTCGGGCCATGGTCGCCTATCCGGATCCTGTCGGGCCGGTCGCACCGGATAGGATCCGTTCGACAAGGATTGGATCACAGCCCTCGCCGTCGTATCGCGCGGACCAGTTCATATCGTTGTGACATGAGGTGAAGCTGTTTTGAGTCTATCGCCCGGTTGTCGTGACTAGCACGCTTTATTCGACCGGGACGAGACGAAGAAGGCCGGTTACGTGATGGCGTTCCGGTCAGAGAGGATCTGCACCGAAAGTTTGGAAAATCCAGGATCAAAATTCAGCCCACGATTTTTCTTTAGCCGGATCGGCTGTTCTTGACAGGAGCTGCCGTTGCATCACCGGCAGTGGAAACTTTCACGCCGACCTTCCTCTGACTCGTCCTCGGGTAATGGTGTCGATTGCCAGATCTGTCGTGGGCATGCTTCCGAGGTAGTGTTAGTGCCCACCTGTCAAAGAACATGTGATGCAATCGACTGCGATACTCTGCGTGGCGAGTGAAATGAGCGGCATCGGCAGAACCTTGGGGCGTGGTCGGTCAGAGATATCGCCTGCCGACGGTCGTGTGGTCGCCGGCAAGCGGCTGACGCAAGGTCCGTATGTCACAAAGGTTGTCTGATGATCCGAGACCCTGCAGAGTCGATCCCGAGTTTCGTCTGACTTGCCTGCTTTCCCTTCCTTGACATTGTACTACCATCTCGCAGCTATTCTCTACGCTCCCCGAGCATCATGTCCGCGTCCTCGACAATACGCGATCACCACGAGCCATCAGATCCGAGCGATGAGACCGCTGTAGCCACGCCGATCGATCAATCAGGAGCGCCAACGCGCGTCAACTCGCTCGACATGCTCGCGTCGGAAAGCTTGCTCGCCAAGTTGCACGCTCAGGTGGAAAAAGGGGACTCTACCGCCATCGCAGAGTACGAGAAGCTCGCTCATCTCCACAAGTTGCCGTCACACGAGCATCTCAAGCATCACGATGACCGTGTCGGGCCAGCCGCGTTGGAGGAAGGGCAATCGTCTCCAAGTGCGAGCGATGCAGAGAAACAGGGCGATGAGCAGGAGCATATGCCAGAGGTCATGCTGACGGAAGACGAGGATCCTACAAACTGGACAGTTCGTCGGAAGTGGATCACAACGGCCCTGGTCTCCTGTCTCTACTTAAACGCCACTCTCACCTCCTCGATCGGCACGGGAGCGACTGCACAGTACATCCACCAGTTCTCCATCTCACACGAGGTCGCGGCACTCGTCCTGTCCATCTACATGATCGGCTTCTGCATCGGCCCTCCGCTGTGGGCTCCCCTTTCCGAACTGTATGGACGCCTCATCGTCAACTACATCTCCGTTCCCGGCTACTTCTTCTTCAACATAGGATGCGCTCTCGCTCCCAACCTCACCACTCTGCTCGTTTGCCGTTTTCTCGTCGGTCTTTTTGCTGCTGCACCTCAGGCCAACTCCGGAGGGACGGTCTCTGATATTTGGATCGATCGAGCTCGTCTGTGGCCTATGTTCACATATTCGCTCTCGGCCTTCATGGGTCCTACGCTCGGCCCGCTTGTGGGTGGCTTCATCGCGGGCAGCGATGTCGATTCCCAAAGATGGAGATGGATCTACTGGCTTCTGTGTCTGCTATCGGTGGTGTCGATGGCATTGGTGCTCGTCATCCAGAAAGAGTCGTACGCTCCGGTTCTGCTCAGGCGCAAAGCAGAGCGTCTCCGTGCAGAGACGGGCCGAAAGGACATCCTGGCACCAGGCGAGACACTCGGAGAGGACGGAGCTGTTGCGCCTATCTCTATCTCAGAGATTCTGCGTGTCTATGTTGGCCGGCCCTTCCACATGCTGTTCACCGAGGCCCCGCTGATGTACGCTACTCTGTGGACATCGTTCTGCTACGCCATCATCTTCATGTTCTTCGAAGCATACCCAGTTGTCTTCTCTGGAACGTACGGCTTCAACGCTGGCGAAGTCGGGCTTGCCTTCCTCGCCATTGGTCTCGGCATCGCCCTCTCCGCTCCCATCGTCGGCTGGTTCAACAAGCGCTCTCTCGCAGCACGCATCGCTGCCGGCGGCAAGCCCGTCCCCGAATCTCGTCTTCCGCAAGTCGCACTCTCAGCACCGCTCTTCGCCATTGGGTTCTTCTGGTTCGGCTGGACGGCTCGCGCTTCGATTCACTGGATCGTACCCATCCTCGCCGGTCTGCCCATCGGCATCTCGCTCATGCTCGCCTTCAACTCGCTGGCAACGTATGCGGCGGAATGCTACCACATCTACACCGCATCGGCGCTCGCGGCCATGGCGTTCTCGCGGTGCCTCTTCGCCATCTTTGTGCCCTTGTTCGGCAGGCAGATGTTCGAGGGACTGGGTCCTGGGTGGGCGTCCACCATCCTGGCTTTCGTCTCGATCGCCGCTATCCCTGTGCCATTCGTCTTCTTGAAGTATGGAAAGGCCATTCGGCAGAGGAGCAAGATGTGCATCAACGCTTGAACCATCGCATACCGCAGTCATCTTTCGCATTTTGTATACTACGCATTGGTTCGCTCTAATCTACACTCATCAATTCATCATCACTCTTCGACCGCCAAAATCATGCTCACGTATTAGTCCAGACACATTGACACAGAGGAGGTTCGCAAGATCGAAAAATGCATTGACACTGAAAGAAGCTCGATACAGGTTCTGAACACTAGGGGGTATAAAAAGCGCATCAGGCGCCGGCGCGACGACCGAGGTTGCCGGAGGTAGCACGCCAGAAGGCCTTGGATGCGATGATGCCCCAGTACTCGAAGGTGTAGGTGAAAGCGATGCAGAAGACGGTCAACAAGATGTAGCAGGTGACAAAGACGACCATGACGGTAGCAAAGTAGTTGATGCCGGCGGTGAGCATGTGGACGCACAACCAGGAGCCCCAGGTCCAGAAGATGATGCCGTGCAGCAAGAAGTAGGCCATCGAGTGCTTTCCGAGGAAAGACCAGATACGGAGCTTGAACACCTGGCGGAAGGCCTGCGAGTGGTCGGCGAGGATGAAGATCGACATGACGAAGAACCAGGCCGAAGTTCGGGGACGTTGGTACTTGTAGCCGACATCGTTGTTCCACTCGTTGGGGCGGGAGTTGTAGAAGTTGGGGTGGACACCGACCTCCCACGTGTCGAAGTTCTCGGCGGGCGCACCGGGGATGTACATGAGCCACTCCTGAACGCAGCACGCGAGGAAGAAGCCCCAGGCGATCGACTTGCCCTTAAGCGCGAATCGTTGACGGACACGCTCCGGGATGCGAAGCAGCTTGGCATACGCCTTGGGCAAGAGCGGAATCCCCATCTCGCCCCACTTGCGGTACTTGAGGTTGATGTCCAGATCGGCGATCACGAGACCGGCCATGAAGTAGAGATCCCACGTCTGGGCGTACCACGAGAGAAGGATGCACAGGAAGTAGAAGAAGAAGCGCTTCCAGGTGGTCTTGATCTCGTGGGCAAAGACGGCGCAGAGCATACACGTCCAGGCACCCTGCACGATAACGGGGATGGTCCACAGCACACCGGTGGCGTAGCGCGTGACGAGCGCCGGCTGATCGGGAGGACCGGCGAACCAGAGCGCGATGAACGAGTTGAGGAAGTCGAGCACGTTGTCGTAGTTCTGGAAGTAAGACCAGGTGGACCAGGTGAGCGAGTTGGACGGGGCCACCCACTTGTACGCGCCGACGTCGATCATCATGTAGTTGCACAGCACGGCGCCGACACATGGAATGATGAGACGCGGCATACGACGCACCGAGTTGTCGGCCAGCGACTGAACGCCGCCCTTGACGAGATAGCGCGAACCCATGGTACGCGAGGGGAGCACGAAGAAGATACCCAGCACCAGACCCGCGTTGATGACGATGGGCCCAAAGAGCATGCGGATCCACAGCTCAAAGTAGTGGTAGTGGTGAGGACCGTAGTGGTTGGCCATCGAGTTCCAGAACATGAGGATAAAGTGGCCGAGCGAGACGAAGAGACAGGCGAAACCACGCATGCCGTCGAGGTAGTCGATACGCGCGTCACCCGCCGCGGTCTTCATGCCGTCGCCGGTGATGAAGAACCAGCCGTAGACGCGCTGGTAGATGATGGTGAAGAACGAGTGGCCGTTGTTGGGCGCGGGCACGACGACGGTCGAGAGACGACGCGCGGCGTTCTTGTCACCCATCGCCGGCTGAGCGAGCTGTCCAATGGCCAGATCGACACCGACGCTCTTACGCTTGTTCCACTGGATGATGCGCGGCTGCGTGTCCCAGTTGATGTTGACCGAGGAAGAGTAGCCGTGACTAGCACCGACGCCCGTCTGGTTGCCACCGCCCGAGCCAGTGTAGTTGAGCAACGAGGCGGTCGAGTGGTTGGCCGAGTGGAGACCCAGCCCGCCGGTGGAAGAGGCAAACTTGGGAGCGACATAGGGCAGGCTGACGTTGCTGCTGCTGTCCTGGAGGTAGCGCTGCGTACGAGCGGCATCGTGCGAGTGCGTGGGCACCTGGATGTCCGACTCGTAGCTGTCGAAACGGCTAAAGTCGGGTCGAACAGGCGGGTAGCTGCCGTTGTTGCTGTTGCTCGAGGTAGGGCTGCTGCCACCGTCCAGCTCCTCCACCTCCTCCTGGAAGTGCTCGAAGCGAGGGCTGCCACCGACACCGTCACCGCCAGGGGTCGAGCCGTACGGAGTGTTGTGGGTCATGCGACCCGCCATCTGCTGACGCATGTTGGAGCTCTGACGTGGGAAGTTGGGACGGTTGACCAGGTTGAACTGCGCAGCACCGCGGGTGGCGCTGTTGCTGCGGACGAGGGGATCGCGGCTGGCCTCGTTGCCACTCTGCTCGTCGAAGCGCGACAGGAACGTGTTGCGAGCCGGCGGCGCAGCGTCGTCGACGTCGTGGGTGGGAACGTGCTTGTAGTCATCCATGTCATCGACGCTGGCCGTAGGCTTGATGGCGGTAGGGTCGTCAAACTGGGGCAGACCAGGCTCGCCTTCCTCCCGGTCATCTTTGTAGTCCTTGCTGCGCATGACGTCGACCGACTCCCAGAAGCGAGCGTCGTCCTCGTCAATGTCACTCTCGCCATCCGAGTCCCAGTCGTTGACCAACTCGGGAACCGCCCAGATCTGCTTGTAGGGCTTCTCAAAGTCGGCGGCAGCCTTGGAGCGGGGCGAGTCGGTGGCTTCGGAGATGTCGTCGTACTCCAGAAGAGCAGCCTGCTTCTTCTCCTCCTCCGCGGCGAGGGAAAGAGCAGCAGCCTTGCGCTTCTTCTCGGCGTCCTTGATCTTACGGATGTAAAGACCGTGGACGAGGGTGATGATGAGCACAGTGAGGAAGAAGAGCTCGATGACGACGGCCCAGATGGGGACCTTGAACTTGTCCTTCTTGGGCTTGAACTGCTCGGTGGCAGCCAAGTCGAAGGGGGTGCTTGTCCTGAGCGTGGGGTCCTCGGTGCTGCAGACCGGCTTGGCGGACGAAGCAGCAGCAGCACACTGCGAGACGAACTGGTCGTGACGCTCGATGCGCGACGAGTTGAAGAAGAAGCGCGTGTACATGACACGGGCAACGTTGGGCTCGTAGGTGGGAGGACCCTGCGACGAGGAAGGCTCACCATTGGCCCATGCCTGGAGAGATACAGGCGCGGGAGTGGTGGGCAGGTTCCTGGTGTTCTGACCCTTCTTGAACTCGAAGAAGCCCACGGACCTGTTCGCGGCGTTGTTCTTGTACTGGATGACGGTCTCGTTGAGCCATTCCATGCGGTGCTCGAGGAAGTCGGTCGAGTTGGTCTGGGTGAAGTTCTGGAAGTAGGTGAGGTTGTTCGTCACCGGGCTGTCATCCCACCTGGCAGCGGCAAAGGACCAGCCAAGCGTCGAGTTGGGCATGTAGTCGTGGGTGAGGATGTTGACGTGCATGCGCTCCGAGTCGTTGTAGGCGACGGTAAACTCGAATCCGGAGCCGTAGCCTTTGTCCGATCCGGGAATGGGGTTGATGAAGGGAGGCTTGATGTTGGCACGGAAGGAGCCGTAGAGGATATCGCGACGTCGGGTGACGATGGTGGAGCCGTTGACAACGTGGGTCTTTTGGTTGGCGGGCGAGACCTCCATAGCGATACCCTCGGACGAGGTGCGGTTGTCAATGTACGTGGTGTTGTAGCTGACTGCACTGAGATAGGTGGCACCAAACGACTCCTCGTAAGGATTGATGTGGTTGCCGACCGCAGACCAGGTCTGCTGGCCATCGCCCGTGTCGCCGACAATCTCGTTTCCGTTGGGCTTGGGCGACTTGGCGGGGTTCATGACAATGTCATCGAGACCGGTCTCGTTGAAGAAGGAGAAAGCGGCATCGGTCCAGAGATGGTTGGTGGAAGGATCCAAGTAACCACACTCGCAGTCTGCCTTAACGCCGAGGTTGATGCTGGACAGGGCCAGGACGGCGGTGGTGAAAAGAGCGATTGCCTTGACCATTTTGATGCGAGGAAAGGGGGGAGGAACGGGAGAACAAGGAGGACTTGAGTGGATGCTCGCACAGCGAGATCTACTCGGTGAAAGAGTGTGAGGTGAAACCGCCGCTTGAAGTGCAAGTCTCGAGAGATCGGAGCGCAGTCCGTCTGATGTGGTTGATGCAACGAGCTAGGGTTGAAAAGCGAGATGCGGTCGTCTGCCTGTGCAAAGCCTATGCTTGCTGTACGCCGTACGAACAGGAAGCAAAGATGGCCGTGGCGGCGAAGGCGACGTTCTTGAGAGACGTTGGATGATGGTGTGCAAAGGGTGAAACCGAGATGCTGTGGAAGGAAGAGGTATGGGAATATATGAGATCTGGCACGGGCGGCTCAAGATGGCAGACTGGACGAGTCGAGAACGTCGAGCAGCGATAAGCGCAGTCTCAGTCAGCGCCGTCGGCGACTGAGGAAGGCAAAGTAGAATCAAGGTCCGGACAAAGGCACGACAGGCGCACCGACGGGTGCAAGCAGGGCGCTGTCGAACCGGAAGCAGACGTTGTACTGCCGAAGACAGACAAGGCGGCTCACCGCCGTGAGGCGAGTGTCAGTGCCTTGCCATAGGTGAGCGAGGAGCTTAAGCGTCGTACCACTGCAGCTGGGAGCGAAAGAGAAGGTGAGACACATGCGGAAGGAGGAGCTTGAACAAAGGGGGTATGGCGGGCTTTGGGTGTCTGACAAGACGACAAAAGAACCCGTTCGCAAACGGACAGCTATCAAGCTGCATGCGATACCGCGCTCTGCAGCCGAGGTGTCGGGTTGACAAAATCATAAGTAAAAAAAAAGGAAAATGGAAAAGAAATTTGGGCTAGGTCGGAGGCCTAAAAACAAAAGTCGGCCCTTGGACTCGGTTGGCGCTCACCTTCATCCGCAAGCAGACAGACGTTCGTCTTGATCGCTGGGCCTCATGTGGGCCTGCTTTCGACGAGAGGGAGACGCGGTCACTTGCACTTGGCACATGAGACCAACAAGCGTGACGGTCTTTCAGAAGGATCAAGGTAGAGTTGAACACGGGACAGATGGTCTGGACGCCAAATGGGAATAGAGTTGTCGCAAGTGGGCTTTGCTGGTCGGGGCGTCAAAATGGATGCAAGAACGCGGGAGATGAGAATCAGAGGCACCGAAGCCAAGTTGCACAGACTCGTAGGCTGACCATATTGAAACATGGCGGAAGGCGGAGTTGGATGAAAGGCGCCTTTTCATCCTGAGTCCACCCGCTTGCTGAAAGCACAGATCTTCTGGAAGCTCCGCTTCAACTGGGTCTGCAGATCCTGACCTCTGCAAGACGTTGGTGGAGCTACTGAGCTTGAGACTGACCATCCCATCTTTCATCCACAAGAGTCTGTCAGACGGTGAAGTCAGCGGCTTGTCATCGCAGGCTTAGGCTTCGAGAATGTTTCGAATCTCAACGACAAGTCAAGCGAGATGACGAGCGACAGCGCTGGACGAGCAGGAGACATGGAGAGCATGAAGGTGGGCCAAGGCTTGATGGTAGCTGCGCAAGCCAGTTGCTGCTGTCAACAATGGGAATAGCCGAGTGTCCAAGAGGGCGCCATGTTTTGGTCTGGACCGTATGGTGGCTGGGACCGTCGTACTGGCCTTCGCTTCCATGCAAGCATGCGAGCCACACAGTAAGGCGGCTAACGTGGCGAGACCGTTGACAGCCACGTCCAACCAAGATCTAATCTGTCAGCCTTTTGCTTTTATTTTTCTTAGCGGCATTCGGCTTTGTTTCAGTCCGTTTTTTAGATTCGCCGCGCCGCATTCGGGTCATGGAATGGCAATTTTAGCATCTCGAAGCTCTTCGCCCCTTTCTTCTTCCGTAAGGCCATATCGGGCGACGAGCTCTGGCTCAGGCCAAGAGATGCTCCGGTGAACACGTGTGAGAAGTCGACACCGAGAGCGAAGATCCCTTGTTGATTGAGCAAGCAAGGAAGAAAGCCCGATCAGTGGTATTCCATTTCCTATCCGAAACATGGTCGCGCTCCTCTGCTAGCGCCATCCTAGCCGCCCCCTCGCAGATGATGTCTCACTTTTGTACCACTAGTCCCTCTTGGGAGGCCGTTGACGATCGGTCCCTTCGTGTTCGGCTGGCAACGCCTTGATCGGAGAAATGTGCTCAACTCGATCCTTTGCATCCTCTCCCGACAAGTCGTGGCTGCCTCGCTTGTATTCTATTGCTTTCATCTCACCAATTCAGCCACCGCCGTCAGAAATAAATCGTCGCAGCCGTTGCCATGTTTCTGGTCTGTCAAGGTCACCACCATGCTGCTTTCATCGGCAGCCGCTCACCACAGCGGGGCGCTGCCGTGACGGCCTTTGGTCTTGTTGGTCATGGAGCCGCTCTGTGGGGAAGCAGGTCTAGATGTGTAGATCATCAAGGGGTTTTTCCAATTTATCGCGGATAAGAAACAATAAAAGGCGCGGAACCTGAAAAATAAAAATAGGAGATCGACGTTGGGCACTGGAGCGCCTCTTGCTCTTGGGCATTCCAGGCCAGTCTCGCTCTGAGACCAAACCGACGCCGCATACGGCTTTTTTCCGTTTCTTTTTTATTTATCGTGATAATTTTTCATCTTTCTCAGGCTTGACCGCCTTGTGCTGCTTGTGACAGTTGTGGGCTGGACCATTCACCTGTCAGCCTCAGCCGACACTGTGCCCACCAGAGGGAGAGACGGATGAGACTCTGTTCTTTCGGCATTCGAGGCTCCCGTAATCTTCTTCCGCAAGCAGTATGCTGTCTGTCCCATTCCAAGTCACTGAAAGTGTCGGGAGAGCTTTGATTGTAGTCGAGCCATTTGGCGCCCCTTGAGACATACTTTCTGATAGCGCCGCATGCTCGCTCTCACGTCCTCTGTCGGTATTCACGTCTAGGACTGCGACAGGAAGCGGTTTCAGAGACTAGCGACTCATCTGACTGAGCACCGCTCGTATCTGTCAAAAGGTCCATACCCTCAACGATAGCTTGCTGTCTGGTCCTTCTCGAATCAGCACGACTTTCCAGAGCTTTGCCTCGTCCCCATAAGCGCTCAACTTGCCTTTCTTCCACCAACAACATATACCCGATCAACGCGCTCCTCCGAGGTCCATCTCGACACCGCCTTCCGCTCAGACCCCAAGCTTCTCCTTTGCAGGCGGCAAGTCGATCCTGAATACGCAAGACAGGCTTAGACGACCATACGAACAAGCAAGATGGCGGGCTCTTCGTTCAGCAAGCTCATCCGCCAAGCTTCGGCTTGGTATTACGGCTGGACGCCCATGATCATGCTCGTCTGCTACAGCATGCTTTCCTTCTTCTTCTACCTCCTCATTCCGGCGGGTCTTCACCGAGCTCTCTGGTACACGCTCGTAGCCCTGCAGACCTTCACTGCGCTCTCCGTCTCCACCGAGGCCATGCAGAGTATCCGACCCTCGATCAACGCACGCAAGGCATGGCGCCACGCACAGGTGCACGGCTTCAAGCTCGAGGAGGGCCAGGAGTGGCCCCTTATCGATGTCGTGCTGGTCGCCTACCTCCCCAACGAGCAGGAGATTATCATGCGCCAGGTCAAGTACGCCCTTCGCGAGCTCAACTACCCTGCTAATCGTATGACCATCAACGTTTGCTACAACACGCCTTACCCCATCGAGCCCGTCGAGACTGAGCTGCGCGACCTCGCCAAGGAGCGCTCCAACCTCCGCATCGTCAAGGTCCCCAAGTCCACCTCCAAGGCCGACAACATCAACCACTTCCTCACGCTCGAGTCCAAGGGAGAAATCATCACGCTCTACGATACCGACCACTACCCTGAACCCGATGCGCTCCGCTGGGTGGCCAAACGCTTCATGCAGGGTGGTGTCGATATCATCCAGGGACGATGCTGTATCTACAACTACTCGGAGACGTTCATGACTCGTCTGATTGCCTCCGAGTTCGATCTCATCTACGGTGTCATGCACTCGGGTCGTGCCGAAATCCAGGGCTACGGTTTCTTCGGTGGCTCCAACGGTCACTGGAACGCTTCGCTCCTCCGCACGCTCGGTATGCAGAAACACATGTTGACCGAGGATATCGATTCGTCGATGCGCGCCATCATCTCCGGTGCTCGTATCGAGTACGACCTCAAGGTGCTCTCGTACGAACTGGCTCCCGAGACGCTCCCTGCTCTGGTCAAGCAGCGTCTGCGTTGGGCCCAGGGCTGGACCCAGGTGGCCTTCCGTCATGCTCTGCCTTCGATCCGTCGTGGTGCCTACTCGGACAACAATGGCTGGCGTTCGCGCTATGGTCTCTTCCAGCTTCTGCTCTACCGCGAGTTCTACTTCTACATCAACTCGCAGCTCGTCTTTATGCTTGCGTCTGGTATCTGCTACAACATCCCCACACAGGGTCTGCAGCGCTACTTTGAGGACTTCGGCGGTTACGCGCTCTCCATGTTCGCCCTCGCCGCCAACTTGATCTGTCTTTTCATCACGATCTGCATCCAGGCCAGGAACAGGAGTCATTTCACCGGCATGGGAGGCATCTGGCTGTTTGCTGCTTGCACCCCAATCTGGTACTCGGTCACCTCGCTCATGGCCATCTTCTGCCACTTCCGAGAGTTCATCAAGTTCGAGAAGTGGAACCCCACGGCGAGGTCGAGCGGCGGCTCCAAGACCAACACCCAGGCCAACACCATGGCCAACTCGAGGGTCGGCTCCAACACCAACAGTATCGTTGCGTGATCCGTCCTTCTGCTTTGCTTTGTTACACCCCATAGCTTTCTCGGTTCCTATAGTTTGTTTGCATTGGAATCCACAGGTGGTTCTTTAACTTCCATTGAATGTGATCCGGTCGTGTGAGTATCGTCTTGAGATCCTCCTCATGCCTTGACTCCATATTTGTCCATCTCCTCCTTGATGAGCTTTCCAACGTCCGCGATCGCATCTGCCATGCGAATGCCGACATCTTGCCACATGCGCTTCTTCTCCACCGCGCTGCTCGTATCGTCCCTCCAGATGGCGCCTGCATGGCCAAACATCTGACCGGGTGGCGTATTGAGCCCAGCAATGAACCCCACGATGGGCTTGACAAACCTTCCCTCGCCGTCCCCTTGCTGCCTGTACTTGGACTTGGGATCGTTCAGCAGCTCGTACACCTCCTCCTCCATGGTGCCACCGATCTCTCCCGCGAGCACAATGGCCTTCGTGTCCTCATCTTCGAACAGAAATTGCAGTGCTTCCACGGTCCTTGTTCCGGGATAGAAGTCTCCTCCTAGTCCCAAAATGTACGATTGGCCCAGGCCCTTTGTTGCGTACGCAGCCTCGTAGCTGAGCGTGCCGGATCGAGACGCAATGCCCACCGGTCCCGGAGCGCACGTGATCATGGGGGCGATGCCCATCCTGCATCCCCTGGGATTGCAGTACCCCGGACTGTTGGCACCGACCAAACGACTCTTGGACTGCCCATGCAACGCTTCCATGACTCGGAACTGGTCTTTGACAGGCACACCTTCGGCGACGCTCACAATGAGGGGGATTTCGCACCGAATCGCCTCGATGATCGCATCCGCCGCGAGCGCAGGCGGGACAAACACGGAAGTGGCATCCACCCGAATGCCGGCATCCAAGACTTCGCGGACAGAATTGAATACGGGCCGCCCACCAAGATGCGTGCTGCCACCCTTACCGGGTGAGACGCCAGCAACAACGTTCGTGCCCATGTCAAGCGAGATTTGGGTGTGAACAGTGGATGCTTTGCCGGTGAAACCTTGGACGATGACGTTCGAATGTGGGCCAGCGGCGAGATTGGAAATCGTGTCCGAGTAGCTGGTCCGGATGGAGGTCGTTGCGAAGGCTCGCCGCGAGGTGGTGAGGGGGTTTGAGGGTGTACGTGCGACCAGAGCGGTGCGTATCGCTCGACTGCTGTCTCTGAGCATCATGGCGGAGACTGTGTAGCTTCCTGCCCTCCGAGAGGCGTGGTGGGGATGAGGTGACAAAAGAAGACCTTGCTGTGTTGTGATCTGTCGAGGTTGAGGACACAATCAAGGATGTTTGTCAAGGGCCTGACTGTCTGGTGTACGTGGGACCGGCAACTTTGGACTGACAAGCTCGACACAGCTACTCTTGATGATGTTCGCCAACGAAGCTGCGGACTCGACGACCGGTAGCGGCGAGATGAAGTGCGGCGTTTAGAAATGGCTTCTTTCATGAGGCGTCCGCAGTGTTCCCGTCTTGTGAGGTGCAAAGGTCTATTTGGCGTTGGGTCGTGCGAGGCGGCGTTGCGGGGTACAGTGGCGGGCGCTTCATCTTCCGCTCCCAGGATTGCGGTTCAAAACCGTGACGGCTTCTTGCGTTGGGGTGCAAGGCTTGTGCGTCGTAAACCCGCACCGCCGGTGACGTTTAGCGCGATTTATCCCCGCACAGACGCTGCGTCGAACGTCGAAATCTTGTCAAAGTGTGGGGGAAGGACAATGTCCGACCAAGACCGCCATCGCTCATTCTGGCATCGATCTTGTCTAGATACAGCAGCATCATTAGCTGGCTTGGAAGGCAAAGGCGCACGTTGCAAGCATCCGCGAACCACTTGGAACGCCTGCAAAGAAGCGAACCCGACGCCATCCTCGATCCTGCTCCCATCATCAGGCTCTCAGGATACATCATCCGCTCACGGCTTCGAGAATCACAAGTATGCTATCAAGAGCAACGGCACGAACGGCGCTGGCAGTGCCGCGCTGGTCAAGTACGCGCTTCATTCTCCGCCCAGCACCCATCCTCCATCGTCGCGACTTCCACCTCGAGTCAAAAGACATCCCATCCTTCCTCGCGAAAGCCGGCGCCGAACTTCCATCATCCATCGCCGTCGATTCTTCATCTGTCAGCGGGAGCAAGGAAGGCGTAGCGGTGCTCATCTCGGCGGATCGCGATCCACAGGCTTCCTGGCCGGGCAAGGTCTCGCACACGGGCAAGTTCTACGGGCCCAGCATTCTCTCTGCGCCTGTCTCATCGCTGGCCTCGCTCGACCCAACGTTCTTCGGCCAGGGCGGCCTGGGCCTGCTCAAGCTACGCCGCACGTCTCCCACATCCATTGCTCATGCAGCAGTTCGATCCAATACGCCTTCCATACCCAGTGTGGACCTCGATGCTCTCTCGCATGGCCTATCGAAAGAAGCGCACACCGTGATCAACGCCATGTGGCGCATCTTTGATGAGCTCGAGGGTCTATGGTTCAGCTTCACCCTCGTTCCCTCTTCCACGGGCCTATCGATCGTCTCGCCGTACATGGAGTTTGACGACTTTGCCGTCCGACGTCAGCCGCTGCTCAAGCCCTACTTCGCGTCGAGACCGCGCAATGCCAACTCTGCGCGTGCCGAAGACGGTGGGTTGTTCTACGTCAAGCTCTCGGACGTTTCCTCTCCCACGCCTACCGTCGAAGGCAAGGTGCTGCCAGAAGGCAACGTGGGTTGCTTTGGCTACGGTGCAGGCAACGCGATGGCCACCATGGACGGGTTGAACGTGGCAGGTGGTCGACCGGCCAACTTCCTCGATGGCGGTGGTGGAGCAAATCGCGTCAATGCAAAGCTCGCCGTCGAGACGCTCAACAGAGACCCGGCGGTCAAGGCTATCTTTGTCAACACGTTCGGCGGGATCACCCGAACAGACATTGTCTCGCAGGGCATCATCGATGCGGTCAAGGACGACAAGATTGAAAAGCCCATCGTGGTGAGGCTCAAGGGAACGGGGAGTGAGGAGGCCGCAAAGGTGCTCAAGAACTCCGGATTGGAGTTTGCTTTTCATGACGACTTTAATGCTGCTGCTGCGCACGCGGTTAAGGCTGCCAACCAGGGACATCTGTGATGATACATACATTGCATTTGCAAATCCTGAACAGCGATCCTGAGTGAAAGAGCGAGAACCTAGTCGAAAGAGGGTCCCAGCGCAATGAGGTTGAAGTTGACCTCCTCTGGATTGAGCGCCATGTAGTTGTCCTTGACAAACTCGACCGCCACAGGCAAGAGGTCTTCCTGACTTTCGACCTTCTTGCCTCTCCTCAGCGGACCCTTCCTACCTCCTGATCCGTCGAGCTCGACCAGCTCGCCATCTTGGCTCCGGACAAAGCACACAAAGTGGAGCAGCACATTGTCGAGATCCTCGGGTGCCTGGCTCTGCCCTTGGCTCGCCGTCGTCTCGTGTGCCGTCTGGAGCTCTTTCGAGTTCACCAGGATGTCTGCCCTTTCGTCTGCATCATCTGTCGTTCTTGCCTTCTTGAAGAGTGTATCCAGTGGTGAATCGGGCTTGATGGACGATGTTGCGGTTGAGTTGGCGAGCGCATGAAGCAGCCCGATCGTACCACACGCATTTCCGATGGTTTGCTTGAACCAGAGGATGTCAGAGCCGGCAGCGGCGGGAGAGGCGGCTTCGTTCTCCTGCTGACGCAGCGCCTCCATCGAGGGCGTGATGGGGAAGAGGAGCAGAACAGCTGCGACCGGTTGCGGGACCATGGCGAGCAAGTCAGGGTCCGTGCCGTAGATGTCGTGGAAGGCGTACTTGGACGTGTCGAGGCCCATGGACGAGCACCAGCTGGTGAAAAGTTCCGGGTTCGACTCCAGGGGTACCCACTTCATCCTGGTCTCGGTCATTGTTGAGGTCGGTGGGTGTGTGCGGTCGATGGTGGTAGGCAGGGAGGACGATGGTCCATGCGGACCCTGTGGCTGAGTGTGGAGGAAATAATCGATACGTGTTAGACTGGATATTGTGGAGCGGAAGTCGGACATGCGACTTGGCCGTTCAAGGACCCTGACCTTGCTCTTCTCGACACCTCCTTCATACCATTCGACCTACTTCGCAGCTCCAGCGGTCGCGAGCCCGTGACATCAGAAGCTGGAACAGGGCTCTCACAAGCTTCTTCTCACCATGTCGTCAGCAGCAGGCAACAGACGGCCGCGTCAAATCACCCCGACCTCGCCCTCCCCCTCGCCTGAGCCGCAACCTGGCACGACCAACGGCAGCACCTCTATAATCGCAACCGCGCCACCACCTCCCACCCTGCCACCAGCCTCTGCTCCCGTAACAGCCACCTCGGTCGACCCAACAGAGTCCGTCCGTGCCTCACTCGAAACGCGCGTCCGCTCGGTCGTCGACCTCCTCTACCAACTCGCCGTCTGCTCCGCCGACGTACAGGACGGTTCGCAACACCTCGTCTCGGCCAAAGTCAACGAATGCATCGCCGCACTTGCCGCACTTGATGCGACTAAGGATGACGTGCATAGGGCACATATGATGGTGCCCCAAGACGTGCTCGAGATGCTCGATACGGGCAAGAATCCGGATATCCACACGAGAAACTTTGTCAATAGGTTGGCGAGCGAGAACCAGTATAGCTTCGGTCAGCATCGGGCTGTGGAGAGGTATAAGGAGCGGTTGAGCAGTGCACTGGATGAGGCGTTCCCGGAGCTGAGGAGGGCGAAGGAGGACGTGATGGAGGAGTGAGGGATGGGGATTGGGCCGAGGCCAGTATACCCCTCCGCCATCTGGCGGATTCGGCCTCGTCGTTCGATGCAAAGAGCCATTCGCACGCATCACAACCACTGCACTTGTACATCAATCCATTAGATCAGTCCGTATCATACACGAAAGAGTCACTGCCGTGCGAACAAGCTCAGACCTCTACAAAGCGTTCTTGATCAAACCTCGAACGCCCATCGACCCTCGATCTTCCCACCGTGCAGCTTCTCCGCATTCTCAAGCACCTCCTTCCTCCCCTTCAACTCGAGACCCTTCGGCCCCATCTCTTCGAGTCTGAATCCGCCGAGGCCGTGGGTTGGCGCTGCGCCTGCCGCCTGCAACGGCAGTGTTGCTGGCATCCACCTTTGCGCCCCTCGTCTGTCCTCCTTGGCCAACAGTCCGAGTGCGATCCTCAGTTCCTCGAAGAGCCAGCCCGCGGAGCCTTTGGGGAAAGGTCGCGAGTACACCGGCTCATTTTCGTACCACGCGAGCTCCATTCGCCAGGGGGCCGGTTTGAACGTCTTTTCGCCCGAAACCGGGGAGAGGTGGCCGCCAACGGGACATGTTTTGCCGTCCGATGCACGGGCGCCGGACGCAGGGCACACAGAGGGGATGCCGTCAGAGAGAAGGGACTCGATGGAGAAGACGAGACCCTTTTCGTCGGCCGCGATGGGGATGTTGCTCAACGGCTTGGATCGGGCCAGCAGCAGGTGACGGATGAACAATGCGCGGGCGCTAAAGAGGGCGTCTTTGAAGGTGACCACCCACGAAGGGGCGAGTGGATAGCCCATCGCTTCTCGTAAACGGTCGTCCATCAGCGAGGAGACGAGGTTGCGCGCGAACCCGTGGAGGCAGGAAGGTAGCGCATACATGAGCAGGTTGGTCGTGTGGTCCGCCACCTCCTTGTTGCACTCCTGGAAACGCATGTAGTTCTTCTCGTAGGTGACACTCCATTCCATCAGCTCGTCGAGCGTTTCGGGAATGTCGGCGATTCCCATGCACCGACCGATGTGATAGAAAAGCGCGAATAGGGCTTCCTTTTCGAGTGCTGAGAGCGGACGCCATTCGTAGCGGTCGATCCATTTGGCGGGCTCGATGATGAACGTGCTGAGCGTATAGAGCAGGTCGTCGTTGGAGATCTTGCTCTTCCATCTGCCGTGCAGGTAGTTGACGCGAGCCAGAGCGATGGACGAGCGAGGATCGTGAGGGTCTTCGCCAAACAGCTCCCAGTTGTCGCCCTCGAGTTTCGTGGAGTCTGCTTCGCCGCCGTCGGGTAGATCCAGCCGAGGCACAGGATAGGTCATAAACGCCTGAATGAGTCCGGCGGTATCGACATATCTTCGACCTGCATTCTCCGCCTTGCCGAGCTGCCCGGTGTGCAGAAGGAGACTTGAGATGGTCGGGATACCGTACGTGCGGAAGAGCGCGAACTCGAGCGACTTGGTGAAGACAAAGGGAACGTCCATGGCGGCAGAAAGCCGAACGATCCGCTGAGCATCGCGAACGCCTTTGTACGAGTCGATCATACGCGGCTTGCCGGGGTCGGCACCGGTGCTGGGCAGGGCGTATCGCGTACCATAGCGCTTGTGGATGTGTTTGTAGCGGGAGAAGCGTTGGATGCGGACGCAGGCCAGGTAGACGGGCAAGAAGGCGATCGCCCAGATCTGCCAGCTGATCATGGTCTCTATGTGAGATCGGTGTCCGAGGTTGACTGCGACGAGAACGGGACGGTGGGCACGATGGTGGTTGGAAGCACAGAGAGAGAGCAGCAGGTCCTAAGCGGTCGAGTACTCATGCCGCGTGCTCCGTGCGGAGAGACAGGGTCCTTGAAATAAGCTCAAGCGAGGGGGTCCTGCAAGGGTGAGCGTGACCATGCCGATTCGGCACGCTCGGATGCAAGGTTCCGGTCGTACGCAGCTTGCGAGTGTGAGTTCTCATTCGTTTCACCATCTGCATCGACGCTGTGACTGTGACGATGGGCCATCCCCGCATCTCGACGCGCATAGATTGATGCATGAGCAGCGCCATGTTTGCCCCGCATTTCGACCCCGCTGTTCGGGTCGCTTGAGATCCTTGGCGCCCAGCTTCTCGCTACATACAAGACGTGCGGGGAAGCAATGTCATTGTGACTTGATCATCATGGTCTCGAGTGGAGAGTTCTGTCTGATAGCTCGTAAGGAGGCTGAATCTTGACTAGCTGTCGAAAGCCTGGTAAAACAGGTCGCTGGATCGGAGCAGTTTTCCTTCGTTTACTGCCACAGAGGCGGATAAAAATATGTCCAGAAATGAGGCGGCAAAATCCAACGCCCGAATCACTGAGATGACCTCTCCGCACGATCGACTCGCGTCGCCACGACTGCAGAGGGGACCACAGAGGAAGAACCAGCTTAGTTGATACACTACTGTTACATTCAACACGATACAATGGCTAGTAAGACTGGCTCGGAGAGCGAGAAGAGAGGGCACCGCAGACGAAGCTCAGCACTGTCCCTAAAGGAACACTAGAAGCCTGAAAAGGTGTGCGACCAAGCACCGCCGCTTGCACCGCCAGCCCCGATGCTGTTGGGGGTACCAGCGTTGGAAGAAGCCACATAGTCCAGAGGCGAGTGGTGATGCGAATGGTGACTGCTGATGTGATGGCCAGCGTGGTGGTGTCCATGGTGTTCGTGCGACGGTCCGCTGTGGTGGTGGCCTTGGGCTGGTGCAGGTCCGTGGTGATGCGAGTGCTGAGCGTGGTGCACATGATCCGACTGGGACGAGTGATCGTCTGCGGATGTGTCCTGGATCCAGTGGGCCATGGCGTTGCCAGGTGTGCTGCCGAGGTCAACGTGGCCAGAGGAGTGCAAGATGCTGAGCGGATCTGACTCCGCAGTAGCTGCTACAGCGTCTGTAGACAAAGAGGCATCAGGGTCGTCGTATGCAGCCGAGAAGCCGTGGAGGAGATGATCATCGTGCGATGCGACTTCATTGTGTTGTCGACTTCTGCTACTACTCGCACCCGCATTAGATCGACTGACGCCCTTGCCCTCGCCCGTCTTTTCGCGCTTGGCAGCCCCTCCTCCAGGCAACCTGCTGCTGGGAACGCTCTCGTGCCTGGGTACGATGTCGATCAAAAAGTCGAACAGGTCGGATCGACCAATGGCGCCTGCAATGTCGGATCGCTGAATTGTCCTGCGCTTGTGCTCCTCGGCGATCAGGAATGCACGGCATGTCAAATCCGAAATGAAGATCTCGCACGCCCTTGCAAAGAGGATTGGTGCTTCAGCCGAGATCATCTTGACCTGGTCATCCGACTTCATCACCTTCTTGATGCGGGCCAATGGTAGCTGACCTTGGGTTGGTAGGCCCGATTTGAAGTCGACCACGTTGCCATCCGCATCTCCGCCCTGTTCGACGAGGTCCATCTGGTATCGCCAGAAGGTGGATTGAAAGTCGTCGAGGTCTTGAGATGCATGTACGAGGGGTCCGGAAGCTGGCAGTGTCGCTGCCGCACGGCTCGAAGAGGCACCAGCACCGCCGCTACCGGTCAGATCGTGTGCTAGAGGCGAGCGATTGCCAGACTGAATGCCGCTGGTTGTTATTGAAGATGCTCGCGAGCGTTTCTTGGGCGGCATCTTGGCGGGGGCCTGGTGGTTGTGACAGTGGTGTGCTAGTGCCTGACTTGTTTGCAGTCACTGAGCTTCGTTCGCATGAACAGACACTGTTTGCCTGTATGACTTGCTGCGCGGTCTTCAGGGCTGCACTGGCGATGATCAGCGGATGTCGAGGATGCTGAAGGATGATGACGACGATGATGGGCAGGAGGACCCTTTGGATCAGCCAAAGCCTTCGGCTCAACTTCTGCAAACTTTTTGCCAGAGGAAATTTTGGGCGGAGCCTGGCTTGTCCGAGTTCCGAGAGCTTGATTAGGCCATCTTTCGCTATCTGATAGGCGTGCAGCAGGCTTGCAAATTCGGAGCATGTTAGAGCGTTATCTTGGCTGCCCTATGACCTTCAGGAGACGCAGACGTGGTCCCGAAACTTGCCGCATGATCAGGCTATCGACTGCCGGAACAGTCCGAGGTTGAAATTGCGGAGGACGATCACATGCTAGAATAAAGTTGAGCTCATAAGCGGATGAAGGTGATGACAGGAGCTGAATGACCCGGTGCGACTGAGATTTGGGAGGCTGCCTCCCGGCTCGCAGGTCCCGAAGTTGGGCAGACTGCCACGCAAGAACCGAGCTGTGACGAGCCTGCGATATCTACACAAGAGTCTTGTCGCTGTTCATCCATGGAAGCGCTCGGATGAAGCAGAGCGAGGCCATCGCACTCAGGCTTTGATCGGAATCTTGAACCCGAAAAGAAACTCAGTCGAAACCAGAAAAACAAAAAAGAATCGGGGAAAGCAGAATGACGTCGAGCTGCGCTTGCGGTAAAGCCGGAAAGCAACTTGCCGTCATCTGCCAAAGTTAGTCCGCGGATAGACTCGAGCAAACAATGAAACCTGCGGTTGACAGCAGACGCACAACAAAGGGCGGGACACCGAGATGAAGTGAAGCGATCGACATGCGTACCGCCGTTCCTCGTGTCAAAGAATTTGCGACAGAAGCGCAGCGAACGATGCCAGATGAAACGTCATCGACAGGGCGAGTGTGAGTTCGAAGCGAATGATGATGGTCTTGTCGAGATGGCGAACAAGGATGGCAAAGGCACTCGGTCTGTGGTGGCGCTGCAAGCGAGCACAAGTCGTACCACAGAAAGGGACAAGACAGAGACGGAAGCGAGCCATCGTGGATCTCTCACAGACCCGGGCTAAGCGTCGCCAAAAAAAACAGCGCTTATTCACTGCTTCAACGTGACTCAGCCTGTGGAGACATCGAGCGACTGGGAAGCAGATGGCAACCAACAGTGCAATCCCAATGGCCGAAGTTGGGTGCCTTGCAGATTACGGCTCATAGCCCGACGAAGGAGCGGAGCGTGATCTCTTTTGGCAGGCGTGTGTAGGCCGCGGAAAGAACTCGTCGTTGGCTCATCCGAGGCGATGTGTGTCAGATGGGTTTATGTATGGGAGCTCTTCGGATACAGAAGAGCGTCGGATGGGTTGCTCCGGCTTCAAAGGTCAAGGTGACAAGGATGGACAGACAACCCACACCGCAGGCGAGCATGATGACTGTGCTCCCGAACACGCAAAACCGCCTCCACAAGGCCAGTTGGATGGGAGGAAAAAAAAAACCGAGGGCGCTGTGTCTCAGTCTGACGGAGCGATCTGAGAGCTGGGTTGAGTGACAGAGTAGTGAGTGTGACCGAAATGATGGCATGGCACAGCGCTGTCCACTGCCCTCTCTGAACCAGGGTTCGGTTGGTCGGAGTCTGCTTCCTCGTGCATCTCGCAGCCAGTCGACTGCTCTTGGTCTTGGCTCCCTCGCAAACAGCATATCAACCAAGCTCCCTTCTCCATCCCACACCGCTGACGTCTCTCTCCTCCTACCACTACGCAATCCCGATCTTTCTCTATCACTCGCTCTCTTATAAGCGCTCTTTCTCTCGCCGGCCTCATCCGGGCAACCTCCCGTCATCATCATCGCCTGGTCTTGCCCTTCGGTGTCACCTCCACGTCCAGTCTCGACCGTGTTGGTTGCTACCGTCTGATCTCCACATCACCCATCCAACAGAGCCTTCTCAGGATAGATTTCGCGCTACCGTCACAATGCTGAAGCGCGCCGTAGCCACCCTCACCAAGGACTCGTCTTCCAGCGGCGAGAATGGGCACTCCAAGAGCTCCAGCACGCCCTCCACCGGCCATACCACGCCCAATCCCCCTCCTTCCGCCAAGTCAACCGGAGATGTGACTGGCCAGACCGATCCCTCCGACAAGAAGTTCCGTCTCTCCCACATCTTTTCCGGTCACTCCCTCCCAGGTACCCGCAGGTCCACTTCGCGCGCAGCCAGTCTGGACGAGCCTCGTCCTAGCGCCGTCAAAAAGGCGCAAAAGGTTGAGGAAAAGGAGCGCAGGGCCCTTGAACAGGAACAGGTCAAAAAGAGGATCGCTATGGCTCGCAAGCAGTCCGATCTTCGAGCCGCTCAGGTCGAGACACCCGAACAGCGTGCTCGCTACGGCGAACAGTACCCTCAACAGTGGAATGAGAGCCACGACAAGTGGGCCGACATCTTTACCATCTGCGATGATGCCGACATCGGCGACACCGTCACGCTCCGGGCTCGTATCCACACCATTCGAGATGTCAGCTCGCACCTCGTCTTTATCGTGCTTCGACAGCAGATCTCTACCATCCAGGCAGTGCTTGCTGAAGAAGACGGCATCACCACAGGCCACATGGTCCGTTGGGCAAAACGTTTGCCGCTCGAGTCGATCGTCATGGTCCGTGGAAAGCTGCAAAAGCCCCGAGAGCCCATCACCGGGGCAACCACCCAGCAAGCAGAGATCAAGGTGTACGAGCTCTTCCTCGTCGCTCCTCCCAAGGAGACGCTTCCCTTCAATGTCTACGACGCCGACCTCGTCCTCAAGAAGAGCGACGACGAGGCGAGCCACAGTGGGCATGGTACCGATTCAGACGGCGAAGGCGGTCCTGTCCGCGATGAGAACCACTCGATCGAGAGAAGCGAAGGCCCCGTCATCACACAGCGAGTTCGCCTCACCAACCGCATCATCGACCTGCGCACTCCTACCGCCCAGGCCATCTTCCGCATCAACGCTGCCATCTGCACCGCCTTCCGATCGCACCTCGACAAGAGCAAATTCATGGAGATTCACACTCCAAAGCTGCAAGGAGGCGCCTCTGAGTCCGGCTCGAGTGTCTTCATGCTCGACTACTTTGGGCGTCCCGCTTGCTTGGCCCAGAGTCCCCAGCTGTTCAAGCAGATGTGCATTGCCGCCGATATGAAGCGCGTCTACGAGATCGGTCCCGTCTTTCGCGCCGAGAACTCCAACACGCCCCGCCACTTGACCGAGTACACCGGTTTGGATATCGAGATGGAGATTGTCCACTACTACGACGCCATCCGCGTCATCGATGGCATGCTCAAGAGCATCTTTGTCGCTCTCAGGGACAACTTCAAGGCCGAACGCGAGCTCATCAAGCGACACTTCCCGCACGAGGATCTCACCTATCCTGAGGACACGCTCATCCTTCCGTTCGCCCAGGGCGTGCGTCTTCTCGTCGAGTCGGGCTACGTCGAGGAAGACGGCAGCATCCCCAAGGAGGACGAGGATCTGTCCACTCGCGCCGAGATTCGCCTAGGCGGGGTGATCAAGGAGAAGTACAACACCGACTACTACATTCTCGACAAGTTCCCCACCTCGGTGCGCCCCTTTTACGCCATGGAGGACAAGGAGAATCCCAAGGTGACCAACTCGTTCGACATCTTCATCCGCGGTCAGGAGATCTGCACGGGTGGTCAGCGCATCCACGATATCGAAGAGCTGGAACGCAAGATGCAGCGTCTGTCCATCTCGCCCAAGGGCATGCAGGAGTACCTCGAAGGCTTCCGACTCGGTGCGCCGCCCCACGCCGGATGCGGTATCGGTCTGGAGCGTCTGGTGATGCTCTATCTCAATTTGGGTGATGTTCGACTGGGTTCGCTCTTCCATCGTGATCCTCGCAGTCTCCCGCTGCAGAAGCGAGACGACGACGAGCTGCGCCATCCCGAGGCGAGCACCAACCCGCCGCCCTGGAAGCACCCACGACTGGCGCTCAAGGCGGACGGCGAGAGCGAGCTGCGCGACATGCAGCCCCTCGAAAAGCTCATCGCCAACTACGGCGATGCCTCCAACACGGCTTGGCTCGACGAGCGCTACAAGGTGTGGCGACATGCCGACACAGGCGCTGCGGTGGGCTACTCGCCGTTCAAGGGCTACGCCATGATCATCGGCGACCCGCTGTGCGACAAGACGCAGATGACTCAAGTCGTCTCGGCCTTCCTCCAGTTCATCAAGAAGGAGGCCAAGCTCAAGCCGATCTGGATGATGGTGTGCGAAGAGGTCGAGGAGATCCTCGGCGGACGTCTCAACTGGTGCACGCTCTCGGTCTCTGCTGAAGAACGTGTCGACGACCCTGCCAAGAACCCGGCGCGCCACGACCCCGACATTCAGAAGAAGGTGCGCCATGCACGCAAGGAGGGCGTCAAGATCGAAGACTACAAGCTGAGCGAGACGGTGCCGGACGAAGTGGTCAAGGAGACGGACGAGCGGATCCAGGACTGGCGCAACAACCGCAAGGGCGAGCAGGTGCACATGACTGACGTCCACCCGTGGCGCGACATGGAGCACCGCGTCTACTACATCGCTCGCGATGGATCAGGCAAGGTGTGCGCCATGGTGGTGCTGCACCAACTCTCGCCTGCGCATGGGTGGCACATCAAGTGGGCGCTCGACTTCCCTGGTGCCCCCAACGGGACCATCGAGCATGTCATTCTGCACGCGCTCGAGAACAACGCGGGCAGCAAGATGACTTTCGGTGCCTCGGCCACGTCGACGTTGGTCTCAAAGCACGGTTTGAGCAAGGTGACCACCAAGTGGCTGACGAAGGCGTACGGCTCGATCGCAGAGCACAACAAGCTCACGAACAAGGGCGAGTTCAGGCAGAAGCTGGGAGCCGTCGAGGATCGAGTGTACGTGTGTTACCCTCGACACGGTCTTTCGCCAGCAGGCGTGCAGGCCATCATTGGCTTCTTCAAGCAGTAGAGATGCGGTAGCAAAGAAACACAGATGCACATACATGCAAGGATCGGAAGCGCATTTGCTCGCGTATAGGACAGGATTCGCAGATTCGTTTAATGATACCACGTTGTCGATTGATCTGCGAGACGGTTCTAGCTCGGTCGATCTTGTATCGGCAGACAAGGTGACCGACGGCTACCGGTCAAATGAAAAATGGTTTGCCCACAGCCGACGGTTGGATGACGTTGTCCGATTGATGGCTTCGACAGGCGGTGGGAGAGATGAATTGCCAACACGTGTGGGGACTGCGTCGGCGATATGAACTGAATAAGGTGTTGTTCTCGAGTTCGCCGGTGTCCAAGGGTCCCACCCGCCACCAAATAGGGTTCTCCCTAAGCGAGCACGTTCTTCACTTTCGAACGATCTGAAGAACGGTGTCCAAGTCAAATCAACGTGCCCACAACACTGTTGTGCTCTGCTCAATGGTTGAAACATGGTTTGATCTACAGTCGCACCCCACCCTGGTGGATCTGCCGGTCATCTTCGGATGGCCTCAAGCCGACATCTCTTCCAGAACAAAACGTGCTAACTGTGCTTAAACGCGGACAAGCCAACTTTGAGCTCGCCAATGCGCAGAACGGCTCTCCACCCACGCCGTCGGTCCGGCTCGGCGAATCGTTCCCGACGCATGATTCAGAGAACACACGGCAGTCTCGTGCCTGACCTCGACTGCAAGGGAGTGCTCTTGGTGATTGCTGCTTGTTTCAGAACGTTCTGCATGATAGCAATTTGAGAAGAAGGGTCAAGCAAGGGTCCTCCAGCGCCCAGACCATTTTCACACCGCTGCTCCCGCCCACACCTTTCTTCCGCCAAACACCATCCCTTCGTGTCTGCTTCTTTGCATCTCGTTTCGCTTGCACACCGACTCCTGGTCCGGACCGCATCTCGGCTACTCGCATTGCTCGCATCTTGCTTCTCGTCCTCGGCGATCCTCACCACACGTGCGCTTCCGGCGTGGCAGCCATCACCTCAGATCGACACATCGTTGACGGTAGACTTTCGCATATATAGACTAGCATCTGGTACGTCGTCCATTCTACACTCATCCATCGCAACAGCTTCCCTCGCTCACCAGCCTCACTTGCAATCATGGTCTCTTCTTCCGCCTTCCTGGCGCTCCTCGCCGTGGCTGTCGCTAGCGTTCAGGCTGCTCCCGCTCCGCCCCACCCCGTGCCCGGCCCGCCCGCCATGCAGACGTACAACTTCACCGTAAGCCTTCACTCATCCTCTCCAATCCTCTGCCTGGCTCCTACGCTGACATTCTGACCCCATTCATCTTTTTCATCTTTCTTCAGACCTACACGGGCTTCTTCAAGTACGACACGGCCGAAGGCACCTCTCTCCCTGCCGTTGCGCCCAACTTTGGTCTGCGGGACAACACCACTTGGGCCGCCCTAACCCAAACCCTCCGACAGCTCAACTCGCCCGCCGCCTCGCACGACGGTTCGTCGTACAAGCTCATCTTCGCCGGCCGTCATGGTCAGGGCTACCACAATGTGGCCGAGAGCAAGTACGGTACGCCTGCGTGGAACTCGTACTGGTCCGAGCTGACTACGGATGGCAACCTCACCTGGGGACCGGATGCGCGCTTGACGCCGTTGGGCATTCAGCAGGCCCAAGCGGTCAACCAGGCTTGGACGGCTATGCTGAAGCAGCAGGATGCGGCGCCGTTGCCGACCAGGCTGTTTTCAAGCCCGCTCAGCAGGGCCCTGTCGACGCTCGAGATCAGCTACGACAACATTTTGGTCAAGAACCCGAACGATACGGAGGTCGCTCCTCAGAAAGGGCCTGGTGGACCCCCCGGTCCTCCTGGTCCCCGTGGTCCTCCTGGCCCTCCTGGCCCGCGCCTGCTGGTCCCCGAAGTCAAGGAGCTCTTCCGCGAGGAGTACGGCGAGCACACGTGCGATGAACGACGCACCCGCACCCAGCTCGCCGCCGACTACCCCAACGTGCGCTTCGAGCCCGGCTTCACCGAGGACGACCAGCTGTGGACCACCACACGCGAAGAGGACAGCCATCTGGATGCGAGGATCCAGACGGCCCTCAGCCAGATGTGGAACGAGGCGAAGCGGGAGGATGTCGTTTCGCTGACCAGCCACTCTGGGGTGATGCAGAGCGTTTTCAGGGTCACCGGGCATTATCCGTTGCATCCCGCCACCGGAGCACTCATCCCCTTGATCGTAAAGGCTACTCCGACCAACTAGACCGCACTGTCGTACACGCACGAGGAGATGCGTTCATAGAGAAAAGAGATCGTCACGGACTTGGAATCAGACTATGTTTAACGGGATTCGTCTGATTGATCGTGAACAACTGAGTGCGAGCCTTACTTCCACACCTTGCTCTTTACCATCTGGTCTTTCAAATTCCACTTCTCGGCCCGCTCCGTGTCGATCAGCACAGCGACCTTACCGTTGTTCTCACCGGTAAACAGCCTCAGGAACGCATCCTCTGCACCATAAACGCCGAAGGTGACGTCCTCGCGGTTCTTGATCTTGCCCTCGGCCAACATCTTGGGCACCTCCTGCATGAACTGGCCGATCCACTTGGGGATAAAGCTGGACACGATGAAGCCCTGGTACTTGATCTCCTTGGTGACGATGTTGAAGAGGTTTTTGGGGTAGACGACGTCTTCGGGTTTGTCGGCGTTGTAGCCCGAGATGTAGCCGCAGGCGACGATGATGCCGTAGCGCGCAGCGACGGAGATGTAGGCTTCGAGCTGATCGCCGCCGACGTTGTCGAAGTAGTAGTGGATGCCGGTCTCTCCAGCAAACGCCTTGAGCTTGGCGGGGAGGTCTTCGGTTTTGTAGTTGATCGATTCGTCTGCACCAAGCGAGCGGACGAAGTCGCATTTCTCATCGGTGCCAGCGGAGGCGATGACTTTGACTCCGGCCTGGTGGCACAACTGCACGACGAGTTGACCAACCGCACCCGCCGCACCCGAGACAAACATCTTGTTCCCCGGCTTGAGATCGCCGACAATCTCCTTGAGAGACATGTACGCCGTCATACCCGCCATACCGGCTGCGCCGAGGTAGGTGGTGATCGACAGGCCGTTTGACAGCTGTTCCGAGTCGAACTTGCGGAATGTCGGCACGGCGGCTGCAGGATGGATCGTGTACTCCTCAATCCCCGTCGACCAGGCATAGACGATGTCGCCAGCAGCAAATCCCTCCGCTTCGGAACGGACGATCTCACCAATGCCAATCGCAGTCACGGGTTTACCGACCACATAGGGTGGGGTGAAGTAGCCAATGTCGCCCTTCATCCGGTTGCGCATCGTTGGGTCGAGCGAAACGGCAATGTTGCGCGTGATGACACCGCCGTTGAGCGGGACGGAGGAGAGGTCGAGCTCCGAGGTGCCTCGCGTGGTGGTCTCGCCCGGCTTGGGCATGCCCGTAGGCTGCACCTTGTTGAAGAGCACTTGGTGGTTGGTGACCATTTTTGCGAATCGATTTGAATGACGTTGATGGTCAAAGGCTAGGGACATGGGTCGATTGATGCTGTTATATGCTTTAGACTGGACCGTCAGCAGAAGCTTAAACCCGAGTGTTGTTCTTGCCCCTTTGCCACGAGGCACAGGAAGAATCTGGTCGAAACAGCTTGAAGCTGGGCCTTGGCTGCCGAATGAACCGGTAGAACTTTGCCGCGTACCGAATTGGCCAAAGCTGTTCGATGACACACGCCGGTGACTGGCCTAAATTTCCTGCAAGATGCATTGCCGATCCTCCACTTGTTGAATCGTGCGAGAGGGGATGCAGATGATCGCAGCCAGCCCCTGATCTCCGCGGGCCAGACGATTACGGTTCAGCCAGGCGGTCGGAAGCATAGCCCGCTCGACACGTGCTTCTGGCGGGCGGCGTCGCTCATCCGGCCGGTGCTGGCCAGTGTGAGCAGAGAGCGATTCTGTGCAGACACGACCGCCCTTTCGGCATGTCATTGATCGAGCCGATACGGGAACGTCCATCCGATAACGGCAAGGCTGACTGACGATAGTCATCACGTTTTCGGAGAAAAAGGGTTATCGCTCTCGGCACGGACCCTGGATCGTGCTCTCACCTTCTCAATACGACCATCATAACCATTCGTCCTCAAGTACAGCATACCACCCTCCGGCGCAAAGCTCCTACCTCGCTGCCGCTACCTCGCAGCGCAGCTTGGGAATTCACCATGTCCGACGGGCCGTCTCGACCGGCGCACCGCGCCTCGCCCTCGACCTCCTCCACCGAACCAGGCCGCTGGTCACGATGGGGCAAGACAGCATTCGACAAATCCATCGTCGTCTCCGACTGGGCATCCGGCTATGCCAACGCCGCCTCTGCCAAGATGGGCGGCGAACGCTTCTGGCCCAAATCCAACGATTTTCCGGAAGAGATCGCCAAATGCGAGCGCATCCTCCGCGCCTTCACTGTGGAAGGCATCGAGACCAAGCCCTCCACCACCACATCCGAGGAGGGAGACATTGTGGTTGAGAAAGATCCCAAAGCGGACAGCTTCGTGCACAAAAAGCGCAAGGTGCTGCGGAAGATCCCGCCAGCCGTCATCAAGCGTGCGAAAGGGATCGTGATTTATACGGCGATGCGGTCGGGTATCGCCCCGTTCGGTGGGGCGGGTGGTGCAGGGTTGATGCTTGCTCGTCTCCCCGATAGCAGTTGGAGCGCACCCAGCTCGATATCTCCCAACAACCTCGCCGTCGGCCTGTTGCTCGGGTTCGACATCTTCGACGTCATCCTCGTCGTCAACTCGGATCGCGCAATGGAGAGCTTCAAATCGCACAAGGTCACTCTCGGAGCGGAAACGGCGGTTGCAGCAGGCCCCTTTGGCGCAGGCATCAGCGGCGAGATGGGTATCGATCGCAGTCCCGTCTTTTCGTACGTCCGATCGAGAGGGTTGTACGGAGGGGTGGAGGCGATGGCCCAAGCCTTTCTGCATCGCTTCGACGAGAACGAACGGATCTACTACTGGCCCGGTGTCACAGCGAGGGATATTCTCGAGGGGAAAGTTCGGAAGCCACCCATCGTAGACCCCCTCTATCGCGCACTACGGGACGCAGAGACGGGCATCGCGCAGGGAGACTCGCTCGAACGGACAGTGTACGAGACAGTCCTCGCCCCGCCCAACAAGGCCGTCCGGTCGCTGGCGGCCGAGGAAAGCGCAGAACTGCTCGAGGACGGAGAGAGATTGAAGCTGCCTCCGACACCAGAGGAGTTGGAGGCCATGGAAGACGCAGGCATTCCGGACGAGTACGATTTGCAGATGGAAAAGATCGTCCAGGAGGAGGCGAGGTTGAAGGCGGAACAGGAGAAGAGGGAGATCATGGCGCTGCCACCGCCACCGCGGCATAAGAAGGTGGTGGGCGTGTTGCAGGCGAGAGGCTCGACAGCGCCAGGAAAGAGACGTGTGGCGCCGCCGATGCAGGATGGAAAGCCGGGTCGAAGAGTCGCCCCTCCACCGCTAGACGACGGTGAAAAGGCAGAGGTAGAGGGGGACGAGACGGTGCAGGCGGACGAAGAGAAGATGGACCTGATCGACCTGGACGAACCCGAAAAGCCAGCGTTGCCGGTTCGACCTCGGCACGACGCCGCCGTCTACAGTCTCGCAGACGAGCTGCAGCGGTCCAGCTTGGACGGCACCGTCGACGAAGCCAAGGCGATCAACTCTCACGCGGTCACAGAAACCGAAGCACCGTTGCTGGAAGAGCCCCTCGAAACCACAAAGGACGTTGGAATGCCAAAAGCGACAGCAGGAACAGATGGCGAGCCGGCTCCCCTGGTCGTCGCGCATTCGATCTCCGAAGCATCCCGACCCAGCACACCCAAGACCGCCCTGCCTGATCTCTCGGGGGACACCATTTCCCGTTCATCCTCCCTCTCGCGCCCCTCTCGCCCACCTCGTCGTGCCGCAGCCACACCAACCATCACCACCGTCGCCCTCCCTTCCAACCCACCACGCCTACGCCTCTTCTTCGACTGGGACGAAACGATTACCTCGCACGACACGCTTTCGCTCATTGCGCCGCCTGAGGGCGAGCAGGCGCACGGTACGGCGTTCTCCTCCTACACCACGGCCTACCTGTGCGATCTAGAGACGTTCGAGTCGACCTTTGGAACACGAGAGACGTGGGATCGCCAGCTGGAGTTCCTGGGTCGGATCGATGAGGTTGAGCGGGCGTCTGTGGCGCGTGTCGAGTCGGGCGGGTTGTTCATCGGCATGTCGAAGCGTTCCCTTCTCGACCGAGCTGAACAGGTCGAATTCCGACACGGCTGGGACGCCTTCTACACGTGGTTGCAGGAGCAGGTGGAGACCGAAAGCGTGAGTGCGGACATCATCAGCGTCGGATGGTCCGCCGAGTTCATCCGTCACGCCATCGAGCGTGCCGCTGCCAAAGGCGTCATCGACAGGGTGTACGCAAACCAAGTCGAGATGGTGGACGAGGTGGCCACGGGCAAGTTGACCAAGAGCACACCGCTGTCGTTGGACGGAGAACTGGGTGGGGTCAGGACCGGACTGGACAAGTTGAAGATCATGCAGTCGGTGATGAACGATGGCGAGGTCAAGGTGTACGTGGGCGACTCGGCCACGGATCTGCCGTGTCTCGTCAACGCCGATTTTGGATTGATCATGAAGCCGAACGAGAGCTTCGACGAGTCGTCGATTTATAAGGTCATTCAGCGGACTGGCCCGCCGGTCAAGAAGCTCTACAGGGAGGTCAAGGAGTTTGTGGAGTCGTATGCGAAGACAGAGACGGAAGACAAGGAAGGCGCTGTGCTGGTTCGGGTCGATGATTGGACCCAGGCGTTGGAGGTCATTCAGCACATCCAGGAGCATGTCGTAAAGCCGCAGTAGATTGCAATCAAGACAGCTTTGAGTTGGAATGCCGATTTGCATGACAGCGGGCCGCGTCAATGGTGAATGCCGAGCTTGGAGAGTAGTGCTTTTCCCTTGCTCGGCTTTTCAGGCTGGCCATTGCCACTCGAGCCTCCAGCTTGCTGCGACTGCATCTGCGCCTGTGGGTAAGGTTGCTGCTGTGGTCTAGAAGTCGAGATGGGTCGCTGTGGCACGCTTGGCTTCGCGGGTACATGCAACGAGCTTGACCCTGCACTCGCTGCTGATGTAGATGCCGGATGAGCGTCGTCGTGCTTCTTTGGCTCGAGCTCGCCGATCCTTTCCTTCGAGAGAATGATCTTGAGCTTGCTTGGCGGCTGATACGGCGCTGCTGAGGAACGCGGACCCGGACTGCTGCTGGGTCGTGAGCCCGGAGGTGCTCCGCTGGGGGAGGGCGGATTCAACTTGATGATTCGCTTCTTCGGCGTTGCGTCCGCTGGCGGCGATGCTGGCGCAGTGGGCTGATCATCGAGCGTCTGAACGTACTGGTACAGCTCGTCTTCGATGGCGCTGCTGTTGGCGGGTCGACCGTAGACGGTTCCTTTCGCGTCGTCGGGAAGTCGATAGTAGGCTGCTTTGATAGCTGCTGCCACTTGCACAACCTTCGGTGTGGTCTCAGCCGAGTCCGATAGAAGGGTGATGAGGTACATTGATCTCCCCTGCCCGTCGCATCGTAGCATCTGGATCGCATCGTGCACATAGTCGTCGGTCGAGCCCCATTTCGTGATGAGCAACTCGTTGGGTTCCAGATTTGCGATACGGTCCACAGTTGCGACGTCGACATCAGGATGTGACGGTGACGCTCTTTCGCCGCCTGGCAAGACTGCTGTCGAGTTGGCTCGCGCGCCTCCTGTTCCATGCCGTGCCTCCGCCTCCTGCCACGCCGAGCTGAAGCCTTGCGTGCTCAGGTCGGTCGGAATACCGTTGCTGCAAATGTACAAGTTTCGCTCACCGCGCGATGCAATCTTGTCATCGTACTCTTGGTCGAGCAGAGCGCTAAGGCTCATGACCAACGCTACTTCGAGTCCCTTTTTGTCCTGAATATCGAGCCGATCGATGTTGTAGTCCATGAGCTGTAGAGCGCCTGGCTTGCCCTTCCCCGCTGGTGGACGATATTGCGCCGCTAGCACATTTGGATCCGGCTTGCGGATCACTTCGCAGACATACGTTGACTGCGTAGAGGAGCCTCGGGACGGGCCGCCTTCGCGCTTCCACGAGAACTCCTCCGCGCTGTGTGATGTGGTATCGCCAAATTGGAAACGCCAGGCTTGTTGAAAGGTCATGGTGCGCTTTTCGAGCTCCACCTCGCCGTCAGGATTGAAGAGCAAGATCTGCTTCCTTTTTGCGCTGTTAATATTGGGCTGAGATATCGAAGCGAGTAAGATATCGCTGACGAGACCGTCGAGTAGGATCGTGCTGTATTGGGTGTGATTGACAGCTCGAACCCTCGTGTAGCTAGGCGTCTGCTTGGAGAAGTCGTTGGACTCGAGTGCGAGGGCTCGCTGAGCACCAACGTCAGGGATGGTGCCACTGAAAGGTGTGATCTTGGAGCTGCTCGACGACGCACCAACTACATCATCCTTGGAGGGGAGGGGAGGAGCGGAGCTGAAGCTCGAGCCTGCCGAAGTGGGATAGATGTCTACGATCCATGGTTCGTCTCTTCTCCGGACGAAGTGGAGCGTGAAGAGCGCCGCGTCGAGAGCCATGATGCAAGGCCGAGAGCTGCAGCAAGAGCGAGAAGTCCCGGTGAGTAGCTATGTGGTAGGAAAGGAAGCTGGTGAACATCAACCTCTCTCGTTACGTATGGAGCAAGAGCTGAGCGAGACCCAATGCTGAGCGGAGGCTGTGTGGTCAGTAGGAAAGCAAGGATTCAGGGTCCACTCAAAAGCTTAAAGTGGGCATCCGCTCTGCACAGCCCTTCTTGGCAGACGAGTTTAACTTTCCGCCAATTTTCTCTGCCATTGCTCCACATCCAAGGCCAAAGTCGACATCTTCAGTCTTCTTGTCGTTTCGACATCAGCTTACAGACTCAGCTCATACATCATGATTGCTTCAAGGATACAGCAACGAGCCTCAACCTCACTGCTTGCGACGGCAGCCTCACGCAGACTCAATTCGACAACTTCGAGGGCCGCTGCTCCAGGGGCAAGACCATCCTCAACAAAAGGACAAGGCTTGGATCGGCCGCAAGCCATTCTGTGGGGGTGAGCTTCCTCCTCGCATCTAGACCCATCCTTGGCGTGCTACTGACTTGATCCTTATCCGCTCTTGCCTGCTACAGATGGGCCGCGCTAATCGTAGTCGCCGGCTTCGGTTACTACACGGTCAAGTCGAACAACACGGCCAAGAAGCGCGACTTCATGATCAAGCAAGGTCAGCTGCAACAGCAGAGGAGCGCAGTCACTGATGGAGATCAGCCCGCAGCAACTTCGACACCTGTTCGTGAGTATCGCCTTGACTATCTCGAATGCGAGGAAAGGCCGAAGAGACGCGTGCTGACCTTTCCGACGATTGCATCTGCGTCCCGACACAGTCATGTCCTCAACAAACCAAGAGAAATACGCTCAGTCGCCGCTGCAAAGCTTGACAGCGGCGTTCAATCGGCAGACGACGCAACGTTCGCGGAACACAGATGCATCTCGATCTAATGGGGGCCGAGACGAGTAATTGGAAGCCTTGCGAGCATCTTTCCTGCCCATCGACTGGTTCGTGCTTTCTCGATGTAACGCCTGTGCTCCTGCACCCGTCTAGTCGAGTCTTGATCTTTCTTCATGAGCAGGATTGTGATCGCGGAGGATCGAGAAGGAGAAGGCATAACGAGGGAAGAACGTCCCCGATGCGCGCCCCGATATCGTCGCGCGAGGGTCCAGCGAGCCGGATCTTGGCAAAAACCTAAACCGGGCCGCGGCTTCCAACCTGCCCGAACAGACAAGGTGTGCATGCCGACCTTCGCTGTCCCCCTTCCTCACGCCTCACCTTCGGATCACACACCTCGCCTCCTGACCACACGCTTCACCTTCTGACTACACACATTTTGAATCGACGGCCACCACGTCCACCGCACAGATCTCGACATGTCATTCCCTCAACCCTACGCCGGCTATCCAGACGCCAAGTACCACAAGCTCACGCTCGCTGCGGACGGAGTCCTTCTCCTCTCCTTCAACCGACCACCTGTCAACGCATGGATCGATCCCAAGTGGCAGGAGCTTACCCGCATTCTTCGTACAGCTCGTGACGATGGCGATGTCTGCGCCATCGTGGTTGCTGGTGAGGGACGGTGCTTCACCGCGGGTCTCGATCTGAACGAGCAATCCCTCGCCAAGATCGTGGCCGACCAGCCGGATGCCGCACGCAAAGCCCTCGTCATGCGCTCCCACATTCGTGATTTCCAAGAGGCAATTTCGTGGTTCGAGTACGTCGAAAAGCCGGTGATCGCTGCTGCACACGGTGTGGCGTACGGGTTGGCAATCGATATTATGAGCGCATGCGACATCAGGTATGCCACCAAGACGACCAAGTTCAGCATCAAGGAGGTCGATGCAGGACTGGCGGCAGACATAGGCACTCTCCAAAGGTTCCCAAAAATAGTCGGAAACGATTCGCTAGCCCGTGAGTTATGCTTCAGTGCTAGGGAATTTGATTCTGCTGAAGCTAGGGAGATTGGGTTCCTGAGTAAGGTCGTTGATGGTGGAAGGGAGGAAGTTGTTGGTAAGTCCACCTCGTACCGGCACAAGCATACATGGGAGATCAACAAACTGACAGCTGGACCTCTTTCGATCTCGTCCGCAGACGCTGCCGTCAAGACAGCCTCTATTATCGCCTCCAAGGCACCCGTCGCCGTTCGAGGTACCAAGATCTTCCTCCTGCACAGCCGAGACCACACGTACGTGCTCCGTATGCATGTGACAAATCCTGTCAAGCTCTTTGCTGATCTTTCTGCTGATCCTTTATGTGCCTCGTCTACCCCCTCACAGCGTCGAAGAAGGGCTTCGATACACAACGGCGCTCAACTCGGCCCTGCTGCAGTCGGACGACATGCCCGTGGCCATGCTCGCGGTTATGCAGAAAAAGACGCCCAAGTTTGCCAAGCTCTGAGGCTGCGCCACCTTCGTGAGTGCTCTCTGTGGAATGTATTGCAGGTCGTTGTCTCGTCAATGTATCGATCGAAGCAATGTTGCTGTTGGCTCACATGAGGAGACGACGAGCCGAGGTGTGTGGACCCTGAGCCGGCTGAGCTGTGACCTCGAAAATGCGGGTTTTGACCCCTCGACAACCAATTCTTCTGATCCATTTCTAAGCTCGCATCTTACCAACCGTCCACCATCAGCGGCCTCGTCCGCATTGACATCCACCCCACCTCACACTCACCCTTCCTCCATCACAGCATCCACCATGGGCGATTCATCGTACAAAGGCGTCTCCGCATCGCAAGACTCTCGCTTTACGGATAAGCAATCCGTCCTGCTGCGCAAGCTCACCTTCCCCGCCTCCTTCTCTACCAAAGTCGACATGACCCGAGTCGAACTTTCGGTGATCCGCCCTTGGATCTCGCGCCGCATCACTACGCTGCTGGGCTTCGAGGACGATGTGGTGCTCGAGTACGCCACCGGCATGTTGGAGGAGGAGCGCTTTCCGGATCCGAGGAAGGTGCAGATCCAGCTTATGGGCTTTTTGGAGGGCCAAACGGCGGGGTTTATGGAGGAGCTGTGGGAGCTGTTGGTGAGCGCACAGGAGAGTGTGGGGGGTGTACCGAGGAGGTTTGTGGAGGAGAAGAAGGAGGAGTTGCGCGTCAAGAGGGAGGAGGGAGAGAGGGTTGTTAGAGAGGCTAGGGAGAGGGCGGCGAGGGCGGCCGAGGCGGGAGGCGCGAGGGGACAGGAGGGAAAGAGACGGTCGAGGTGGGATGCCGGCCCGACATCGTCGACTTCGGACAGTGTAGCAGTGGACACGAGGCCACCAGCATATGGTGCGGACAGAAGACTCAACAACGGAGGCGAGTATCGCAGGCGGGAACCGCCAAGCAGGTCCGAATGGAACCGCCGCCGAGACGATGACCACCGCAATGGTACGCAGCGCAGTCGAGACTCAGGCTGGGGATCTCGAGCTCCTCCACCGCCTCGCGAAGACACCGCCTTCCGTGACAGTCAGACCCGTCGCTCGCCCTCGCCTCCACCACGCCATCGACGAAGATCGCCGTCCCCACCGCCACGACAGCGAGACCCTCCGCGCACGCGGTCAAGATCTCGCTCGGTCACGCCAGACTATCGTGCGGAGATGCGTGACCGTAAACAACGAGATCGTCCTTCAAAGGGCACTGCTGACTCTCTCGAGCACGACGATCGGCATTCGCGAGCGCGGGAGGACGAAAGCGGTCGGCGTGAACGTCGGCGGGATCGAGATACACAAGGTCGGGCTGTCGAGGCGGAAGGTTCCAGGAGAAAGCCTCCGCGAGAAGACGATCGCGAGGAAGAGGCAGAGCGGGAAAGAGACCTCAGAGACAAGCTTCTGCGCGCAAAGGCTTCCCGCAGCTCCCAGCGCTCCGATTGACCTTTGCAATCGCAACCTCGTCGATACCTCTCTCCGAATGTGCTAATAAGTCATGCCCATCGTGCGGAGAGTGGCAAGGGGAAGCTTCATCTGCGTTGCATGGTGTATATGTAGTGGTTGATCTGCGGTGCGTTCGGGTCGGATGCTTGGACCGGCACTGGGGTCTTGTTGACCAGTGTCCAGGGCCACGCCTCGACTTGCTCTTCCGTGCTTGCCTCTGAACCGGTCATAATGTCGTCCCAACGGTCCGCATTGTAGCTGTGACAGAGCCACAGCCCACCCGGTTTGACGAGCGCGCCGAGATGAACGCCCAGAACCTGCGTCGTCGCGACTCCGCCCGCTGTTGAGGCTACACGGGCGTTGACCAAGGCTGTAAGTGCTGGGTGCGCCTCTGTCGGCACTGCCAGCGAGGTGAAAGGCACATCGTCCCCAGTGGATATCGAATCGGTCGTGCTCTTGTCCAACACGACATCGAACAGCTTCCCCTTCCCCAGTACCGCTTCCACCTGGCTCCAGTCGAGCAGGTCCATCACCTCATACTGCATCAGCTGCTCCTCTTGCTCGCCGATCTCTTCCAGGAACGCTCGCTCAGCCCATCGTTGAAACTCAACACTCCGCTCGGCAAAGTCGACATTGACGATTTGCCGCGCGCGATCCTTCCAGTCACCCGGCGTCGTCTCGCGCCAATACCGCACGAGGTCGAGCGACAGCTGTGAGGTCCCTACGCCGATATGAAGAATGCGTATCGGCGGCGTGCGCGTGAGAAGGGTGGGTTCGGACGTGAGAAGCCCGAGCAGCGACGTCGAGGGGGAGAGCCATTCAAAGCCGGACTGCTCGCGCGGGTCGGTGGTGAAGCGGTCGTTCCAGTATGCAGAAGTGTGGTAGGACAGACCGGCGCTACCTGACGCGCGCGATCGAGGTGCGTCGGAGGCCATGGCGAGACGGGTCGATGGATGACTTCGGTGATGGTGAGGAAGGATGGTGGGGAGGTGCGAAAGAAGATCTTCTCGTTTCAGGGTCCAGCCTTTTCAATCGCGGGAGGGATTTCCGCGGCACGACGCTTCATCCTGTATCCATGGTCGGGTCAACACTCGCTCACACGCTGGTCATCGATAGCTCTACAGCCAGTCACGACGTTTCGAGATGCGATACAGGGTGATACAAATACAAATGCCACACACGCCTAGCTACCAGCGTTCCCCGCGTCGTTGCCTGCACCACTGTCCGCAGTCGACCCAAAGTTGGTGAGAAACGAGCTGAGATCCACCCCACCCCCCGCACCCATACTCGCATCACCGCCGCTGGTGAGGCTGGAAAAGTCAAAATTGCTCAGGTCGAGACCGCTGCCGCCCGAGCCGAACATGTCGTTGTCCTCTCCAAAGCCTCCGCTACCGGAGCCGAGGTTGAAGTTGCTCAGTGAGGACAGGTCTGGCATGGCAGCTGCGTCGTTCGAGCCGGGATTTGTGGTGGAGGAAGAGGCGAAGTCCATGCCCATCATCTTTTCGAGCTCGGAGAAGTCGGTCGCTGGTGCGAGAGCGGTTGATGTGTCCGTTGAGGAGGAGGTGTTGGCGAGAGAAGGGATGCCGAGCGCAGAGAGATCTGGGAGGTTTGTGAGGGAGGACATGTCGATGCCAAACGCGGAGAGGTCCAGACCGGGGATTGAGGGTGCGGAGGGATTCGATGATGTCGTCGTAGCGAGGGTCGTCGCAGGATTGGATGGAGCAGAACTTGGAGGCTTTGGCGCATTTGCCAGTGCGGGTGACTCTGTGAGGTCGATTGTCTTGGACGCACCTTCCACGGACCCGGCTTTGGGGGCAAATGCGAGGGGCACGTCGTCCTCGTCGTCGCCATCGCTGTCGATCACGATGGCGTCGTTCTCCGTATTGCCAGGGTCATTCTTCTTGCCTGCATCTGACGGAAGTGCCGACGTTGCTGGCGCAGTTGTCGAGATGTCCTCAGCTTTCGTCCCGGCGCCGGCCGTGATCGTGCCGCTGACGTCCGCCTTGGTCTCTGTTGCCTTGGCCACATTATCGATCCGCTTTCGGTCCGCATCCTCCTCAGCCTTCTTCTTTGCTGCCTCGTCTGCTTCTTGTTGCCTCTTGAGCGCTTCGGCTGCCGCTTCAGCCTTTGCCTTGGCCTCTTCTGCTTCCCTCTGCGTCGCAGCTTCCAGTTCTATCTCGAGTGCGGCCTGTGCATGCAACAGGTAGTCTCGCAGCCCGTGCACCAATGAGAGGTATCGACTGCATTCGCCGGCGAGCTTGTCGAGACCCGAACTTGCTTCGCTGATGCCCGCTGCCGCTGTCGCTGATGAGCGAGGTACTGATGCTGGGAGCCGTGCGAGTTGTGTTCTGGATCGTAGGGTGGATGCTGTTTGCAGAACGATGGATTTGAGTGCGTCTTGGATCTCGCGTGCGCGTTGGTCGGCCGGAGCTGATGGCCGTGATGATGTTCCTGGCTGATCGCCTGGTAGCTTCGGTACCGACATGGCTGTGAAGATGTGCGAATGCTGAGACGGACGTTGAAGAAGGTGTTGACAAAGCTGAGAGAGGGTTGGTGAGCGAGGACAAGGCCGAATTCCGCAATTTGGGCTGGGCGGTGGAGGACGCAAAGACCAACACGGAACGAGTCGCGTCTGCTTGTCGTTCTTCCTGACTCGTTGGATCTTTACCATCATCCACTTACAGACCTTCCAAGAGCTGCCATCATAGACATGTCGAATTGGATCCTGTAAGCATCTTGAGCACTCGCATGAACGTGATGCCGACCACGACTTACGAAAAAAAGCTGACTTGTAACTGATCCGTTTGGTCTTCCTTCAGCATACCCTCGGTGCTCGTACCGCTCATCATCGTGGGCGCGGTCGCATCTCGCTTCTTCGGCGGCAACAAGCGCGGCGGCTACAGTGGGAAATATGATCCCAAGACTGGCCTCGGTCGAGGTGCTCCTGGCTTCCGTATGTATCATCCACCCTGTTTCAATGTTTGCAGCAACGCAGCTCGTACTGACAACTTCAATCCATTCTGACGACGCAGAAACGGGAGTGAAGCGAATGGCAGTGACGCCGGAGATCGCGGCAAGGATGCGTGCAGGAGAGCAGGTGTCCGCCGAAGAGATCGAAGCAGCCGTTGCAAAAGCACAGTCGCAAGAGCAAGCAAAGTCGACGGCGGTTCGCAATTCAAACGTGGATCAGGACTGGCTGCCGCAGGCTGGGCGCAGTCCTGCCGGTAAGAAGAGCAAGAAGCGCTGAACAGAACACACATAATGCAGTCACCTTGATCGCAGTCTAAATGAGCTCTCTGCGAAGACTTTTGACTGCGTCGGGCGAGATGCCGAGAGTGTGCCTGCCAGAGAGGGGTCGAAAAGTATAGATGAGATTTGAATGGCTTGGCCTACGAATGCCTTGGCTTGTCCAGGTCTTCTGGGCCAAAGCTCATTGGCAGCAAATATTCGAGTGTCACCACCTCGACATTGGGCTCGTTGAGCTCCTTGCCACCCTCATCTTTGACTGTCCCTTGTATCGTTTGAGAAGCGGTCGTCTTGCTCCACTTGCACCCGACCATGAGAATGCGAGCCTCCAAGCTGCAGAGCTCCCTGATGACTTGACGACAGATGCCACAGGGACTGCAGCTCCCTTCTAGATCGCTCGCTACAGCCACAGCGATGATGTCACCTCGCTCGATCTTGCGCGCCGAGTTCTGTTCTGGCACGTCGAGTTGATCAGACCTAATGATGGCTTTTGCCAGAGCTGTGCGTTCAGCGCAGACCGTGCCTCCGTAGGAAGCGTTTTCGAAGTTGGCACCGAGGATGACCTCGCCCCATTTGGTGAGAAGTGCTGCCCCTACGCGAAACTTGCTGCAAAGGCGCAAGAGAATGGATGCAAAGGCAATCAGCATCGTTTGAAGCTGTCGAACTGAAAGCGCGTACAGATAGCTGCTCACCTGTAGGGAGAGTACGAGAGCTTCCTTGCCTCTTGGGCAGCATGCAGAATATCGTGCTTCTTGTTGGCAATCAGTTGCAGATCCTTGGAATCCATGATGTCCTTTTTGGCGAGACGCGATGCGAAGGGTTGGTGTGTGCAGGCTAAGAAGCAGCTTCGGGTTGGGCACAAGACTGTTAAGAGTCACAAGACATCAAACGCCCCTTGTGAAGGACAAGCTGAGCTATCAAGGGTCCTCGGCCTCCTCCGAGCTTCCGTTTGCTTTTGCGTGGGAAGGCTTTGAGGCCGAAAGCAGGGGCCGTGCGTGGCTCGGTTGAGCCAAATCTGGAATCGGCCACCCCGATGAGCCCTCCAAAAAGCGTGGGAAAAGAGAAGCGGATCAGCCATCGCGATGTGTCAGCCTGCTGCAAAGTCCGAGGCGGAATAGCCGAAATCTGTCCCTCAACGCTGCATATCACAAAGCCTATCTTTTGGAACGGGATGATCTTCTCACGGTCTTGTCATTCAGGCCCGATGATGACCATTACGAGTGGCTCAGCTGACACCGACCAAGCATTACGAGGCGCAGAGTGACTGTAGACCGGCGTGGACTGGGGCGTCGTCAGTGTGCTTCTTCGTAATCACAGATACCGCGGCTATCTTTTTTTTTCGTTCTCGCAGTTGCGCGGCTCTTTTCACTCCACTCTTGCCGAGTCGAGAGGGTCGAGCAGGTCCTTCGCGCAGCTCGCTTCCAACAGGAAGCAAAGCGACAAGAAGGGTCTTTGCCCATCACGAGGCACAAGCAGCCCCCCTCTCTCTCCGCGGGGCAGCTGATTTGATAGCAAAGAGTCAACATATCACCGGCGCTCTCCTTTCCGAATGTCACCCTGCCAAGTAGCCGTCCACCTCCTTCTCCTCCCCCTCCACCCGCCTTTACTCCTCACCCCGTCCTTTGGCACCTCGTCGCCCTCTTTTCCATAAAGCTATGAGGCACACCACCATCTGAGCGCAGACTGCAGAGAAGAAGAAGCACCATGTCGGAACCATCATCGTCTACAGCGGCGTCCAAGCCACCTCACAGACTCGTAGTCAAGCCACTCGGTCAACAGCTTACCATCACAACCACTATCAACGGCCGCAAACGCACTCTTCTCGATACCTCGGATGCGCTTCAGCTGGCAGAGACCAACTATCCTATCCGCTTCTACTTTCCACGCGATGCCCTACAATTTTCTTTCTCACTCAAGCCTAGCGACAACAAGGAAACATACTGCCCTTTCAAGGGCTTTGCCCAGTATCACGACGTCGCGGAAGCCGGCACTCGTATCGAACAGCTTAAAGGCGCCATCTGGTCCTACTCCAAACCGTTCTCATCCAGCGATGCCGTCGGTGTCAAAGGTTACTACTGCTTGGCAGCTCCCAGCGAGCAGTTTCAGGTCAAACTTGATGGCCGTGCCATCACCGTCGACGATGCTAGAAATATGAACGAAGAAGTCCTCGCAGCTTCGCCCTCGGATGTCTCTTCGCCATCGCTGCCTCGAAATGTTGTGGAAGAGGGAGGCAGATCTCGAAGCACAGCCCAGCCCACCGGCGCAACTCTCCAACCACCGGTCATGAAGCGCTCCGTCAGCAGCAGCTCCAACGCTCCGCCTGAGTCATTCCCAGTCTCGCGTCCGTTCGGAGGCGAGCTAGAAATCGACTCGACTGATCCCGTCATTGCCGACTTCGTCTATCGTCTAGACGATGAGGCTCGAGACGGTGATCACAATCCTGCAGAATCAAACAACGGCGACCCTCCTACCGGCGAGGGAGCACCGAACACGACCTCCGTAGACGACCACCTGCTGTGGTTCAAGGACCAGCCTTGGTACCGTAGGCCCTCGGAGAAATGGCTTCGTCCCTTCGCATTGCTCATCGCCATGGCAGGTGGGATGTGCATGGGCCCCAAACTCGAGCTGCTCAACATGTTTGTCTGCGAACAGGTGCTCGGAGACGCCTATGTCGGCGGAGGCGATGTGATCGCGCCTCATCTACCCGCAAATGCCTCGCTAGCAGATGTCACAGACCATGGCACATCCTCACTCGACCGCATCCAAGTCAGCAGCTTCCAGCCTTGGATCAACACTGGTGCAAGCCGAGACTCGGACCATGACGCTGTGACAGCGTACTTTGCAGCGCTCGATCAGCCTAACTCCACTGTTATTCCAGTGCCGCGGCGTCCCAGCAAAGCGTGCTTCGCTAGTCCTGAAGTTCAGTCCTCGCTAGCAACTTTGCAGCTCCGTATGACCCTTTCCATGGGCATCCTCGCTGCCCTCACAACCGGTTTCTGGTCCAACCTGTCCTCTCGACGAGGCCGCTTGCCCGTGCTGCGTATCGCCATGTGCGGCATTGTCTTCACCGACTTCGTCATGCTCACTGCTGCGCTTGTTCCTCGTTCTAAGCTCCCCTTCGGCTACAGCTTCTTGGTAGTCGGTAGTACTGTCGAGGGGCTACTCGGAGGCTACAGCGCTGCGATTGCCGTTCATCAGTCCTACATCTCCGATGTCACACCGAGCGGCACACGTGCCCACATCTTTGCGCACTACATGGGTCTCGTCTACGCTGGCCTCGCGCTGGGTCCCACTCTGGGAGGCCTCATCGTCAAGCACACCGGCAATCTGTTGGCGCCATTCTGGTTTGCTCTCGCCATGCACTTGATCTACATGCTCGGCGTCTTCACCTTCATCCCCGAAAGTACCAACGAGGAGTTCCGCGCCAAGGCACTGCGAGAGTACAAGGAGTCTCGCGCGGAGATCAAGCGCAAAGCAAACGAGCGCAAGACGGCCGAGATGCAGCCGCTTCTGGGCTCGAACGGATCCAATGTCGAGCAGGGCCCATTCAAGAAGCGTGCTTGGAAGCGCGTAAAGGTCCTTTTTATGGACAGCGTCCTTTATGCGCCTTTGGAGCCACTCAGCTTCCTGCTTCCTAAGAAGGTTGTCGTCGATGATCATGAGGACGAAGTTCCGCCTCGAGGCGATTCTTCTGGCACAAGCACGCCACGCAACAATGCCCTCGCCCGTCCAGAAGCATCGGCTTCCCACATCTCGGTATCTCGAGTGCCGCCCAAGACACGCTACGACTACAACCTTTCGTTCCTCTCGCTCACCTACTTTACCGAGACCGCCATCTACGGCATCATGTCGTTCAAGATGCAGTACGCCCAGGAACAATTCATATGGGGCTCGGCAGAGCTCGGCATGTATCTCACCTTCCTCAGCATCACCCGCGTCCTTGCTCTCACCGCCGTGCTACCTGTCGTCATCAAGCTTCTTCATCGGCCGGTTAAGGCTCTGCGTCTGCCGCAAGACGGTCCACCTGTCGAAGAGGAGCAAACAATCGCCCCTGATTTTCGAAGACACTCGACGCTCGATGACGAGGGCAGGCCTCACCGCAGAATGAGCTCGTACGGTGCCACCGCCCAGTCACCTGCTCTCAACCCAGAGGAGTACTCAGACGAAGAAGAAGAGCACGGCGAGTGGGATGACACCAAGAAGTCCGTCGAAGAACTCTGGACGCTGCGCGCAAAACACCTACGCCTCATACACGACAGCAAGTTCGATCTCAAGCTCGCCAAGATTTCGGTCGTTGTCAACACCATCTCGTACGGCATGCTCATCTTCTCCAACACGCCGCAGCTGTTCTATCTCGCCACGGCTGTCACATCGTTGGGGGGCGGTGGTGGTGCTGCCATGTCGTCGTTGGCGCTGGCATTGCTCAAATCACCTGCCGATGCCGGAAAGCTGTTCGGTGCGTGGAGCATCACCTCTGCTATCTCGGGGACGGTTGTTGGGCCGATCTTGTTCGCCAACGTCTTCAAGCACACGACCAAGACGTTCCCGCCGGCCATCTTCGTGGTGGGCACCGGGCTGTTTGTGATTGCGTTCCTGCTGCTGTGCGGGGTCAAGGTGCGCAAACCGATCAGCTTGCCTGCTCTGCCTGCGAGGCCGCATCCTGCACCTGGGGCGGACGAAAGGCCAGAGGTGGATGCGTCAACGGTCAAGTCAGCGTTTCGCAGCTCGACCTTCAAGGATGCTCTCACGCTCAAGACGGCAAAGAACGGGAAGTCTTCGACGAGCCGACCGGGTCTGCCGGCGTTCGACTAGCGCTGAACATTTTCTGTACCATCAGAGGCTTTTTCGCATAGGAAATCTGACTTCCATCGGAAAGCGTGCATGCAGTAGCTTAGGGGTCTGTGTTTTGTTGTGATCGAAGCAGATGTGACGAAGCGAGGAGATGTGATGTAGCGATGATGAGTTGAATCATCATCGTGTATGCCCTTGTGACTTTGACGGCGGGTTAGATGAGAACATGATCGTTGAAAGACTTGTCAATGTGATTCCAGAGTGTCAAATGAAGCGGAGCGTCCTTCGTTGGGACGAGTGGGTCGACTGAGCATCCTGCTCGACCTCTCTCGCTGCACCCTCCGCGTCTCCTCCTCCTTCTCCTCCTTCTCCTACCTCGCCTCGAAGCTCGGTGACCCCTTCCGTCTCGCCACCCTGTTGCTTCTCTTTCTCGATCACCAACCCGCTCCTCACCAACATCTCTGCCAATCTCTTCCTCTCTCGCTCCTCTCCCTTCTCCCACCCCTCCTTGGCCTCGGTCTGCGCCTCCTTCCTCTCGGAGCTCATCTCCTTATCGAACGCCCTCAAAATGGCAAAGCGACGGGGAGAGACAGTTCTGGTCAACTTGGCCATTTCCGGCTTCTCCTCTGCTTTGGCCGTCGAAGGGTTCTGCAGGATAGAACTTGGCATACCGTTCCCACTCGTGGGGAGCTGCAGTGCGGGAGGCGGCAGACGCGGCTTCATTTGCTCCCCATCTGCTCCCACCTCGCCAATCGCGTTGATAGCACGCCTGAGTGCGTCCTCCTCGACACTCCTCTGTTTGACCGGAGCGCTAGGAGCGGAGATGTTGGACTTCTCCACGCCTTTCCCGTGGTGCGCAAGCGCATTGTGTTTGCCGGGGGCCACGTCTTTGCGCCAAAAGCTGTCCTTTTGCCAAAAGGCGAGCACGTGCACGGCCCAGTCGCCCACCGCGACGAGCGGGTTCCAGAGCGGCTTGCCGGAGGGATCGAACCCGACGTGACCGCGCGAAGACCCGTGCGAGGAAGCAGGCGGGCGGCCCGCATCCGAGTTGTCCGACGAGCCCTCTTCGGGGGAGCCGTCGCGTTGCGCGGGGATGGTGTTGTTGCGGCTCATGGGTCGAGAGAACGTGATCGAGCGCGTCTGCGTCAGTGTCGCAGTACGACGCATGACACCTGGTCCAAGTTTGGAGATCGGAATGGTGATACCGTGCGTGAGAACGGAGGAGAAGACCATGAACAGCACCAGGGGCGAGTAGACAGCACGGAGGCGATCGCGCGTGCCATCGTCCGGAAGCTGTTTGAGCGCGACTTGGATGTAAAACACAGCACCGACGCCGATAGGCCCGAACCAACCGGCGAATGAGGACTCCTTAAAATCGCGCAGCGCCGGAATGGCCTTTGTAGCGGCGATGACCCACGGCGGACGTCGAAGGAGGAGCACGGTGATACCCAGAACCACGACTCGCCAGCCCGTCAGCTGGAGGTCGGGGCTCGAGTAGTCATCCCACGGGATGATGGCTCCAATATAGACGAACACGGCCATGTTGAGCACGGTATCGATGATCTCTTGGAAGTCGTTGTCCTCGGTTCGGATGCGGAACCAGTCGTCCCAGGTGAACGAGTTGCCTGCGATGAAGCACGCGAGGATATCGTCTGACCCGAACAAGCCCGTGGTGCCCAGGGTGAAGAAGGCGAGCCCAAGGCCATAGGCGAAGAAGTTGGCTTTGTCGATGTACGACCTCGACTCGGCCCATTTCAGCGACTTCCGGGCGAGGTAGCCGATGAGCGAGCCAAAGGCGATCGAGAGAAGAATCTGATAGACGACGACGGCATACATCCATCGTCCGATCTCTTTGCCGACGCTGTAGCCCTTGTCTTCACCGGTTCGTGCGAGCAGATAGATGGCGAGGTAGAGGAACGGAAATCCGAGACCGTCGTTGGCGCCTGACTCGGCGACGATAATGTTGCGCACATTAGCAGGAACGTGCTTCTCGGCGTATCGACCCGTGGTGATGGAGTTGGCCAGCACAGGATCCGTAGGCGTCACAGCTGCTGCGATGCAGAGGCTCTCCAAGAAGGTCAAGTTGGGAATGATGCCCCAGATCAACAGCGCTGTGGCAAACCAAGCCGTCGTCATGATGCCAAACAGCAAAATGCTGAGCGAGAGCTTCTCTCTCCACAGATACGCTTTCGGCAGCGATATTCCGCAGAAAAGCACCTGAATGCCCACGACGATGCGCGTAAAGGTGTAGGTGACGTAGTTGGTCTCTTCAGCATTGCCCCAACTGGTGGGATCGACCCAGTCGAGCACGTAGGGGCCAACGATGATGCCGGCGGTCACGGCAAGCAGCGGCTCCGAGAGGTAGAGTCGCTCCTTGACGACGTAGGAGAGGAGACCGTAGATGACGATGAAGCCGCCAAGCACTGCGAGCGACTTGGAGACCTGCGTCAGGTCTACCTCGATGATGTGCGCCGGCATTGTTGCACAGGAAACAGTGCTTCCTGCCGATGGACGCGCAGTGAAAGTAAGTTGAAAAAGGATGCAGGCTGACAGAGTGTCGATCAGCCGTAGTCGAAAGAAGTGTCACTGTGGACGAAAGGCCAATGTCATTGACCGTAGGAGATCGAGTTGCGGCCGTGGGTGTTGACCGTGAGGACGCTGGCAAAGACGAGGACCAAAGAGGGCTGCATGGGGATCAGCTGAGCTGGCTAAGCGGACTTCAGTGCTTGTGAATGAGGGATCTTGGATTGAGCGTCCAAGATCAAAAGGCTTGTCGAGGGAAATGAACGCAGTCGATGCTGGTGATGGTGATGGTGATGGTGATGATGATGACGAAACGGCTTCCTGTCAAAAGGCGGAGTCAAAGGCTATCTCAAATTGCAGCTCCTTGGCTACCAATTTTCTGGAGCTGTTAGACCCTGGTATTACAGGGGGGAAGAAAATCCGTCCGGCAATCTTGACAGGTCGGCAATCTTTTGACCGACGTGTGTTGGTTCAAGAAGACCGGCGACCTGCTCATGCCCGTGTCCAGCGCCCGGTGTGGCATAGGCTTTGCCGTTTGCGGGGTCGACGCTCGACTCTTCCATATAAGCTTGTTGTGTTTGCTCTTCATTCTGTCATTTGCCCCTCAAACCGGTCGCAGTCACATCTTTCGGCCCTTCGAGACAACGACGCGCAATGTCGGACTCAACACCACTCTTCCTCGGCCTGGACGCCAGCACCCAGGCTCTCAAAGCCTCGCTCCTCGATGCCGACCTCAATGTCCTCTCTGAGCTCGAAGTCCGCTTTGACCGAGACCTTCCACACTACAAGACGACGGGCGGCGTCTCTGAACCCACAGCCTCCGATGATGCAGGCACGGTAGTGGCGCCGGTGATGCTGTACGTCGAGTCGCTCGACATGCTTGCCGATCGCATGCGCGCCGCGTCCTGGCCGCTCTCCCGCATCCATGCCGTCTCTGCTGCAGGTCAACAGCATGCTTCGGTGTACTTCTCTCGTGCCGCCCCGAAGATCTTTACGACGCTGTCGACAGACAAGACGCTGACGGAGCAGGTGGAGATGGCATTTAGCAGAAAAGTGGTTCCAAATTGGCAGGACTCGTCCACCGTCGAGGCGTGCAAGGCCTTCGAAGCTGCCGTTGGTGGAGCGGCAGAACTGGCGAAGGTGACGGGATCGAAGGCTCACACGCGATTCACAGGTCCGCAGATCTACAAGTTCCGCACGCAAGAGCCGGAGGCGTACAAGGACACGGAGAGGATCGGGCTCGTCTCGAGCTTCATCACTACCATGCTGTGCGTCGGGTCGGGTGGAGACGAGGCAACGGTCATCAAGGGTATCGACGAATCGGATGCCTGCGGTATGAATCTGCTGGACATGCGAGCTGCCTCGTCCATCCCATCCACCGAGAGTCGGGGCAACCTCGAGCCAGGCTGGAATCAAACCCTGCTCGCCCTTGCATCTGGCGAGAGCGAGGACCCTTCCCTCGGTGGCGCTGCCGAGTTGGAGCGCAAGCTGGGCGTCATCTACCGCGACGCTGGCTCGTCCGTCGGCACCGTCGGCAGCTGGTGGACCCAACGCTACGCTTTTCACCCCGACTGTCAGATCTTCCCTGGCACGGGCGACAACCCGGCCACCTTCCTCGCCTTCAGCCTTGCCGAGCGCCAGGCGATCATCAGCCTCGGCACATCCGACACGGTCATGGTCGCCACCCACCAGTACGTGCCCGATCCGGACTTCCACGCCTTCTTCCACCCCGCCCGCCTGCCCTCGAGCGGAGACGCGTTCTTCAACATGCTCGTGTACAAGTCGGGTAGTTTGGCGCGCGAGTGGGTGCGCGACCAGTACTGCGCCGCCGATTGGGAGAGGTTCAATGCCGACGTGGAGAAGTTCAAGCTGGACGGAGGGGACAAGAGGACGGGATTCTACTGGTTGCGACCGGAGATCATCCCTTCGGGAGCATCGGGGGTTCATCGCTACACGAAAGCCGGTGGGGATTGGGAGAAGACGGGCGAGTTCAGCGATTCGGGTATGAACGCAAGCGCGATTCTTGAGACGCAGTTCCTCAACTACCGATATCGCTCGTCGTCCATCGTCGCTGGCCCATCGTCGTCGGTCGTCGATACGAACACGCTCCCGCTGGAATCAATCTACGCCGTCGGAGGCGCTTCGTCCAACTCGACCATCACACAGACCATGGCCGACGTGTTCGGCTGCGACATCGTCAAGCCCGTCCAGCCGGCGGACGATGGCAAAGGCTGGAGTCCCGCCAACTACAACTTCTGCTCGGTCGGCGCTGCGTACAAGGCTGTGTGGGGCTGGAGCAGGGCACAAGGCGGGGAGGTGCAGGAGTTCGATGACTTTGTGCACGCGACCAAGTCGAAGCAGGCGAAGAAGGCGGGGCTGGGCGAGGGTGGAGAGGTCGAGGGCGGTGTGCAGGTGATCTGCAGGCCCAGGGAGGGCCGGACAAAGGTGTACACTGAGGTGATCGGCGAGTGGAAGCAGCTCGAGGAACGGGCTCAGAACGAGAAGTGATTGATTTCCTTGTATCAACGGAAATGGATTGTCATACCTACGCTGCGCCTCATTGAACGTAGCTCTGCACCCTGTCCAGCGCTTCGATCGCCTCACGAGTGATATCTTCCACGACCTGCTTGGCCGGTGTAATGGCACTGATCGCACCAACACCCGTGCCAGCCCAAATGACAATACGATCCGTATCATTGTCCTTGGCCGCCTGCTTGTACCTCTCCATCCTCTTCTTGGCGCCTTCTGGATCTTCTTTGCCCGCCTTGACCTGATCTTGGAGATCGCGCTCGTATTCCTCGACCGTCTTGTTGCGCAACCCTCTGCCGTCTGTGCCCTGTGGCCATCCGAGCGTGCCTCGCGCATCGTCAAATGCAAACGTACGCAGTGTCGCTGAGCCCTTTGCCTTGACCAGCTCCTCCTTCTGCAACTGCGAGTATGTCGATTCGGGAGTAATTACGAACCTCGTTCCGTAAACGCCACCTGCGCAGCCCGCAGAGAGGAGGGCAGCGAGCGACCTGCCGTCCGCCAACCCGCCCGCACCCAGCAGCGGTGGCGTCTCCCCCGTGGCACTGTTCGGTCGCAGCTTCGGCAGGGTCTTCAGCACGTCGGCCAGCAGCGCCGATAGCGGAGGTGCCTCGGAATGACCATGACCCCCTGCCTCGCACCCTTGCACAATGAGCACGTCGCACCTACACTTCTCTACCGCGGCTTGCAACTCCTGCTCCCGCCCAATCATGACGAACCACTTCACCTGCTCGTCGTTGCTGCCCTCTAGATCGGTGTTGTGCTGCTGATCCAGATCAGCGATGATCTTCTGCCAGCCCGTGAGCTCTGCCTCATCACCAAAGCTGAGCCAGATCGCGCGCGGTCGAGCCTTGACGATCACCTCGAGGAACTGTTTGACGTCGTCATTCGGGGAAGCTTGATCTGGCTTCTTGCCGCCGTTCAGCTCCGTGAGCCGCCAGACGAGGATTCCAATCCCAAAGTCGGCCCTCTTCTTGCTCGAAAGCAGATCGGCGTGAGAGACCGAGAGCTGTTGAAAGGCTTTGTCAACCTCACCCTGCAGCGTGGTCGGTGTCAGGTAGCCAGCGCCGATGAAACCGAATCCGCCAGCAGACGAAACAGCACCTGCGAGCTGACCGCCCGACGCACCCGCCATCGCGCCCAGGACGATGGGCGTCTTGATCGACGGCAAGACACGTGAGAGCGGCGTGATGATGTTTCGTGCCATGGTTGAGAATGTGATGGTGGTGGTGGAGGTGAGAGAGTGCGTCGGTCGAGTGGTCCGAAATGCGGGGGAAGAGCGTGCATAGCCTAAACGCCGCCTTGAGCAGCGAATAGATCGGGGAAGGGAAGGTTTGCGGCCGATGCAGACCGAAAAGCAACGCACCAACCCACGCGGGAATCGCGCTTGGGTCGGCTTCTTCGGCTACTTTGGGAAGCGGTTTCCACTCGTCGACCTTCTTCTCTCCCTGTTTGCTCAACACAATCATCTTGACCCAAGGACTCCGACAGCATAGACGCGGACCAGACTTCGAACGTACAAAAAGTATCGGGTGAAGCTACTCGCTGCCTCATTGCAGCACACATATTACGGTCTCCGCAAGATGAAAGCGTTATCGGTCTGCGCTAGGCCGCTGCTGCGGGAGCGTGCCACCATGGCAGCGTCCGCATCTCTCGCCGCGAGAACTCTCACAAAGATGTCACCTACAGTGTCAAGCACGTTGCGAGCATCGACCATGCCTCAAAGACAATCTGCCAAGGTGAGCCGGCGGACATTCGCGACGACGCCAACAAGGCGGTCAGCCCAAAGCGAAGACGCTCCCTCGATTCCACCACCTCTCAAGGGCATTCGCATCGTCGACCTCACTCGAGTACTCGCTGGTCCCTACGCTACCATGCTACTCGCCGACCTGGGAGCAGACGTCATCAAAGTCGAGCATCCAAAAGGAGGTGACGATACGCGAGCGTGGCTTCCTCCCTTCGCGCAGCCTCCGACCGGCAAAGATGCACTCAAGCCGCCAGTGGGCAAGGAAGATTATTGGGCATCCCTGCCTCCGGAATCGGCTTACTTTCTCAGCGTCAACCGCTCCAAGCGATCCATCACGGTCGACCTCAAGTCGCCGGCGGGCAAAAAGATCATCTACGACCTCGTCGCGAAAGCGGATGTTGTCGTCGAGAACTACCTCCCTGGCAAACTGGCCAGTATGGGACTGGGCTACGAGGACCTGAAAAAGGTCAAGCCGGACATCATCTATGCCAGTCTCACAGGCTACGGTCAGACCGGCTCGTATCGCGACAAGGCAGGCTACGATGTGATCATCGCAGCTGACGCAGGTCTGATGCACATCACGGGCGAAGCGGATCGTCCTCCAGTCAAGATCGGAGTCGCTATGACGGACCTCACCACGGGGCTGTACGTGCACGGTGCTATCATGGCCGCGCTTCTGGGTCGTGCTCAGACGGGCAAAGGCGTCCACATCGACGCGAGCCTGTTCGAGTCGCAGATCGCATCGCTGGCCAACATCGCATCCAACTACCTCATCGCCGGCCAGGAAGCAGGACGACACGGTGACAAGCACCCCTCCATCGTACCCTACCAGACCTTCCAGGCTAAAGACGGCAGGATCATGCTCGGCGCGGGTAACGATGGCCAATTCAAGTTCCTCTGCAAGCTGCTCGACCGACCGGATCTCTCCTCCGACGTCAAGTACGCCACCAACGCCGCCCGCGTCGCCCATCGCGATACGCTCATTCCGCTCATCGACGAGCTGCTGCAGAAGAAGACGGTGCAGGAGTGGTGCGACCTCATCAACGGCAAGATCCCCGCTGCGCCGATTCGCAATATCAAGGGCACGTTCGACGAGCATCCGCAGAGTAAGGACAGGAAGGTGGTTGCCGAGGTGGAGCACCCAAGAGCGGGCAAGATCAAGATCGTCGCTCCAGCAGTGAGGTATGGTGAGGGAAAGATGAAGATCACCAGGCCCCCACCGGTGTTAGGCCAGCACACGGATGAGGTGCTGATGGAGGAGTTGGGGTTGTCGCAGGGTGAGGTGGAGGAGTTGCGCAAGTCGGGGGCTATTGGGCAGTGAGGTGTGGTCGTAAACATCGATAGCATTCAATTCACATCAGCTAGAACTCTCCGGTGAACATGGATGTGGCGTCTCAAGGCATGCTGGTGTGGTCGCGCTCGCGTGAGAGATGATGAGAAGGCGCTTAGCTGGCTCGTTAGGGCGGCCACGAGACCCTGAATGAGAAATTAGTCGAACCGCACAGCCAGGCGCTCAGGGTCTGATGAACCGAGCGGAGGCCCAAAAAAGTGTTCGAGCTTTGAGACATGCACGCGCCTTGCTCATCGTCACCCACCATCCATCCTGCTCATCCAACGTGCGACATCTTCAGCAGCCTCACGAACCGCACCTCCGTCAATCTGCGCGAGACCACGAACAACATCACGTAGACAACCTTTCACCACCGTCCTCTCGCAACGATGTCTTGGTTCGGCGGCGGCGGCTCCAACGCCAACACCACCTCCACCTCCAACCCTTTCGCAGGCACCGGGTCATCACGATGGATCAACATGGACACGGACCGGATCAAGAACTTTGGTGGCGAGCTCACCGGCGAATCGGATGCCTTCTCCAAGACCTTTGGCATCGAGCTGACACGCCAGCAACGGATGATCGGTTTTGCAGCATGCATGTTCGGTGGCTTTGTCATCTCGCTCCTCGGCACGGTGCTGCTCGTCACTGGCTCGTTGGCCGTCTTTGTCATCCTCTACTCGGTCGGCGTGCTGGTCTCGTTGACAGGGACAGGGTTTTTGATTGGTTTTATGAAGCAGTTCAAACAGATGTTCAAGCCCGTAAGGATCGCGTTTACGTTGGTGATGATCGTAGCGTTTGTCATGGTGTGGGTGTCCGTGTTTGCCATTGGAAGCACCGTACTCGCCATCATCTTTGTCATTGTCCTATAGTAAGTTCGAACCGGATCCGACCTCTGGAGCGATACGAGACGGAAGCTGACACTCTTCTTGCGTGCGTTCGAACAGCGTCGCCTTCCTGCTCTACTCGCTGAGCTACATCCCATGGTGCATCGACTTTATCAAGCGCATGTTCAGCAAGCTCTTCTGAGCGCCAGATGCTGTCTCGCTCCATGTCAATCACGAGACGTCTTCTGGCTCGCCTCGAGAGATCCAGGCTGAGTGTAGACTGCACGTCCACCGCAAGCAACGTCTTCCTTCAGCCGTCCTCGACTGTATCTTTAGTCACGTAATACTCTGCATCTCAGTCACTGACATGCTTCCTCGTTGATCCAAGTTGACACCAGCCGCCAAGAAAGCTGAGAGCAGCTCTATGAGCGATGAATGGCCTTTTTTCAAGCTGTTAGATTGAATGCATCACACGCTCCTCGCGTCCAACCAAAGCGGCAGTCGGCCTTTTTGACGTGCAGCGGCCAAAAGCAGAGAGGCGGGGAAGAGGAAACGAAGCTGCTCGAGAGGGTCCTTTGCTCGCTTACTTCTCTTTTCCCAACACCATCCCATCCAGGCATCGACCCAGCGCAGACCCGCTCAAACGTGGTCGTCAGCCCTTCGCAACTACGAGATCGTCCTTCTCTCTCTCTCTCCTCGCTTCCTGCTTCGAAGCGGCATCCTGACGTCGGTAGACCACCGGCCAAACGCCTACGAACCGCTGAGCTCAGCATCCATTATACGTTTGCATCAGCCGAATCACCCAGCACAGTGCATCACTTCGAAGCACACTCTCTATTCCGTTATCAAGCTCTGCTCTTTCTCGCTCGCTCTTCACGCTCGCTCTCGGAAGGCTTCTGCATGTACCCGTAACATCGACGACCCAGCATGTCCGGCGCCAACGGCAACAACTCGGCGCCTCGCGTGCCGTCATTTGCGCCCGGTTCGACACCGAGCTATTCACTGCCACCACATCCATCTACCACCAACTCGCAACGGCAGCAGAGTCCTGCATCGCACGCAGCAGCCTCCACCCTGGCTGCTCTCGCTTCCAGTCCGCCCGCTAGCCACAGCACGCCCACTCCTCGGAATCCGCAAGACTCGACATCCTTGGCTTCCTCGTCGACAGCGCAAAACGCGCGCCCCACCCAGGCATCCACGTTGAAGCAAAGCTTGTACTCGAATGCGCCGTCTTCATCCTCGAAGGCTGCTGTCGCCGCGACCAGTAAATCGCCGTCCGGCTCTCCGCTCAAGAAGGAACTCGACATGAACTCCAAGACGGCTCCATTCCCCGCCTCTACTTCCACGCCAACCAAAACTGCGTCCTCGACCGCAGGAGGCCCTGCATCGACGTCAAAGGAGTCCAGTGCAAGCAAGCGCAAGAAGGCCAACCGAGCCTGCCTCCATTGCCAGAAGGCGCACCTAACCTGTGACGATTCGCGGCCATGCATCCGCTGCGTCAAGAAGGGGCTGGCAGATTCGTGTATGGATGGCCACCGCAAGAAGGCCAAGTATCTGCTGGATGATGACGAGCTGGAAGAGCTCAAACGCCAGAAGGATGCCAAGAAAGCGGCCAAGCAGGCAGCCCAGAAGACCAGCACTGCCTCGAAGCAGCAACAGGCGTCCAAAGCATCGCGGCAGGACACGGCTTCGACAGCACAGCAGGCCTCTACGTCTCCTCCTGAAAGGGCATCGGCGGTCAGCAACATCTTTGATCAGATGACAGGTGGTATCCCAACACCAAGCTCCTCTGGCCACGGTCCTTCTCCGCATCAGCACGATTACCTTTCGAGTAACACGTTCGACTCTTCCAATGGCGGCGACATTGCTGCTTCGAACAGCAATGGCAATGCGCCAATGGACCTTTCGTTCGACCCCTCGACTCACAATTTTGGCAGTGAGGCGACGAGTCTCGAGTATTCCATCCTGTCTTCCATGCTCAATGGTACCGATCTGCAGCTGCTGGGTCCAACCGGAGCAAGTCCCGACTTCCAGACCTCGCCTGCAGTCGGCGTGATGGATGGATGGAACATCGCCAGTGGAGGGCTGGATGCGATTCTCAACCTCGGCATGCAGCAGAACCAGATCCCGGGCGCCGGCGGCATGGACACGGCAGCAGCGACCTACAGCGACACGGCGGGCATGAACGCATACGCAGACACGCAGCCCATCACCGGACTGAGCGAAGTCGGTGGAGATGGAGCCTTCAATGCGCTCGAAGTGCCTAGTCCCAAGCCGGCGATGATGGAGGAGCCTACCATCCTCAGCGAAGCACAGCAGGGCAGCAGCAACAACCAAGTCGACCTGGGCTCCTCCTCGCAGCGCTCCACATCGAACGAACCCGTTGCGGACATCAACAAAGCCATCGCCTCTCGTCGCGTCGCCCGTCAACAACAGGACACGATCTGGCGCGCACGCATCGCCAAAACCTATCGCGACAACACGGCCCCTTTCCCTTACCCCGAGGGCTACCACTTCCTCATCAAATACGTCACGTCCAAGTTCGAAAAGCAAGATGTGCTACGCATCGTTCGAGCGCTGGCCATCTTCCGACCCTCGCTCATTGCTCTCCAAATGCCTCTGACCGAGGAAGACGAGTCGTTCGTCGAGCGTTCCTTCCAGCGCACAATGTTGGAGTTTGAAAAGCTCATCAGCTTTTCCGGCACGCCGACGGTGGTCTGGCGCCGTACGTGTGAGATCTGCGTCGTCGGGGCCGAGTTCTGCATGCTCACCCAGTGGTCTAAGGACCAGCTGATGGGGAGACGGATCTACGAGTTTATGGATAAGAACTCGACCTTGGACTACTGGGAGAAGTTTGCATTGCATGCGTTCGAAAATACCACGCAGAGCGTCATGACGACGTGCACGCTGGTCAAGCCGGATGGCAAGCTGGTGCCGTGTGCTTGGAGCTTCACGATTAAGAGGGATATCTTTGATCTGCCCAGTTTGGTGGTGGGGAACTTTCTGCCGATATTGTCGTAGTTCTGTCGCCACCGCCTTAAGCGCGCATGCGAGCTCGATGTGACTCTCGCCAGATCCATCACGACAGTGGAAATCATTGCGAACTCGATCTCACTTTCATTTGCTGCGCGATCTTCGAACGTTGGTCCCACCAAACCTTGTGCGCAAAGAAGCCCGCGCAGCGCAAAGAAGCGCAGAGAATCCTGAGCAGAAGGGGCGGGCTTCATAGTTATAAAGCTCCCGTCTGGGCGTCTTGCTTCCTGCCTTTCCCCCTCACACCACACAGAGAAACAAGCATCGTCTTCTTCTCCAAGTCAACTCATCCGATCTCTACACCATGTCGTCTTCCTCGTCCTCTGCCCCACTCACTCAGTACGACAAGGGCATGCTCAAGACCAGTAAGTCGCGCCGCTTTCCTCTCGGGTCGTCGTCTCTTGTACAAGGTCCTGACCATCCATACCTCACCAGTGATGAAAACGCAGATCGACCAGGCCATCACCCAAACCTATCAGCTCGAGATGCAGGCGTTGGCTGTCATCGCCAAGTTAGACGTCCGGAACGAGTCTCTTCAAGCTGCGGAGGAGGCAGAGATGCATGCTCAGAGCATGAGGAAGCACTGGTTGACTGTCCGCTCGCAGCTCGACCAAGAGCCTTCCAAGTGAGCACGGAGAGCAGCTTCGTGCGCCCTCAGGAGTCACATCCGATGGGCGCCGCTCCCAATCTTTCCGCTCTACGTAAATCATTGACGTCTAATGTCGAAGCCGGCACGAGGGGTTGCCATTCGAATGTCAAATGTTACCATCGTGTATGTGTCCGTGCGCAGCGGGAAGGGCAGAACACCGTTTGGCTGAGTCACGTTGTGTGATTCGATTCGGGATGGCCGATTCTAGGGCGGTGCCACTGGATGATGGCTGAGTGTGACTTCAGAGAAGTACCACACGTCTCGACTAGGAGAATCAGGTGTGGCTTGAGACGCATATAAGGATCTCTGCTTGGCTGAGTCGACGTTTCCCATTTCCCGTTTCCCCCACACCATTCAGATCGCCACGCCGATCTCATCTTCAGAGCATCGCCATCCTTCCTTCTCTACAGCGATGGCCTCCCAGACCAACGCCGAGAATGGCCGAATCCGGGCGATCAAGATTGTTCGAGCTGCCGGCGCTGACGCACAAGCTGCCAACGTAAAGGGCGAATCCAGCACCAGACGTCGAAGTCAGATCGTCGACGAGATCAGCGCTCTACACAAGCATCGAAGTGATCTCAAGTCCCTGAAGGCGAAGCAGGACAACGTCCGCGTTGACGCCGCTGCAGCCGAGTCGGTCCTTCACGCGTTCAACACCGATCCAGTGGCGCTGCGCTTCCGGGAGTTGAAGCCCGAGATGTTTCGTAAGTAGTCGTTGCCCTCATACATCTCGTCTGCATCTTCGAGGTCACAGTCTGACACACAGAAGTCTCTCGATGTCCACGTCAGCTCCTCACTTGCAGCAAGACTTGTCCATGCTGCAGGAGCTGGATCGCAACATGCTTTCTTTGTGCGCGCAACACTCCCTTGGACTGCCGACCGATGGCAAGCTCGAACGCGTCGCTAGTCGCGCGCAGTTCGACACCTTGAACATGATCATGCGTATCACTTCGCACTCGCCTGAGCTGCAGCTCCACTACTTGAAGAGGATGAGAGATGGCATCAAGGACGACAATCGCGCTCGCAAGAAGGACTAAGTGATGTGTGATGACGGCGCTACCCACTTTTGTACCACAATTTCGGGCCACTTTTGTGCAATTCCATCTGTTTTCCAGACCCTGACGCACGGTGCAACTGCGAGAAGATTTGACCCTGCACCCAGGCATCGTTGAGATCTTCCATCTGCCCCACCACCACCGCCTGCACCCTTCCTGCTTACCGTCACCCTGAACGAGGGCCACCATCAATCATGCCGACAATCCTCCCCGCAGATCCGCCTCTGCGGCTGCAATCCATCTCGCTCACCGCCTTGTCCGCGGTCGGAACGCAATACCTCCTGTCCATCCCACCCTCCAACCAGCTGGACCTCTTCCGCACCGCCGCAACGCTCCTTCTCCCCACGCTCACCTTCAGCTTCCTCCAGAGCCGCTACATCACCCTGCAGCGCGCTGCCGCCCTCCGTCTCTCCCTACCCGCAACCGAGTTCAAAACCGCCATGAAGGCGCACACGATCCTCACCGCCACGGGCATGTCGACCATCTTCGCGATGCTCTGTTCCACCGCTCTGCTGTCCAACTTGCCGCTGCTGTATTCTCGACTCATGCAGGGTGATGTAGCCTCCTGGGTCAGGGGAGTGGAAAGGCCAGTGAGCTGGTTCTTCGCGACGGTGAATCTGACCATTGTCATCGTGTGCTGGGCGATGATGTTCACCCAAGAGCCCATGACATTCACGTTCGAGCGTACGGTAAAGGACGACGAGGTGCCATTGGAGAAGCTCAAAAAGGGCAAGGGGTGGAAGAAGGTCTGCAGTACGTCGAGAAGACACGATGTTTGGGTGCAATCCGTCCACCTGCCCGGTGGGCAAGATGTGGGGGTGTTCGATATGACCACCCGTCTGGCGTCCAATCACCCACTGTATAGCGCCGAGAAGGATACTCAACCCTCTGGACCCACATTGCGCATCTCACTGCCATAGACCACGCCAATCACATCCAAAATTTCGGACATTCTTACTTGTGTTGACCTCACCTCAACCTAGGTTGACCAGCCAAAGATGTAAAACTTTCCGTTGAAGAGTGTACAGAGGGGGTGAAGATTCACACCTCGACCTCATCGCAATCCAACCCCGGGTGAAGCGGTGACTCGTTGACGATGCACGCAAAGTCGGTGGGTGCTTTGCCCAGTGCGATCATGGGATGGTGCCACACACCGGGGTGGTATTGGATCGCCTGTTCGGATGTTGCTTCAAACACGCCGATGGTGTTCAGGTCCGGCCTGTCATCTGTGCGACACGAAGAGGATGGAGGTTGTGTCAGTACCAATTTGTTGGAGAGAATGTAATGGGCACGGGGTGAAAGGGCTACCTTTGGAATTGAGCGCGACAACCACCAAGAAGCCCTCCTGCTTCCCACCAACAGGGACCATCGGGATGAATGCCTGCGTGGTAAACCGGTGTCGTTCGAGGAGCTTCACCTCGAACGGCATCGTCGTCGCTGGATCGCAGCGGTACACGTGGATGTTCGTCCTCGCCCCTGCGTCCGTCGGGTAGTCGTTCACGATCTCGGCCAGGTTGAGGTACTTTTTCGCCGTGCCCTGATTGACCACCTTGAACGCCTTTTCCATTGGGTTGCGCGACGAGGGTCCATCGATCACCGCGCCGTACGGCGCAAAGGCCTCGCTGGTGAGCGGCGAAGCGGCAAGGAAGGTGCCATGCACCACGATGCCCATCGTCGTCGTCGGGGTAGAAGAAAGGGCACTTACGGGAGCGAATGGGTCGGATGTAGCCGACGGCAGAGGGTCTTGGATGTCCTGCGGCACGCTCACCGCTGGCAGGCTAGCCAGGGGGAGATTGGCAGCGAGGATCGGGGACGCACGACGACCATGCACCCGGAACCGCTTGATGCCGCCATCCGGATGCATCTTGACCATCACATGCGTGAAAGGGGTGGTGTTCTCGAGGAGTGGGAAGAAGTGTCGACGACCAGGACCGAGCTTCGTGCGCGAAAGGAGGGTGGTCCACTGGACGTCGGAGGTGCTGGGGATGGAAGGGGAGGTGTGGACGGTGCCGAGAATTTCGGTCGATTCGGGGAAGTTGCCCAGGAAGTGAGCTGTGTCGACTTCTGCATAGGAGAGGAAGCCCGACTCGCCACTGTACAAAGGAAGAAAATGCGTCAGTAGAAAGGTCGATATGGTCGAAAGGGGAAAGAAGGCGACTCACAGCTTGACAATCGACCAGTTGAAGTGACCTTTGCCTCTCGAACGGCGGGTCTCCCATCCATCGCCCATATCTTTACCTCGTCCGGGCAAGATGATGTTGCTTCCAGCACCAAAGTGCTGGTCGTCCGTGAAGACCACCCTGGCGCCGTTCAAGCAGTGAGCGAGATCGAGCACGTTCATCGCGGCATTATCCGTGCTGACCACCTCGCCTTCTCCCTGCCCCACCGGCGGTGGTGGAATCACACCGTACACTCGGAACCTCGCAATTCCTCCATCCGGGATCATGTGCAGCTTGATATGCGTATACACCTTGTCACCTTTGCCCTGGGCGACCGTAAAGAGGTGCCTCTGGCTCGGCCCGCACGGTGAGACGGGGACGACGCATTCCCACCTCGCATCGTTCTCGGCCAGCGCGTTACCCGTCTCGCTCTCCTCCTGCGGCGTCAGTGCGAGCGCGTGGATCGAGATCTCGGGCGCCTCGTTGCCGTTGAAGTTGGCCGTGTCGACGTCGAAGCCGACGAGCTGACCGCCTGCCTGCGGGCCAAGGCGCAGGATGACCCAGTCGTAGGTGGGGTTGTGACGACGCGTCTCCCAGCCGTCGAAGAGCGCGCCTTTGGGTCCGAATTGGCCCTTGAGCGAGGGAGCGGGACCGACTTTGAGGAGCGAGGAGGCGGGGGCAAACCACTCGTCTGAGGTGGAGAGGATGCGACCGCCAAGGGCGACCGAGGAGATCTCGGTCGAGGTGCTGCCTAGGACAGCATCGAATTGTTCCAGAGGAATGGCTGTCATGATTCAACAGAGATGAAGAGGGTCGTAGTGGTGGTGGTGGTGGTGGGTGAGGAGGATGGACAGGAAGAAGAGAAACGGAAGAGATTGCGTGATGATCCCAGGTCAAGTCGGGCTTGTGCGAGCCAAGACCAACACAATCACACTCTATCTGGCCCGGGAAATCAGCCGAGCCTCCGCCCTTCCTTTCCTTTCTTCTCGCTTGACCTCTCCGCATGTTCTTCATTTCATCATGCGATCTGATCGTGACCTTCTCTGCACCATCTTCCGTAGCATCGACCATATACGACACCATCGTGCGACGACTTGACCGTTCCAAGACGACAGAGCCACTGTGATGCTGCCCTCGGCCATCTCCGAAGCAGGCAGCGTGTTGGATTCGCGTCAGAATTCGGATAAGAATTTTGGACTTTGTTCGGCGTCCTCTTCGGCCTGCGGAAACTCGGCCGCGCTCTCATCTTGCTGCTCATCATCATCATCACCGATCTGTCTTCAGCACTAAAATGCACTAGCATGCTCTCGATCCTTCCATTCGTACGACGATGCGATCGTTCTACAGCATGCTGTGTAGCCCTTACAGTTCGATCTAGAGTGCGTGAACGATGAGTCTTCCCAGACGATTCCCGTCACTTCCACTCGCCTTTGCGTCCAGCTCCTTGGGTTGAGCCTTGCCTTCCTTCCAAACGCGCCATGCTTGTCCGTCCTTTTCGCCCTTGAGACCTGCGAACACGCCGTCCGACTCCTCCCTTTTGTTGTCCAGAATGAGCCGTCTGGTGATGTCGCAATTGACCTCGAGGATCGACTGCGATCCGACGCTGCCAACGAACTTGCTCATGCTAGGCAATAAGAAGGGGAAATCGCTGAACGATGTGTGCTGACTGGCGACGTTCTGCTGTTCCTGGTTGGCCTTGTGGTACGTCCACCCTTTGACCGGTGTCGCCTTAGCGGCGAGGTCTCGCTCGAATGCAAGGATCTTCTCGCTGACCTCCTCGAGGTTCCTGCCCACCACATCCGGCGTGCCGTACACCGAGGGGCAGCTGTAGAATTCCTCGTACGTCACCCACGCCGTCCTGAACCCAGCCTGCTTGGCGGCAAATGTATCCCACGTGTGTGAGGCGACGAACCAGATGCCCTGATACTCCTTCTTCGCCGCTTCTGCATCGAGCGGCTCCGCCTTTATGCGACGCAGCACCTCGGCGTACACCCTCGGGTCCGGTTTGGCCGCACCAATCTCGTCGCAGCTGAACAAGCCGATGCCGGAACCAATGGCGTTGTGCGCCTCGGACCGACCGTTCCGGGCCGCGTCACTGTCGATGTCTGCGCCATCGCTCTCGCCGAGCGCTCGAAGGAAAGAGGATCGACCGAGCTGGAGTGACCCGTTGGTGGCCGCCCACACATCAACCTTGTCTACTCCCGCGGGCAGGCGACCTTTGCCATCCCGATCGCGATAGATCTTGGTCAGCGCATCGACCATCCCTGGTCGCGGTCGAAGCTTGCCCAACGCACCCATCATGGTTTGCACCACTTCCGGACCGAACGGGTTCTCCAGTGCCTCTTCTGCCGGTCCATCGTCTGCAAACGACCCGCCTTGGGTGAGCGCCGTGCCCTTTCCGTCCTTTTTCGGCAGGATACCCGCCTGAAGGAGAACTCGCGGCAGTGTACCCTTGAAGACTTCGCCAATCGGCTTGTACTGCCCGCACACGCTCGAATACGTGAAATCACGCTGTGTGCCGTGGAACCAGTCCATGATCACCAGCTCGGGCACGATCTTTGGCACACCCTCCGCCTCCAGCTGGTCCTTGAACAGGCCCTTGAGCGCGTCGATGCACGCATCGAGACCAAACAGTGTGCCGAACATGTCGTGCACGATCACCAGTCTCGATGGTGGACACACGGACCCGCTTGTCGCAGTGGGATCCGATTTCTCCGTTCCCTCCGCGCCGATGGTGACGAGCCAGCCTTTACCGCCCGTGCTGGCGCTCGATTCGCGGGCGATGGTGGTGACATCGTCCATGTGCGACTTCCACTGTGTGAAGTCCTCGCTGTTGATGGTGTACAGCGGCTTGCTGACGGGCACAACGTCGGCGCCGGTGATGGGGACAGGTTCGACCCAGGGGTCGAGCACGAGCGCCTGGCCGAAGGGACAGTCGGTATGACGGAGAGCTTGGATGGCGGTCGACCCGCCAAAGCTGTGTCCGATCATCCAGGGATCATTCATCTGAAGCTTGCCAGCAAAGCCGGCGAGGGCCTCGGACCGGCGCGAGCGCAGCTTTGCTTCATCGCGAGAGGAGCGAGTACACGAGTCGACGAGCGAAGCCCCCTTGCCGGCGTTGATGTCGGCGACGATGGACAGAGCGGAGAGAACTTCGCGACGTCGAAACTCAACCTGCGCACGTCGAAACTCGAGCGGATCCGGCTTGCCGTCCACCTCGGTAGGTCGGATGTAGAGCTTGTTCTCCACACCAGAGGGTCCGGAGAACCACTTGAAAAGGCCACCGGAGCTCGAGCCCTCTTTGAGCGGATGATGGATCGTAGTGGACGAAGCGGAGCCATCGCGATGCTCGATGGCGGCAACGATAATGCCCGAGGCGGCGAGCGAGGTGAGGTACGCCGAGTAGGTCGTCCTGGTCCCACCCATGCCATGGCTGAACACTGCCACCGGGAATCCATCGGTTGGCAATTCTGCGAGTGGAGCGTCCACGGCGGTGGCCAGCTTCTGCGAGATGACACCGTAGGCAGGAAGGATGATGGGCAGAGCAAGGTACTTGGAGATGCCGGCGTACTTGAGCAGGCCGCCGATGGAGCGCAGCTTGGGCGCCTCTAGCCAGTCGAGCGATCCAGCATCGACGCTGGTCTTGGAGGTCGGGTAGTAGATGGTCACGAGCGTCGTGTCCGTGGTGAGAATCGCCTTGGTCGCACCGCCTTCTTGGTAAGTGTATGGGGTGGGGGAATCTTGGACGATGGGTGAGGCGAGCGGGATCTCTAGCGTGATAGCCGATACGCCGTACTGCGCGCCCGATGGCAGCGCTGGCAGGGACATGTCGAAACCGTCTATTCGAAACGCGGGGTGCGTATATGAAGGCAGATGCGATGATGATGGTGTTCATGATGCACAAAAGACTCTCTCCACTTGAAAGCGATTTCATGCGGGGAACAGGCGACAGAGCGCGTGGTTCGCCCGGCTTTGCTTCCAAAGATGCGAATTAAATTACCGGCTGTATGCTGGCTGTTCGCTGCTTGACCCTGGCACAGACGGTCAAGATGCCCCGCTTGGGTGGATCCGGCTTTTCGGCGCGTAGAGCCGCGCTTCTCCGACAGATCGGTTCGCTACCAATCCCTCTCGATGCTTTCTTCTTGTCGTGCGACATCTGCTGTGGATGGCATGCTGACGGCCGTGAGTAGGTCGTCCCAACGACGGCCCGAAGAAGAAAGATAGAAGAAGCACTATCGAGCAGCATCAGAGTAGATGCACAGGTGCTCGGTCCTCTTCTGTTGCACAGAATTCAGTCCTCGAGCGGAACGGCGTAGCGCAGGCTGTCTCTTGTTCGTGGTGGAGTCTAGCAATCATCTGCGTACAATCTGCACTCCTGAATGGTCTGGCACCTATCGTAGGGCTTGTCGACATGCAGTCCTGCTACGCCGCAGCCTGGTTGACCTTGCAACAGCACGGTCGGGAGGCATTCAGCATGTTGGCCACGCGTGAAGCGCCCCTCTGCTACCGATGATATCACCGTGCCCACACAGGGATAAGAAGGCAACGGACCGGCAACGCAACGCCGGCTCTTGTGGTTCCCTGTTTTGGCATCACCGCTTGGGCCCTCGAAACCTTTGCTGTTAGCTCGGATCGTCTGTCTCCCATTGCGCTCGAGCTTGCGGCTGCCGGTCGAGAGCCGTCAGCCTGGATACGGTCCATGACGAGCTCAGACCTCGCCGAATGCCGCTCTCTGATCCATGGAACATTCCGTTCTCGTCCAGGAGTCCTAAGGAACGTGATCGTCTCGCGTATCGGCAGCCGAGCACACATCGGACAGGCACCCAACACGCGTGGCATCGCTTGCCTGGGTTCAGCGACTCTTGTGAAGCGCTTGCTGCCGCACTTCCTAGTTCCACAATTTCCCTTCGACCTAGGCACAGTGGCCTGTCATCGGTCCTCATCGACAGGCCCCTCCACAGTCGTCGTTCGACGTCTTCGAGCAAACGAGCTCGATGAGCCGAACACGCGAACAGGCCTCCCGCTTTGGACGCATCCCCTGCAGAACTCGCACGGTGGGTTGATTCGAGGTAGTCTTCTATGCCCCGCCGTTCGTCTGTGGATCGTGGAGCGACTTTCGACCGAGCGTTTCTTGTCGTGTCTTCTTCGTCGATGCTACCGGAGCGGACGAAGCCTGATCGCTCAGCATTGCTAGCGGTCGTGTTGCAGCTGGCATTGCTTGACAGCTCATGGAGTCGTGCTTTGCCTGATCTGGCAGTGACAGCACAGCAGGTCCCTTTGTCCTACACGGAGGGCTCGAGGTTGTCGGTGCAAGACGCGATTCACAATGACACGCACTCGCATTAGAGAACCATTGCTGTAGCGTTGATTGACCGGCTATGATTGTCTCCATGACAGGTCTAGTTGCTCGCCTCAGTGTCGATGCAGGTGCATCTGTATTTTTGTGATCTCCCACTCCTCATTGTTTGTCATTGTTCGCTATCGAGCTATTCCTTCTTTGTGCAGCAAGCAGCCTTAGCCGCTGTTCAATGCCAGCCCCACTTCACCTTGCGCATCGTTGACGTCGGACTCGAGACAATGACCGCTCTAAGATCAGCAAAAGCTCAAAGTGTCTCGGCAATCACGGGCAATGACTGCTTCAATGTCTGCCTGATCCTACACCATCATGCGCTCATTCTTTAGCTTGCGTGAATGCACAATGCCATTCTGCTGTTCATCTTCCAGCAGAGCCCTTTGTACCTTCTTCGCTTGGTGGGAGATCTTGGCCACTCTATCCTCGAACGCTGCACAGCTGCAGGCCCGCTTGACGTTTCCGAACCTTGTCTGTCTGCTTAACGGCTAAGTGACGTCTGTCTGCTTAGCGGCCGTGTGACAGGTGTCGCCGATGCGAAGGGATGTCGCGAGCTGATGGTATATAGGCAGATCAGGTCCTCTGCTTATGCAAAGGTGTGGCTCCCACGTTCGGCTCTCCACTCCCGTCCTTCCTTGGCTCAATCTTCTTGACAGCTACTCATTCCTTCATCGTTGATCCTCTCATCCGGCTTGGGCTCCTGTCCCTGTAGAGACCTTCCTATCGGCTTCTCACGTACATATCCAGCACACTCTCACCCTCTTTCGTGTCATTCGTTCCCATCGTTCACTTCTACATCCTTCATCTGCCGTTTGCCTCCTACGAGTCCTCGTCAACATGGCCGTCCAACCTCACTTCGCGCTTGACAGCAACCTCGTCATTTCGCCGCATCCACACACAGACATCGCCTTCGACACTACGCCCCAGATCATCTTCAACGTCCTGCCGCCTTCGATCGGCAAGTCGTTCCTCATCCTCCTCATCTTCATGTGCTTCTGCCTAGGTGCCTCCTTCATGGAGTTCTTGAATCACATCCGCTTCGACATCCGACTCATGCGGAAGCCCGGCTGGAAGGATCCGGCCAAGTGCATCTCGCGTCTCGCCTACTTCTACTGCCGCTTCGGCGGGATGGCCTGCTTGCTGCTGGTGGTGCTCTTCCTTTCGCTCAAGCTGGACGACTGCGTGGCGATGCCGTGGGCGTTTGCCATTGGCAACTTGCTGCTGTACTTCGCGGTGACGCTGATTTTCGTGCAGCGGACCATGGCGCTATACTCGTGGAAGCGTTTCGTGGTAGTTCCGCTGACGATCCTATATACGGTCGCCATCTGCACCGCTACCATCTGCTTCCCCTTCTACGGCTCTGGGTTCCGCATCCCTGGCACACGCTTTTGCGCATACGATACGAAAAGAGGCAACGTTCGCACGCTCGTCCTCGCCATCCTCTTCAAGGTGATGAGCATGATCCTCGACCTCACCCTGCTGCTGCTTACCTTGCATCGACTGCTGGACGGGGGTCTGCCGGCGCTCAGGCTCAAACGACCACAGGCTCTCCACCCGGGTCTGGCCGATCAAGCTCTCTCTGGCTTTCTCATTCGACAAGGCTTCCACTTCTACCTGCTGCAAGTCTTCACTGACGTCTTCTACATGTCGACCTACTTTACCTTCAAGAACGCATCGTATCAGTCGCTGGGCACGACGCTGGTGTTTACGGTACCGCCGATTGCCGCGGCGTCGGCCTTTCGCAACATGGGCAAGAAGGCGTCGCAGGTGACGTCCAAGAACGCCAACCGGGTCAACGAGATTATGAACTCGGACAACACGCCGTCGGGGGAGAACTCGGGGGCGCGGGGTCGCAGCATCACGCGTAACTCTGCCGCGCCCCAGCAGCAGCAGCTCGCCGCTGCCGTGCAGCTCATGGGGACGACCCACATGTTCGTGCCTGCCGAAGTGACGCGACCGGAAAAGACGACGCGCATCTCCTGGGGCGCTCGCGGACATGCGTTCAACCACTCGCGCCACGATCCCGCCGACTTCGAAAACGGCGTCATCATCACGGTCGGCACCGTATCGCACACGGAGGACGTCGATGCTCGCGCCTCGTCCGGCGCCAATTCTCCCCGCTATTCGTCCGACAACCCGGACCCGGAGTTGCACGAGATGCAGCGTCAGTGGCCTCCGAAGCTCACGAGCGAGTGCTCCCAGACGACGGAGACCCAATTCGAACCGGTTCCCGTTCTAGGGCGAATGTCAGCGCCGTTGCAGCGGGCGGGAACGAGCGGCTCCAACTCTTCCTGGTTCCCGCGCACGCCCGAGATGCCTTATCCCGAACCGCTGCTGTCGCCAAGAGACTTTGCTAGACCCGCCACCGCACCCGAGAACAGCAACCGTCGCGTACCCGTGCCAAGGGCTTTCGCCGACGACCAGGACACTCACTCGAAAGTCGTGTAACGACAACCCCACACTCCTTCACACTCCTTTTCTAGATGTTCACTGTAGATCAGTCGGAACAAATCATACAAATCTTCTGTGGGAACATCATCCATTCTGTGCAACTGAGATGGGTATAGGTTTGAGTGGGACTTAGAACTTCTCGAGCACGATCGGGAGGCCCAAACCGGACGTCCATTCCTCTCCACCTTTGTGTCGGGTGTCATCACCAAAGTCCAAGAAGCGCCTGAACTCGTGTAGCGAGCCCAAACTGGATCTGCTATCGTCGGAGTCGTCGTTCGAGGAACTGGACTTGGTGAGTTCCGGCTCGCTCTCGTCGGACGTCCTGCCCCTCGCGCGTCTTGGTGCGACGGGCGTTAGCGCCAGCACACTGCCTGGAGTGGCGTAGATGGCTTTCCTCTTGTCCTGCGGGGAGGTTGAACCGGGAGAAGTGAACAGCGGTTCTTCGGCGATGGTTCGAGATGGCCGACGGATGGACTTGAGCGGTCGCAACGGTTGCGCGCTTGCGAGGTTGTAGAGCGGTTTGTCGTCGGCTGTGTCGACAGATGTTCCGCTCGAGGTTGATGCCGTAGACATGCGAAGAGACGGTGTGGTGGACGTCACGCTGGGTCGTCGAGGAGAGGACGGGGCTTCGTCGGCACCCGTGCTGACATGGACAAAGTCGGTCGGACCAGAGATGGTGAGTGCTGCGGAAGGCGGCTCTTCAGGCTTGTTGCGTCGGAGGGAGACCTTGAGGATGCTGCCCTTGCGACCGAGCGGTTGGCGAGCGGGAGGAGGGGAGGACGAAGATGCGGTTGCTGTATGCTCTTCTTTCTCTTGCATCCACTTCAATGGTCCTCGTCGCTGCCGGGTGGTCGAGCCGACAGATACGCTCGCTGAGCGCAGGAGCCGCTTGACAGGATCGTCGGTAGAGCTTGAGGCCCTTGACGAGGCGGTGGGAGCGTCAATGTCGAGCAGATATTGTCGCTGCGGCTGCTGTGTTGTCTTCGGTGGGGCACTTGCATTTGCCGACGGCCTTGGATTGGAAGATGCAGCTGTGCTTGTTTCACTGTTGTTCGACCTTTCTGCAAGGACTGGTGTTGGACTTGACGCGGTGCTGCTGGAGGCCGGCTGCTGCTGCAACAGCTCCTCTGGGATGGTCGGGACCGGCTTCCTCTTCACCTTTCGTACAGAAGATGCTGCTGGCTTGGCGATGCGGAAAGAAGATGGGGTACAAGAGCCACGCCATCTATTTGCTTGCGTTTCCGATGGCAGCATGCCCGGAAGCGTGGACGGCATAGGCGATGCTACCGACATGCTGGTGATACGATGATTCGGTGTGAAAATGCTGATGATGCCGTTTACGGAAAGTCGTGATCGCCAAAGGTTGGTCTTTTGAAGTATCTGTAGCTTTGATCGAAGCTGTGCTGATGGTGTGGAAGCAAGTGTTCTGTTCGCAGATCTTCAGGAAGAGCTATCAGGAGCAGGAGGACCAAGGGACTCCGACATAGACAGGATCTTGGCCCCTGGCTGCAGGAGCACAGTTGAACAGATCGGAGTTGGGACGACGTACCCGTGCTCGGTCTCATTCACGCACCACACCAACACAAAAGACCCTTACGTGAAATGCTCTGCATTCCCATTGTTCAAGCACAGGGTGAAGCGCGAGATGCAACGTGAACAGTGCGGGGCAGGCCAATGCTACGCTAGAAGGACGTAAGCGAGGGGCGAAGCGAGTGCCGCGAAGCTTGGGATGCCGTGGTGACAAAGGCTAAAAACGCAACCGTGCATGAGGTTGAACATACGATGTTGTTCGATACCCTTGCGCGCTCTCTTCCAACTGAAACTGAGCCATGACGGCTTGTCAACCCGACACCGCCGCCATCTTTGACTTAGAGGCTTGCTCTTACCACCTCGACAACGGTGGTACGACGAATAAAACACTGCCACGGGCCACGATTGACTCAGGCACTGGTTTGAGTTGACTCAAGATGGTTCCAGATCAAGTGGCTGCGATACACGAGCCAAGCCAAGGGACGGGGAAAAAAGTGGCATGATGATGCAAAACTGCTGCACGGCGGAAAACAGGCGCGTGTGTGTGTGTTGGTGTCACCTTGACCCGTTCCAAACTTCGCTTGGCTAGGGCTGTGCGTTGGAGCCGCGATAGACCCAAGCGGTAAGCGAACAAGGGTCCCCGTCTGTCCTGTTCGGCTCGCAACATCCTCAGATCGCGCGTCTGACTGCTGCGCGGCTCGCGTCGAACGGAAGGCCATCTGCTGTATGACGAAATCGAGGAAAATAGGCTTGGCCCGCGAAGCTTGTTCTCGTTGCCGGTGAACCCTGTCGTCAGACGAAGGAGATCCGGCAACGTTTCTTCTTCCATTGAGCCCTTGCACTGCATCGGGCCGAGCCACACAGCTCTTTTGTGCCTGGTTGCGAACGGGACCTCTCGCAGAAGGGTGTGTTCCGCGGAGTCGAGACTCTATCGAGCTGAACACTCGACGGAGATGGCGAGGAGCGGCTCGGAGCGGCGCGTCCAGCATTGGCTTGGGGTTTGTGTGCGCTGCCGAATCGCGTCGGATCGGGCCATTCGCAGGGTGTGCGTCAGCCCGATCACGGTCTGTCGCATCACACCAACGCAACCCTACGAAAGACTTCATCCTGGACTTGCTGGCTGAGTCGAAGTCGAAGGTCGGAATGAAGCTCGAAGGAAGGGACCTTCGGACTGGGTCCGGTAGCTTGGCTGCGTTATGTCTCGACACATCTTGCGTTGAGGGCGATCCTTGTCACTTGAAGAATGCGATCAGAAGAATAAGGGCCACGATCAATGCGCCTAGCATCCAGACCATACCTGTGCATCGCCACGACAAGATGTGTGAGTGGTGCGTGTCAGTTGTACGTTTGCTGTCGAAGTACTGCGGTAGCGCCGTCGGTCACTCACCATGATCCTTGAGACTGTCTCTCAGCCGGTCCATTTGACTCGTGGCACCTCCTAATCGCAGTCCAGTGCGGTTGGCGTGGTGGTCGTACTCTTCGAGAAGCTCTTGATGCAAGTCAAGCTCCTCGTTCATTTGCAGACTCATCTCGTGTTGTCGATTGAGTGAGCCCGAGAGCGCGTCGAGATGGCGATCTTGGTCTTGCCAGTGCTGCTCCTGAAGACCGGCTATTTCGGCGTCCGAGAAGCCGCCATTCCCATTCTTCCGTGCTGCACCATGAAGAGCGCCCGAATCCGTCGTGTGGTCGGCCCTTTCTGGCTCGTCCGCGAAAGGGTTGTGGTCGAGGGGAAGAGGCGCCGGGCTCGACATGCTGACGTGTCGCTCGCTGCTGATGGCTGCGACGCTGTTCTGGCGTTACTGCATTGCTTGAGCTTCGGTGATAGGTCGCAGATGACTAGCAAGCCGCTGATGCTGCCGTAGGATGGCGCTGTCTAGAGGCTGAACATGGGAGAATCTCGCGTACGCAGGATGCTGAGAAGAAGTGCGTTGGATGTCCGTGCGAGAAGGTCGTTCTGTCGGAAGTCGGTGTTGAAAATATACAAGTTTGTTAGGTCGGCGAATGTCAAAAAACAGTGCGTGGGCCGGAGAATTTTGCTGACTGCAAGCAAAGAAATTCGCCGGCGATGACACTTGTCTCGACTTGGCGTACACTGCAAGAAAAGCTTCTCGGGATTTGCCGGCCATGCAGCATCCTTGGGACCGTCGAATGAAGGAGGAGACCTGCTTCGACATGTTCGCTGTCGCGTCACCGGTCTTGTGCTTTGTGGATGTGCCTCAAGTGGCCCAGACGGAAGAAGCTCGGCGAGATTGATCACGAGCTTGATGCACGTCCTCGGTTGGCCACGCCGACTGGTACGGCCGTTCCGACCTTGCTTCCCACGTCCGTCAGCCGCCTCTCTATGTCTTACCTTTCCAACGGAGTACAGCCGACTGCTTCTCACCGTCCCTGACTTGGCGCGGCCACGCTGTTCTCGTAGCAAAATCGCCAAGATCCGAAAGGCTCTTGGGACGAAAATGAGAGGCAACGTCGCATGAATCGACTCGAAAGTTTTGTGGCAACTCGGCCAGCTGCCGATGCATTGTCTTCTGACCTTTTCATAGCATGGACCGGACCTTGAATCTAGCGCTCGAGCGTTCTTCTGAGTGCGTGACTTCATTCATGAAAGAGCTTTCCTTTGTTTCGGTCGGAAATTTATCCAGGATGCACAATTCTTACGGGATGGTTCATCCGAAATTCGTCACCGCCAAGCGTCACGCACCTGTGAAGGGCCCTCGGCAGCGGTAAGAGACAGCTTCCGACCCTGGAAAAGGTGACTGATGATTGCAGTGGGAAAATTTTGGCCGGTCTGACCGGCTCTTCCGGACGCTGGTGGCTTCATCATTGGTTCTCGGCGTGGGAAGCTGGTCATGAGGGACAAGCTGAGCTGACTGTTGCTGCCCCTCAGGTATTGCTTCGCCAAGGAACACTGCCCCTCGAAGCGTCATCAGCTCCAGCTTTCGGACCTGGCCCGCTCACTTTGACGCTGGAAGCCGAGCAAGACCCTGAACTCGCTCGGCTCACACACTCAGGCACAGGTGATGCTATTGGCTGCTAGCAAGATCACACGCTAGGTTGAGCATGTTCGGCGAAATCTTCGAGAGTGTCCTCTCCAAGGCAGAAGCTCAGCCGCCAATGAGCTTCCTCTTCGCTCGTCTCCGCCCATGTGATGGCAACGCAGGGCTTTGCGGCCCTTCTCCTTGACTCTTGACCCCCAAGACGATTGAAGCATCGCAACAGCTAGCTCGGCAGCCCAGCAGGCAGCCCTTTCCCTTTCGAGCGTTGGTATCTAAGCCTGTCGAGACAGCTCTTCGGCTCTTCTCGCGAGACCCTCCTAGAGTCCCTGTTCTGCGGAGTGCTGCCTCTCCCCAGACTCCCAACACTGGGAGACTCCTCCTTCCTATATCAAGGGGCATTAACCCCCACTTCGTACCTCCAAGCACCTGACATCCATTCTGTCAGCGGGACTCCTACCTCTTCCCTCGACAGCCGCCAACACCTTTCGTTGGCCGAGACATCGGTCTTCGTCAGCATGCGCTCTCGCCGCTCCAGTCTGGTCGGTGATCGTTCTCGGCGGTCCAGTATGACCGCCGACACTCCACTCCCAACAGCCGCCGACATCGCTGTCCCCATCGAGCTCAGTCTTCCCCACTGCAGCAGTGCAGCCAGCAGCGCCAACAACAGCCAGGTTGACCTCACCGGTCATCACATCTACCTTCCCGACCATGCTGCCGGCTCCTCATCTCAAGGCCGCTTGTACCAGCTCAGCCAAGTAGCACCTCACGAGCCGGTCACAGGTGGAGTGATCAAGGACACCAAGACGGGCAAGCACTACGCCAAGCGACCCGTCACCAAGCCCGCCTACTCCCTTGGTCACACCACCGGCGCGCCCGTCGTCGCTGCGCAGCTCAACCGTAGCACAGGCCGCATCGGTCTCGGCCACGCCTTCCCGACCGAAGAGCAGACACGTCAGTACAAGGCGGAGAAGGCGGCTCGCAAGTCGAACAACGGCTCAGGCACGAGGTCTCCTTCCATTGTCGGCAGTGCTGGAGCACATCGGGCAAGCATGGACGTCAACACAATGGAGGGGCGAACGCAGCTCTTCTCTCAGTTGCGCGAGCTGATTCACGAAGAGTTTGCGAAAGCCAATCGCGGTCAGACCGAGGAGTTGAGGAAGCATGTCCAGCAGGCAAATTTGGAGCAGAGACAGCATTTTGAGGACCACATTGAAGATGTCAAAGAGATCATTGCTACCGAACCGCCTCAGACGACACAATCACAAGAGGAGATCCGGTCAGAACAGGATGTTTCCGAGAAGGCGAAGGAGACGGGTACTGCCGCCACAGACATCACGACCCTCGACAGCGACCAAAAGCCCGAGTACGGCCGCAAGGGCAGCGAAGGCACGCTGTTCGTCGACCAGCACGGCGAGGTCGTCAAGGACCCTGAACCAGTCGAGCGTGGCTACTCCCCCGACGAAGAGTCCGATGATGCAGACTTTGCTTTTCCCAACCGCTGGGCCGCGATCCGCTACAAGTTCCGCGAGCCGTTCGCCGAATTTCTCGGCTGCTTCATGCTCATGGTCTTCGGCAACGGCATCAACTGTCAAGTGACCCTCTCGGCGCTCTACGACCCCACCGCACCCAAAGGCGATTACCTCTCGATCTCGTTCGGCTGGGGTGTAGGTGTCGCCATGGGTGTCTGGGTCGCTGGTGGCATCTCGGGTGGCATGATCAACCCGGCGGTAACCATTGCGCTGGCGATCTTCCGCAAGTTTCCGTGGAAGAAGGTGCCCGTCTACATCGTCGCTCAGATCCTTGGCTGTCTGGTCGGCTCGCTCTGCGTCTACGGCCTCTACGTCAATCCCATCCGCATCGTCGACCCGGGTCAGACGGAGACCACTGCAGCACTGTTCACCACCTATCCAGCCGAATTCCTCCGTCAGCCGTCGACACGCATGAGCTCGTTCTACAACGAATTCTTTGCGTCCGCCATCCTGCTGATCGTCATCTTGGCGATTGGCGATTCGAGCAACACGCCGCCGCCGGACGGGCTGGCGCCCCTGGTGCTGCTCTGGCTCGTCTGGGGTCTCGGCGCGTGTCTCGGCTGGCAGACCGCCTACGCGGTCAACCCAGCGAGAGATCTGGGCCCGAGATTGATGCTGTATATCGTTGGCTACTCGCCCGATCTGCTCTGGACCTTCAATGCGTGGTACTGGCTCTGGACGCCTATTATCGCCGTCTGCTCCGGTGCTATCATGGGATGTCTCATTTACGATGGCCTCATCTACACCGGTGGGGACTCGCCGCTCAACAAGAAATCCAAGAAGGGCGCAGCGGCGCTCGGTCCGGGGTCCAAGGACAAGATGCCTGCTGCCATCAGTCCCGCTTGAAAGCTACCACCACATGTATTCCTAGCTCTTGCATTGCTTCTTCTCGCATCCAGTCAGACGTCACCATCCTCAATGCCAGTCCATGCATCCTGAACAGCAGCCGACCTCTGCGCCTTCGAATCGAACAGCCCCGAGAGGTACGTATGAACCAGACTCGAATCCTCCAAGCTCTTGCCCAGTCTCGCCTTCTGGTACGTGTACGGGCAGTCGAAGCTGACGCACTCGACGGCGCCGGGTCGCTCCATGCCCGCGCAGGTCGAGCAGATGCGATCGATTGCGCTTGCCTGCGACTCGAGCTTGTGCAGTTTCGCCGAGACGGCGTGTATGCTCTCGCCGGGCGACTGGCGGCAGTCGAGGCAGACGAGCGCCTCCGTTCGGGTGGAGCAAAGGAGACACGTCTCGGTTGCGTAGTGCGAGTTGAGCGTCGTCACCGCCGTGCTGCTTCTGGAGGGTTTTGGCGACGATGATGGCGCATCTGCATCGACAGCGTCCGACTGTTGGGCTAGGACAGCGGACAGCAGCGCGGCAGTGGGCCGCTTGTTCCAGTACGCATTGTTGGGTTTAGGCATCTCGTGAAACCACGACTCCACGTCGGCGCCGAGCAGGTTGAACACGCGCGCCAGCGGCGGGATGATCGTCCGGGTGATGTAGTACAGCGCATTGATCTGCAGCTGTGGGTTCTTGAGGAAGGCTTCCGGGGACACGGCTTGCTGGTTCAGCTTGGCCCGTGGTTCACCCTGCGAGATGATGTAGGGCACGCGCTCGCCGTACTGCGGCTCCGACCGTGGGTCCGCCAGCATGCGCCGCGATGACACGGCTGCTCCTGGAGGCGGCGCTACTTTGTCGCTGTACGACCCGAGCCGGACTTCTTTGGCAAAGATGAAGTCCTGTGGGCTAACGCGACCCTCGAGGATCTTGCGCCACTGACGCTGGAGGTAGCTCTTGACAATGCTCAGATCCCGAGAGCGGAAGAGGATGCGGATGCACGCTTCGAGCATCCGCTGAATGGCGGGGTGGAAGTCACGGCGTACCGTCTCGATTCCCTTCGCGTCGAAACCGGGCTCGCGTTCGTCGAGCGTCTCGTACTTGAAGCCGACATAGCGCTTCTTGGCTAACAGGACAGAGGGCAGATAGACCTTTTCAAACTTGAGCTTGACAGGTCGCGGGTTGAGACTAGTCACCTTGTCAGCGATCGTATTGCCCAGCTTGAAGGCTTCGTCTTTGGTTCTGCCGGGAAGGTATACGAAGAGAGAGTCGGTGTCGCCATAGACCACCTGGGCGCCCCACTCTTCCGTGCCGTTGATGAGATCCATCGCTTTCTCCAGTGTCTCCCTCCCCGTCTGCACGATCGCATCTGCAATCTCGACGCACGGCATGCGCCCCGAAAAGCTTGCCGAAGTGTAGCCGTACGTGACATTCGCAAGCAGCTTGAGCGAGAGCTGCCTTGCGTTCTGAATGCGTTGGAACGCCTTGTCCGCCTTGGTGCCCTTCATCGATGCCTTGACCATGACACGCGTGTCGAGGATCTCTGAGAGCATCTTTGCGAGAAGCGACTTGCGCACACTCGGCTTGACAAAGAGCAAGCCGTTGCTGGAGATGTTGACGTCCTTTTCCAGCAGACTGAGCAGGCCTTTAGGTGGCGCATAATCAGTGACACCAAACTTACTCGTACCCTTGAAGCCCGCCACGCGACCCAGGCAAGTCGAGTAGCACAGATTGTACGCAATCATGATCGACGGGTAGAGCGATTGGAAGTCCAACACGATCAGCGGACCCTTGTAAAACGCTGACTGCGGTTCCATGATGAGCGGTAGACACTCCGCTGCGTTCTGCTTGCCCACCTGCGCCCGGCTCGGCGAGATGAGCACAAAGTTCTCCGGCTTCGCAATCCGAAGCATGATGCTCTCAACCTTGAATTGACTTCCGCGCGAAATGACCGAAAAGAAGTCGATGCCGTAGATCCTCGCGAATTCGGCGGTACGCAGCACGAACTCGGACTCGGCAATGATCTCGAGCTCCAGCTCGACCATATCCACATAATACAGGATCGCCTTGCGGATGAGCTCGGCCCGTCCCGACTTGAACCACTGCGTGAGCGTCTGGTGCGAAAATTTGGGTATACGACGGTGAAGCAGATGATAGCAGACGTTTTCGAGTGTGTAGAGGTTGAGGGTCAGCTCGCCCTTCATGAGCCTCCAGAGGTTGAGTGTGTGACGGCCCGTGATGCGCAAGGCGGACGATTGGGTATATGCGTAGTTGTCCGACTTGCCACCTGCTCGGCCGGTGTTGTGGACGATTGAGCGTCCAATCTGAGGCACGAGGTCGAAGTCGTACTCTTTGCTCGCTCGCTCGATGATGTAGCCCCAAGACGAGGAATGGATTTCCCAACCGACAATGATCTCGGGGTCAAAGGCGCGCACGAGGTCGATAAGCGTGTTGAAGAGCTCCAGCTCGTCCTCAACCACTTCGACTGCCAGATGCGAGAGTCCGAGACGGTCCACGCTCATGTCCTCTCCAGCGACGATGATGAGGCCTGTGCGAAGATCTGGTCGACTGCCAGTGTCCTGCAGATTCTCATCTTCGTTCTGAAACGAGTAGATGATCGACTGAATTGCATCGAATGCTGGGTCTGGGAACAGCACGCCACGCGTCGTTGTGAGCACTTCGACCGCGAGCGTAGTCATGTGCTGTTTGTCGCGCATCACCAGTGTTGTTGCCTTGTGCTGCGAGATTTTGAAGCCAAAGTCGTTGGACTGCGTCAGTCGCTCGATCTGCGAGAGTAGCCGGGCACGTCGTCGCCTGGAGCGTTGCTTTTCGACGATCTTTTCCTTCTGCCGCCAGGCCCGAGCCTCGAGCATGGTGGGCGGTGGAGGACCGTACTGCCAGTAGAGCCGTCGCACCGTTTTGGCTGACTGCGACGGAGCAACTTCCTCTACAGCCTTGTGCCAGTGCTCGAAAGAGCGCAAATAGGGCAGAGTGCGAGACTGAAACTGAAACATGCGTCCGGCATATTCTCTCGGTCGAACAGGCACATCGTTCGGATCGCTGAAGAAAGGCTCCGGATGGACTTGCCGTACGATGGAGAAGAGCGAAAAGGTCTCTACCACGGTGCGCAGTGACGGAGCTTGTTCGTGGAACGTGAGCAGTCGTTTCCGAGGTGCGCCATCGGACGGGACCAGCAAGGCGCTCGGCGCGCTTTTGGTCTTCTTCTCAACAGCGTCAGACCTTGAACGCCTCGAACGCTCCGAAGGCGAAGGCGAGGCCTCGGCGAATCGCACCCTAGTGGAACGCGCAGACTCCATGGCGTGTCCATAGCGACTGCCGTTGGTCCCATTGGTGCTGGTTGTACCGATTGTGCTCGTCGTGCCATTGGTGCTGATCGTCGAGCGATCGTGCTTGACTTGCTTGAACTTGCGCACGCTGTCCTCGTGGAACTCTTTGGACGGCCTGGACGAAGGACTCGCGGAGGGCGTGATGGCATCCTCCGGGAGCAATTCTGCATGTCGGCGCTTCTTCGGTGTGGACGAGGGGCTTTTGCTGAAGGTACTGCCAGTCGACATGTTTGAGTTGGACTGAGCGCTTTCGGTCCTTTGCCACTTGCGAGGCGTTCCCGGAGCGTCCACCTGTGTGTCGTTTGGATCCGGCACGTCCGCATCAGGGACGTCGTCTTCCTGATCTGAAGGCGGATCCGTGTTGGCTGCGACATCCTCCTTCTCAGCTTCTTGCAGTCGATGATTGAACTCTTGGCTTCTGAAGAATTTCGAGTCAAAGTCGTCCGTCGCCTCCTCCTTTGGCTGCGATAATGGAGTAGGGTCGGTGTGATCCGAGTCGACACGCTGCGACTGCGAGATGGCATGATGCAAATCGTACAGCTTGGAGGAAGCAGAAGGACCCGTGCGCTGGGAGTAGGGATCAGCGGCATGGATCTGATCTTGATACGGGTGAAACACCTCGACAGCATCGAATGTCGTCATGATGTACTGGTCCAGACCGGGTCGCTCAGTGAAGTGATTGGGATTGCGATCGCGTGGCAGGGTCTTATTCTTCTCGTCAATGAGCCTCTTTTCGAGCAGGAGTCGCATGCGATCCTCGGACATCCACGCTGGTGATTCTCCCGTTGCATAGGCTCGTGGATCGCGTGTCGGATCCTCGGTGGGTATAGATGCCGGGAGCCCAGCTGCGCTGCGTCGATTCTTTTCATCGTCCCACAGTCCAGACAGACTGGGGACGAGGATATTCTGGCTTGGCGAGGCGTTTGGCACCTCGTCAAAGCGGTTGTGAATGTCTCTTTGCTTGAGTCTGCGGCGATTGATGATCCAAGGAGCGCTTGCATCCGCTTCGATCTCGCAATGAGTTCCGCGGTGGACCTCTTCCGACTGAACGTGGGCGTAGGGTATTGAGTTGCGATTCCAGATCCTGCTTCGGAAGTCGAGCGGCGAAGGTTCATCGCTTGCTATTGAGCTGCCATCGGGGATGGGCAGTCGAAATCGGACATCGTCCAGGTCGAGATACTCGCAGCCGAAGATGTTGTAGTCGAGCATGAACTGCAGCTGATAGCGGATGTGGATCTCGAAAGGCTGAAAGACGGTCTTCATGACGCCTCCCGATTCGAGAATGGCCGCAAGACGATAGTTGTGGGCCGGGTCTACGAACGAGATCTTGAGAAAGTAGGCGTAGCCGACATGATATCCGTAAAAGTTGATACCCTTGCAGAGGTGGATCGCGGCGATGAACTGGTTGGATTCCGGGTCGTCCTGATTGCGGCGGAGGGAGACGGCCATGGCAGCATTGAGTTCCCGACCGAGTCTGTGAATGTATCTGAGCACGTCATCCGGGTCGAGAGAGCCCTTGTACTGGATGTAGCAGTAGGGATAGACATTGTGAACGTGGACGCAAACGCGTTGGCCTGCCGGCGTAGCACCAAAGATGCGAAGGATGGGCACTTTGCGAAGGGTGAGACCCTCAGCATTGAAGGCGCATTGCGTGCGATCGAGCGGACCGGGTATCGTCAGGACGTGATCGATGTTAATGAGACGCACACGGAAGAAGGGATCCGACGAAGCTGAGTCGATCTTTTCCGTCCGCTGCTGCTTGGCATCGCTGTGATCCGCGCCGTTCGGATCAGCCATGGTGAAAGGGAGTGTAGCAAGCCCAAGAGCTGCCCCTTCATCGTTCCCGTTGAGTGGCCGCTGTGAAGCTGACTTGCGGACCTGCTTTCATGGCGATGTGAATCGCGATGTGGATGGAGGAGTCATGGTGAGGGAGCTGACTCGAAGATGTTGGAGGCTGAGTTGGTTCTCGTCAGGGTCCAACCCTCGACGGGGCTTGACGCTAGGTGGAGGCTCAGCGCACGGCTTAACACATTCAGAGAAAAGGACGCGGTACGCGATTGTGCTTTACGCCAAATCAGGGTCCAATCGGCTCCACTCGACCTTCGTTGCCGCGAAGAAGGTGACAACCACCGTGACACTTCATTGACTCAGCCATCATTGCAGCTTCATCTCGGGCCGCAGACGTAACTGGATCCCACTGCAAGAGCTCTTTGCTTCTCACCATGAGCCTCCACACAAAGCCGACATGACGAGTGCTCAAGACGGCGTCGCTGCGCCAACTGATGGCGCCACTTCGATGATCCGCGCTATCCCGACCCGGGATGTTCACCGCATCACCAGCGGACAAGTCGTGCTCGACCTGCAGACTGCGGTCAAGGAGCTCATCGAGAACGCACTCGATGCCTCTGCCACCAACATTGCCATCCACTTTCGAGACTACGGCGCCGACTCGTTCGAGGTGGTCGACAATGGCACCGGCATCGATCCTTCCAACTACACCTCTGTCGCCCTCAAACACTACACCAGCAAGCTCAGCTCCTTCTCTGATCTTGCTCTGGTGCGAACATTTGGATTTCGAGGCGAAGCGCTGTCGTCCTTGTGCGCTCTGGCCAAAGTGACGATCCACACAGCGACTTCAGAGCAAGCACCCATGGGCACCATCCTGCACTTTGCTCGATCGGGCAAGGTGGAAAGCGATACAGGCAGGGCGGCAAGACAGAGGGGCACCACCATCACCATTGAAGGGCTCTTCAAGACGCTGCCGGTGCGAAGGAAAGAGTTCGAGAAGAACCTCAAGCGCGAGTACACCAAAGCACAGAACTTGCTCCAGGCGTACGCGCTCGTCACCAAAGGAGTGCGATGGACGACGACAAATACCCCAGCAGGCGGTCGCAAGACTCCGCAGTTCAGCGTCAACTCGTCGAGCGCCGACAACTATCTCACTGCCAACGTCTCGGCTCTCTTTGGTGCCAAGGTCGCTCCTACGCTGATGCCGCTCAACCTCGAGCTCACTTTTTCCGTCGCACGGTCTCGCGGCAGGCTCCTTCAAAGTGCAGCAGGAAGTGAAGACGGTGACGGCGACGGATCCACTGCACAGCGCGAGGAGACGTCCACCGTGAAGGTCGTCGGTCTGATCAGCAAGCCAGTCTACGGGTCCGGTCGCACATCGTCCGATCGACAATTCTTCTACATCAATGGTCGGCCGTGGGAAGCCGGTCGGGTCAGTCGAGCCTTCAACGAGGTGTACAAGTCGTTCAACTCGAATCACTTTCCTTTTGTCATTGCCGACTTCAGGCTGCCGACAGACTCCTACGATGTCAATGTCAGCCCAGACAAGCGAACCATCTTCTTGCACGAAGAGAGCCGGCTCATCGAGAAGGTCAAGGAGGCCCTCGAGGAGCTCTTTGCGCCCAGCAGAGCCACATTTCTCGTCAATGGAGCCAGCCATTCGCTCCGGAATGGGAGCGGCGTGACAAGCTTGAGTGCACAGTCCAAACTCAGCACGTTTCTCGGGAAGGCCGAGGAGCACCATGCAGCTGAAAACGAGAACGAGGACCTCGACTCTGCTGCGAACCACGGAGACGACCTCGAACAGGATAAAGACGAGCTCCGGGCGATCATGCAGCAGGACGAGGAAGCAGAAGAGGACGTCGAGCCTGTCGAACGAGCAAACGGCGATCAGGATGACCATGAGGTGCCACGAACACACCGCACCACCTCTGACAATCACCATCTCGAGTATCGCGAAGATTCGAACAGCCTTCCACCGATTCCACGCCGAGAGCGCGAGGAAGCTATGGACGAGGATGACAGCGAACCGGACGTGCCCGCGCCCCTCGCTCCCGAAGCAGATGCTCCAGATGCGAAGTCGTCAAAGCGCGATCACGGCGACATGTCTGATACTTCTCCCAGCAAAAAGCAGCGTCTCACAACAGCGTCGCCGTTGCATCAGAGAGACCGGCAGGACGCTGCCGACTCAAATCGATCGCGTGACCAAGCCAGGACTGTCTTGGCCTCGCTACGGACATTTGCGCTACCTGGTACGGAGGTCGAAGGCGATTTACCCGTCTCGACTCGGATGGCGGCTAGCAATGACCACGACGAGTCCGGGTCAATGTCGGTGAATCCCGAAGCAATGGATTCTTCGTCAGAGGACGAGCTGGCATCTGATCCGCCAGCGGTCGAGGCAGATGAGCTCGCCGAGGAGGAAGCTGATGAGCCTCTGTCCAACAAGCTGGCCGCGATGCACGAGGTCGCTGCGGATAGCGAGGGGCTCGTCGAGGAGGACGCAGTCCCATTCGACATGAGCCATCTCCAGGAAAGATTGCAAACGCGGAAGCTGGCCCTCTCCCTATCGGACGCAGAGCCCCGGTACCTTCCTCTGTCCGGAGACGAGGAGCTGCTTCAAGGTGCCGGCGTCGGCAATGCGGACGAGGCCCAAGTCGAGCGAGCCCTCTCTCGCGTGATCCACAAGCAGGACTTTTCCACCATGAATGTCATCGGCCAGTTCAACCTGGGCTTCATCATCGCCCGGCGTCGAACCCAACCCGACGCCTCCACCGACGAGATGGACGATCTCTTCATCGTCGACCAACACGCCTCGGATGAAAAGTTCAACTTCGAGACGCTTCAGCTTACGACACAGATTCGTTCGCAGAAGCTCATTGTGCCACGACCCCTCGAGCTGTCTGCGTCTGACGAGCTGGTTGCGATCGAGCACCAGGCGACGCTGCTCTCGAACGGCTTCGAGGTGGCCGTATCCGAAAGCGGACTTCCTGGGACCCGAGTCAAGCTGGTAGCTCAACCTATCAGCAAAGGTACCGTCTTTGGCGTCAAGGATCTCGAGGAGCTGTTGTATCTGCTCAGAGACACCACAGCAGGCTCGGAAGCAGCTCGAGGCATCCGATGTAGCCGGGCAAGGGCCATGTTTGCCAGCCGAGCCTGCCGGAAGTCGATCATGATCGGCACTGCCTTGAACAAGAGCAGGATGAGCGCCGTCCTCACCAACATGGGTACGATCGAACAGCCATGGAATTGCCCACACGGACGTCCGACGATGCGTCACCTGGCATGCCTCAAGACGCTCGATGCCGCAGGACAAGGAGGCAAAAGGGAGGAGGATACGGAACCCACTTGGAATGAGGTTGCTCAACGTCTTCGATAGCATCATGCCCAATCTCACATCACATGCCAAAAATGTCGTTATCTCAGGTGAGAACCCGAAAGAAAGGGTCCAGATTTGCGGGTCGCAGCAGCGCGTATCCGACCTTGCAGCCGCGGTGTGGCTTTTGGCTCGTGAAATCGCAAAAAGAAGCTCCAGATGGCAGTAGTTGGCATCTCAACCCTGCAGTTGTTGCGAAGGCTCTCGTCAGGAGCAACAGCGTCTGATTCCATTGCGTTCCGCCTTTGGCCGAGTGTCATTCAGGCCAACGTCAGACGAGCTCGGCAGACTCAACCCAATCTGCCGTCATTCGCGTGTCGTGAACGTCTTTTCTTTCCGTCCACAACATATATCCCGACTCACCCTGTCGCAACCGCCAAGATGACGACGATGAGCCATGCTGCCGTGCTCAGCATGCCACCGATAACGTCGGACGACTACGTGCTCGACCCGCGCAAATCGATGCCCGACTACCGTCGCGAAATCTACGACCTGCTGCAATTTCTCGACGAGGAGCAAGACAAGATCGAGAAGCAACTCGCTCGTTTCTCAGCACCTGCGTCATCACAGAGACACCCCACACGACGCCGGGCCAGGCGCGAACAAGACGACGGATTCTCCGCCTCAGAGGATGAAGCAGACGACGACTTTGTGGTTGTTGAGGACGTCAATGCTGCGAGTCGCAAAAAGCAACTCCTGTCCCAATTGCAGCAGCTCTGGAGGACAAGAGACGCCCTGCGCAAACGAGCGAAGCAGCTCAACATCCGCATCGACAGCTTGGTCCACGGCAAAGGGTCGGGTCTCATGAGCCTCGAGGACTTCTCGCACGATGATACCGATTTCAATGGCCACGATGATCACGACGAGCTCTGAGCCTCTCAGATCTCTCGGTCCCGGCTGTAAAGCCTTCGATCATGGCGGCACCATCGACGGTCGCTCCCTCCTTATCTCTCGTCGTGTTTTCATATAGATTTTCGTACCTCGTTTTTCGCATCGCATTATTTTTCGTTGGCTTTTTCCCTATAATTGATATCGTACATCTCTTAGGTTGCTGAGCACGATCGATATGGACTGGCTTGCACAGCGTACCTCGGACGTGCAAGCTGTTGACCGCAGCCAAGAGGCGATAGTGCGTTAGCTCGGAGCGCATATCCATGGATCTCGACAATATGGCCATGTGGTCGTGCATGTGATGCTTGGCATGCTCACAATGTGGTCTGACTTTTCGTTTTTGGAGGAGCAAAAATGGTCCGATTTCCGGTTGCTCAACCGGCGCGCGTGTTTCGTTCCTTCGGAATGAGCAAGAAGAAAGGACGAGAGCAACACTTCGACCCACATCCTCTCTTCCAACAACCACATCCTGGTGCTCATCACAGTCTTTACGCGGTCTCCCTCGTCGTTCACCTCTCACCCTTCTTCTTTCCGCTCACCGACCCTGCTCTGTCTTCGCCATGGCCACCCATCGACCTCGCAGCAACAAGCCTGCAGCTGGCAGCGTCGCACCCAAACGCGGCTGGGTGGTGCTCTCTGCTCTCCTCGTCGGCTTCATCGCCCTCATCGCAGCGCTCGACTCGATACGCTCGAGCTTCTACATCTTTGACAACAAGCAGATCTACCAAATCGCCTCGACCGCCGTCGCCAAGCATCCCGGCAATGCTACCGCCATCTTTGACGACATCCTCAACGACCTCCGGGCCGACCCCAAGACCGCACCGTACATCAACAAGAACCACTTCAGCGTCGAGTCCGAGTGGATGTTCAACAATGCCGGTGGTGCGATGGGGAGCATGTTCATCATTCACGCTTCGGTGACCGAGTATCTGATCTTCTTTGGCACGCCTGTGGGCACCGAGGGTCACACGGGACGACACACGGTAAGCTCACCTTGGCCACTCAAGCGATCTCTGAAGGTTGTGACTGAATACTGATCATGAAATTGGATGCATTCTGTATGCAAACACAGGCCGACGACTACTTCAACATCCTCACTGGCAACCAGTACGCCTTCCCGGCTGGAGCGCTCAAAGCAGAGCACTATCCCGCCGGATCGGTCCACCACCTCCGCCGCGGCACGGTCAAGCAGTACATGATGCCCGAGGACGGTTGCTGGGCGCTGGAGCTGGCGCAGGGTTGGATCCCACCCATGCTGCCTTTCGGTCTGGCAGACGTGCTCAGCTCGACGCTGGACCTGCCCACCTTTGGCATCACGGTCTGGATCACCGCGCGAGAGATGGTTGGTAACTTGCTCATTGGCAAGTTCTGAGCGTCCCTCGTCACCATATAGAGGGCATGCAGGCCACGACAAGAGACAGGTAGATGATCAATCCAGCGCCTGGCGCATATCCGTCGCAATGGCATTAGAGCGGAATGGCGGACAAGGACTTGCCATCCCACGGCTGACCCCTGGTCTCGAGTGTACGCTTGCCGTGCTTCTCGGTCCAGGCAATGACGCCGCCAGTGAGAATGAGGACCTGCTGCGCGATGCTCTGCTGTGCTTGCTCTTCCGATGCACCTGACTGAACGTGCATTTTGACGAGTGCATCGGCTACCCAACCGGCTGCCCGCGTGCCTCTGCCCTTGCTCGAATTGCAGTGGAACACTAGCTTCGGCACCGTCGAGAGCATCGGTGCGAGGATTGGAAGTGTTGCTGGCAGTGTGTGAGCTGGCAGATTGATTGCGCCGGGAAGGATGTACTGGACGAGCAAAGAGCTTAATTTGTCAGTAGGGGGCGAGCATGCTGTCTACGGTAGGCCTGCCACTCACGTCGCAGTCGGAGCGTCGTACGTCGACAACGACAAAGTCCTTTCCGGGCGTCTTGTCGGTGTACCAAGCAGTGAGCTCATCGACGCTAATGGCGCCTGGCTTGGTGCTGGGCTCGCCATACACCTTCCACCAATCGCTCGTGTTAATCGGATGCTCGTCTGTCGCCATGTTTGGTGTATGCGCTGTGTCGAGATGGTTGTGGCCCGCAAAGGGGCACGAACTGATCTGCATCGAGGAAGATGGTGGTCAAACCTCGAACGACTTTCAAATTCCCGATCTGGCCGAGAGCGCCACCCGATTCGCGAATCAAGACGTCAAGAAGATCTCGGATGTAGCGGTCTCGGCTTGGAACGCGTGGGCCGGTTGAAGCTCGGGCCAGCGGTGTTGGTTGCGGGGTAAACGCTTGCGCCGGTTCATCCTTCGACATTGTCTCTCTCGACATCAATACTTCACGTCACCATCATCGACTTGGGCAGACACAAAACAGGATGCTGTCGCTAAGGCCAATCGCATCCAGAGCGGGCCCCATCGTCACGCCGCTGCGATGTTCAGGCCCAGCTTTCTCCAGCCGTGCCCTTCGCAGCTACTCAACCTCTCCTGACCAGCTCGCGACCCTGACACCGCTTTCGGACATCGCTTCATCCGAGCTCTCCTCGACCTCGCCCTACGACGAGCACATCTCCGTGCTCACCCTCAATCGTGCTCCTGCCAAGAACGCCATCTCCCGTGCGCTCCTCTCTGAAATGGACGAGCACATTTCGTCCCTCTTCACCTCACGCACGGTTCGCACGCTGCTGCTCCACTCTTCGGTACCTGGCGCCTTCTGTGCGGGCGCGGACCTCAAGGAGCGCAAGGGGATGTCAAAACTGGAAGTGGATGCCTTCCTGCTCGGCCTTCGAAAGGTGTTCACGAATGTCTCGCGGCTGCCGATGCCGACGATCGCGTGTTTGGACGGACTGGCCATGGGGGGTGGGCTGGAGCTGGCGCTCACATGCGACCTGCGCATCGCCGGACCAGCAGCAACCAAGCTCGGACTCACAGAGACCAAGCTGGGGATCATCCCTGGAGCGGGCGGTACCAGCAGGATGACCAGGCTTGTCGGACCCGCAAGAGCGAAGGAGTTGATCTTCAGCGCCAAACTGGTCGACGCCGTCGAGGCGAGCAGGATCGGATTCGTCGATATCGTCGCCCAGGAAGGCGCGGGTACCGCTGCCTTTGAGAAGGGCGTACAGCTCGCAAGATCGTTTGCGAAGAATGGTAAGTTCAATGTTGCTCCCCCTCCTCCATCATCATCGTCGCTGTCTCGGCCGGACTGGATGCTGTTCCCTTGTCGGGCGGAATTCGGAACCAGGCCTCGCTCGCTGTTCCGCTATTCCGCTCGTCGCAGTCGAATGGAGGAAGTCGACCAGGTCGTACGAGCTTGCTCGCATGCATGTTTTGGACCCCAGCTGGTCATGCGTGGGCGTCAGAAGTGCATACAGCACGCGGATGGCAGCCGGCACCCCTCACACCAGGCTTTTGTTTGGAGGAGCAAAACTCCGCTTCGGCGTTGGAGGTGTCGATTCCGCAAGCGGCGATGGAAAAAAGGGAAGGGTCGAATTTTGAAGCAACTCTAACATTCTTGTCTTTTTGTCTTTCGTGCAGGCCCACTCGCGATCCGAGCGGCAAAGCTGGCCATCGACAAGGGCGAGCAAATGGATCCTGAAACCGCATTAGACTTTGAGAGACAGTGCTACGAGACGATCCTCGGTACACAGGACCGGCTAGAGGGGCTCAAGGCGTTTGCAGAGAAGCGCGAGCCGGTGTACCGCGGCGAGTAGACGCTGTTGAAAATGCAAAGCTTATCGTGTTACACGATTGTGCGAGGCTGAATCGGGCACAGGTCAGCCGCTTGCCCGCAGCAAGTTGGTGAGATGGCGTGGCTGCAAGCTGTGTTCCAGACTTGACACTTTTTCAGATTGCGCTTAGCCTAGGCGCACCGCGCAGCAGAACCGAGAAAACAAACCGTCGGTGTTTGGCCAACGAGACTAGCTACTTAGACTGAAAAAGGAGCGATGGTGGTGAAACCCTCGTGTCTCACCATGGATGGCGCCCCGCTCGTTGATCAAATTGTCGCGATCGCCCTCTACACTGAGACGTCAGGTCGAGATAGGTCGAGAGGTCTGTGCAGACCAGAGCCATGCTACTCAAGCGCCGTCTGTCTCGCGTACATCTGTACCAGAAGGGATCCTCTTTGTTGTCTGCACCAGACCGAGCTAGCCGCGCGCAAAGTTCGATCTCGCTATCTTGACAGGTTGTATTGAATTGGCATTCAGCCCCGCTTCATAGCATGAAGCTGTACTCGGCCGACGACAGAGAGCACGAAGAGAGCCTTGCGACGACCCTGCATGCACGCAGAGCGCTTAGCGTTGGAGTGGAGATCCTAGCCAGCTCGAAATGCAGTTGACTGATGCCCGACGTCGATCCATCTCCAAATCCAAATTTGGCGTTCCGAAAGCGGCAAGCGGCGTGCAACAGTCAGCCCAGCGGGTCGCCGTGTCAAATTTAAAGATTGCCTTCCCATCGCCCCACACGACGCCCTGTCAAGACTGCTTTGGCCGTCAGTAGCTTTGAACATAAGTGCCTGCAGTCAAACAAGATCGAGGTGGTGATATCGGGCTCGGACCTGCCGCAACAGAGACAGGAGCTCTTGACTCAAGCAGTGTCGACAAGCGGATGGCCTATGCGTCCAAGGCAGCAGCCATGTTTCACGGCCTGCAACCCACGTCGGAAATTCCATTTGTTTAAAATTTGAAGCAAGTAAAATTCCAACTCCGGAAGCAGCTAAAAAGGCGTCGCCCGGCTCTCGATTCCCGCCAAGGGTCTGCGGATCTCATCCGAAGCTGCAGTCATCAGCTTTGATTTTAGGCTTGTGCTTCTCTGCTGCCTCACTTTTTTTTTGGTTTTGTCTCCATGGCCTCCACCTCACTTTTTTGGCCTTTCACAACCGGCTGTCGGCACCATTCCGTAGCACCCCGTGAGAAATGTGATAGCTTGAAAGGGTGATTGCGATGCTCCGAGAAGAGGCAAAGGCGGGAAGATCGAGCGCCTTTCGAGGCTGGCTCGGGTCTCGTGCTGCTGCAAATCTCGACTCGAGGCAGGCAGAGTCGCAAGGTTGCTCTGTGCGCTACTGAAGCGAGATGCGTGTGCGTGGCTTGAGGACGCCTCTTGCGCTTTTGACGTGAGCTCGTCTTCCCATATCCGTCGAAACGAGGCCAAACTGCCCTTGACCAGCCACCTTCATTCACCACTTGTCTCGAATCACGGCTTTTCACTCGCCTTCTCTCTTCCTTCTAGAAACAGCATCCTCAGCCGCCTCCTTTTCCCCCCTCAGCATCCTCACCATCCCTTCCCTCCGTCGCCGCGAGGTCCAGACCAGTCAGTCCATTCCGCGGCCCTCCGTTCGGCCCTCGAGCTGGTGTGCATATCGAGCGGCCGTGTCTCGCCTACGTCCAACAACGCAAGCCTCCCTCGAGCTCGCCCTTCTCCGCCCCTCATTGTGTCCTAGATACGGTTCTAGTCGGCAGTCGCATCTCCGCTTCCGTTCGCCCAGCCCATCTCGCTGCGCCTCGGCTCTGGTTCATGCGAAGGCGCCCAAAGTGGTTGATGCCTCCTGGCTCGAGCTGCTTCTTCTTGGCATTTGAGCTTCCCACGCTATCCTGAACTGCACTAGTGTGCCTTGCTCTGTTTGTGTACCTTCTGTTCGGCTCGTGTCTCAGTCGCCGATATCATCGGCTGCTATCGTGCTCACTCAGCTCTCAGCAGCTCCGATTGCCGTGCTTGTTCCCTTCGCCCCTCCTCCGCTCGGCCTGGTCTAGAGACAGCCTACTATATATTCATCATCATGTTGGAAGCCTTTCGCAACTCCCTACATCATCTCTCCGACTACCTCCACGCTTTTGCTGCCCATCCCTCCTCTATCTTCTCGACTCGATCAGGATCCAGTCCCGAAGCATCGCCGATCTCTCCTCTTCTACTCTACGGAGGAATCCTCGCAGCCTCTCTCGCTGCCCTCAGCATCGTACGCGCCGCACGGACCGACTACAGACGCAAATTCTACGTGGAACAGGACACAATGATCATCAAGTCGCCCCACCAGTTCAACGCTCCCACCAACTACACCCTTCCCGAGTTCCTTTTCAAGCCCATTGACATCGCATCATGCAAGGAACGAGTCAGCGCACCCCTCCTCTACCCGGCGGATCCCGAGGTCACGGGGCGTCCTGATGCCAAGCCCATGTCGCTGGTCGACACGCGCGAATATGCCATCAACCTCGCCTCTGCCCTCATTTCGGGCTCTACCGAGTCCGGCCGCAAATACAGCAGGGGCGATGTCGTCGCTATCAACGCCTCCAACCAGCACGATTACCTCGCTTGCGCTCTCGGTATTATGATGACCGGTGCCAGTGTCGCCCTCTTCAACCCCTCCTACAAACCTGTCGAGATCGCTCACCAGATCCGTATGGTCAAGGCGACAGCCATCATCACCACCGAGGCTTCGTTCAAGGGCACACAGGAGGCGGCACAAGAGGCGGCTAAGAAAGGCGAAGACGGTCTTGAGCACCTCACCGAAGTGCCCGAGATCCTCGTCTTTGAGGAGAGCCACGCCTCTTCCATCGCCAAGATCCTCAAGGTGGGCAAGGACGAGCTGCCGGAAACACGCACATTGCTGGACAATGTCAAGCTCGACCCCAAGACCACCACTGCCGTCTTCTGCTTCTCCTCGGGCACCACGGGTGGGCCCAAGGCGGTGCAGCTCTCGCACTATGCCATGGTGGCCAACGTCATCCAGGCGTCGTACGCCATGTTGGACCGCACCAACGACCCTTTGATCGACGAAGACAACTGGTACGCTCACGGCCGCGATGTGCTCGATGGCTACTTCATCACGCGCCTCACCGAGACCTGGAACACCGCCGCCGACTCGATCAACACGGTCACCGAGCAGATCTCGGGCATGCAGCTCGCCCCGCGTCTGAGCCGCGGCGAGTTCCACATTGACCTCCTGCCCCTCTTCCACTGCTACGGCATGCTGATGGGTTTCATGGGCTTGCACACGTGCACGCCACGCCTGGTCCTCCCTCGCTTCGCGCTCGATGTCTTCCTCTCCACGGTACAGCGTTACCGTGTCACATTCAGCTTTGTCGTTCCTCCGATCCTGCTGGCACTCGCCAAGCACCCCATGGTGGATCAATACGATCTGCGCTCGCTCCGTCTGCTCAGTTCCGGTGCCGCTGCGCTGCCGAACGAGCTCCGCGTCGCCGTCGAGAAGCGACTCGGCATCAAGACCACCGACGGCTACGGCATGTCGGAGATGTCTCCCCTGGTGTGCAGCCAGAACAGCCGCGATCTGGACCACTACCCGGGCACCGTGGGTCAGCTGGTCCCCGGCACCGAAGCCAAGGTGATCGGTCACGACGGCCAAGAGGTTGGCTTTGGCGAGGAGGGCGAACTGTGCGTTCGCGGCCCGCAGATGATGCAGGGCTACCTCAACAACGACGAGGCCAACAAGAGCACCTTTATCCCCTCGATCGATGCGCCCGATCGCTTCCTGCGCACCGGCGATATTGTCAAGATCAACAGCGAAGGGTACGTGACGATCACGGACAGGTTGAAGGACGTGATCAAGTACAACGGCTTCCAGGTCCCGCCGTCGGAGTTGGAAGCGTTGATGTTCAAGGAGGAGCGGGTCGGCGACTGTGCGGTCCTCGGCGTGCCCGATTCGGAAGGCACTGAGTTGCCATGGGCCTTTGTGGTGCTCAACCCCAAGACCAAGTCCGAACTCGGCGATGACGAGGACAAGAAGAAGCAGGTCGAGAAGGAGCTCCTGTCGTTCGTCAACGAACGCGTCAATGCCGGGTACAAGAAGCTTCGTGGACTGACGTGGTTGGATGCTCTGCCCAAGAGTGCGTCTGGTAAGATCCTCAAGAAGGACATCCGCGCTATGGTCGAGCAGGAAAAGCTCGGCGCGAGGTCCTAAGCTCTTTCTCCTCAAATGTACTTGTACCCGGTTTCGTGCGTGCGTTAATGGATCTATATTGCGTTCTACAAGTGTCCTTTGACATGAAGATGAAGTTGCTGCGTCTAGGAGGATTGAACGCTTCCATATCCCTGCTTGCACTGCTTGCCGAGGGGCGCACTTCCGCTCTGCATGTAGCAGATCTTTGCGCTAACACACTCGTCGCTGGTGCAGTTGGGGCTTCTGGGGCTGTTCCTGCCTTGAAACACCGTAAACTGCTGGACGAGTTCCTTCCTTACGGCCATTTCCTCCGTCAACTTTGCCCAGAAGGTCGCGTTCAACGGTGCGTCCTGTGGCCAAACACCGCCGTCCACCGGATGTGTCGAGTTGGCGTTGGAGCTCGTAAAGTTGCCATACGCTTGTCGGGCCGAGTAGAGGTACTCGTACACCGGACCGTGCGAGCTTTCCGGGAGATCAGGGAACGTGGGTACCTGGGTATAAAACTGATGATAGTCCATGACCTCATACGTGGTGGCGTTGACGTGCATGATCCGCAGGGCCGGGTTGACGTTGTTGCCTGGAGTAACGCTGGGGGCCATGAAGCTCACCGCTTTCGCCTGGTCCGCCGCTCGCGAGGTGCCGTTGTTGGCATAGAAGATGTTGAACTGATCCTCGTGCGTGTGACCGAAGAAGATGTGCGCGATGACATGTGGTGCGAACCGGTCGACGATCTGGTAGAACAGATTTGTCGGGTTATCGAGTGGATTGCTCCCATCCCACCCCGTAAGCACGTGGCCAACGATCCACACCCGCTCCCCGCGCTGCTCTGCATGGAACAGCTCATCCGTTAGGAACCGCAAGCTCCCCGAATAGTCAGGGTTGGACGTGTGGATCATGTTGAAGATGTTGTTTTTGTACCAAAAGTCGGTGTTGATCGCAACAATCCTCAACCCTTTGCGAGGAGTGACGGAGTAGCCGGCGTAGTGCGAGCGAACCTGTTCCGCTTCGTCGTGGTCGAACCAGCCTTCGGCCTCCCAGAGACGGGCGAGGTTGTCCCAATCCCACGAGAGCTGGTCGGATCGCCCATCGGGAAGCGCTCCCTGAGAGGCAAAGTCCGAAGGGGCGGAATCGTGGTTGCCAATCGCATTGAAGACCGGACCTTTACCGAGCATGGCGCGGATGGAATCGTACAGACTCTGATGGGTGTACTTGACCAGATCTTGGGAGATGTACTGCGCGAGATCGTGAACCACCATGTCACCCGTGTGGATGGTCATGTCGACTTCATGGCCGCCGTTGAGAGGCGTCACCGCCCCGAGGGTGGACAGCGCCAAGCTCCACGGCGCATCGCACTGGAAGTTGCCCCAGTAGGTCGCGCTCTCGCTGATGTTGGCGCCCGACAAGGCACGCGACAGGGTGCCTTGGGTGAAGTTGCCGCTGCTGAGCGTGGAGTTGTACGCGTCGGCACGACAGCATCGGCCGTTGGTGCAGGCCGCTTCGCCGCCGACAAAGAATCGTGGATCCACGTGAATGTCCGACATGTGAAGCACGCGCAAGTTCCCACCGTTCGCAGTAGGCTCCCCGACATTGAGGTTGTACGAAGACGGCGGTGTGCGCTTGCCGTGGAACCAATCGTCCAGGTAGGCTTCATCGAGAAGACGTGGCTTCGGCAGGGAGCAGTTGCTGAAGGAGCTGCCGACGACAACGTTGCACATGTACTGCGCATCCGTGCTACCAGACGAGAAGTTGGCGTAGCTGAGCACCTGCGCGTAGACCGAGCCGAGCACTTGCGGGGCGTATTGCTTGGCGCAGGTGGACGCCGACTTGAACTTGTACTTGGTGCACAGCTCGATCAGCAAGGCGGGAACATCCTGCGGGGACTGCTGGGCGAGCTTCTGCGCGGTCTTGAGGGCGTCGGTACACTTGGTGCAGTTGGAGCTGGATGAAGCGAAGATGTCGGTGATCTCTTGACGGACTTGCGAGACGATATCCGGGGAAGCGGTGCCGGTAGCGACTGGGTACACGGCCTCAGAGGATGAGGGACCGAGGGGAAGGATCGTAGGGTTGGCCAGGATGTCTGGGAAGACCGAGTTGCGCCCGACGTCGGTGACCACAGGTCGGGGCTCGGCCGTCATCGATGCGGGTGTGTTGTAGTAGGATGCAAACATCGAGGTCGGGAATGCGCTTGATGCAGTGTAAGCCGAGGTCTCCTTGTTGAAGGCCTCGGCCGCAGAGGAAGCATCATTGCGACGGGCGACAAAAGCAGGCGAGGAGGCAGCCAGCTGAGCGAGGCCCAGCAGGACCGCGAGCGATGCAATCGACTTCATGATCAGCCAGAATGCTCGTGATTGAGATGACGGAGTGATGGAAGATGCTGCGGATGCAGAAAGAGGAGGCGGTCGGGACGTCTTGTAGCCCAAAAGGGGCAGCTTTTCTATGTCGAACGACATCCCATCTTCGATCATCTTCCCAAAGAAACAGAGGACGAGGCTGCCGCACGAAGCGCCGGAAGGGCGGCTTGTGTCGAGGGCCGATAGGACAAGGTAGAGGAGCAAAGGGATAGGGCTCGCTTGTGGGTCTTCGTAGCGAGAATCCTGCAACTTTTTTCCAAAGCGTGACCCACGCTTAGGCCAGGCTGTTGTCCTACGCAGCTCTGTTCTACTTTGTCGTCATCTCTTCGCCATTTTGTAGCACATCAATCTCGAACGTTCCTAAGCACATGCAAACAGGTCCGCATGGTGCCCAGTGATTGGTACGAAGACCGGTTTGTCGGTTGGGGATCGACGCTAAGCGAGCACGGCGGAAAGCAAACTCCTTGTGGGAGGACGAGCACGTTCAAGGGTCCATCTGGTGAATTGTGCTCAACCGCACGTTCTTTCGCTCCCATCCGTGCCGCAGAGTGCCGTTCTTGCATCGTCATCTGCAGCCGTCAACGTGCTGCATACCTCAGCGATGTCATCGATACCAGCGGGCCAAACGAGCTCCGAAGCGACAGCTCGCCGGCCAGTTGATATCAGTTCGTGACACGCTTCTCGGCCAGGGGATCTCGGATCGGGCAAAGGCAGATCTTCGATAGAGCTTGCGAGCTGCACGATGCGTCATGGCCGTTGCAGATCCCCACAAATTCGCCGACGCAGCTAACTGCTGCTGCTTCAGGATCGTCTTCGTAAAAACGACATGTCCATTGCGACATTTGAGAAGTCAGACCGTTCTGTGCTGCGCTGTGAAGTTGGACTCGCTTCCGACTGAGCTCGACGTGGTCGACTGATGCTCGGCTATACACGCTCCGCGGTTCTCGATCTTTGCCGAGTCTGAGAATGTGGAGAAGGAGGAGAGGTTCAGCGATGCCAAGAATGGGCTTGTTCGTCGACGTCGGTTCCTCGAAGACGTATAGGAGGTAACACCAACACCTTTTCTTCCCCCATTGAGACCCACCCTCAGGACCCACATCTCCCTCTTAACTCAAGGCAACATGTCTGAAGTAGGCAAATCTCGACAGATCGAGCTTAACTTTCCCGACGAAGAACTCGACCGTCTGCAGCGCAAGCTCGACGATGCTCGTCTGCCCGATACCGAGATCACCGGCGGACTCAAGCCCTGGGAGTACGGCACAAAGCTGAGCAAGCTGCAAAGTGTTCTGAACGACTGGAAGAGCGGCAACCCCAAAGACAACCACGGCAAGCCGGTCGGCACCCCTGGCCAAGGAGTCAAGAAATGGTGGAAGGCCATCGAATCGGAGCTCAACCGCTTCCCGCACTACATGGTGCGCATCGAGGGCATCGACATCCACTACCAGCACTTCAAGTCCTCCGTTCCCGACAGCGAGGCCAGCACGCCGGCGATCCCGTTCATCTTCTCTCACGGCTGGCCAGGCTGCTTCACGGAAGCTCACCACTTTGCAGCCCGCCTTGTCGAATCGAAATCGCCGCGCTTCGAGGTCATTGTCCCCAGTCTTCCTGGCTATGGACTATCTCAAGCACCGGGCAAAAAAGACTGGTCGCTCATCGATACGGCCCGTATCTTCGACACCCTAATGACCTCGGTGCTCGGCTTCAAATCGTACATGGCGCAAGGCGGTGACTGGGGCTCGCTGGTGACGCGTTTCCTGGCCAACCACCCAGCGTGCAAGATCGCACACATCAACTACGCGCCTCCCCAACCGCCCAAATGGAGCACTCCACTGATGACGCTGGAACACTGGGGCTACAAGGGTGTCGCTCCCGCGGGGCTCAAGCTGATGGGCTACCACCCACAAGGAGTGCTCGGAGTCCAACGCACTTTTGAGTACCTCAACCAGGGCAGCGGCTACGCCCAGATCCAGAGCACCCAACCATCCACCATCGGATACAGCCTCTACGACAACCCCGTCGGAATCCTTTCGTGGATCATGGAGAAGTTCGATGCGTGGTCCGATCCGCGCTGCGCCGCTGTCAACCGGTCGAACTCGGACATCGATCCGCGCTCTCACGTCACCGACGAGACCGTCCTCACCGTCGTGATGATCTATTACCTCACGAACACGATCCACACGAGCTTCTTGAATTACAAGGAGTCGTTTCACTTCTTCGTCAAGCCCGACTGGAAGTTGTGGGACCAGGCCAAGGACAAACCGTTCGGGTATACCAGCTTTCCGTACGAGCTGGCGGCAGGACCAAGGACCTGGCTCAAGAACTACAGGCTCAACTGGCAGTACTACAAGATGCATGATTTCGGCGGCCACTTTGCTGCGCTGTGAGTACGAAGAAGCGTCAAAGCGAGTAATGAGCACCCAAGCTGACCATCTTGTTTCACTTTTGACTTGAACCCACGCAGAGACAACCCAGATGCGCTGGTGGAAGACATGCAAGAGTTTGCCAGCCAACACTGGCCCGGGCTCTGATGCTCAGACCACACGATGACCGGGAGTCATGCAATGAGAACTCGATGTTGTACATGTATCTTGTGCGTTTGGTTTGAGTCGTAGTGCCGATCCGTGCATGATGTGAGTCCTTCGAACTAGGATGCGTTGACAAAGTTCCTCGCCTTGATCGACTGCTTGTTCTCCCTCCTTAGCGCCTTTCTTCTGACCTTCTCGTCTGCCGCGGCTTTTTCCATCGCTTTCACCTTCTGTTCCGCCTCGCTGAGCTCCGCCTGTTGTCCCGCATCAGCATCCTTCGCCTCCTCCCCAGCCTCCCCGGCCTTGGCCGCACGCTCAGCCGCCTTGGCCTCCGCCTTCTCCTTCGCCAGCTGTGCTGCCCTCAGGATCTTGGACTGCCTCTTCTGCGCCGCTCGTGCTTCACCTTTTGACATGCCCGCCATCTCGATGGATGCGAGCGACGAAGATGCCGCGATGGAAGGGTCCTCGAGCAGCTTGAACAGCCACGGTGGGTATTCGGCGTCCTGCAGCGCTACAGGGTCCGCCTTGTCCTTGAAGATCGAAACACCTTTCAGAAGTGTGCCGGGCGGTGCTGCGGATGGGAGTGATTGTGGCTCGGAGGATGTGTTGGAAGTGGAGGAAGAGGAGGAGGCGACGGCTGAGGCGGAAGCGTAGGTGCGCGCCGAGGGGGCGACGCGCAAGGTGGAGCATGTCGCTCGCATGGATTGTGTTGCCGCTCTCATTGTCGATGCGATGTGTACGAGGTGTGACCGATCTGGTTCCAAGTGTGACTTGATGCCGTCAGATGGTGAGATTGAGGACGAGAGGATGCCCGAAAGAGTTCGTGAGACACTTGAGAAGAAGTGCGAAAAGAGTCGAGCCACCAAAAAGTGCGAGGCACGTGACGGCAGAGATTTGACCCCGAGACTGCAGGCTTCGATCTCACAACAGCGCGCAAAAATTCGCGCTGAGGGCTATACACGATCATGGCTGTCGACGTCAAGGCCACTGGGCTTTCCATCACGGGCGGTGGAGGCATCAAGCGTGCTTTCAAGGTCCAGTTCATCAGCAGTGTGGCGTCGGGGCGACTTTGGGCCTGCCACCTTTTCCTGAACACGACAGCAGACTTCTTCATGGCATACTTTCCGGGTCACGGATGCTTCGGATTGACATAGAGATTCGGCTTGAGGTACTTCTGCAGAAGGCTCTTTCACGCTCGAAATGCGGCTGGAAGTCAAGACGAGGTGATCTGCTTTGCGTACCGCAACTTCAAGCGAGGCTTTATACGCGCCAAAGGAGCATTGACGGCATGAGGGAAGTAGGGTCTCTGGAACACGCTGCTGTGCAGCCAATGACCGAGGCGAAGGGCGGTCAGGTGAATGGGATGCTTTTTCTGCGAGTGCTGCAGCCGGTGTTTCCTGTCGGCAGGGCTGGATATCCCTGTTGGGCGAATCGAGCCTCGCTTTGAGAACAGGTAGATGGCGGACTTGACCATGAAGGACTTGAGACTCTCCTCTCGACGCTGAGCGGTAAACAGCCTTTCGAAGAAGCAGAGCAAGGAAGCTCGCGCTGCAACCGCCTTGTCTACGTCCTGTTGCGCGTGGGGCTCGGAGTTATCGTCGATGACAGCCTCCTGATCGAAAAACTCGGCATCGTCGTTGTTGTCGTCGTCGATCTCCTGAGCAGCATCAATCGCAGCATCGATCGCTTCGAAGGTCTTCTGCATCGCTGATCGGTCGATCTCCCTAGTCTTGGTAGTTGCGCTGGACGATGGCAGTATAGAGCTAGCCTCACCTTCGTCACGGCCATACTCGAGGTCACGAACGCTCTGACGAAGTCTCTCGAGCGATCCCGCTGCCCAACTGGGCAATCCGTCCTGTCTGCTGACGTGGCTGTTTCAAGGTAACTCGATGAGCCTGAGACCGACTGCTGCCCGGTAGGGCGTATGCTTCGTCCTGATCGATGGCGATTATGGCTTGAGCAGCGTGCATCTGATCACGGTCGATCTCTGCGGTGTCGTTGCCAACGACCTTCTCCGACTTCGCCTTTCGAGATTACCGATGGTGGATGTGATTCGCCTTGTGCACGATCTTGCGGGCATCCTTCTGAGCCTGCTCCGCATCCTCCATCAGCTTCTGAGCTTGTGCTATCTCTTCTGCTGTCTTGAGCTTGTCAATCGCAGCGCGAACCTTCCTCTTCACGTGGTACCAGCTGGTGAAGGACCACGAGAGGCCGGTGGTTACGTGGAGCTGCTGTGAGAGGCTGTTGAAGCGATCGGGAGGCTAGCTCAGCTCGGACCTGAGGAGGCGGTGTGCCTCAGCGAGCGTTTTCTTTTGGCTTCGGGCCTTGATCTGCTTTCGACGGCTGGGTTGCGCCGAGATCTTCGAGAACGAGTCGTTCCCCTCACCCAATGCAACGCATCTGTAGGCAAGGCCGCTAAGCTGATGCAGATAGTAGAGCAATCAACTAAGCTGATCCTTGAGTGACTGTCCTAGACGCTCCCCCGAAAGGAGACGCATCAGATCTGTCTAGGGGACCGGAGCGTTGTAGTGTCTGTCGAGGATAGACTGATCGTAGCCGAGAGCGAGCAGGCTGCTGGCTTTCTGCGGGCCGAAACGGATGCTGATCTGGCGCGCAAGGTCGTCGCGGACAGGACAGGAGCCCGCTATTGGCAAGCCGACCTTCGAGGTGTGATCCTCAGACCTCGGCAGGCAGTCTGGGATGACATGGGTGCGACATCGCCAGGACAAGGAGCATCTGCAGATGAAGGATCGAGCACTTGGAAGACGTCTCCGCTTCTGGTCCAGCATGTCTCGACAAAGCTTTGTCCCAACGCGAGGCTCCTGGCTGGTCTCATTTGTCGTTCACAAGCTTCGCTCGCACTTTGGGCTCACGGGCACTGAACACGCACTGGTGCCAACACGATCTGCTTGCCCCGCTTGCAAGAGCGCGAAGTTCTCTGAGCGGACACACACGAGACGGAAATAGTGTGCTGCCGCAAGCAGCTGCGAGACCAGAGCTCACCGTTGACTGCTGACAGGGCTAGCCCGTCTCTCGAGGGAAACAGAACATGTTCATCAAACAGGCAGCCGTGTTCATGCAATGCGTTGACTGACTGCGTGTCTATTTCTAGTTGCTAGAATGAACTGCAAGGGAACAACCGAGCGGGCTGATCCAGCGTGGGTACTGACTCAATTTGTCGAAGCAGGCGATGCTGAGGTGGTTACCGATGATGACGCCTCCTTGGCCGCACTGTGTTGCCTCTCGAGCATCTTCTTCCTGGCCTCCAAGATCATCTGCTCCTTTCGATCCTTGAGAAGCTTCGCCCTGGCTTCCGGTGTCGTGGCCCAGCTACTCGGACTCCCGTGAGAGCTGCTGCTTGCATGCGAGTCTGGCGTGCCTGGAACGTCTCCGGCGCTCACGATCCGCGACTGCAGGCCATACCTCGAGATGAGATTTGGCGACTTGCTCGGCGTGCTGCTGGTTGATGCGGAAGCTGAAGCTGCGGCATTTGGCGTAGTTCGATTGTTCTGTGCCCGAGTTGCTGCCGTATTGGACGGGGTCGATGGCTCGGCGGTACTGAAGAAGCCAGCTGGAGGCGAGGGCAGACCGCCCTCGTTCAAGATGCGTTCACAGGTAGCTTCAACACTACCGGAGCGCTGAAGATCGTATCGAATCGATGCATCTGGGATGTGTGGGAAGAGCGTCTTGACCGAGTCGATCATGTGCTGTGGAACCTGCCGTGAACGAGCCGTGTTGATGGCTGGTGCTCGGTTGCCGCCGTTCGAGCTGTTGTTCGAGCCGCCGCCGAAAGCGAAGCGCAGGATGGACCAGAGGACCACGATGGCCAGGATGGCTCCGAGACTGTCGTTCATGTAAAATGTCTGAGACTGCTCGTACTAACTCGGGTGCAGAAGAAAGTTGCGGAGAGGGTGAAGCCGCGATTGATGCCGTCGATTGTGATTCGAGCGGGAGACCGAGAGGAGAAGCAGTGCGAACCGGTCCTGTGCGCTCGAACGGATGCACTCGAAAATGGTGCTACCTGGGGAGTACGCCGATGCACTCCTGAGGAGACTAAAGAGGTGTTCGAGTATGTCTGGATAGCAAGCCTTTGCAAAGTTGGCTGATGTGCTGGAAGGAAGGACTGGCAAGATAGCGGAGAAGCTCTAAATTGTGGAGCAAGCGAGCAGGGAAGACGGCCTCTTGCGGGTTGTGCGTCACTGACTTGATTGCTTTGCTCCGCGGCTGCCGATTTCAGACGATCCCGCAACATCGTTTTTCAAGTCGGGGAGTGTCAGATCCTGCAGAGCCACATACAAATCAATCCGGCCGACTTCGTATCACAAGCACACCCTTTCGAGGCAGGTTCGCCCTTCATGATGAGCGCAGACATCATTCGAGGCTACGCTACAAAGAGCGGAGACGTGTCTGCAGGCAGTACAGCTCGACAAGATGCACTCACTGCCGTTTGAGGTTGTGTACGCACGGAAGGACATCGCTTCTGAGCGCTCTTTTCGCCCGAAATGGCACGCGTGCTCCACGGAGCGACGCCAGACCGGAAAAGCCGGCCAAGCGCTTGCCGGCCAACAAAGAGCTTTTTGGTGACACCCTCTTCCCCACCTTCGGCTGTTCTCCTCCGCATTGTTCACCCCGCTCTCCACAAGACTGGCCAGAAGATATATAGCAAGGGTCGCTAAGACCAGAAGACGACCATCCTGCCACTCGTTGCCATTCTCTGCCCAAAATCTGACCCAATAACATGACTTCTGACGACTTTCGCCCCGCCGACCTCTTGCCGTCGCTGGAGCCTCTAGTGCAGGCCAAGCGACCCGACGTACTAACACTTTCACCGCGCATCGCTTTCACTGCTCCATCTCAGGATTCTGCCTCGCCAAAGACGCAGCAGTGGATCTCCACAACACACGTCTACCCTGCAGCATGGCCTCGATCGCACGTCCGTTCGGCCAAGTCAGACATCTACGAAGCCAACATCCCGAATAGCTATGGTCTCGGCCCCCTGCCCTCGGATCCGCAAGCGGCAAAAGCCGAACAGAGGCGGCGAAGAGAGGTCGACTTTGACCACTGGCTCCAAATTTGCGGAGGCAAGGAGAAGGAGGATCAGATCAAGCTGATGCGCTCGCTTCGGGAGGGATGCTCCAAGTCCGGACATACAGCCAGAATCACAGAGGCGAGAACGGCGAACGAGGTGCAGCTCTGGAATACTGTCAACCGCATCGTCCCAGCTGCACTCGACCATGATGACGCGCCAAGCGCGAAGGCAAAGGATACGAGGGAAGGCATCACTCTGATTATGGCCCACGCTAACGGCTTCCACAAGGAGATCTTCGAGCCTGCGATAGAAGCGTTCATCCAAAAGCTTCAGGGCGAACAAGTGCGCGGCAAGTACAGAATAGACGAAATCTGGGTGTTTGATTGTACTCATTCTGGTCAAGCTGCGAGCATCAATCGTGACGTGCTCGGAGATGTGATCAACTGGGCCGACCACCCGCGAGACGTGCTCAAGTTCCTCGAGCACTATCTGCCCGAGACACCTTGCGACCCCTCCGCACCTCCGACGTGGCTTCCAACATTCCTTCCCTCGCACAAAGCTTCGTCACCGAAATCGAAACGGCGACTCATGGGGCTCGGACACTCGTTCGGCGGCGCTTCGCTCACCTTCCTGCTCCACGCTCGACCGCGCATGTTCGAAGGCCTCATGCTCGTCGACCCCGCCATCGTCCACTTTGACGACGAAAAGGAGATCGACATTCCCTTCTTCGCGCCGCTCCACGAAGTCCCGCTCGCTCGAGGCGCTATCGCACGCAAAGACACCTTCGACTCGCTCCCGGACGCAGAGGCCTACTTCAAGTCGAAACCCTTCTTCCAAGCCTGGCACCCGCGCGTACTTGAACTGCATCTGCGATTTGGCCTTCGACCATCCACCATACCCGCAGCGCGTGCGCTGGCGTCAGAAGACCTGCACGAGAACGACCTCAAACGCACGCCGCTCGAGCTGAACAACACCAAATGGCACGAGGCCGCCGCATTCTGCTCGACTTGGATGAGCATGATCGGTAAAAGAGGCATGTTGACGACGGATCATGGCGCTTGGATCGGGTTCGTCAACATGAAGGGCGGCTTCAACAACAGATCGCTTGCCGCGGACATTGATGCGTTGGAGCGCGGGGTCAGCTTCACGATCGAGGGAAACCATCTCGTTGCTCAGGAGGAGCCAGAGGCGTTGGCTGAAGCACTTGTCAAGGTGCTCGAGACACAGTCGGATTCGCAGAAGCTGAAGGAGGAGAAGCTGCGTAGACAAGTAGGGAAGACGAAGTTGTGATTGCAATGAACATTCTAAGGAAACGTCGGATGATCTGCACGAAGTGAACGCTCACTTCAGGAGCTTCGTGGCTTTTGCAGGCTGAGTCGCATCTGCCTGACGGACTTTGGAGAAGAGCAGCTCCATTGTCTCCGGTAGGGGCCCCAAGCTGTTTTTGAACTGCTCGAAACGATCGGGTAAGGCATCCAGAAAGTAAACCTGCAACTGTCCGCAGGAGAAGGTATCCTTAGGTGCCAGAATCATGACCTTTCGGAACTTTTCGATAAGTTTGGCTGGCTCAACCTGCTTATTGCGAAGAGTCCGCACTTGGGCAAGCAACGTAGTATATGGGTCTTGGAGCTGGAACTCGTTCAAGAACTTGGAAAGAAAGATATTCCAGGGGATTTTGGCTGAATGTTGAGCACGAAGCGCTTGATACCACAGCTGGTGCTTCCGATTCAAGTTTGAGCCGATGTGTCGAGACCAGTCCTCCTGATTTTCCCGGAACTCGATAAGCCGCTCCACACAGCTGCGTAGCCACTCGACGGGTAGATCCTCAGCCGCAGAGTCGAAGGTTGGCAAATAGATGTAATAGGCAGAAGAAGAGGCATTGCTTGTCGCTTTGATGTTACGTAGCCATGCTGCGCTCGCAGAGTCTCGGTCCGGCATGGAGGACGATATGGATGATTCAGACTGTGGTGCAGCCCTGGAGTCTGCCATCGCATCGAGTCTCTCTTCGAGCAGGATTGTACGATACTTGAGGCGCATGATCGAAGCCTCAAGTTCTTCGATTTGCTCCTGGAATGCTGCGGCTTGCTTCCGAAGAATCGCGTCCACCATACTGAGAAGGCAAAAGCTAGGGAACGCCTGACTCCCTCCGGAAGCAATTGGTATGGAACTTGACGGAGATGGAGGAGACGAAGACAGATGATCTTCCTGTCACACGAACTAATGCCTTGGAGCTCCTCTGCACCGCATGCGAACCCAAAGGCACCGTGCACAGTGTTGCGTGCTACCTGCATCAAGATGGTCAGGAGGTCAAAGCGAAAGTGCATGGCTGTCAGCTAATTTGTGGTCTATCATATATCACTTAGAAGAAGCCAGAGCTCGAGACACAGTCGGACACGCAAAACTTGAAGGAGTTAAAAATGCATAGACAGGTCAGGAAGACAAACTTGTGCGATGGCCCACGCTGTATCATGCGTATCCAAATGTGCTGGACAGTAATGCCCAAGCACTTGATGGACGGAGCGTTCTGCCCAGAGGCACGTTACTGACGTGGCAAAGTTTACAAATATATCCAGTTTTGGAGCATGAAGCGCTCGGCCTTGATGTCCACGATTGTGAATCGAAGAGGCAAGAGCGAATCTTCACTCGTTCCGAGTCCCAATCATACTGTCAATCTCATCGACTACCTGATGCGTGTCGGGCGAGCTTGAGCCAATCATCTCCATGTTGGCCGCGTCTCGGAGACGTCGCCTCTCGGCCAGCATGTCTAGCTGGCGATGCGATTCGACGAAGAACAAGACGTGTCGGAAGAGCTCCTCCATCTCCTCGGAGGGATCCTCCCTTTCGTCGTAGTCGATCTCCCGGTTCAGATCAGCCGGCAGCGAGCGCCGAAAGAAATCCTTCAGCTTGTCCAGAGGAAGAAGTGCCGGAATGTTAAGACTGAGACGTCTGAACCTTTCCACCAGAGTCGTCACGTCGAGCTGCTGATACGGCAGGTATTCGAGCTCGGCCCATTGCTGATGGTGAGGAGAGCGCAGAAGAAATTCGGTGAAGAACTTAGTGTGAAAATGCTCCCACGGCATCTGTCCCACGGGATTGTCAGCGGACACGCTGTACCACCAGGTCTTGTGAGGGCCTTCGAAGGCCTGTGCGATCAACGTTGGCCAACGGCTCTGCTCGATCTTCCGGTCCATCAGCAGTTCGATGCAATTGCGCAGCCAGTTGGCGGGCAATTCTGTGTCGGGGTGTTTGAACGGGGGCAGCTGTGGCACCTGTGCGTGGGGATCTGCCTCGTACTTGACTCGTAGACGAACAATCCACATCGCTGTGGCAGGGTATCGATCGTGGTTGGGTTCGTTGAGATATGGAAGCTCGTCTTCTTCTTCTCGACCCTGTCCTTCCTGCGTGGAAGAGATGCTGGTGTTCTGGCCACTCGACGCCGGAGGTCGCAGGCCTTGGCGCTCTACTAGAGCGCTAAGCTCGATGACCTGCCGACGCAGGTCTCCAACTTGAGCCTGCAGAGACTGCTCCATGCTGAAGCCGATCAGATGATGCAGCTGCGAGACGCTTCTTAGAAGCGGGAGAGGAATGAGAGATCTGTCTCAAAGCGAAGAAAGTGCCACCTGTCCCTTTTCATTTTGCACACAAGTTGCGTGCTCAGTCGAGGCTTTTCTTTCTGAAATGAAGTCAAGTGTGACTATAGAGAGGACACCGAGCAGCAGCCGAAAGGAGGCTTGTGGGAATCACATCAAAGTGGGTTGAGTCGAAACGCCGCGCCTCAAGCAGGCCGGTACTACCCTTTGAAAGAAGAGCTCGTCAACGTGACAGCGAGCCAGACATCGCCACACGCAAACACTCATGTCCACAAAGGCACAGCTTCTTAGGCGAAGCCTGCTGAGGGCTCATGAGTCGTGTCCGACGAGCCTTTCGCTCACGTTGTCAAGATTTTCACGTTTGGACGACGGTCGAGCTTGGACCACGTCGCTCTCGGAAAGGTCTGCATCTCGTCAAAGTTCAACCCACTTCTGCGTACAAGATGCGGGCATTTCATTTCCTTGCATGAAGCTTTCTCTGCCGCTCTTCTTCCTCGTGAGCCCTTTCTTGGACAAAACTAGTCCAGTCCACGATCGCAATCGTGCTTAACGAGTCGAGTGGGCGAACGCCTTGTTCAGGTCTGTGACACAAAGGAACGCGTGTTTGTCAATAGCGTCCCTGGTCGCTTCGACTTCAATACGTTGGGATCTCTTTTGTCTCTCACTTCCAATCACCTCTCGTACCTCAGAATCAGGTCAAGTCTCCACCATCTTCCCTCTTACCGACTCTTGGGACAAGCCGCTTTCATCACTCTATGTTCGAGCATCATTCAGAAAACTTTGGGCCGATCCGCTACGACAAGGATGATATCACGACATTCAACTTCGAAGCCATCTTCGAATTGCTTCAACAACCGAGCATCAGCAATGAAGCCATATCGGAGATCGATTCCCTGACAACCCGCTGCTTCCGTCGAGCCGATGAGATACTCGACGCATTCAATGTCGACATGAGCCAGAACCTAACGATGTCCATTGGACCCGACATCTTTGTCGACGGCTACTCCTTGCAGGCATGGACGGATCTATTCGTGGAGACGATCGTCATCGTAAATAGTCTCGATCATGTCAAAGAAGCGCAGCAGCGCCATGCGACTGTCGATCCATCTGCGCTGAAGCATTCCCTCATGGCTGCGGCAGTCGAGCTTGCGACCAATGCGATTCCAGGAAGACCTGCAACGCCACCGGTTTACAGCTCTGCTGACTTCGACTTCGACAGGATCGTTTCGACACTGCTGCTCCACGACCAAATTGGAAGTAATAGACAACAGCAGCCCGTTGCCAGGTCAGGACTCGGGGCGTTACAAGGAGCGCAGCTCATCGCGTGGACCGCACGAAAGGCTTCCGAGGACGGAGTGTCCTTCGCCAGCAGCCTTGTCCACGAACCAAGGACCGTCATCGATCTGACCATGGACAGCAATGGTGAAGAAGACGCGATCGAGACTAATGCAATCGAACTTGCAGCTGGACGGATCGCAGACGGCGCAAACGACGACGATGATGCCTTGGAGCGGCTGATAAATCGAGATCTCCCCAGCGTCTTCACAGCAGAAGACCGCAACACCTACATCAGCTCCTACCACAACCACGTGGTTGACGATCATCAATACGACCACACCGTCGCGCACCCTGGCAGTGCTTCTCCGCTTTCGGACCAGCAGCTTCTCTGGACATCCGATGAATCATCCAGTTCAGCAACGTCAGCCTCGACAGCGAATCGCAGGCCTGCCTTTATGCCTCAAGAGCGAGAGAGAATCTGGTATCGTCACGGGGTTCCCTGCGAGTACTGCCGATTCTTGGGAGTGGAGTGTCTTCCTCCGGACTTTGACTCTCGCTTTGTCTTGTGCAGAAGGTGCGATGATGACGGCATCATCAATCCAGAGTGCAATCGGAAGTTCTGGCTTCAGGCCGGACGAGTCAGAAAGTGGGCAGCCGCCGTGCACGAGGGCAAGTCAGAGCTGGAAGCCGACTGGGTCGCGTACGGCCACAATCAAGACTACTTTGGAGTGGCAAAGTTCGACAAGATCACCGATTACTCTGCTGTGATGCCCAACGAGGCTTCTTCTTCGACCCTTGCTTCAATGCGTTAGGCCGTGATCAGCGGTTGACTGAGCTGTCGATTGTCTCAAGTCCATGGTATTCTCGACGTTACAATGCATCATGCTAGGCGTCCCATGGCAAAGCGGTCGTTGTACGAAGCGTTTCGACACGTGGAGAAGCCGAATTGGAAGGCGAGTCACCGCTGCTCGCCTGTCATGCCGCATAAACTCGGGTCAACCGTAGGACTTTTCGGAGTTTTGTTCGGCTCAGTCCTTGATAAAGCCTAGCCGAAGGGTTCTTCCTCTGACTCGAAACCGACGGCCGGTCTTGCTTAACTATATCAGGACCCGTCCTGAGCCAATCGACCTTCTTTCCTCCAATCACCAACTCATCAAGATGCTGTCCCTCAACGACGAAGAGGCGCTGCAGCGTCTTGGACCCGTCGTGCCCACCGAGCCGGCGCAATTCCCAGCTCGCGTCACGATCCCAGGCCAGTACATCGACCTCGTCCCGCTCAGCACCGACCACACCGAGGCGCTCTATCCTCTCGTCGCGCTGCCCGAGCACGAGCGACTATGGGACTACATGCTCGAAGGACCTTTCAACGGCGATCGCGAACTCTTTGTCGCCTACATGTCTGCTCGAACATCCAACAACAACAACATGGTCTTCTGGGTCATTGTTGACAAGCAACCCGCCTCTTACTCGGCACCCACCATCCTCGGCATCATCTCGTATCTCAACATCAACCCTAAGCATCGCACCATTGAGATCGGCAACATTCTGTTCTCGTCACTGCTTCAACGATCGCGCAAGTCGAGCGAGGCGGTGTTCCTCATGCTCAAGCACGCGTTCGACGATCTAGGATACAGGAGGGTCGAGTGGAAGTGCAACAATCTCAATCTCCCCTCGAAGCGCGCGGCGACAAGATATGGATTCACGTACGAGGGGCTCTTCAGGAAGATGCTCGTGTTGAAGGGGAGGAACAGGGACACAGCTTGGTTCTCGGTGGTGGACGATGAGTGGCCGCAGAGGAAAGCCGCGTTGGAGGCGTGGTTGAGCCCGGACAACTTTGATCCGCAGACGGGGGCACAGATCCTCACGTTGAAGCAGGCACATGCCAAGTTTGGGTATGCGGTGCCAGAGTCGTTGCAGATGCCTGCGGTGCCGTTGTAGAACACACGCGCGTCAGCCATACAGATATGGGTTCAATGTATCGATGTTCGAGAGATCAAGCCGTCTTTGAGTGAGTTCCGCTTAGCGCCATGCTTTCGACGATGGCGAGAAGCGCTAATGCCTGGCCGTAAGGCATCGGTGTGATAGGAATCTTCCGGTAGAAGTCGAGATCGTGTCCCATCGCGGTGCCGAACGACGTCTGCTGAACCTCTCCGTCCTCCGCAATCATGTCGACTACGCCTTTGAGCGCTCTGTCCGCCATCGTCTTGTACTGCTCTCTCTTCTTCTGATCCTTGATCAGCCCGAATCTGAGCGCGAGGTATGCACCGGCAGCAAAGCCAGCAGTGGCGGACGACTCGACGTACGAATCATCGTACTTGAGCAGTGTATGCCACAGCCCCGTCTTCTGATCCTGCAGGGGCAGCAATGCATCCAGCTGCGCCTCGAGTGTACCGATCAGATGTCTTGCGAAGAACGACCCCTTATCCGCCAGATCCTTATCCTCCGCACCCAAGATGTGGAAGAATAGTGGAATGGCCAGCGTAATCCAGCAGTTTCCCCTTGCCCAGTGTGCGCCTGCAAAGTGATGTCGACCCTCGAACGTCCATCCGTGGAACCACAACCCGGTCTTTGGATCGTACAGATACTTGATATGTAGCAAGAACTGATATTTGGCCTCCTCAACGTACCGCTCGACGCCCAGCACCTGACCGATCTTGGCGAGGGGTAGGACGGTCATCATGAGTGTGTCATCCCACAGCTGACCCTCGTTTTGCAGATCGTAGGTGATGTGTTGGAACCCGCCCTCTTCGGTCTTGGGTAGGGCGTGAATCACCCACTCTGCCCATTCGATCAGCATCTCTTTGTACGATGCATGGGAGAGGGGGTCCAGCTCGTAGACGCATGCGAGCGAGAGGAGGGCCGCCATGGTATTGATGTTTTTGGTGGTGCCACCCTCACGCTTGCGATTCGCAAACCAGTCGTGGATGATCGAGAGGGAGGTAGAAGAGGAGGTGAGTGTATGATGCTCGAATAAGGCGAAGAGCGCGACGCCGTGCGTCCACTCCCAGCCCGCCCAGCCTTTTGTATCGATCACACGACCGTCCGCGAGCGGGAGAAGGAAGGCGCCATCCGGATCTTCGTTGTGAAGGAGCTTGTGGATGAGCTTGTCGACCAGTTGGGAGGCTTCGCTGGTCGAGAGCGGGGATGTTGTATCGGTCGTCATTGTGGCAGGTGGTGTTCGGAAGTGTCAGGGAGTGGTTGCTGATGGTGGTCGAGATGCCAAGGAGGACACGTGCAGGTAAGGCGGAAGGACAGAAACTTGCGCCCGACCGTGATGATGCTGATTTGATCCTCAAGAGGTCGTCAGGTGATGGCAGAGGGCTGATGAGGTCCCATTTGGGACGATGAAAGCCGCCTTTTGAAGTGACTGACGTTCGAAGTCGAAGTCGAAGCATGAGTCGGCCCCCACGTCTGCCGCCGATTCCCCCGCGTGGTGTTGTTCTCCCCCACTCCGATAAATTCGCCTGTCGCCCTTACCCCACAGAATTGCGCTTGGAGGGTCTTGCCTTGCTCACCTTCACTAGCTAGGACGCCGGTCTGTACCGATGATTCGTGATCTAGAAGACCTCGTACTAATCCATAGTGAGGAGTCGTCATTTCACTGCAATGAGAAGCCATTACAGAGTCGTACAGGAAAATCATCAGAAGCGTACAGGAGTCCGTCAAGGTGACTAAAACGTGAGCCTGGCGGCACCGCCCGCCATCGCAAACGCACTGACACCCACCACCACTGCCACCATTCTCCACCCCTTCACCGCGTCATCCACGACCGACCTGCCGCCCGAACTCTGGAAGATCGCACCTGTACTAGCGTCCTTATACCCCGCACCGGTCGTCGAGACATCCGTATAGCTCCCCGGTTGACTCGGGACCACCGTCCCCACGTCCCCATTAACACTCGCTACGCCGCCGAGCAATGCACTCCCTAGCCCACAGATGCTCCTCAGGTTGCTCACCACCTTGTCCGCACCCGTGCCCTGCGGATCCGTCCCTAGGTAGTAGCACTGGTCGGTGCGCTGGAAGCAGTCGAGACACTGCGGGTAGACCGATTGGAAGGTGTCGGTGCATGCGCAGCGAATGACGTTGATGTACGCGATCGGGTCGTTGAAGATCGACGTGGCGTTGGCGAAGACCGACGAGGCGCCCATACAGGATGAGAGAGAGGAGTATTGCGCTTCACATTTGGGGCACGAGGGAATGTCGGATGGGAAGCGAGGTGGACCGAGAGATGAGAGTGGGACAGAAGGCTGGTCCTGACGCCTGATGGGAGTAGGCATATGGTGAGAAGAGTAGATCTCGTAGATCTCGTCCGAGGTGGAGCGAGCGTTGATGGTCGGGATACGAGGCGCGGGCGTGGGCATGAGCGATCGCTTGACGGCGACTGGCGGTGTACTTGCAGCCTCGACGATGGGTCGCGCTTGAGCCATGATGTTGAGAGCGCTGATGATCAGAAGCACCGTCAGCATGAAGGTGATCGACATCCTCGAACCACTCCTCGTCCTCAAGTGTATCATCTTGATTACCCCGATGTCGTCGTGAAGAGTGCAGAGGGCTACTTGCTTTTTATAATGCGGGGCGAGGGATGTTGTTGGATCGTGGAAGGCTCGTAGCGGTCGTCGTCAGCAGTCGGTGGCCGCCGATGGCAGTAGTGGTGATCAAGATCATGGCAGCATCCAACAAGAGATCAACGACTCGTAATCGACACAGCTCGACCCTGTGCTACATGCGAAGCCCTCAGGGGCTCTATTTTGGGCTCAACTGCATAAGAGAAAGCTTCGACACCAGATTCAGGGTTCACGATTGGTGATGAACGCTGCGCAGCTGCAATGATGAGAGCCACGAGACCGGGCAAGCTGCTGCGCACGCACGCTCGAACCCCTGTCCGACGCTCCTGATGCAGGTGCAGGCGCCGGCATAAGTGACACTGAGACTGACATGCAGCTCCACCGTGCGCCTGCACCATTGCACTCGAAGGCAGTCAGAGGAGTTGATGAAGCGGCTGCGCCTGACCCCTGAGGCTCTGACTGCGAGCCGACCCGTCAAAGTCGAGGAAGGAAGCTGGACAGGGGCTGGGCGCACTTCCCGCGGCGGCTCTAACACTTTGAGCCACGAGATCGGGTGATCCAAGCCGGATCTGCGAGATGGAATTTTTGACGGGCTCGCTTCCAGAAAAGGGTCCCTTTGGCTCCTTTTGCCTCTCTCATTCCTCTTTCGGTCGTCACAACCACCTATACCAGCTCAGTCCGGAGCAGCCTGCGATCTGCGGACTGGTCGCACCGCTCGACATCGAATGTAGCCGTGTCATGGCAGATGGCGGCTCGCAAGATGGTCGACCTCGAGCGCTCACCATTGCACCTTCCACCCAAGCGACCGCATCGTTCCTGACCACCCTCGACAGGATCCGCACGACGCTCGCACGCACGTCGCACGACGAGAAGCTTCTTCGAGACGATGCCTGGCCGGCGATCTTGAAGCGCGTCCATGCAGCTCTGGATACGGGCAAGCCGATCACGGGAGCAGGACCGAACAGAGGCCTGCCGATGGAGATCGTATCGCAGACGCTCAAGGCGAGCTGGCATGTCGATGGCACCTGGCCAATTGGGCCCAATGCGATGCAGCTGTTGGAGGAGCACAGCGTCGAGAAGGCGAGGGCGGAGAAGGGACCTGAGGCGAAACAGGATCCTACTTCGGAAGACGTCGCGCAAGCATACCGGAGAAGAGGGGTCGTGGTGGACGAGGCCAAGGTCGTGGTGGACGACTGGTGAAGGACTCGCATCACACACATGACGGACAGCAATCAGCGGAAAGAGTCGTCCCAGCTTTCTCAGTGGGCCCCATTTCGGGTCAATGCCGACCTGAGCTGCCAGCAGGGGCACATCAATGCTCGAGCGTTTGGCCACACTCTGTATACTACGAAATGCGTCTATTGAAAACTGCAAGAGATCATGACATGGAAGCGAGAGTTACACAAATGCTGCGAGTATAGATGGAAATAGTCGGCGTCGCATCAAAGCCTTGCCTGTCTCTGCGCCTTGGCGTTCTGTCTCGCGAGCGGGTCCGCCTCACCATCCTTGCCGGCACCCGGCGCGCCGGGCTTGGACGACTTCTGTGGCGCCGACTTGTACTCTGCATTGTACGCCTTCATCTTGTCCGCCTTGGCGATGCCGCTCTCGTCCCTGTAGACACCGAGCTCCATCAACTTGGCAAAGACCTTGGCGAAGTCGTTGAAGAAGAGGTCCCTGTCGTCGGCGTACTTCTCGACCCAGGGGCGGAACTTGTCATCCTGGATGAGCGCGTAGTCGGTGGGGAGCATCATGAGGTGCTCGTCGTCATCGTCGGCACCGGGAGCTTTGGCGACGTACTGGAACGGTCCATCCCACTTCTTGGGCGACCACTTGAGCTTGAGCAGCAGCTTGTAGTATTGATTCGAGAAGCGGGTGGGCGAGTTGACCCAGGGGCCTTCGAAGCCGGAACGGTCCGAGTGGCATCGGCCGAGGTTGTGGGCGCCCGAGAGCGCGACGATCTCCTGGTCGTTGAAGCCCATGCGGTAGAAGATGAAGCGGATGTGGTCGGCACCTTGGGCACCGTCGGGGAGTCGACCGCGGGGTGGAAGGCGCGAGTCGTCTGCAAAGTCGGTGCGGCCAGGCTTCCACTGGATCTGAGGACCGCCCATCGCCTCGATAGCTACGGCACCAGCAAGCGTCCAGAGGTCGGCGTAGGTGATCCACGAGTGCTTCTCCTTGATGGGCTCGAGGAAGACACGAGCGTGCTGCAGACCGGCGTTGGCGGGGTCACCACCTTCGGCTTCGTATCGCATACCGGCACCGTTGGATCCGCCGGTGTCCGTCTCGGCGCAGTAGGTGCCGCTTGCGTGCCATGCGAGACGAACGAGGACGGGTCCCGCCGAGCCATCGTCGTACTCGGGCTGCTTGAGGACGGCGATGATGTCCTTCTTGACGGCGTCGTAGTCGGCCTGCTTGGTCATTTTGAGGATGTCCGGGAGGGTGTATGCGCGAGTGAAAGGGGAGATCAGGTTTGAGATGAGGTGGAAAGGGTCACAGAGAGCGTGGAGGATAGGTGACCGTGAGTGATGGTGTGATGGAAGGAAGGAAGGACTGACGGCGGCCTGCAATCTCAAAGGTGAACAACGGATGTGTGGGGCAGCCGGCAACCGGAGCGGAGAGGGAAGGCGAAGGTGCGAGAAAGAAAAAGTGACACAGCCAATCGAGGGAAGTGGATTTGGCGGAGGAGCTGCAGGTAGGGTTCTGCCAGCTCAATCAGGGTTCCGCAGTTGGCAGAGAGCACGCTGTTGAAAGCTCAGCCTGCAGCGGCTGCGACATGCAAGGCAATGAGTCTAAACGCAGTCGGGGTGATAGGGCGGGCGAGGGCGAGGACTGTGATTTGTGTGGAAGAGCGGCTTGGAAAGGCTTGGTGAGGAAGCGCAAGGGAGCGGTATCACCCGACTCGAGCCGGACGTGTCACGCATACACACTCGAGAGCTCAGTTGAGACTGAAAAGAGGGTCTTCTTCGCGCCTGTCTGCGGCTCAAGACGGCTCGAACCTCATCCTCTCAATCGCCTTCATCTGCATCACATACGACACCACCCCATCGGCCTTTTGAAAGCTTTTGCTTGTCGTTGATGCGCTGCTCCTCATCTGTTCAGCAGGCAATGATATAGTCAATCTGCTTTGGATCAAAGTGACATCAATACAAACAGGAAAGGCAGACCGGCCAAGTGGATGATCCTATCTTTGACACTTTGACTTACGTGAGCTTGAAATTTGTCGATCCGCCCTCGCAGGAAAAATTTCTGAGGGCTGAGCCGGTCAGTTACCGCATTCCAGATGGCTAAGCGAACATAATTCTCCTAGCCTGGTCGCGTCATACAGGGTCTACAACCACTCATTTTTGGTCATTTCGGAGAAAAAAAGTCCTCGTGATTCGCTTCGACAAAGTTGGCAGGCGAAAATGAATCTGGCTCAGCGGCGGCGCATGTGAATTCGTTATCTGCGCTGCTTTACATCCGTCAAAAGAGGCGATCTTGCTCATGCACGTCGATATCGATCTCCGGCTCCTGCTCTCGCCTTGCCGGTCAGTCTCTGGGATTCAATTGCTCTTCCCTCAAGAAGGCATGGCATGCCCCGTATCAATGCTGATCCGGATCTGGAGACACCTGGCAGTTGAGCGCGACTTTGTGACCATGAGGCTGTGGCAGTGGCTGCTGACTGTGGTGACTAAGATATTACTCATACCTGATCTTGAGAGGGGGACGATGAGGTGGCTGGCTGCGTCTTTGGACATCTCGGCTGGAGCTCGCGTGAAAACCGGCTTACGGTAGCCTCGCCGGACTGCCCTTCTCGCATGACCAACCAGAGACAGAAAATGATATCACGCAGGTCGGACCCTTGATCGGCAATTTTACGAGCCGGTCCCTGCCTGGGTCTAACAAACTTCTCAAAACCATTGTGCCAAAGAGGGAGGGAGCGTCGTTCTCGTCACGATCTGACTCGAAAGCACATCGGGTGAAGGGTATCATTATCGTAAGGAGTCGTGAACGTAGGGCTGGTGCACATAGAAACATTCTCACTGCTCGCGAAGGTCTTTGGTGCTCAGGCCAATGTCAGGTCCGGAGAGATTGCCACCACGACGCGCTCGAACAGCAAGATGGCCAGCAGCGTGTTGGGCCCTGCAGCCTGTGGTGAGCAGAACGGCTCCAGCCAGGTCGTGAGCCGCCCAACTTGGATTTGCGCTTCTTCCATGCATGCTCCCGAGCCGCCTCGGTGCAGTCCGTCATCGGCACTTCCAAGCAGCACCTTCTTCGCCAGCCACAGTGCGATCGGCTCTTGACCATCACGTGCTGTGGAACAAGTGAGTCGTAAGCGAAGGCGGATCCATTCGGCTTCCTGCGTCTCCACATCGGGATCAGGCACCGACGGCGGAAGATGGCCATTCGGCAGCAGGGTCCCGCGGAGTTCGCGCACCATTCGTGCAAGCTTGGCTGTATCTTTGAGCTCGGCGTTGATCCTGCGCGCTGTCATGCGGTTCACCGACTCGCCTAGCCCGGTCGTTCCCAATATCGTCCGAGCGAGACCAAACAGCGTCCTCAACAGCAGGCGCGAGTCGACTTGGAGCATCGCTTCCATCGCCTCGAGCCAGTTGCCGACGTAGTCTGGCGCAAGGCCTGCCTCGTCAGCCGCTCCCTGTCCGTCTGACGCTGGTCTATCCTCCATTTGGCCGTTCGGGGGCTCGGCAGGAGTGTAATTCGAGTCGGCGTTGATGGCTGACGAGTGTGCCTGGTCTTGGGCCAAGTCCTCGAGACTGAACTGGAATTTGCGCGACGGATACCGGCCGTGCATCTTGCGCTCGACCAAGCTGCCTGTGGACCGTGACGATGGCAAAGTAGATCTGAGGCTGGGGGAACGCTTGAGGCTGCTAATGTCGTCGAGCTGAGACTGACCACGCTGATGTTGCGTCCGCCTCTTGCGAGCGCGCTGCACGTTGAACAGGTCAAAGTAGGCACGCACCAGAAAAGGAATCGCAGTCAAGACCAAAAATGTCCATGCTTGCAGAAGAAGAGCTGGCAACCGAGTCAGCAGACCTATGGCGAGCGAGACGACGCTGTCTACTGCGCTGCGTTGACGAGTCGCGGCAGCTGACGAGCCAGGATTGTCGTTGACCGATGGCACGAACGCCAAAGAAAGATCGCTCGCCCAGCCAGCTGCGTCCAGAGCCTTGTGTAGACTCTGCACAAAGAACCAGGGCCGGAAGGACCGAGCAAGCGCTCCTCGGAGGACAGTCACGAGCACATCGCGCACAATGAACTTTTCCGTGTCCGGCGCGTATTCGTCTGCGGGCAGCAGCGACGAGAGAAGGTTGACTACGGCGATGCGAAGATATGCTGGGTCAATCTTGCCGTCGAGTGAGCCCGTTCTCGGATCGAGTCCAGGGTGAGGGGACGCAGCCATGAACTGTTGTGCCAATTGCAACGGCGAAGTGTGGGAGGTGGGCTTCGTTGTGGAGGAGAGCACCTGCTGATGTTCTGGTGGCAGCTCCTCGTAGACTTGTTGACGCCGGCGTTCATCTTGTTCGGATTGTGACGCAACGAGGGATGGTATGGACGATGACGAAGACGTTCCCAGCGGAGCCCATGCGCTCTCTGCCTTGCCCTGAGCCTGTCTGAAGTCGGAGCAATGCTGACGAAGAACCAGTGGAATGTCCCGAGAGAGCAGGTCATGCAACCTCGGCAGCTCTGCGTCGGATCCCGAGGTGGTAGCGTGAATGCCAGCGTCGACTGCATCGGTATGGCCGGCAGTCTGACGTTCGACGATTGTGTGGATGATCGAGGTGACGATCGAGGTGATCTGAGTGAGAAACTCGCGGTCTGGCGTCAGCTTGCTATACCAAGGAAGCACGGTCTCGCGCAAGAGATAGGCGAGTAGCAGGTAGATCTCGTGATCTAGATCAGTGTCATGCGTAATACTGGGTGCTTCCGTCGCTGCTGGCAGATCTTGGAAGAGGATGCGACGATAGAAGGCACGCTCCGCAAGCTTGTCGGATATCGATGTTCTCTTCGAGGATATGGCTCCTTCACGAGCGCTCTGAGCAGCCAATGAGCTGTTCTGTGATCCGTGACTCGAGCGTCGGTCTGTGTTGTCGCTGAGCGGTCTGGAGTTTACCGTGGTCGCCACGCCGCTCAGAGGGTCGGCCGAGTCGATGCGAAAAGGAGCAGGCGATCTGGGACGCGGCGAGAGTGTAGCATGAGCTTGTTGGGTGCTGACCGAGGCGTGAGAAGCGGTGATGGATGCGCCGACATCTCGAAAGGGGCCCGATGCTGACGCAAAGGGAAAAGATCCGTCCTTGCGGGCAGCGAACGCAGCCACTGCCGAAGGTGCAGGAGAAGACAGAGGAGAAGGCGACACCGCGCCTCGTCGCATGGCGTCCCGAGCCATCGCTGAGATGACAAAATCTTGGCGTGCTGCTATATACTTGGTGACAGCATTTTCGTTCGTAGGTCGATGGGAGAGCAAGAGAGATGGAAGTCGTGGAGAACAACAACTCCACCGAGATGATCTGTGCTTGAGCAGCGTGTTGCAGACACGCGTCAGGACCCCTTCGCTCAGCAGGCTTGCATTTTCAGGGGTCCAGCACGAAATTTCAATTTTCAAGGAAAAAATAAAACAAAAGCCACGCCGAAACTGTGGTCACGAAAATCCAGCTAAAGCCAGTTGCTCAGCCTCCGAATGCTTCCTCTCACCGCCCACTTCGTCTGCCTCGCCCACCCCTGGACCTCATCTCTTCATTCATGTGAGCACGCTCGCGCGAGTAGCCTCCGAAGATATTACCGCCGGGACGAGCGCAGTCGGCAAGAAGCATGAGTTCGAAGGCAATGTGGACCGCACGTACAGCAGGAGACAGCCCCAGCAACGAACCATTGATCTCATCTTCCCTCGGCGCCGGAGGCGTTCAATCGTTCACGACCGCAGTCCACCACAATGAGCTCTGTCATCCGTCTGAGTTGCTCTTGACCCACTTCTATGAGCATGCAGGGCAACATAGCTCGCCTGCAACTCTTCGTCTCGAAAGCTCGATCTCAATGCTGCAAGAGACTTATAGCGTCGACGCTAGAAGTGAGCTTTGGGCATTGCCGTCGCTTCAAGCTTTCCAACACAACAGCGGCCCGGTCTTTGTCCAAGATACCGATAGAAAATCGCTCTGGCGAATGTCCCCGCCTCCCCGCGACTCTTGCCCGAGCCTGAGCTTTAGAGGACCGTTCATCGCCATGCATCATCCCTCACAGAGCCCCTCATCACATGAACTGGTACGTGTTTGCCTCCTTTCGCCTTCAGTACCTTCCGCGACGCAGACATGGATCAGTGTATCGAGCTGCACCGGCGGTGGTAGACAAGCCGGTAATCGAGACTTTTGGTCAACGACAGCGAGCTGGCGGGCACTTGAGTGATCTTCTTGTCAAAGACCAACTTTTTGACGCGCCTCCGGGCTTCGATCGGCGATGACAGGCTGAATCTGGTCCGTCTTGGAGTCAAGGAACTACTCGATCTGGTCTGACTGCAAAGACAGAGCGTGCCTCGCGCTGACCCTGGTCCATGCTGATTCCCTTCTTGACATTACTGAGCTCGCCTTTCGGTATCGTGTGCAAAATCTCGCAAAAGAGCTTTCTTTACTTTGTTCGTGTGTCTGCTGCAAGAACGTCGGTCCTGAGGCGTCGCACGACGAGATAAGCCAAGCGAGGTTCAGCATGCAGCAAAGCATCATCACGCTTTGATGCAAAGACGCCAAGACATCGAAGATGCAGATTGTGACGACAAACAACGGTCCTCGGACCGGAAGACCATCTCTTTCCGTTAGATCATGCTACTCAATCGAAGTGGCTCGAAAGCAGGTCAAGCCATAGCCAAGAACAGGTCCGCAACAGGTCCGCAACAGGACCGTTCGGCCGGATCGGCTGCACGTCTGTCGTGCATGCACGAAGGAGGGACATCACTGGTGTGATCGACGTCCGAGATTTCCATGTGTTGTCTGTGCTTACGAAGTGGACGTTGTCGAATGGATCGGACAGGCGAATCTCCATGTCCGGGTCGCGGAGATAGGCTTCGAGTGCTGCACAGTTCTGCTGAGTGCATGCCCTCGTGCCTGAAGCCAAGGAGGCGTGGCCAAGGCTCGAGCGCATGTGAATATTCAACCGGTTAAGTTGCAAGCGGAGCGGCAAATTCTTTGTACCGACATCCCGACCGGCCAACTCTGTTCTGTGGACGCCGAGCAACGGCCACACTGTGCTTCTGCCCGAGTGGACAGCGTGGACCCTGGTCACAAAGCCGCCCCACGGCACCTCTACAAATTCGCCGTCTCCGCTCCATTGTTCCTCCTTTGGCGGCACAAGCGCAGTGTCGAGACAAATTTGACATCTGTCGCGCGAAAATCTCGCCACGTGAACAGGCCTCCAGCCGCCATCGTGACCACACTGCTGCCGCTCACCCTCCTGCACGCTTGGTTTTACCGTGCCTGGCCGATGGTCCTAATCCCGAACCTCTGCATGGTCCCAATCACAGAGCGACTTCCTGGGGCCCCAATCATCTGTCGTTCATCCCCGTCTGGAGCATCCCCCACGAACTTGCCTTGACCGATCCAGTAGTTCCGACAATTCCTTGGCCTCTATCCCCACACCCACCTCCTCTCCCCCCCGCATGCGCGGAAACATCCGTTTGGACGCAAGCCTTGCCCGACCGGTCATTCTCGCTTAGCCTGAAGCCACCTCTGCCACCGCACGCGCACACATGCAACTTCGTACCGATCTTCCGGTCCCCCTTCCGCGTTTGTGGCTTTCTTTGCTGTCGACATGGACACAAATCGCAGGTTCCAGACTCAGATGCACCGCTCCGGACCGTGTCGTGCCGTTCCTCCTGCCAGTTCATGCGGAGCATGTCCGGATTACTTCCAAGCGAGCTGTGCTGTCCGTGTGGATCTCGCCGGCCAAACTACCTTCCCCGCTTGGGAGAAATTAGTCCCGTCCGTTGTCAATCTCGAAACATGGCACCTCATGGCCTTGCAGCGCGCAGTTTCTTTCAACAGTGAAGACATGTGCGACGTGGGAACATTGTCGGGCAGCGGAAACCAGTGCAGCGGCTGAGCTCCGGTATGCAGTGGGAGGTCGAAATCTTGAGCAGCACCGTCACTTTTTCCTTTGGGTCAGGGTTCGGGAAGCTAAGATTAAAAATTTCATGTTCCTTGCAGGAGCATTTGTTCGGGCACAGCAGCACAGTGTGAGAGCTTGAGTCGATGCAAAATCGTAGCATGAAACATGCGAGCTTCTCCACGGGGTCTCCATGCTATCGCTCGGCAGCTGAGACTGTCGCTGTATCGCCTGCCTGCCCTTCGTAAGGGTCCGCTTCATCACGACGAACTTTCGACCTCGACTTGGTCCCACAGGTATATAGACCCTCAACCTGCTGGTCACGTTCCCCGCATTCTCTTCTCACCTCGTCCCCACATCCTCTCCTCCTCCTTCCCTCCTCTGTTCGCACTTCGTCCATCATGGCTGAGAAGACCCAGACTCCCGATCTCGAGGGAGCCCACAAGCTCGGCATGGTCGAGTCGATCACCACTGATGCCTCGATCCTCGAGAAGGAGAGCGTTCTGAACGGCAAGAACCCTGCCTCGCAGATTCCCGTGCTGCCCAGCACTATCGTTGAAGAGGCTGACGAGGAGGTGCTCAAGTACACCGATGCCTCGGTCACCATCACGCCCGAGGAGAACAAGCGACTGCTCCGCCTCGTCGACAGGAAGGTCCTGCTCGTCATGCTCGGTACCTACTTCTGCCAGTCGCTCGACAAGCAGATTCTCTCGTTCGCCGCCATCATGGGCATTCGCACCGACCTCCACCTCAAAGGCCAGGAGTACTCTTGGCTTTTCACCTGTCTTTACCTCGCTATCCTCGTCACTGAAGGTCCCCAGAACTACCTCGTCCAGCGTCTCCCTATCAACCGATGGCTCGGTTTCTGTGTCTTCGCATGGGGTCTCTCGTGCTGCTTTGTCGCCATCACCAAGAACTTCACCGGTATCCTAATCCTCCGAATCATGCTCGGCGTCTTCGAGTGTGTCTGCCAGCCCGCTTTCATCGCTCTATCGGCCATTTGGTACAAGAAGGAGGAGCAGGCTCGCACTGTCACTCTTTGGTACTGTAAGTTTCGAATCCCCGCACTTGATTTCCCCCACGCAGCGATGCGATTAATTTTTGCTCCCACCAAGCACGCGATATTTTCGCCCCCCCGACCATATTCGCTGACATCCTTTTCCTCTTCGCTCATCGTTTCACTCTTCCTTCTGCTCCTTCTGAATCCCAAACCCCTTTAGGTATGAACGGCGTGCAAGCTGGCGTGGGCGGCTTGCTTGGTTTTGCATTCTATCACATCCAGGGCGCCGCGCTCTCTTCGTGGAGGATCATGTTCCTCGTCCTCGGATTGCTCACCATTATCTGGGGAATCACCATCGTCTGGTACCTTCCCGCCTCGCCCATGAAGGCTCGCGGCATCTCGGACGAGGACCGCGTAAAGCTGGTCGAGCGCGTTCGTGAGAACCAGACCGGTGTCCAGAACCGAAAGTTCAAGAAGGAGCACCTCTACGAGGCGCTCAAGGACCCCCAGGCTTGGTGCCTTTTCCTGATCAACTTGCTCAACACCATCCCCACCGGTGGTCTCGGCTCGTACGGCAACATCATCATCAAGACCAACCTCGGCTTCTCGGTTCTCCAGACCAACCTGCTCGGCCTCGCCCAGGGCGGTTTCCAGATCACCGTCCTACTCCTCGCTGCTTACATCGCCAAGAAGTGGAACCAGACTATCCTTACCGCCGTCTGCTTCACTATCCCCAACATCATCTCAGCCGTCATTTTCCTTACTGTTCCCAACAACAAAGACCACGCCGGTGGTCTTCTCTTCGCTTTCTACATGACCATTTGCTTGCAGGCCCAGGCCACGCTCTCCTTCTCCCTGCTTTCCAGGAACGTCGGTGGACAGACAAAACGTGGTGTCGTCACTGCTATGACCTTCATTGGCTGGGCTGCTGGTAATTCGGCCGGTCCTCAGCTCTTCCAAGCAAAGGATGCGCCTATTTATCGAAACGCCTTCATTGGTCAGCTTGGATGCTATGCCGCCTCGATCCTTGTGCTTATCGGCCTGCGTATCCACTACATGCGTCAGAACGCCCAGAAGAAGCGTGCCAACAACATCCTCAAGGGCCGCGCTGAGGACGCCGAGGACGAGATCGACCTTTCCCAGGCTTTCCTCGACTTGACCGACAGGCAGAACATCAACTTCCGATACCAGTACTAAGCGTCTCAGCGCTCGTTCCTGTCTGTCTTGCTCCCTGTCGTCTACACTGTAACCTTTCTTATGATCAAAATGTCACGCTATGCACCGCATTCTCTCGCTACTGTCCGCGCTTAAGCTGTCAGCATCAGCGTCGCCGATCCTTCCCCAGGCATCGAGTGATTATCTTGAACACCGCCAAGCAGAATTAATGAGGTGGGCTGACCGCTTTGCAGGCTGTCAGACTCCGCCTTGGAAATGAAGCTCATTTCAGATTTGCACGGGGCCGTGAGATTGCGTTCAGCATCAGAGAGAGGGCTTAGGTCGGCAAGGCGCTGTGTGCCAGTCGATGTAGGCGTGAGAGCAAGAAATTGTTGGAGCGACCAAGCCCTGCGTTGCACGCAGCGCCTGGCCTCTCCAACAATTTCTCGCTCTCACGCCCTTACCAACGAGCACACCGCGCGCTCTCGCTCCAAGAGCTTCTGGCTGTCCCCGCAGGCAGTGCTCGCTCCTCGCGGGTTGTTCCCAGCGCTGAAGGTTTGACACAATGGCGCGCAGTGCTTCCTTTAATCAGCCAGCTCTCTCAACACAAACGCACGACAGAGCATCGCTGTGACTTCGAAGCCACAGCAGACAGCTCATGCGGTATCTCTGAACGCGGACTATAGCGAAGCTGAGAGTCTGGGGAGGGGCCTTCACCCGCAAACAGAAACAGGGCACGGGATGCACTTCGAACAAAGCTGGCGCCCGTAGCACGACATGCATCTGGACAAGGCGGACAGCCGCTCTTGAGGACGCGCGACGAGTCAGACAAAAGGCAGACGGTTGCTTTGAAACTCCAGGACTCTTTCTCTGAAGACAAAGCGGCACACGCGAATTTCCTTCTACGGCTAATGCGGATACCATCGACGTGGGCAACGAGGAAACGCTAAGCTGGCACTTCGACTCAAGCAAGCGGATGATCTTCTTTCCCTACAGTGGCGGGGGCGGGCGGAGCTTGAATCTCTATCAACCAACAGGATTGCGGGCAAAAAGACGCGGGTCGGATTTAGGACACTTTACATCGTTGACCGGCGAATTCAGAGGCCTCCCTCCGACCTGACCGAGCCGAGTCCCTGGTCGTGCAGTGTGCTCCAACGCCTCTTTTCTTGGCTGGTCGGCTTTGCTTCCTCTTTGCCGCCTATTCCGGCCAGCTGATCTCCCTTCCCGCCCACTGCTATCCTTCGGCCTCGCTTCTCTCCACCGCTTTTGCCTCCAGTGCTCTCCTCCAATGCTATCTGTTTGTTGCATGACCCTCTGCATCGCAACGCATCCGTAGCGGTCCGGTAAGCCGCAACGCTGTCTCGCCTGTTCGGATAGGAGGCGCGGCGGTCCGGTCGATCCGTCAACGGCGGCTGCCCCACCCACAAATTTACTGAGATGGCGGAGTATTGATTTTTTTTGGTTCCTGGTGGGGTCGAGGCTGGACCCTGAGACGATTTCTTCCAGGCGGGGCTCGCACAGACACGCGAGTGCTCTGAGCGCTGTCCACGTTCAAGCTCGCTTGTGCCAATTCAGCTGTTCATTCGCGTGCGCAAGACAATAGTGAAACCTCGAGAAGCTGAGAAGCAACTGCATCGAGTGGACCGAAGCTGAGGGCAAGCGATGCGAGCCGAAAGTCATGTGGGGAAAGGGTGGGGAACGCAGGATGCTTGATGAGTGCGGAGGAGGAAGTGACGATCTCGGTCTCTTGTTCGGCGTGGCATGCATGCAAGCACAATCAGAAGAAGCGTTCCTCATCGAGTCGCTCGCATCCGCTAGTCAGATGCGTGACCATCCTCTTAAAGCATATTGTGCATGCTCCATCGTCTTGTTCTCTAACCGCATCCTCCCTTCCTTCCCCATTCCTGTCTTCACTCCATCTCGACAGCCACTAATCCAAGATGCTCGTCGAAAGACCATTGACGAACCTCGCTCCGGCGAGCCAGCAGCCCTCTGATGCCTTCAAGCTCACGAACGAGCAAGGCTTCGAGTGGTCGTTGAGTTTCCTCACTCCCACCATCTACAAGATCACTGTCGTCGGGCCAAATCACCCGCTTCCGCAACAAAGCAATGTGCACTGGAGCAACAAGCCGCTCGCTGTCTCCGCCAAGGTCGATACTGGCGCGCAAAAGGCTACCCTCAGCGTCGACGGCTTGGCGCACGAAGTGACCGTGCAGTTCGATGACACTCCTATCGTCGAGATCCACGAGACCGTCGAGGGCAGCAACGACAAGGTTCGCATCTTTGGCGACAACCCGCACAAGTCATACTGCTACTCGGAGACGGGCGTCACGAGGTACACCCGCTTCAACAACCAAAATCTTCACATTGGCATGGGCGAGAAGGCTGCTCCGCTCGACCTCACCCACCGATCCTTCTGCATCTCGGGAAGTGATTCGGCCAGCTACGATGCCTACCGCACCGATCCTCTCTACAAGCACACTCCTTTCCTCATGTCGTTACCCAAGCCTTTTGATGCCGACGGAGAGCCTCAGCCGCTCACCTCGGTGGTCGGTATCTACTCGGCCTCCAACTCGGACGCCAACTGGGACGTTGGTCGCTTCATCGACGAGCCATGGGGCATGTTCAAGAAGTACGCTCAGCACTACGGTGGTCTGGAGGAGTACATCATCCTCGGTGAGCAGGCTCAGCAGGTCGTAACGCAGTTCTCGGATCTGGTCGGTCGCCCCCTCCTCGTCCCTAGGGATTGGCTGGGATACCTCGCCAGTGGAATGGGTCTCGGTGAGAGCGACGTGCCCATCGCACAGGAGCTGCTCTCCGGCTTCCCTGGCACATGCAAGCAGCACGACATCCCTTGCTCCGCCATCCACCTTTCTTCGGGCTACACCGTGGACGGCGAGGGCAACCGTCTCGTCTTCACCATGAACACGCGACGCTACCCGGACTTTGCCGAGCTCGTCAAGACGTTCCACAAAGCCGGCATCCGCGTCACCCCCAACATCAAGCCATACGTCGCGCAGGCCCACCCACACTACCAGAAGCTGTACGACGCCGGCGCGCTCTTCACCGACCCCAACAACGGCAATAAGCCTGTGGTCACTCGTATCTGGTCGAGTGGCATCGGCTGCACTGCGCTCGGCTCGTGGGTCGACCTCACCTCCAAGGCGGGTCGAGAGTGGTGGCGTCAAGGTGCGCTCGAGCTGTGCAAGCTCGGAGTCGACTCGCTGTGGAACGACAACAACGAGTTCCTGCTCTTCGACGACGCTTTCATCTGCAAGAACGAGCTCGACGGCGACGCCAAGGTGGACGGCAACCGCACCGGCAAGCCAACCCCTGTCGGTGCCCTGGGTCGCATGACCAACACCGAGCTGATGGCTCGCGAGTCGCATCAGGCGCTCGTCACGCAGCACCCTGACCGTCGACCCTTCGTTCTCACCCGATCTGCCAACGTCGGCACGCAGAAGTGGGCAGCATCCACCTGGTCCGGCGACAACCGCACCAGCTGGCACAACCTCCGTGGCTCGATCGCCATGGGCCTCAACGCGCAGATGTCGCTCATGCAATCGTACGGCAACGACATCGGTGGCTTCGCCGGCCCGCTCCCCAGCCCCGAGCTGTTCGTCCGCTGGATCCAGTCGGGTATCACCCAGCCCCGCTTCTGCATCCACTCCTTCAAGCCCTGCAAGGAGGACCCAACGGGTGTCAAGCTCAACAACCTCCCCTGGATGTACCCCGAGGTCGTCGACATCATCCGCACCACCATCAAGCGACGTTACGAGCTCCTGCCGTTCATCAACAACCTCAACTGGCGCTCGCACCTCGCCGCCGAACCGATGAACACGTGGCTCGGATGGAACGAGTTCGCCGCCGACCCGAACGTCTACTCTCGCGAGGTGCTCGAAGGGTTCGACTACTGGATCGGTCACGGTCAGCTGTTGGTCGCCGGTGCGTACCACGAGAACGAGCTCACCCGTCGTGTCTACTTGCCCGCTGCCGGCAAGGAAGATACTAAGGTGTACTACGACACGCACTCGCCGTTCAAGGTGTACAAGTCGGGTCAGTGGGTCGAGAACGTCTCGACGCCTCTGTCGCACTTTGCTGTCTTCGCTCGAGAGGGAACGGTGGTCCCTGTCGGTCTCGGCAAGGTGACGATCACTCAGAACGAGGGCCCTGCGACAATCACCTGCAGCGGAACCAAGATCTTGACCGAGCAGGAGGGCGGCCAGTGTGTGTACGACGACTGGCGTGGTATCGAGGTCTTCCCATCGCCTGTTGACGCAAAGAGCCCAAGCGAGTACACCTACAGCTGGATCGAGGACGACGGCGTGTCCGCCAAGCCTGCGGTCGCTGAGTTCAAGGTCGACATCTCGTCGAGCCAGGACGAGGTGTCGGTCAAGGCCAGTGCGACAAAGAGCGACTTCAAGCCCCTTTGGGGCAACACGCTCTGGGTCATCCTGCCCAGGGCCGACACGAGGAAGGTGCAGGGCGCGAGCAAGACCATGCTGTACAAGGGCCAGACTGCCTATGCTATCACTGTTTCGGGTCTCTGAGTCGTTTCCGTTCGTCTCGGTTCTTCTGCAATGCTATATCTTCTCGAGACCGTTGTAAACGTGTGAGGTGTCTATGAGTGAAGCACTTCAGAGGTCGGCGTGTAACTGTGAACCGAAGATATCGTGCCAATTGGTGTTGTCCGGCCTGACCCCTTCCTTGCGCATTTCCTTGGCCACGCGCTCCGCATCTTCCAACACTCGCAAGACGTTCTCGCCGACGAAGCCGATAATCTCCCTATCCGACCATCCGCGCTCCACCAACCTCGCAACCAGGTCGGGATACCGCCTCACGTCCTCGAGCCCCTTTGGCACGGACATGATCCCATCAAAATCGGTCCCTACACCAACATGTCTCCTTCCGACCTTGTCGCTGACATACTCGATATGCCTCACATACTGGTCCAGGTCCTCGCTGCCGCCAATGAAGCCCGGATAGGCGTTGATCATGACCACAATATCCTTGCCCGCACTCGCCAGCTTCTCAAGCACGGCATCTGGCACGTTCCGCTGGATCTCCTTGAAGTGTCTCGCTGCGGAATGTGAAAGCATCACGGGCCCTCTGCTCACCTCGATCGTCTGCAACGCTGTGTCGTCCGAGACGTGCGATAGGTCGGGTACGATCGCCAGCCTGTTGAGTTCCGTCACCAGATGCTTGCCAAAGGGGCTCAGGCCGTTCCACTTCTTGGGCTCCTCCCCTGCGCTGTCCGCAAAGACGTTGTGGCACGTATGTGTCAACGTCAAGTATCGTACCGGTCCCGGAATCTGATTTGAAAACAGTGCGGCATAGGCACGGAGAGCGTAGAGCGAGTTGCCGAGCGAATGTGCGCCTTCGATGCCGATGAAGCTGATCATCTTGCCCTGCTTGAACGCCTGTCGAGCCTCCTTGACGCTGCCAACCAGGGCAAAGTCGTCAGCGTACTTGTCGGTCATCTGTCGAATCACATCGAGCTGCTCGAGCGTGTCCCGTACCGCAATGTCGGTGGCAGCGCGCTCGAAGGTGTCACCGACAGTGGTACTGTTGGGACAAACGACGTAGGAGGACCAGAAGAAGCCTCCGCTCTTGCCCTCGCGTAAGCGTGGGATGTCGACGTGCGAGTACATGGGATAGCTGCCATTGGGAAAAGCGGGTGCGTCGAAGGGGATGGAGTCGATCTTGTTGCCGTACTTATAGCGGGCGACCACGGGGACGTCGACGTGGCCGTCGATGAGAGGGTGCTTGGAGAGGAGACGGAGTGCGTGCTTGCGGGCGTTCCTGCAGCGCCAGTTTGATGATGCGCCCGACACATCACAGCGAGATTCCGTGCCTGGCTGCAATAGCTTTGACACTGAAGACTCGATGCTGGGCCGAGCAAAGAGAACGAGGGCAATAGCGAGCGTGCACAGCGCCAGCTTGAGTTTGGCCTTGAGCGTCGAGCGTGGCGCAGGCGCAGCCGTCTGGCTGGTTGATGGAAGCAGACCGTCCTGCGACTTGTCGTTCGCGTGTATGCTCGACATGTTGACGGCGTCGCTGTGGTTGTGCGAGATGTGTAGAGGTGGAAGGGAAGCACGAACCGTGCTGAGCAGTAAGGAGGGGTCGTTCGTGCAGGGATCGACAATTTCGGCTATGAATTCGAAGGTCGACATCTCAAAGTGACGTGCTTCCGCGGAGCTCGAGAAGAAAGCCGTGTCCTGCCGCACCCCACTCAACTTGCGACTGAAGCAGTCAAGCAACATACACTCTCACACATCGACACACACGCGCAGAAGGAATGTGATAGTAGATACTTCCAATGCTTTCCGGACGGCCTCATAAATTCAACTGTAGTGCGCCAGCTATGCATCGACCTTCTTCCTGCGCTTATTGGGCGCTGCTATGACGGGAATCGTCTCGTGGTCCGCGATGAGCTCTTGCGGGGGCGCGCCTTGCCCCAGCACCACCTCTTGTCCGTCATCGACCATCGCAGCTTTCGCGCGCTTCTTTTGCTGGGCCGTCAGCTTGGGTGCAGCAGCGGCAACCTTGGGCGCAGCGGCCTTCTTACCGCTCTTCTTGGGCTTGACGTCACCCTCGTCTGCTGCAATTCCATCTTCATCTACGTCGTCTACATCGTCCGCATCCTCATCGGCTGCTGCTCCAGGCTCGGTGCCGAACGGCCTCCTCTCCCTGCCTGCAGCCAGCTCGGCACGCACCCACTCGGCCTCCATGTGCATGTCGCGCAGCACCTCTTCGCTCGTCTTGACGTACCCATCCTCGCCAAATTTGGGAGGGGCGAGCTCGATCCCCTCGTCCTCGCCGATGTCGGCGCCCGGACCGGTGTAGACTCGACCTAGCCGCTTGGCCACCTCCTTGGCCTTGGCGATGGTGCGTTCGGCCTTGGACAGGCTCTTCGGATTGGCCTGAGGGGCGGGCACGGCATCTTCTTCCTCTGCATCCGGGTCTTGCTTGTTTTTGCCTTTCTTAGGCTCTCGCGGCAGACGCTCACCACCGAGCTTGCTCTTGCGACCTGACGTCTTGACGCCAATGTCTTTAGCTGGCGGTCGGAGCGACTCGTGCTTGACCGGACGCAGGTTGTAGATGCGGTGCAGCTCAAGGACGGCTTGCTCCTTGTCCTTTGCTTCGATCATCAGATGTGCATCGGCGGGCAGATCGGGTGGAAGGAAGCCGCAGCGATCTGAGTGCGCGCGACGCTCTCGCAGATTGGTGGACCCTGGTCGAGGTTCTGAGAGATGGTACTTGGGTCGGATGCCCTTCTTGTGCCAGATGGCCTGGATCTCGGGCAGGAGCTCCGATGGCGGGCGTGCTGAGGGTCGGAGCAAGTCGTGGTGGAAGTCAAACACGAGCGGAATGTCGAGCTCCTTACACAGCGGAAGAAGCTCTTCGGTGCTATACGCCATCTCGTCGTTTTCGAGCACCAGCCTATCCTTGACGTTCTGTGGCAGACGCTTGTAGTTCTCGCGGATGCGGTCGAGCGTGGCCTCCCGATCACCGAAAGTGCCTCCTCCGTGGATGATCATGACGCTGTCTTTGCCCAACCCCATGCGATCCAGCATCTCGCAGTGCGACTTGAGGTCCCGGAAACTCGCCTCGATCACCTCAGGTCGGTTGCTGCCCAGCTGCGTGAATTGACCAGGGTGCATCGTCAGTCGGTGGCCCAGCTTCTTTGCAAGATCACCTGCTGCGCCCAATTCCTTCTCGGCATACTCGAGCGAGTAACCGTATTTCTCGTGCGAAGCAAAGGGGAACACTTCCGAGGACAGACGCATGAACTTGATGCCGTTTTCCTCGTTCCACAGGATCATGGGGATCATGTCGCGAGCGTTGAGCCGGCCGAGCTCCTTGATATATTCGGGGCCCTGCTCGTCCATGGTCTTGATACGGGCGGTGCGGCTGGAGAAGACGGCGGGGTCTTGCCATCGGAGAACGGTGTTGAGACAGGCGTAGCCGAGCTCGCCAGTGAAGCCGTTGCTGCGCTCTTGCCGCTTCTCCGGTGGGCCTTCTAGCCGGAAATCCCTTTGAGGAACGTCTGGAATCTCGTACACGACTTCCTTCTTCTTGCGCTTGGGTAGGCGGCGTCCGTTCTTGTCCCTCTTGACAGGATCGCCTTCCTCATCTAGCTCGATCTGATACTCTTCGCCGTGAACATTGACGCGAGTTTCGAAGTGTGTTGGAGTCTCTACCTTCTCCTTCTTGGGTGCTTTGGCACGCTTCTTCTTGGCGGGCTTCTCCTCTTCTTCGGCGGAGGACAGGCCGGACGATTCGCTCCTTGGCGGTGTTGGCGGCGGTGAGACGGCTTCTTTGACGATCTTATCTGCTACCTTGCGAGATATCGCTTTGGTCGAAGAGCTGCTTGCCTCGTCTTTTGCGGACTTGCGACCGCGCTTGAGTGATGGAGCGGGAGGCTCGATAACTACGGCCTCGATAGGCAGATCAGGCTCGGCATAGTTGACCGACGCTGCCGATGCACGACCACTTCGTCGGACCATTGTCAAGCTGGAGGTGTGGATGGCTTGCCTCGGGTGGATGGAGAGTCGCTGAGGTGGGAGCGCCGTGTATTGCTTCACCGACAGGAAGAGCAGTCGCGAAGGGGCGTAGAGTTGACGCCAGGCGAACATGCACTGCTGAGAAGGGGGTGTATGCTGGTAGCAAAGAGGAACAGCCTTTAGTTTGTGGTGGTGGTGACACGGACAGGATCCGGCTGACGGATCACTGTTGGTCTCTGCGCGTACGACACGAGAAGAAGTCTTGCGTCCACTGGTCACGCTTCACCCAAAAGAGACAGCCAGGAGGTGGCGCTCTTGGCTGAGTAGGGTGAAGAAGCCATACCACTTTGACAGTCACTGCTGCCGCAAATTGACAGCCTCTGCTGGAAGCGGTGAGCTCATCGTGCGTTGCTCTCTTCTTCTGCAGGGTCTTCCTGCCAAACGCGGGCTCCGCTGCAGCAGCTGCAGGTGGAGGCGAGAATCCCAAATCTATCAATCACAATCTCGATCTGACACTTTCGAAAAATGGTCCGGCTTACCAATCCTGAGTCGCTTAGCTGAGAACGCAGCTGCAAGGGCCATCCTCGATTTGAGCTCAAGACCCTTTCACTTTCGTCTTCTAGCAACCACCAGCTCGCCCTTTGTACAACACTCTCACAGCTACCCTTCGCAATATGGTAGCAGCTCCGATCGCGAGAGTAGCGTCAAAGGCGGTTCGCCGTTCAGCTCCGTCGGCTGTTCGAGCACACTCGACCTCGTCCGGTTCCAAGGTCACCACCGCTCCCATTCCCGCAAAGGAGTCAGCAAGTCGCAACGGCGTTCGTTATGCTACGACTGCAGCAGCTGTGACGGCCGTCGCTCTCACCACATGGTATGCTACTACCTCACCTCTGCATGCCGAGGCGGCTCCCTCTGTTGCTACCAATGGCGACATCACAGTCACCACCATGTCGCAGCAGGATCAGATGCGCCAACGAGCACACCTGCAGGGCGTCTACGCATGGGGCTCGAATCGCTACAACGTCGTCGCCCCGGATGCTCCGCAGGTAACCCTCATTCGCTCGCCTCGGTCGATTCCCTTCTTCGATGGGGTTGCGCTGCGGGACATCAACTTGAAGGAGAAGCACGGCGTAGCAGTGGACGCCAACGGCGACGTCTACCAGTGGGGTCTCGGATTCTTCGATCCAGCGGTCCTTGAGCCGACTGCTATCGAGGATGTTCCACTCGGTCGTCGAAGAGAGAAAGCCGGTGCCAATCTCACCGCTCCTCGTGGTAGCACAGCCAGCCTGGTGCTCAACCCAGTCAAGACGCTCACCGGTAAGAACATTGTCAAGATCGAAGCGACCGAGGAGAAGATCTACGCTCTGTCCAAGGACGGCCACATCTACGTCTTCTCGGCTGTTCAGCAACTTCAAGCCACGCCAAAGTACCCGGGCTGGTCACCCAACCCGCTCAAGCTTTTCAACGCCTTTGCTGGCGCCGACATCGATCACGAGGTCCTTCACCCTGCTCCCTCCGCACACTGGGGCAGCACGGAGAAGGTCCACGACATCATCGTCGGGGACCACCACCTGCTGAGCGTCTCCAACAAGGGCCGTACCTTTGCGACCCCAATCAGCGAAGAGGGCAATGCATTCGGTCAGCTCGGCACCCGTCGTGTTTGGCTCAACGCTCCCAAGACACCCGACAGCAAGGCAGGGCACGTCGAGACGCTTCTCGAGCCACGTGTGTTCGCTGAGCTAGAAGAGAACCACGGTGGCCGTCCAGTCTCGACCCTCGTCCCGGAGGGCTGGCTGCCCGCACCCACTTCCGAGACGAACCGCACTACGAAGCCTCGAGCTAGGTCCGAGCCAGCGTTCGAGACCAGCACCGACCCAGCGCCACCGCCCAAGCCCCTCGCAGAGCCCGTCGGCAGCATCCGATGGTGCACCACCCTCCACGAGATCCCCGCTCTCCGCAACATCAATGTTGTCCAGATCGCCGCCGGCAACGAGCACTCGCTTGCCCGCACGCACGACGGACGCGTCCTCGCATGGGGCCGTCACACGCACGGTCAATGCGGTCTCGGACCCAGCTTCAGCATGGAGTGTGTTCCAGTCCCGACCGAGGTTGTTCTCAGCCGTTCGTTCCCCAACAGCTCAATGGATGTGCGCGCGAGCTCCATCGCTGCGGGCGCAGACAACTCGTTCTTCATGACTACGCGTCGCGAATCGAGCGGTGGTGGCATCGGGATGAAGATCGACCTGCTCTCCTCGGGCAAAGGCCAGTGGGGTACGATCGGAAACGCCATGTGGAGCCAGGTCGTCTCACAGCCTTCGCGCGTCAAGACGGTTTCCGGGCTGATGGAGTTCTCTGAGGCCTCGGGGATGACGCACCCGGTGCCGATCCACAGCATTAGCGTGGGTAAGCCGGGTCACGTCGCGCTGGTTCTCGACACAGTCGAGTCTGCAGGCCACCTTGCCTTCGGCCGCGACGTCATGGTCTGGGGCGCCAACGCAGGGTTCCAACTCGGCCTCAGCAAGCGCTCCAACCTTGCGGTGCCACAGCATCTCAAACCTCTTCCCGCCCTGACAGCGATCGCAGGCGGCAACATCATCTCGGAGCAGGACGGACTGGTGGTCAACCCCGCCAAAGCAGCAGCCATGTCGGTAGCAACACTACCAACGGCAGACGCGAAGTTGAGGGAGGCAGATATCAACTCGGGCGCGCTAACACACATGCCACACAACCGGCTGCAGCTCGCGTCCAAGACCAAGGCGGATACGCGGCTGCCACCGAGTATCGCCGCGAAGGATCAGCTCGCAGCACCAGGTGCAGGCTCAGCCGCAGCGGCTCAGCAGGGAAAGACAAAAAAGGGTTTGACCGTCGAGGAGAGCATCAAGGCGGGCACGGTGAGCACGGTTGTGTATTGGAAGATCATCGAATAGGGCTCGTGCTGTATCTTATGTATTGCGAAGTGTAATGTACGGCTTTGACAGGATGCCTGCCTGATCGATCAGAGGCCGTCCCCTGCGTACGATGTCAGCGTGTGTGCGTGTGTGTCTTGAGGGCCGTCCAAGATGAAGCTCGAGCTGCAAGCGCTGTGCAGACGAGAAGTGGAGGGCTCGGGCCGCAAAAAATTTAGGTTTGGGCGCTACCAACAACGTCCGAAATCCGAGGGTTGAAATTTCATCTTGAAGCTTCCCACCTTGTCTTCACACGATACCGCAAGCACCTTTGTTCCCAAGCCGACATCGACGAGGTGGTCACCGAAGGCGCAAGATGACTGATCCATCATCCAGCACGACATCAGCAAAGCCAGAAGACGGCGAGCCATACGATCTGGACACGTCGGCCCTAGCGGCGCTGGACACCTTCCGCGCCCAAAAAGCCGCCGGCGAAGCATCCCTACTCAAGTTCTCCCAATCCTCCTCCTCTTCCTCTCGCAAGAAGAAGACAAAACGACCAAAAGAAGAGCGCAAGCTGACACCTGAAGAGGAAGCGGCAGAGGAAGCAAAGGCGGAGGCGGCGCTGCTAGCTGAGATCGAGGCGATAGCGGACCTCGAACGGCTCAACGGTGTTGCGCCCGACTCGGCGGATTCCATGCTTGCGGCTCTCTCGTCGCGGCTCGAAGTGGACGACGTGGATAACGACGAAGAGAAGAGCCTGGATGTGGACACCTTCCGGCAAACATTCGGGGAGAGCTGGCAGCTGTCGCAATTCTGGTATTCAGCCAAGTTCGTGCATGAGCTCTCGCAGCTCATCTTTCGACTCGTCTCCCCACCGTCCACCGACATTCTCACGGACAGTCAGGCGGTCAAGGCAGCATTTGGAGACGCGAGAGTGGCATTCCTCTGCTGCCCGACAGCGTGGGTCGGCTTCGTCCACGAGTACCCATCGCTCCGATCACAAGCCTTCGTATTCGAGGTCGACAAACGGTTCCACGCACTCAGCAAGACAAGCTTTGTCTACTACAACCTACACGAGCCGGAAGCCGTACCAAAGGAGCTGCTGGGCACGTTCGACGTCCTGGTCTCTGACCCGCCCTTCCTCAACGCCGACACGCAGGGCAAAGTCGCCCAAACAGCACGACTGCTCGCGAAAGACAACGCCAAGTTCCTCCTCTGCACAGGCGATAGCATCGCCGAAGAAGCGCGGAAGATGTACGGCTCACCACCACTGGAAAAGCTCGAACTCGAGGTGGAACATCATGGTCTCGCAAATGCGTTTGGCATTTGGGGTCGCGTCTAAAGCAAAAGATACAGTCTATCTGAATGCTCTGAAGAATGGTGTGTGGTGTGGTGTCTACCCCTCGATGGCCTGCTTGATCGCCTTTGCGTCCAAAAAGTACTTTGCGTATCTTGGCTCTACAAAGATGGCCCTGCATTCCAATAGCAATTGGCCCTCTGTATCCTTCAGGGTGCCCTTGACCACCGCTTTTCGGCCTTTCTGCTCCACCAGCTCGGTCTGCAGCACGATGAACTGGTTCGCCATGGTCGGTTTCCTGTAATCGATCTCCAATCTCGCTGTAACGCCGATCTTGCCGGGCAAGTTGTACATGGCTGTCCTGGCCAGCGCCTCGTCGCATACGGTAGCCAGCATGCCTCCGTGCACAATGCCGTCGTGACCACACAGACTTCGTCCGAGATGGAGGACGATCGTGCTATCACCCTCCTTACCACCGAGCTCGTTCGCGCCCCGGCCCGTCTTGGTGAACACCAGTGGGGGGACGGCGACCATGCCCGGTCCTCGGAGGGAGCCAGCGGTGAGATTGTGCTGCGCCTTCTCCCGACTGTACTTGAGATACGGTCGTGTCATGACGTACTGATGGGTGTCGGCGGGACCACCTTCGACGGGCGGGCCGGCAACGGCGACGTTTGCCCCTGGGATCGTGCCATGCGCGGGAACCTCAACGGTAGTAGACGGATCCAGGTCCGTAATATGCTTGCCTTGCGAACGGAGAACTTCGAGTTCGGCAGCGGAGCCGTGTGCGACGGAGGTGCGCTTGAGCTGCTCGATGATGGGCAGCGCGTGCAGAGCTTCTTCGATTTCGCGCATGTGAGCTTCTGCTTCGGGCCCGTCTGATTTCAACCGCGCAGGTGTCGCTGGCTTGAAGAGGAGCTTGAGCATCTGTGGCGGGTACAGCGAGCCAAAGAGGTACGAGGTGATGCCAACCAGTGACAGTGCGATTGTCGCTTTGACTAGCGTGCCGCCAGATGCTCTTGGTGTTGGTGTGGTGGAGAGCGGTCGGCGTGTTGTGTTGGAGGCTGTAGTGGATGATGTCGAAGCGAGAGTGGCTCGGGAGGCGAGCACGCCCTGCGAACGCAGCGAGAATGTGCGCGAGCTCGACGAAGCCAGCCGCAGCGAGGTTGTGGCTATCGATGTCGCCCTCATGTTGTACGTGCGTTGTATGACAATGATGGTGTTGAGACGGGAAGAAAGTTACGATTAGAAAAAGTGTTGGATTCGCATGAGATGCGCAGCCAAAACGCGAATTTGCCGGTTGTTCCGGGATTCGAATCATCATGCTCTTGTTTGTAGGGCCACACGGGCTCGGAGAAATTTCAAGCACCGCCTTGTCTCTCTGCTCGCGTGGGATTTTACGAAAAAAAAACTGCAGCACCTAGGATTCCCGCGTGGTCCCCCACCGCAGTACTGACTAGGCGATACCTTGCTTAACTTCGCAGATCGGACGGGATGCGGTGCTTTCAAGGTTCTATGGCCGCAGATGTTAGTGTAGTCTGAATAACGCCTCATCAAGTGGGCACAATGGCTGCGTGCAGCTCCACTCCACAACAAGAAGCTTCCACCCACGCACGTCACTGAAGATGCACGCACCACCAGGACCCCGTCCAGCTCGTTAGCCAGCGCTCTTCCACCAACACCTCAAACCGATACCCATTCAAGCAGCAACATTTTCCGTTCACTGATGCGCTAGCTCACCAATCACTCGGCCTGCCTCAACGATGCCGAAAACGTTTACGCAAGAGCAAGACTTTGCTCACCCATGGCACGAGACCGCAAATGGTGAGTTACCATCCTTACCCCGATCTTCCTTCACGGCCTCGCACCGCTGACCATGTCGGACCAATTACGTCCTATCCGCCTCGACAGCTGTATGGAACAAATATCCCAATCCGCACGCAGACCACGTGGTCTCAGTGGACGTCCTCTCCCAATCACTCGATCCAACAACCGGCGCGCTGCGCACAGAACGCATCATTGGCGTCCAACAAGGAGCGCCGGGCTGGCTCAAACGCCTGGTCGGGGCGAGCGACGACACCTACGTTCGCGAGGTCGTGATGGTCAATCCCTTCACCCGCTCGTTCGAGATGACAAGCACAAATCTCAGCTTGACAGACTACATGCTCGTCAAGGAGTACATCACGTACTCGCCTAGGGAGACGGGGACGGTGTTCAGGCAGGTCGCTGACATCGGGTGCACCAAGTTCTTCAGCGGCATGCTGAGCTCGGCAGGGAGAAAAGTCGAGGAGTGGTCACATACAAGGTATGGGGATAACGCCGCAAAGGGGAGAGACGGGTTGCAGAGCGTATTGGATTCGTTGTACGGGAGCAAGCCATGAACCGACACAGATGCATGCAATAGAGAGTAAAGGGAACAACAATCCTTCGCAAAGCAGGCTCGCAGGACTCCGTCGACGTCAAAAGTATGAGCAACTCATCCAGGCAAGCAGAAGATGAAAGGATCACGTTTGACGCAACATGGACACGAAGCATCAAACCGAAACGCCATCAGAGCACCACCTCATCCAACTCTAACCCCGCTTCCCTCTTCACCCCTCCTCCTAAACTCGCCGGCCACCCACTTGTCAGTCACTACTCTCACTCCAGACTCCCACCCCATTCTGCCCCGAACTCACCCCTAGCGAACCGGAACACTCCCGCACTGCCACCCCTCCTGTTGTCCGCCTCCCTCTTCCCTTCCTCCCTCCTCTTCTTGCTCCCTGCTCCCGTCGCAAACAGCCCCCTCTCCGGCCTATCCACCATCAACGGATGAGCCTCGGTATTAAACACCCACCTGTCCAAACTCGCCACCTCGGGATCGGCAAACACCAGATAAAGGTACTTGAACACCTCGGCATACAAAAAGCTCTCCGAGTCATCGAGCTTGGTCGGGCTTGTCGAGTTGACGTTTGCCAGTGCAGCCAGTGCGCCGCTCTTCACCAAACAATGACGGTCGATAGCTTGCCAGGCTTGCCAAGCGATCTCCTGCCACATAGTGTCGCCTGTGGTGCGATACGCATAGAAGATGCTCTCCACCACTTCGGGGCGCAGGACGTACTGGGTGATGTCGAAACCGAAGCCGTGCTGCTCGTAGAAGGGCCGGTTGTTGATCTTGATCCTGTTGGTGTTGTTGCCTTCGCCGATGAAGACGAATGTTTCGGGCCCGATACCGGATGGACTGGAGGTATAGGTGTTGGCGCAGGCACCCGTCAACGCCTGACCATACCGCTCGATGCGGTCGTCGCCAATCATCTTTGCGCCCAAGATCCAGTTCCCGCCCGCAAAGCACCCCAAATGACCCCACCTCGGAAGCAGCCCACCTCGACTGGCCGAGTAGTCCGCGAGATACGTCAGATTCCCCATCTGCGTCTCCTGCGGATGCGTGACAAGATGCTCAATCGACGACTCGACACCTTGTACCCACATATCCAGCCACAGCCCCTCCTCGCCCGTCAAATACGCATACTTGACGAGGTATTCAAAGAAGCTATCACTTCCACCGCCCCAAGTGACATAATCGTCCATTGCCTCGCCCGTCTTGACATCGTATACCTGTGCGAACAACCCCGGAAAGACGCCCTTGGACTGGGCGATGGCGGCCATGCTCTTCTTGGCGAGCGCCAGATACTTTGAATCGCCGGTGTATTTCGACAGCCGATCCATTTCGAGGATGAGCGTACCGGCGACGGCAATACCAGTGTCGTTGCAGGTGGGTTTGGCGTAGTCGTTCCATTTGAGCGTGTTGCACGGTAAAGCATTGCCCTCGAGCCAGCCAGTCGCCAGGTGGTCACCGACGACCTTTGCCTGGTCGACCAGCTTTTGGTTTTGCTTGCCGCCCAGCTCGTAGGCAGACAGCAGCCCGCCGAGGTACCGAATGTTGGTCTCGAAGAGCGAGATCTCATCCGAGGCAGTCTTGGAAAAGTCAATCCTGCTACTCGTACAGATCGGTGTGATTCATAAGGTACGACGTGCTGAGCGAGTCGACGACCGTGGCGCCCCATCCGCCGAACGGGTCTTCGTACGAGTTGGTCAAGGGGAGCAGCGCGTCGTGAGGAAAGGCGTAGCGCATGTACGCGGAGAACGAGGTGCGGTAGGCGGTGCGGATGGTTTCGGCGCGGGAGGCGGAGAGGGGAGACTGGGTGAGGCCGGGATGCTGGATTTTGAGGGAGCTGACGGTCGTGATGAGCGCAAGAAGGCTCAGGGCGAGCTGTGTCGTGATCATGACGATAACCTGAGGCGTCGGGAGCCAGGTCTACTGTAGAGGGGGGTGGACCAGGTCTGAAGCAAGCGATCTTGAAGTGGTGCTGTCGAGCATGGGGTTTCGGACGAAGAGACTTTATATCGATATGGATGGTAACATCAGCGTGGCAAAAGCTGCTGAGCCCGCTCAAATGGCCTCATCGTGGGCTTGAGTGGGACTGAAAGCAGGCCGAGCTCCATGCTGGCGAACGATAGGCCCGCTCGGAGCCCCACCCGCCAAGCGTCAAGCCAGCGAGGCTCTTCGTTAGCCACCAGAGGGGGCTTTGACTTAGGCTCATGAGCGTGGAACCGACGGAAGACTAGCCATATCTCACGCTTCCTGAGCCTTGAACCGTGTCGATCGCCGCGAGGCTTGTGCCCACCGCTCATCTCATTTATCTGTGCTGTGTGGGACCTCCTGTTTGCATTCGGTGGCACATGCCAAGATGAAGTGGGAAGCCTCGACCGAGAGGTGGGGCGTACGGAGGCCAAGGCCCGGCACCTTCGTGTCCGCTGTCTTGAAGTGGGTCACAGCCCGCGCCAACCACACTGGTGGCAGGGAACCCGAAGGTCGATCTCACCCGCCAGCAAGCTTGACCCACTTTTTGTCATGCACGCGCCGTTGCAGGAATCTGCACAGCGCAGATCTTGCATGCTGCATGACAGCTGGTGGCGTCTCGCGGGCCAGAGCGGCGGGTCGAATCCCATTTCGGCTAGGCCCGAAGGAATGCAGCTCAATTCGTCCTTCCATCCTCCCAACCCTCTGCTGCGGTGCAGCCCAAGGCAGACGAGATCCAAACGCAAGAACCAAGAAGAGACAGAGTATAGAATAAAGCAATCCCATTAACATCATAGCAAAATAGACACTAGCAACAAAAGAGAGTGTGTGGGGGCGATCAATCCGGATTCACCACGAGAACGGCAACAAACAGCACAACCGAGAGGATCTTGATGAGTGGTGACGAGATGAGCAGGATCATGAGGAGCATGAAGCCCAAGAAATGCGCGTTGGGGACGAGCGACGTAGATGCCGTCTTCGCCTTCGCCTCCTCGGCTGGGGCTGCACGAGGACCAAAGTTAGGACGCACGACGTTGCTGGACGACGACGAGGAGCGCAGATGGAGCTTCTTGCCACCTCGAGGGCTGACTGCTGGCGGGGAAGAGGCGTCGCCGTGGGTCGAAGCGCGATGCGAAGTCCAGTGCGAGGCGGGCAGCGAGGTCAGCCACGAGATGCGCTTCTTGTCTGCGCCGTGACCCACTTGCGGAAACCCATAGTCGCAATGGGCAACCGACGTGCCCGGTGAGGACGACGGCGAGACAGCCCCGGACGTCCACGGTGAAACGTGTCGGCTGCTCGCGCTCGACTCGATACCGTTGATCAACACCGGTCGATCGTCTTCTTCGCACGAATCGTGATGCGAGCCGTGGCCCAGGCTGAAACCGAACATCTTGCTGGATCGGCGCGAGCCCGGACGCGAGCTTGGGCCAGGAAGCGAGCTAAAGTGTCGAGAAGGTGAGGAACTCGAACTCGCTTTCCTGACCTCGTCCGTCTCTTCCTCGGACAGGCGTGCCTGCGTCGTCTCTGCCATCAATGACGCTGGCAGATTGGACGCGAGCACGCGATCGTTACCTGAGCTGTTCTTCCTCACATCGACCTCGGCCCGGTCTCGCTTTTCGGAGAGGGCCGGATCGTCGACGGAACAGCCTCGGCTTCATTGCGCCTTGGTGGCGCCGCCTTCCTTCTTGCTCCCGAGCTTCTCGTGGGCAGCCTCGATGATCTGAGCGGCGGCATCCTGGAATGCCTTGCAGATCTCCTCGGCGAGATGCTTGAACTCGGGCACGTCGTCGCACGACACGGCGAGCGAGAAATCGTTGGCGTACGAGATCATGCCGATGGCCATGGTCGACTTGCCGGGACTGGAAGGCGGCAGGACGTGGTAGCTGTAGGCCTCGTGATCGCCGAACTTGACGGGCTTGGGAGGGCCAGGCACGTTGGTGGCAACGTGGTACTCGCGGAAGGCGCGGTAGTAGATGGAGCGCAGCAGAGGATAGTTGGGGAGGTAGGTGATGCGACGCTTGCTGAAGGTGTCAAAGACCTTGTAGAGGATCTTGGGACCGTAGGAGCGCTTGACACGGCCCATCTCGCGGTGAACCTGAGCGAGCTGCTCTTCGAAGTCGGGTTTGGCCTCCTTCTCGAAGCGAAGCCAGGCGATGGAACCGGTGGTAGCGTTGCTGAGCGACCAGTCACCCTTGGGACGAACCGAGATGGGCACAAAGATGGCGACTCGCTTGTCCTTGTGCCTCCTGCTGGGGTCGACACGCTCCGAGGCGATGCGAAGCGCACGAGCGAGAATGGCGAGCGCGACATCGTTGAGCGTCAGATTGAACTTCTCGGTGCCGTACGCCTTGCGGATCATCTTGATGTCGTCCATGTCGATGCCTTCACTGTGGCAGTAGAGTCGACCGGCAGCACGCTTGCGCTTCTCCTGATAAAGGAACGACTTGCGCTTGCGGAAGTAGAGACCGCGAGCCAAGTGACCAGCGTGCTGGATGGTGCCCAACACGGTTGGCTTATCCTCACGCTGACCGGGCCTCTTGTTCTGCGACGTGTTGGTGTCGACCTTGTTCTGGATGTCACGAATGCCAACGCCCTGTTCGAGCGCTCCCAGTGCAGCGTGGTAGCTCTGAATCATGCCCTGACCATCAGAGAAACAGTGGTGGATCTTGATCATGAGTGCGCTGCGACCTCCATCCGAGGTGTTGAGACCATTGACCACCATGGCTTCCCAGATAGGCTTGGAGTAGTCGTAGTGGCGACCGATGAAGTGACCAGCGAGCTTGTTGAGGGCCTTGTCGTCCCCACCGTCAGGGCACTGAGCTACATGCTCGATGTTCTCTTTGAGGTCGAAATCGGGCACGAACCTCCAGCGAGCGGGGGAGAAGAGCGAACCCGCTTTGAGACCTTTGGCGTAGCGAGTGCGACGGCCTTCGTCAAAGTCGCCGCGAGGCGGTGACGAGCCAGGGTCACCTTTGAGCGTCTGCTTTTCGAGCTTCTTGGAAAGCTTGGGATCCAGGTCGACCACATAGCGGTACTTTGGATATGTCTCGGCGAGCACCTCGAAGAAGTTGTCGACCGTCTCGAGGTCGAGTTCGGTCTTGAACATGTAGATGGAGAAGCACGAAGTGGTGTATGAGTCGTCCTCCATCAAGAGGGCGAGGTTGTCGATACCGGTCATGGGGTAGACGGGAGGCTTGTTGGGAGAACCCTTGCCGAGCTTGGGAGTCTCGCCATAGGCTGCGCGGATGTGACGCTCGCGAGCCTCTCGCGTCTGCTCGGCAGATGGCGGGGCGGGCTCTTCACCCTTGCGGAAAGCAGCGCCCTGAGCAGCAGCCGTGCCGACACGCTTGGAAGGCTCTCGCTCGCGATGGTCCTCCTTGGAGTGTCGGTGATCAGCGTGGCGTCTGGACGTGCGACGCGAGGACTTACGATGGTGTCGTGCATCGTCCTCTTCGATAACACGCTCGGATGTTCGAGGCGACTCGTGAGCGCTGACACGGCGAGAAGATCGACGAGAGCTCCTGTGCTCGTGTGCATGGGTTTGACCAGTTTCGCGATCGGCAGCTGCACGGAGAGCAGCGCCCTGCTCGGCAGCGGTGCCTCGACCGTGCGATGGCTTTCCGTCTGTCATGGCTGGATCGGTGACGAGGAGAGTGGATGCACGAGGGGAACGGATGGAAGGCGAGCTGATGGAAGATCGGACGAGAGACGGAGTAGGTGCCACACTATCGACGTAGTCTTGCTGGTGCGATTGATCCGAATGAGAAGCTGCGTCTCCTTCGTCGTCTGTGTTAGGATGCGAATCGAGGTATGCTTGCTTGACCTGAAGGCTGGTGCGTGGTCCTTTGAACTCTTCCTCGGTAACTTGGACGGAAGAGTGGAACGAAGTGGGAGGAGGTCTGTACTTGTGAACACGATCGAAGGAGGGGCCTGGCTTGGAGCTGGATGGGCTGACGACGGATGGAAGGGAGAACTTCATCCCGTGGGCCGACAAAGATATACTTGGCTGGTACCGCTACTGTGTGCAGCGCCTTCCGGCTTCGGTAGGAAGCGGATCCCGTGTGGAGGCCAAAGGGCGAAAAGTGCAGGCAGCAACCGGCGCTTCAATGCAAAAGCTGGATCTGGCTGGCGGAGTGTGAAATGGCTCGCTTGTCCCTTCGTAGTGTCGATCCAAGCACGAGAAAGGGCTGGTGGATGGGTTTGCTGCTGAAAAAGGGCACAAAGAGAGGGATGCGGATCGCTGCGGATCGGCGGTCTAAGAGAACAATGACGCGAAAAACAGGATTTTTATCGTTCTTGGCTCTGCTGAGTTTTTTGTTTGCTTTTTTGACCGCAGGAATGGCGTGCCAGTGGAAGCTGAGACACGGCAGAGGGATGCCGAAGAGCAGCTGTACCGCGATACGCTCTTGGCACGAGTTCCGGTTCAAGCTGAGGCAGAGTGGTCCCGAGAGGCGGAGAAGACAGGCTCGAGCTCTATCTGTGAAAGGCACAGGTGACGGCGGCTGTGATACTCTTGGGCTCGTCCTTGGCGTTGGCAGCGGTGCGTGGAGCAAGTCACGGGACGCTCCTAGAGTGTATGATGGTGGATGATGGAAGGCGGGAGAGATCGGTGTCCAGCGACAGCTCGACAGCTTCTTATACTGCTGAACACGCATCGATGGCAGGCTGAGTGGAGGCAGTGCTTGTCTACTTGACACGTTTCGCAACCCAGCATCGCCGGGATGATTCACATGCAGACAGGGTGCAGTCTTGACAGCTGAGCATACGCAGAGAGCTTCTATCGGAAGGAGATTAAGCCCACTCGATGGGCTGAGCGGGTGCTGAGTTTGGCATCATATCGCCCTGACAGCTCATCACGACGAAAGGCCTCGCTTCGATAAGCAGTGCTGCCTCGATCTTCGACTGCGCGAAAAAGCAGAGTTGAGCCGAAGATCTCAGCGTGCCTGGTAGCTGTTTGCCATCATCACACAATATCGCTAAGCGAGGCCAATCGGCGGTAGAAGCGCCTGTCAGCATTTCGAGTGTGCAGCACCGTGCAGCTACAGCGGCTTGGGTCGTGAAAGCTAGCGTCTTCCTCGGGCCTCTTTGTGCTTCGACCCACCGAGCCATGGTTTCGCAAGTGCCTCCTCACCGAGCTGATACCGATCAGTGATATCCGACGTCCCGTACCTCATGTATCGGCCCACCTAACTCGACATCAATAGCTTGGCGCAGCGGGTGGGTCGTGGCGGCCCCCTCGTGTCGCCTTATCACAAGATACTTATCATCATCAAAGCCACCACGATCACACAATCACGGGTGTCTTCAATGTCGCGACGACCCTATCATTGCGATTGCTGTCACGTCAGCGGAATCTTGAAAGATAGCAAGGCAACTGAGCTTCGCGCCGAGGCTTTCAAGTGCAAACCTCTCAAGTCCACGGACCTATCATCTCGTAGATATGCAGGTCAGATGTCACAAAACTTCGCGAAAGATCTACCGACAGAACAGGGTGCACATTTGACTCAGTCTGGCGATCGACGAACTTACACACCTTATTTTTGGCAGGTCCATGAAAGCGAGATCTAGTTTGCGAGGACGGCGAGCGACACACAAGCTCAGTACAACCTTTCTTTCACGCACTCGCATTGCGTGATGCAGAACTGCCGTGAGCTATATTGGCTTCAAGGACCCTGAGCGCATGTCCACGAGTAAGATTCACAGGCCAAGAAGAGCGCTGCTGACCGTCCACGTTGCTGAGTCGGTTTGTTCCCAAGATCGCGAGATAGGGTCAGGGCAAAGAAGCGTGAGAAATTCTCCGTAAGCGAGCATCGGAGAGTTTTTCAGAGCGCTGTCAGAGAGCCTTTTGAACTCTGCGAAACTGTCGATCCGCGGCTGCTCCTGAGTCTGGTGCATGTCAAACTCCCGGGCACGCCTGGGACTTGCCTGAGACCGACCCTCACGGCATGTATTCGGCTTGTATTGCTCCTTTACGAGCCATTGGCGCGATGACAAGAGTGCGCGATACGCCGGTCCGGCCGCAAAGCTAGTCTTTCCCGCTGCGTGACAAATGAGGTCAGAAGAACGTGCTACAAGCACCCACCCATATGATGACCTATTCTATCTTCTCACGCCACCGGTTGGTCCCTTGATGGCTTAGAAAGTCAATCTCGTCTGCGTGCCTTCCCACGCTTCGATAAGATCTGCCCCTGTCTGCGGGACCTTGCTCCTGTCTTCAGTGGGCTCAGCAACCACGCATGTGAGAGCACAAGCAGAGCGAGCTGACCGGTAGACTGGCAACCACCGATTTCTGATGCCAAGCCGAGCCTGGGCCGATATCGATCCAGATAGCCTGGTGGTGAGCCTGTCTCAAACCTAAATGGTCACCACCATGTCGTCAGGGTCCACAGAGGCCCGGCCGGTTTGGAGCGTGAAAGCGATATTTCGCTGGAGCCAAAACAAAACCCTAGTCTAACACTGTTGGGTGGGCCCAATCGGGTCACGCTTATCGGCAGATCGTCGGCGACCTGCCGCCTCCACACGGCCGGCCTTGCCGCACGGCCTCCCGGCCACATCCCTACGCTCTCTCTCTCTCTCTCCTTCGTACTGTCAACCTCGACGGCTCATTCAGGCTCCAACAACATCAGCATCATGCCCAAGCCAGAGCTTCTACTCCAGGTGGTCACCGACGTGATCTGTCCGTGGTGCTTCGTGGGCTCTCGTCGGCTCAAAGCCTTCCTAGCCTCGTCGGACTACCTCTCGGAAATCCACCCGTACGTGACACTGTCTCTCAAGATCGAGCCATACATTCTGGACCCGCGCCTTCCCGCAACATCGTACGATACGCCTGAGAAGTACTACGATGCGATCGAGCGCACCGCCTATACGAAGAACGAGTCGCCGACGAAGCGGTTCTATTATGGGAGCAAGTTCGGCGGGGGGCTGGATGCGTTTGATGCAAAAATTGGGGCTGCAGCGGAAGAGTTGGGCATGCCAGCCTTTGACTGGCGGAGCGAGGGGAAGGTGGGGGCAACGTGGAATGCGCATAGGTTGGTGCTGAGAGCGAGCCAAAGGGATGAGAAGGAGGGGGTGAAAAGCGACGAGCCGACGGCGTGCTTGGAGACCCTGCAGGTACGGCTGATGGACAGGCTCTACGAGGATTTCCATTCCAAGAGTAAGGACATGTCCGACAACGAGCACCTTGCTGGAGTCGCGACCGAGTTCGGTCTGTTCGATGGAGAGGAGGAGGCGAAGAAGTGGTTGGAATCGGATGACCTCGAGTACGAGCTGGGCAACAAGTTGCAGCAGGCGGATATGAATGGCGTGCAGAGCATCCCGTTCTACATCCTCAACGTGAGTAACCTGAGCGAGAAGGTGGCTTTAGTATTGACACTGACAACGATGAGGGCTTTTGTTGGCATGACAGGACGGCGCGGACCACATGAGCGAAACCGGCTCGCACGCCTCGTTCTTCAAGATGATGCAGATGGCTGTTGCGCCGTACGTCCGCTAGCAGGGGGCTTTGTCCACATCGAACATCGCTCTACTGTACACCGGTGCAGTGTCCAGCCATTCGGTGCATTTTGCTGCTCACCTACAGGACGACGATCAATCGAGATTTCTGCGCTTCTGGCTCTGCACTTTTGAGCCTGCTGTCGTGCTGTCTGAGAGGTTGTCTTTCTGGCGGCGGAGGCGGCAGCGAAGAGTGAAGCAGCTTTGCCGATTGAGCAGACAGCAGCTTGGTGTGACATTTCAAGAATGTTACCCCACAAAATCCACGCACGAGCTGCGCAGTTACCGCACAGTGACCCCAACGAGCGAGGTTGGACCCTGACTCTGAGTCTTCTTTCACACTTCAGCCTCTCGAGTTACCGCTCTTGACACCTCATCGAAGCCTATATAGACACCTTGTCTTTTCACCCCTCTCACCACATCTTCCCATCGCCGAACTGCTCTGTCTTCAACACCAACCACACCAAGAGCACGCAAACCAAGATGGCTCCACCTTCCGTATACGACACGCACTGCGAGGGTCCCGGACTGCTGCCCACCACCACGCCCTGGTCGCAGCGCTACTGCAAGCTTCGCCAGTACACCGGCGAGTCTCTCGCTACTCTCTCTTTTCCCTCTCCCACTTCTCCGGACTACGACTGCACAGGCAAGACCGTCATCATCTCCGGGTCCAACTCCGGAATTGGCAAGGAGGCGGCGATCTTCTTCGCTGCTGCGGGGGCGAACGTCATCATGGCCTGTCGGGTTGTCTCGCACGAGCAGCACCCCAAAGAGGCCCGCAAGGACGTTGTTGCTGCAGCAAAGGTGGAGGATGACAAGGTGGAGATGTGGGAGATCGACTGTTCCTCTCTCGCCTCGGTCTCGTCCTTTGCTGCACGCTTCATCGAGAGCGGCCGCACACTTGATATTCTCGTCAACAACGCCGGTCTCACCGCCGGCAAACGTCGAATCACGGACGAAGGCTTTGAACTCACTCGCGCGGTCAACCTTCTCTCCCACGTCTTGCTGACTCTGTCGCTTCTGCCGGCGATGAAAAAGAGCAAAGCACCCCGAGTGGTCAACACGTGCAGCATCTTTCACCACGGTGCCAAGCTCGATTTTGCCAACATGGACAACGAGAAGGCGACACCCCTGGGACCCAACTGCGTCCAGGCGTACTGCGACTCCAAGCTCTGGCTTCTCATGTGGAGTGTCGAGCTGCAGGAGCGATTGAGTCGGAGTGAGGAGTACCGGCATGTGGTCGTGCACGGCATTCACCCCGGGTTTGTCGGGAGCAACATCTGGGCCAATCCGGATAGCACGACGCCGCGGGTGCTGAAGATGATCATCGGCCAACTGGTGAATAGGCTGTCAGTCAGCTCAAAGCAGGGGAGTTTCGCGATTGTTCACGCTGCCCTGGCGCCCGAGTTGGGCGTGCCAAAGGAGATGCTGAGGGAGAAGAGCAAGCTGGAAAAGGGGGAGAGCGCCAAATGGGGTGGCAAATTCGTCAATAGGAATGTGGTGGATGCGACGCGAAGGCCTGAGGTGGATGATGTGCTGGCGAGGTCCAGGTTGTGGCAGAGGGTGTGGGAGGATGTCGAGGCGGAGAAGAGGGGATTGGGCAAGGATCTGCCAGGTCATTTGGAAAGCGTCAAGCTGCTTGGCCAGGTCGCAAAGTGAGTTGGTGTTCTGCATTGAACTCGCTTGCGCTCAGCACCGCACGCTCGCACCGAGAAGAACAATGACATGATGTCGCCTCGAGCCACAGTCAGATCGTACGACACAAGATGGATGAATGAGATTAGAAGTACATTGAGCCCACGACCACCGCAGCGCAGTCGCAGGATCAAATCTGATAAAGTCTATGGGATGCGAGCTCTATAAGATGCAAGTTGAGGGTACTAGCAGATGTATTGGCTGCCAAAGTAGGTGACGCTCTCGCGCCACGAGTCGGCTTCTCGATTCCAGACCCGTTCGAGGACGTCAAAGGCGGTCGAGGGGCCAGCGGTGCTCTTCCATTTGGAACGTCGGACGAAGCTGCGGACCTGATCGCGCTCGGTATCGTTCTGCGCGTAGGAACCAAAGACGAGCGAGGGCCACATGAGGCCTTGTTCGAGCTTGTCAGGGATCGCGCCGAGCAGGGCGATGCTGCGCGACACAAGCTCGCGCACAGCGAGGCTCGAGGCAGGTCGATTGAAGACGCTGACGTAGAGGTCAATCAGCAGAGCATTGCGGTAGAGGTGGTTGCCGAGTCGCAGCCGGTTGACGTCGTGTTTTCGTTCGCTATTCGACGACGTCAAGAAAAGTCGCCCTGACTTGTAGGGCTCCGTGGAGGGCGTGATCGACGAGCCGTTCGTCTTGTGGTCTTCCACTTCAGCCGTGTCGTCCTCGCTCAGCTGTCGATCGATGCTTTTGAGCGCCAAAAGCTGCTCTGCTTCGCTCAAAGTACGCGCGGCACCTTTCCAGAAGGTGCCGGCCTCGAGATCGCGGATCACCAGTCCGAGCTCTTCCCTGAGCGCTAGACTGTCGAGCGCTGCGCTGCCATCTTCGGCTGTGCTGCGACTGCTCTTCCGATTGCCGTAGGCGACCTCCTCGGCACGCTTGAACCTGCGCATGGTGTCGAGGGTCTCGGTAATAAGCTCCAAAGTAACCATCGAGATGCTAAAAGTGGTCTCTGCCACCGTGTTGCGTGTCTGCTCAAAGATGGCTGCATCCGAGTTGGTCCAATTGAACGGTAGCAGCCTCTTCAAGCGAGCTGGGTTGTAGTCCCAGTCAGTGATCGCCGTGTACTGAGCGAGACAGCATTCGTAGACGCCAACAACGGTGCCGAGGAACAGTAGCCTACCGTAGTTGGTGAGGTTGTCTGGAGGCATGATGGGTGGGTCTTCGGGCGATCCGAGGATGGTCTCGCCATTGACCGATGGAAAGAGACGCTGGATGGAAATGTGCTCGACGGCATCAGCGAGGAATTGTTCGGCCTGGTTGAAATAGGAAGGCAGCATGAGCGACTTGCCGATGGAGCTGCATGCCAAGATGAGCAGCAGCATGGTCGCAGCATTGCTGCCCGGCGGCAGCTCGTCACCGTTGGTACTGGAGTTGGTCTCGATGACAGAGAAACGACGACGGCGACTTGGCTGGTGCTGCTGCTGCTGGAGAGCTTTGACAGCGGAGAGGTGATGGCGCTCGGCTGCGGCCACCAGCTGGTCCTCGCTCATGTTTGCGAGCGACTTGAGAGCGTCGGAGTCTTTGTCGACCGGGTGAGTGCCATCGTCTGCGCTGGCTTGTCGCGCTGCAATCAAGGCCGCAAGAGCATGGGCCATGGCCTGACCTTGGTCCATGCGAGCGACAGCTTGAAGCATGCCAAAGTAAGCGTCAGCGCCTTTGTTGGGCTGGGTCATGACGACTCTCGGCAGCGAATGCACAGCGGCTATGAACTCTTCTGGATCTGCGTCCGTCGAAGTATAGTCAAAGACGGGCTTGTGACGGGGCTGCGACGAATTGGAGGAACGCCTAGGAGACGGACTGAGCGGGGCCTCGGAGCGGGAGTCATGATCGTTGCCGTTGATGCGATGTGATGCAGATGCAGAGGAGGCTGTTGCATAGCCAGGAGGGAAGGAGTGCGAGGCGGGAATGCGGTGTTGCGCTGCAGCGTGGTCGTGGGCAGCGTGTCCGAGAGGGACATAGCTACGTTGGCTGGCGTTGGCGACGACGGGACTGGTGCGGTTGGCGGGCGAAGTGTCAACCGAGCGATGGACAGGGTTGGGCGAGCCGATGGAACGACGCGACGGAGGCGACACGCTTGTGATCGGCGGAAGCGAGGTGGAAGCCGCCATGGCAGCGGCGTTGGGTTGGTGAGGAGAGATGGGAGGCAGCTGATTGCCTTTGCTGCTCGACTGACTGTGATTGGAAGCGATCCGATAATGAGCGTCGTAAGTCTGTCGAGCACGCGCATCCTGATACGCCGCGTTGGGTGAAGTGGACGAAGACGAGCCGGGATAGTCGTCGTAGCGCGGGCGCTTGTAGATGTGCTGCTGCGTCGTGTAGTCCCACTCGGCTGCTGCGCTCGCGGACAGTGGCGGTGGAGGATATTGCAGCTGTGACGCCTGTGCGTGCTGATGCTGCTGCTGCTGCGGCTGCGAATGGCTATAGGAATGGGGCGGATAGGTATAGTGAGCGGCCGGAGGCGGGAACTGCCTCTGCGCCGCGTAGTCGGAATGCTCTGCCGAAGCTGTGTAAGGATGGGGGTGGTGATGATAGGAAGGGAACTGACTGCGCCGCGCAGCCTGCTGTGGTGCGTAGCTTGAGGTGGACGAAGAGCGAGATAGCATGGGCGAAACGTGCATCGAGAGGCCGTTGGGATAGGAAGAGGAAGAGGTGACGGAAGGCGAAGGGTAGTCATTGTTAGGCGACATGCCGGAACTAGCATCCATGAGTGACTCTGAGTTGACGTCAGGATAGCGACAGCCTTCGCCGGCACGGACGCAGCGAGTGCAATGAGGACGAAGCTCGTCGCACTTTTTCTTCTTGTTGCGACAATTCCAGCATCCTGCTTTGGAGCGCCGAAAGAGCTGGCGCCTGGCAGAGGTGGTCATGCGAGCAGTTGAGGGTGCGCCTGCCGCGACCTTGGCCAGAACGAGAAGCGAAATGGGAGCGTCTAGCTCTCAGGCGTTTGGTATGCCTGGACTGGAGGGTTAGACGGTGCGAACGTGTTGGGCGATGCTGACGGTGATGAGACGTAGATGATGCCGAAGGGACTGCGAGTGGATACGAGACGACGATGGTGAGGCTGAGGCTGCAAGGATTGTGGATGATGTCGATGATGATGATGGATATCAGGAGCAAGTGATGGTAGAAAGGAAGGCCATGGATGGCGAGAAGAATAGGATGGCGAGCGAAACGATGAGCAGGGGCTGGGAGGTGATTGCCGGTATGGTGCGCCAAGACTGCAGATACGACGGCCAATGATCCGAAGGGCAGGGCGATGGGCGGCGGCAAGGTGAGACCAGGGCAGGTGGCGATGTCTTAGATGGAAGATGGAAGGGCAGGAGGAGACTAGCTGAAGACGAGAGGGTAGAAGTGAATCTATGCAGAAGCAAGACGATCCGGGCTAGACCACCGTATGCGAGCGGGCGGCTGAGCAGAAGCAGCAGCAGCAGCTGAACATGAGACTACAAAGAAGGCTGAGAGGATCGGAGTTGAAAGATGGGAGTGAGCTGGAAGGAGGGGGACGAAGAAGAGCAGACGGGCTGGCAGTCAGGACGCATGGAAGCAGGGGCAGTCCGGGTTTGTTTGTGGCTGATCAATTGAGACAAGCGAGGTCGGGGGACATGGAAAAGGGACGGGCAGGTGGGAGGAATAAGGTTGGCGAGGGCGGTTGGCTGGCTCCGCTGTCGCGCTTGCAACAATGACCTTCAGCCAAGCAGAGAGAGGGGCAAATGAGCTCAGCGGAGCTGGCAAGACCAAGCAAGCGATGGGCGCGCGAGCGTTTGGTGGAGCGGGCAAAGCGCACTTGAATGCCGACAGAGCTGTCTTGCATCTGCGAGCGATGGTCAGCCAGTCAGATGAAGAGAGCAAAGGCAATGACAGTCGATGTTCCCATTCGCGATGCTGCTGCTGCTGCCGCTGCTGCTTGGGGTGGGATCGAGGCAGAGGCTGAGATGAACCAGGGCGGACGGCCAAGTTGGATGACGAACAAGTCTCGGACTCAGCAGAAGAATTACTGGATCGCACCCAGGTACAGATGCGAAGCCAGTTGCTCACGAGCCAAAACGAGGCGTAGCCAACCACACAGCACAGCTTCAGCACACAACCCTTGCTGTGTACGCCTTGTTCTGATCGTCTCGGCCTGCAGCGCGCTGTCCGTGCTCGTTGCAGGATAGTGGCCTGTGACGGACCGATGAATGAGCCGAACCACAGTCGCAACCCAGCCGACAAATCAACAGGCCCGTGACCCATTTGATATTAAAATAAAATCATAATTCACAGCCGAGGCCAATTGCTCAAAAAGGGGTACAGTAGCGAGGTGAGGATCTTCGCTCGGCTAGAAATGAAATCTGCTTTCGAGTTGACCTCTTGACGTTCAAAGTGGGATTCAACTTGCAGAGGCGTGGTCGCGTCTACGCCCAAAAGAGCGGCTATGGGACCGAAGCTTGGATCACCGAGACCGATGATCGAGTGCTGGCAGCTGCTCACTCTCGTTCTCAAGCTGGAATTGTGTTTGCAAAGAGATGCGCAACCAATTGTTTGGCAAAGAAACAGATCTGAGACATTTGGGCGTGACACAGCGTTGTCTCGCAATCCAGCCAGGAACACGACGGCATTGACGACGACTGCTATTCGCCACCTCGCCCCCTGCTCATCATCGAGATTACGATCCGTCGAGCGTTGTCCTTCTGCGAGTCTTGCCGAGGATAGATGCGAGAGTTCAAGTCGGCTGCGGCAAGCGTTGGCGCAGGCCATCTAAAAATACGACTGCTTTCAACACAATGAAATTAGGAAGCCGGATAACTTAGTGGCCGAGCAGCATGAATGCCTCGGAACAAGTCATAGCGCAGCGTGGTTCATGAAGAGAGGACGCTATTGTTCTCTCTAGCCCCTCAGTGGAGGCCTCTGTTCAAATGGAACGCTGTTTAAATGCAGCATATGTCGTCAGTGGTGGGAGTGTCTGTGAGCGTGGGAGCGTGACAGGGCATCGGCCAGCTCCCGACCCGTCGTGTGCGGATGTTCCGCCCACATTGGCCAGACCAGGTGGCTTTGTTCGGACCGAATCCGATCCTCGTAACAGCCGCATGTCATCTCACCCCTTGACATCGTGGGAACGCTGCGTCAGCTCGTTTTGGTGAATGTGATTCCAGCCGTGCGACCCTTGCCGGGCGCTTGAAGCGGCTACGCCGTAGCATCGGATCATGCCGAAATGAAAAATCAGGAGGCGGTGCAGGCTGATGGTCGGTGGGGGCAGCCCACTTGATCACCCTCCTACGTAGCTCTCGTTGGCTCTCGTTCGCTCGACCACCGTCTCACGATGAGCAGCTATCCCATATCAAGGTTGACCATCAACGACCAAAGCCCCTCACACAATCAAAAGTAGCAACGTTCCAGCCGGCCAAGCTCGATAGTGGAGCGCAATCGAGGGTCCTGTAAAGGGCACACCCGGGAAACGCGAGCATGAGAGCATGAGAAAATTCAACAAATTAATGGCCGCGTTGCTTCCGCCCTGAGCGAGTGGGCAGCTGAGCACACAAAAAGCGCGAAGATTTGCCTCTGAGACATTGTTTTTTGGTCTTGGATTGCCGCCTCACCCAAGCCCAGATCTGGTCTCGCTCACTCGCACCCTGGATTTCATCTCCTTCTCCTCTGCGACTCAGCCTTCCCAGCCGCTGCTATGCTAGTCACCGTTGAGCTCCACCAATCATCAGCCTGCTTGTCGTCTCACTCGTCTTCGTCTTCCTTCGTCGTCGACGTCGGCCACTCAGGTTTCACTTGCCGCCCACCGTGCCACCGCTTCCTGTCACGCCCACCCACCCATCCAAACTTTTCTGTCTCGGTCGGTATCGGTCTTTTACAGGCCGTGCACCCGCTTCCATCGACCAGGATGGTCAAGTGACGACAGGACGTTGGCGACTGCACCAGCGATCGTGCGTGCGGTTGCCGGTCTGGACTCATTCCCATCCGGTACCGCGTACAAGGACGTGAGATAAAGTACGAGTTTATTGCTCGCGTCATCCACATGAACGCGGTCACTGCGCGTCGAGATGCTCGCGGGAGAGACAGCACAAGGAGAGTCGACTCTCATGGCAAGTCGCCACTCTGCCCTTTCTTGCTGTTCGACGACGGAACAACTCGACCCGCCGCATCATCCGCAGCTGTGCTGCTTCTCGCGCAGACACACAGCCCATGCTTGAATTGACGAAAGCCCGCATTGTGCAGGTGCCCGGATCTTGGTGCCGAATCGCTTTCCCTCTTGTGCAAGCGCCAGAGAGCTTGTGCAGCTTTTTACCTCGCAGGCGGTACAGCGGCTGCACATCGGCCTTCACCCTGGTCAAATTGGCAACGTGGAAGACCGGGCGCTTCTCATTATCTCGCGCATACGCTCCTGGCAGTTCACCAGTCTGCTCCCATCTTTCAAACCCCGCCATGCCACTCGTCCTCCTTCACCGACACTGATGCACAGCCTGGAGAAGCACCACCACGTACCAAGCCTGGCTGCGGACAATATGACCGCCTTGCGCCGCTGACAGGCTCTTACACTATCTTGGATTAGGTTCCAAGCTTCGTCCGTCCCCGTGGCCGCGCAGCTATTTTGATGACGTCTCCGCCGACGGCCAATACTGTCGCGGCGACGCAGCTAGCGCTTCGACCACTCGCATGAATCTTGGTCCCCACCGTAGACCCCTTCCGCAACTCCGCTCGCCGCAACGGGGCCCGCGGGCCTGTCTTCGTTCCTGATTTCAGAGTCCGTTCCATCCTGCATCCGACGTCATAAAAACATTCCAGACCCGTCTACAGGACGCGTCTCAGTCAATGCACCAAGGTGGGCTAGGCACCAACCCTGCAGTCAACAGCTCACGGTGGCCGAAGCTCAGCAGCTCCCGCGAGTCGAAAGTTGACCGATCTCTTTCCGGGTCTCACGAGCAGACCAGATTGCGTCTTGCGGCCAGCGAGACCACAGAGCTTACAAGTCGGTTCAGCCCAACTCTTCGGCCCGCTCATCGAGCCCTGCAAGGTCCACTCGCCAAGCACGCAATACCACGGCGCTACCGGTCAAGCTGTCTATTTCGGGACGCAGCCAGCATCTATCCTGCAAAGGTGGCCGATCCCTCCTGACGACCCATATGCATGCACACTCTAAGATTGCAGTGCTTTCAAACACCATCGCTACCGTTCTAGACCAACTCAGTTGAACGGTGGCTGGCTAGTTCTGTCTGGCTTTGCTTTCGAACGCTGGAGCGATCTTCCAGGCAGAAGACACCGGAGACCGATATGGGCTTGTTCCGATCTAGGCGCCGGCGTCCAGCAGCAATCTAGTGCTATCCTCTACCGCTTCTGGACGCACATGTTTGCCGGTGTCTCGCCTGGCTCACCGCGATCGTCGCATGAATGGTTGCGCGCATTCTCTGCTTCCGTCCGACGCCTCATCTTGGCCTCTGTCACGCGACGCCGCCTCTCTTTGCTTCAGTAGAACGGCGCCTGACTACCTCTTTCGCCGGAACCATTTGGTTGTCATCGCTTCCAATCAGGCTCGAAGCTTCACAAAGCTGCCGAAAATGCTTACGCGCGGCGGGTCTGCCAATTGTGGCGCTCGATCAGGCAGCCGAGAGAGCCGCAACCCTCGCCTACATGACAAGTGCCAATTAGTTATGCGTGCGGGAAGCACAGCAAGGCGGTTTGAAGCGAGGGTCGGCAGGCTTCTGCTCGGCGCGACTTAAGCGTTACCCTGCATTCTCGAAGGCAGCTCCGCCTCTGTTGTTTCCACTGGCTCGGATACTTGACACGGGAGCGCCTGCAGGCTAATTCTTCAGCCAGGCCTCTCCCTCGCGTAGCTCTTGCACGGGACCGCGATCTCTTTTCCTGGTACCCTATCGATCTGGCCGAGTTGCCCGCCAAGCATGCGTTCGCTTGTTCGGTGAGGAGATGCGACCTCGTCTAGGCCGGTTTCTGGTACCTCCGTCTCGGCTATTCTTCTCCAAGATGGGCGCGGAACGTACGACTTTTCTTCGTGTTTCAGGAGCCTGACCCTAACCCTGACCCTAGCATCAGGCCATCGTGGACATTGTCGTTCAAAGGACCATGCCAGCAGCTCATCTCCGCACCCAATCTCGGACGGCGAAGCAGCACTGCCTGTTTTGGTCGAATTCAACGCTCGGTCCCATGATAAAGTGCTCTCCGGGAGCCCAACTGGCACGCAGTGGTCTCATGTCTGAGCGCGAGAACAAGCTACGGCCGCGGCTCGGCCATGGCCGAGCTCACGCCTGCGTTGGCGCTTGCTACTTGACGGTTCACAACGAGATCGAAGCGTTCCTACCGATCGTCTTGCCAATAGTCCTTACAAAGCGCGGGTATCGCTCCTACGTAACGATAGCTGCCAGTGAATCTCGACCTGGATGCTCGCCACGATCCCGCTCCTCATAGTCTCTGTTGCACCCGTCTTTCGGCAGGACTGAAGTGCGACGTCTTAATATGTATGTAGAACAATGCGCGTCACGCAGCGGCGTCGGTCATTACGGTTGCGCCCCACGTCTCACACCTTGTACACACACGCACCGCCAGCTGGCTGCGTGTCGAAGCAAGCGTCCTCCAGCTGCTCCTTGGTGAGCTCCGGGAACTTCTTGGCGTAGTACTGCGACCTCATAGCCGAGATGAATACCTCGACCTTGGGTTTGGGCACCAGGTGCACCGTGCAGCCTCCCCAGCCTGCGCCTGTCAGCCTGCTGCCGAGGCTGCCGTTGCGCTTCGCGATGTCAATCACCTGGTTGAGCTCGTCGCAGCTGCAACTGTACAGGTCGCGCAACGACGTCTGCGATCCATCCATCAGCGCGCCCAGCTGGCTGTAGACCTGCTTGCCGTCGTCTTCGTCCGAGGCAGGAGTTTGATGCTGCTTGCACAGCGCCTGGAACTGCAATACGCGAAGCGCTTCCGTGAAGACGTGCTTGGAGCGCTTGTACAGCTCGAAGGCGTCGGCGCGAATCGGGAACGAGCTGAGGAACTCCTTGTCGAACGAGTCGCCACTGTAGCCGGTCAGCTTCTCTACCTCGGACCGTGGCAGAGCGGCTTGGAGAGTAGACGACGAGTAGAGAGCCTCGACCTTCTCTTCGAGCACTTTGATGCGCGCTGCCTCCTCGCCCGACCTGTCGAGCGTCTCTTTGACCGCTGCGCTGTTCTCCATCTCGGTCTGGATGTGACCGCTACCTCCATTTTCATTGAAGTACGTCTCGAGGACGCCGCGGAGGTCCTTGCACGAAGCGTCTTTGGCGGCTTTGAGTCCGAGGTACTTGGCGAGCGCCCTCGCGGCCATTCGCGTCTCGACCACGCGCAGGTTGTAGTTGACCGGACCCGTCACCTTCTTATCCGACACAACGAGCGTGTTGACGATGACGAAGGTGTGATCCGGTGTGCTGGGCGGCAACCGTGTCGGCTGCACCTCGAGCGTCGGGTAGAACGAGATGTACAGAGCATGATTCGGAATGCTGAAGATGGACGCGCTCTGATCCATGCCGCCGGAATTGACGCCGACGAGCCGCTCCGATTCGATCGCCACCTCGGCCATCTCTTTGCGGTCGATCAGCTCCCTCGCGCCGAAGGCTTCGAGGACTACGGTGCTGCTGCACGTCGTCATGGCCGCGCTCGAACTCAGACTGCTCTCTGGCGGAATGGTGCCGTCGACCAGCACCTCGATCTTCACCGGCCTCTTTGCGTTCTTCTCGTCCAGCACCTTCGCCGGCAGGTGCGAATGCAGACCCTTGAAAGCGACCTTGAAGTAGTTGGCCCATCGCTCATCCCCTTCGTTGAGCAACTGCACGCCGTCCGTCGAGTGGTACTCCGATGCAAACGTCGTCTCCACGAACCTCTCCGTCGTGTTTTTCAGCACCACTTCGACTTTATCGGCGGGAGAGTCGGCATAGGTGACCCTCGTGGCCATGAGAATGTCCTTCTCGATCGCAGCGGGGAAGACGCTGAAGCCTACATAGTCGATGTGCTCGCCGATGAGGTTGACGCGACCGGGCGCACGGGCGATAAAGTCTGGTTTTGACCCAGAAAAGACCGAGGCGAACTTGGTCGCGAGGCTGTCCCATCGTTGGCCGTTCTTGAGCACGCCAGCAGGCGAGTAGATCTCGTCTAGCGAGCCGACGAGCGGCACGGGGTCGCTCACCTTTAAAGTTGTCGACATCGTGGCTTTGCGGAAGGTGGAACGATTGTTGCAAGGGCTTCGATAGCTGCGAAAGGATTTGGTGGGTATGTATGAAGTCTACCCAAAGAAGCAGAGGATGATGGTCAACGAGGAAGACGGTCGAAACACTCGAAGCTCCACATCACCGGCGAGCGGCGTCCGTGCACACGCTCTCGCTCAAATGAAATCGCCGTTCTCTCCGCTCAAAAAAAATTGGATCGACAGACACCGATGACGGGAATCTCAGCAGCTTCGTCTCGGCAAACTCGCGAGCGCCAATCACACGACCGGTTGTCGGTCACACTTGAAGCGCAACTCCCACAGTCAGAAGCTCAAATTCTCACTCGACGCACCCACCCGTTGCTGCTGTCGAACACTCAAAAGGCGTCTATGTTGCTGACATTGCTTGAGAAGTGATCAGCCAAAGAGACTCTCCATGCCAGTCTCGAGCGTGCCATCGCCCGTCCAGCCCGATCCTATGGTCTGCAAGATGCCCTCCCAGTCGAACATCGCCTGGCCCTCCACCGGGTTACCCGTCGTCGCAGCGAGACCTGCTGCAAATTGACCCGGTGACGCGGCCATGAAGTGAGCCGGGTTGCTGCCGCTGAGACTGTGACCGTGATGGCGGCTCGGTGTTGCAGCCGCCGGAATGGAGGGCATCCCACCAGGAGCAGCGCCGGAAGCGTTGGCGCCGGCGATCGAGTTGGACCTGCCGTTGCCCGTCGCGATGGGCGTGTGTGCAGTGCTTGTGCCCGTCGAGCTGGCTTTTGTATCCGGCGACTCCATAGCCGTGGGCGTGAGCAGCCATCCGTACGGGTCGATCGGGTTGGCCGTCGATCCACCCGCAGCCGTCCCTGCCCCAGCACCCATGTTCGGCGTCGGCGCGAACATCCCGCTTCCGTGATCGAACTGGCCACCCATCCCGCCGACCCCGCCCATACTCGGCGATCCCGCAGGCAAATGATGCGAAGGCGGCAGGTGTTGCATCGCCCCCGATCCCGCATAGCTGCCCGACCCGACCTGCGCGTGGTTGTTCGACATGGTCGGTGTACCCGGCAAACTAGTCGACAACAACCTCAACGAGTCCGCCGCCTGCTTCTCCTGCTCCACCCTCGCCGCGCTCGCGGCCCCCCTCCGCATCGGATCCTGCAACATCGTCGCCCGCATCGACCCCTTCGCCGCCGCCAACTCCCCCTTACTCCTCTTGGCCAGTTCCCGAGGCAAGAACGGCTCCAACCGCGACACCAACACCTCGATCACCATCTGCTCCCTCTCCGCACTCGCATCCACATTGCCCGCGTCAAAGTTGCGCCGCAGCTGTGTGATGAAGTTCTGCAGGTACCCGATACGCTCGTTGAGATCGACCGAATCGATGCGCTCGCCCAGACTGAAGCCGATCAGCAGCGACATGCCGACGACGATGGCCGAGTTGAACAGCGCGTAGGCGCCACCGAAGGATTGGGCTAGCTGCTCCTTGGTCAGGATGCGCGCGTATTCCTTGCGCAGACGGAGGTCGTTCAGCGCCGTCTCGACGCAGACGCGGCGGCTCTCGGGGAAAGGGTGCTTGCCGTGCGTCGCGGGTCGCAATAGGTAGGGGCGGTGGAGGAGAGATCGATAGAAACACACCTCGCCGAGGATGAGGTATCGGTAGAAAGGCAGCAACGGATGGTCCTGGTCCAGACTCGTGTCCGTCTTGGCTTTGCCCGACGCAGACCATGTCGACGCCAGATACGGTGGCAGCGAATCGACAAACTCCGCAATCATGTCTTCCACCTCCAGCACGCGATAGTAGGCCCTGCTGGTGCGCCCAGACGGCCCACGACTGGCCGATCGCTCCTCAAAGCAATGCGTGATGGCCTCTAGACAAGCCGTGAACCGGTTGCGCGCGAGGAGGTACGTCTGACACGCGAAGCCGAGCGGCTCGAGGTCTTCTCGGGTGGGCATCTCGGTGGTGAAGAAGGTGATGGTGAGCGGTCGGCCGAGGATGATGCTCCATTCGCGATCGTTGTGAATGACGTGCGACCAGAGGATGCGGCGTGCGGCCACCTGCTCCTTGGGCAAGTTAAAGGAGCTCCCGTCGCGATGGAGGCCGAGGTCGAGGGCGTCCCGAATCCACGAGCCGATCTCGTGCCAGCTCGCACGTGTAACACGGATGACATCGAGGTAGCGAACCAGCACACCGTGTGCCCAGCACGAGTCGAGACTTGCCAGACCGAGCGTCTCGCACAGCACAAGCGCCTTTTTGGTCGCCCAGAAGAAGGCGTGGGATATAGCCGACGAGAGGGGCTGCACGATGGGCGGGACGGAGCCGAGCGTCAATATCGCAAGGACAAGGGCGACAAAGGGCAGCGTCTCGGCATCCATCCGCACATCCGAGGGGCTCGGCACGCCAGCGACGAATTGACGGAATCGATCGCGCAGCGTCGTCTCGTGCAGCGGCAGCCGCGCCCAGTTGTAATGCGCAAAGTAGGCGTCGAAGTACCTCTCGCACTGCTCCCTCGATGGCAAGGTTGCGCGAATCGCCTGAACGTCCGTCGACGGAATGGGGAAGCCTCGTCGAGTCGGATTCGGGTGGATGTACGAAAGCAGTGCCTGGGGAGCCACATCTGCCCCCACCTCGCTCTTCGACGGCGGCAGTCCGTTCTTCAACTGCAGCGGCACAGCTTCCAGCGCTGAGGTGCCTAGGAAGCCATCATTGTCGTCCAGGTGTCCATCGGCATGTCGATCCGTCTCGTTCTCGTCCGGTATGTAGCTTGACCGTCGCGAAATCTGATGGTCTGCTGGAGGGAAGTCGTTGCCTCGCGAGCCCTCTTCACCCAGCCGCAAGCGCACCGCCTTCTCTGCGAGCGCCAGTCTCTGTTCGAGATAGCTCGCGTCGTTCAACGCGAGGATCCTTTCCAGCCGTGCAATCCTCGATGTCGTCCTAGCGAGCTCGTCAATCCGCCTATCGTCCCATTGTGCCTCGTCCTCGTTCAGCCTCTGCCGCTTCGCCGCCGGCGTCGGAAGTTGGACCTCCGACGTGGTGCGCGATATGCTATTGCGATGCGGCGTGCCACCGTCGCTGGGCGTTGGCGACCCTCCACCGACCCGCGCCGACGGCGGAGGCACGCATCGCTCCGGCAGCCGCCGCTTGATGCAATTGTTGCAAGGGAAGCGACGATCGCACTTCTGCTTGCGTCGGAAGCATTCGACGCAGCTGTACTGCTCGCGTGGACGCTTGGCGGACTTCTTATCGTCAGCGTCGGAGGAGGGGAGCTTGGATGTAGATGCGGGGTGGTCCGTGTCGGGTTTGATGGGCGAGCTGCCCATTCGCTCGGGCTTAGGCCGGGATGGCGAGGAAGGGATGGTGTGCGACGACATGATACTATCGTTGTGGTGGCGAGATCGTGAGGTGGAGTCTGCTCAGTTGTGGATGCGGAATAGCATGCCAGATGCTGATTCTACCGAAGCGTTCTTCCTGCGAGATGAAGTGGCACGAATGAGCGACTAAGCCCGCGTCAGGGCTGCTAGTGCGCCGAATATGAGTGCGTCGTGAAGACAGGCGCCGCAACCAGTCTCGTGGTGGTGAGAGCGGAAGGTGAGCGCGGTCAGTTGAAGGTGATAAGAAGAAAGCAAAGTGCGGGGGGGTCCTCGAGGTTGTGCATTCGGGACCGCTCGAGCCGAAGAAAAAGGTGGAAAGGCAATCAAACCGGCTTTGCTGCCTGATCTGCTGACCGTGCGACGCTCTGTGGCTTGCGAATTTCGCCGCCTCAATTTCGTATCACTTTTTTGGCGGGTGATACGTTGATAAGAAGCTTGACCTCAATTCGCACTGATGCAGCCAACTCACATCAGATCAAAGAGACTGCGTCTACCGTTCAAACACGATTGCTATATGATACAGAGCCGCGCTCACAGTGAGCTTATGTCTATGCTCTTGAATCGTCCGATCTAGTGTCCTGAGCAGGTCCGTCGTTCTGGGTTGGCGCTGTAGCAGGCAGCTTATCCGACAGCTCGTACTCTTCTACCGGCCAGCACACTGCCAGATACAGCAGATTCAGCACAGTCACCATGGCAAACACCCACTTGATCGCCGTCATGTACGACATCTGCGCCGCGTGTCGCAGCACCTCTGGCTGCAGCGTTGGTACCAGCGACGCATCGTGTCTCAGAGCCGACACCAACCTCTTGACCCCTTCGAGCCCGTCCTTGGGATGTGGCAGTAGATCCGGTGTGATGTTGCGGAACATCTCCCTCTGAAGGAGCATCTGGAACATGGCCGTTGACAGCGAGACGCCCATGACCTGGCCCAGGCTGCGGAACAGATACACCGTCCCCGTCGCCACCGCTGCCTTGTCCTTGCTGACGCTCGCAATGAGCCCGATGAGCATGAAGGTGAAAATTGCGCTTGTGCCAAACGCCTGTGGGCACAGCGTGAGGTATTCGGACCAAGCACCCGTCGACTCCGTCCAGAACGACGCGTAGAGCGTAGCACCGATGTTGAGTATGCAGCACACGACGTTGGCTCGCCAATACTTCCCCGTGCGCTTCATGTATAGCCCCGCCCACAAACTGCCCGCTGCGGCAGAGAAGGAGATGGGGATCAGATGCAGGCCCGCCTGCGAGGCGCTCTGTAGGCGGACGGATTGAAACCACAGTGGGAAGTGGAAGATGGTCGAAAAGTGGGCGAAGCTGCCGAGGAAGTAGGAGGCCCCAATCAACGCCGGAGACTTGCGCGTCAGCAGAGACAGCGGCATCACTGGCTCGCGCACCACCCAGCCTTCCACCAGCACAAAGAGGATGGCGGTGACGAGGAAGCCGAGGAGGAAACCCCACACCAACGGATGCGAGAAGGGCAGCAACGAGCCGGAAAGAAAGCTCATCGCGAGCAACAAGCAGCTCGACGACGAGATGAGTCCTAGCGAGCCGAGATAGTCGATTCGCCCGAGCTTCTTCTGCCAACTCTGATCGGAATGAGCCAGAGGGATGTTGACGAACGTCGCGATGCAGATGGCGCCCACGGCGAGGAAGGGCACTTGAAAACCGAAGGCGGTGCGCCAACCAAAGGCATCGTTGATGAAGCCGCCTAGTGGTCCGCCCATGGCCGACGCGGATCCGAAGAGCAGATTGGTGATCCCTTGCCACAGTCCACGCTGTCGCAAAGGCACCAGATCCGTCATGCAGATCGACGACGTGGTCAACAGCCCACCGCCACCGATACCGGCCACGAAGCGTGCGACCAGCAGCGCGTTCATGCTCTTGGCTGCCGCACAGAGACACGTGCCGAGCGAGAAGAAACTCAGCGCAATCAGCAGCGCGCCTTTGCGCCCGATGATGTCCGACAGTCGGCCGTAGATCGATGAGAAGGCGCATACCGAGAGCAGGTACGATGTGCTCAGCCAGCCGGATTTTTCGGATGCCTTGAAGGAGGACGAGATGGATGAGATGAGGGTCACGACGATGGTGCCGTCGAGGGCGGCCATGAAGAGGACGACCCATAAACTTGCGATGATGACGGCGAACTTGATGCCTCGTGGATACTGCTCTGCGATCGCCGCTTCATCGTCCCTGTCGTTCGTGTCGCCATTCGCGGTCGAAGGTTCATCTTGAGCCGTCTCGGTGGGCACAGAGCCGTACGACGTTGGCTGCGCTGCGCCCTTGGGCTTGCCAGTGTCAACACCATTCCCGTACGATGCCTGTAAAGGAGTTCTCTCCGAGGCGCCGTTGGCCATCTTGAACGAAGGATGATGGTGAGAAGAAAGACAAGGACAGCTGCCTGTCCAACCAAGGGTCCACACTTTTGCATGCGCGGCGACTTGGTCGGAGCAAAGCTTTCCGTTTGAGTTTGCTGCCGCCAAGCTCTCGCCTGCATGAGCGTGGGGGGCCGCGGGGCGAATCTCAAGTTTGAGCGTGTTAGAGCCACATTTGACCAGCTTCGGCGGAGAAGCTGGACCCTGACGCTTTCGAAGCTTGTGTGCTCCATGCAGGGACGTGCATAGATAACTTTCGCCAGGATCCATTTCTACCATCGAACGACGTAGACGTGATGAGTACGACGACGACGACGACGCTTGCTGCACAGCGGCAGCAAGATGGCGGTGATGCGGTCCAAGGCGACAATATCGAGTTGCGACCTTTGCAATCTCTATCACGCACGGCAAGCCAATTGTCATCCTCGAAACGGCAACATGGCACGGAAATGAGCAATCGGGTCGACCGCCCAGAACCCGAGGTCGTTGGCGCAGGAGACGCTCCCAACGGCGACAACTTTGGCGCATTGCCAGCCTCAGGCCCCAGCGATCTCGATGTCAGGGGCACGCTCCTGCTCGCCATCCAGCATGCCTCGTCCTCCTGGGGCTACCGCTCCGCCGAGTTTGCCTACCCTTTGATGATGGTCCAGCTCTTCACCAACACCCTGCTGCCTGCTTCAATCTACGGCTTTGTCACCACCGCAGGTGCCATACTCTTCTCCAACAACGTTGGCAGGCTCATCGACACCTACGCGCACACCAAGCTGCGCACGCTTCGCGCCATGATCCTGTCACAAAAGCTGCTCGTGGGCGCCTCGTATGGCCTCTTTCTGATCCTATTCTCGTCGACATCGCTGCGAATAGAGGCAGAGAACGGCGGAAAGGGTCCACAGATTGCAAGAACAAATGCGAGACCATGGACTATCTTTGGTGCCATCACGCTGTTGGGGATCGGCGTCATACTGTCCAATGTCGGCGTCAGCGTAGGCGTAGAGAGAGAGTGGGTCACCATCATCAGCGATGGCTCGTCGGCAAGGTTGACGCGGCTGAATGCGATCATGCGCAGGATCGATCTGATCTCGAAACTCGTCAGTCCGCTGTTCGTGTCGGCGTTGACATCGACGATCAGCTATCAGCTGGCTGCGGTGGTATTACTCTCCGTCAATGCGATCACGGGCATCTTCGAGCTCGTCTTTGTGGGTGTTGTCTATCGTCGCTTTCCATCGCTGGCAGCGGACGAGAAGGGCGCACTGGAGAGAAGACGAGTAGCAATCGAAGCCAAGTCAAATCAGGACGCGACAGAGCAGCAGTCTGGCCAGGCAAACTCCCGCCTCCATCGAATCATAACGAGGACAACCGAGTCCATCGCCAACGATGTCCGACAACAGTATCGCGACTGGGCGCTCTTCGTGCGCCTCCCAGTCTTTCTTACCTCCATGTGCATCTCACTGCTCTACATGTCGGTGCTCTCCTTCGACCCGACGTTCATCGCCTACCTCAAATCCGAGACGCTGTACAGCGATGCGTTTATCGCTGGCATGCGGGCCGTCGGTGTCGTGACCGGCCTCATCGGGACCTTCGTCATGCCCTACATGGAGAGGAAGGTCGGCTTGGTCCGCACTGGCTCCTATTCGCTATTCGCAGAGCTGTTTCCACTGATCCCCGCCGTGGTGTCGCTGTGGATCACCGGCTCGCCACGCGACCGCTTCGGCCTGTCCAACAAACAACGTCCCTCCTGGAACACGGACCTACTCTTTTCTGGCTTAGCACTGTCTCGCATCGGACTTTGGGCTTTCGACCTCTCGCAGTTGGCCATGATCCAAACGGCCCTCTCACCCGAGCAACTTGGACCCGATGCGAGCCGCAAAAACGCCCTCATGGCGCTGCAGTTCTCGCTGCAAAACGTGTTCGATTTGGGCCACTACGGTCTGACGCTCGGCTGGAACCGTCCGCAGGAGTTCAAGTACGCGGCCACGGTCTCGCTCGCAGCTGTGGCAGCGGCGACATTCATCTACGTCGTCTTCTACGCTCGGCGAGTTCGCGGTCACATTGTTCACCTCGAAGGATTGCAGCGTTTGCTCAGTCGCAAGGAGCGCTAGATGTATCAAAAGGAATACAAGTGTTAGACCATCTCTCGTGTTGAATGTGCGCCATGAGGTAAGCTAGCGAGAAAGCGATCTGCAACTGCCGAAAAAGGAGGCGTTGTTGGGCGCGGGCTGCGCGCACCGCTTGCCCAACCTCGCTCGCTCAACGACAGGGTCACCACCGGCAACAACGGTCATTTCCACAACCGGCCACTGAGCTCAAGCGTCTCGGCTTCCATTTTCGGTTGATCTTCCTCGCTTGTCAATTTTATCGCTGCGCAGCGTGCTCGCGGAGGTGTCCATCCGGGTCGCAAGGGTCCTGTGGATCTTCTGCTCGGTGTTGCTTTTCAGGTGCCACACCCCTGCGAGTGCGGGGTCGACGATCGCTTTCAGGCTGCCATCCAGCGGCTCTTCCTTTGACGACTGCACCCCGCATTTTCCGTTTGGCCTTCTTGCGAGAGACCCTTGTGTGACACTGCAGCCAGGCCAGATCGTCTTCCTCGCTTGTTTCGTTCTTGGCTCGCGTTGAAAGCGCTTCTCGTCGTGCGTGTTGGTTGGTGGACGTCGTTGGTTCAAATACGATCGACACATCTGAGCTGGTTCTTCTCTTTGCTCCCACCATCCCTTGCTCCATCTTCACCACAGAGCAGCTCGTGTCACCCTTCCATCCCCACATAGACACGAATCTTCACCTTTTCACCCAATTCCCCTTACGACCAACCTTCACAATGTCCAAACCCGATCCCAAAGCTACGACGTACGAGCCGCTGAACGAGGGCGTAGGCGAGTGGGCGCCTGCCCGCGTCACCCTCCCCATCCCCATGGGCGAAGTCGCCGCGCGTACCTCGGTCGACATGGCCACCGCTCGCGCCGCGGCGTCGTTCGATCCCACGCGCATCGAGGAGACCCTCCGCGACGCGCGCATCGACAACGAATCGCGCATCAAGGTCATGACCGTCCTGTCCAAGGATCCCATCTTTGCCAACTGGAAGAAGCGCATGCCGCACATGAACCGCGAGCAGCAGATGCGCCAGTCGCACTTTGCCTGTCGTCGCATCCTCGAGCTCGGAGAGCAGAACGAGTGGACGACGCACGAGATCGTCGAGGCCGTGCTCACGCTTGATCTTCAGAGTCCCATCACCATCCACTGGGTCGCGTTTGTGCCTGTCATCTTTGGCCAGGGCAACGCGGAACAGATCGAGAGGTGGGGTGAGAAGGCTATGAACCACGAGATTCTGGGTTGTTACATGCAGACCGAGCTCGGACACGGAACCAACGTTCAGCAGCTCGAGACGACGTGCACGTACGACGAGGAATCCGACGGATTCGTTCTTCACAGCCCCACCCTGACTTCGACCAAATGGTGGGCCGGTGGATTGGGTACCACCTCCACCCACGGCATCGTCCAAGCCCAGCTGATCATCAAGGGCAAGTCGTACGGTCCCCATCTGTTCTTCTGCCAACTGCGCGATATGGAGACGGGCAAGCTGCTCGACGGCCTCGTGGCGGGCGATATCGGTCCTAAGACGTACGGCGCCTTCGGCGGTCTCGACAACGGTTGGGCGCGATTCGACCACTTCAAGATCCCTCGCGACCACATGCTCTCCAAGCACGCCAAAGTCAAGAAGGGAGGCGAGTACGTCAAGCCCCCTTCCGACAAGCTCAGCTACGGTGGCATGATCTTCATCCGTTCGCAGATGATCGACCGAACCGGCTGGATGCTGAGTCGTGGTGTGACGATCGCTACGCGCTACACGCTGGTTCGTCGTCAGTTCAGGGACCCGAGCAGCAAGGATGTCAACGATGTCGAGCGCTCCGTCCTGTCGTATCCTTCGACAGCGCGCCGCATTTTGCCTCTGCTGGCCAAGGCGTACGCGTACATCCTGGCGGGTCGTCGCATGCGCACGCTGTACGAGGACATGGCCCAACAGCTCGAGGAGGGCAACACGGAGTTGCTCGCCGATGTCCACGTCGCCTCGTCCTCGCTCAAGGCGTACTGCACCAAGCAGGCGCTCGACGGCATCGAAGAGTGTCGTCAGGCTCTCGGTGGTCACGGTTTCCTCGCCTCGGCCGGTTTCACCCAGGTCTTCCCCGAACAGGCCCCCGCGGTCACCTACGAGGGCGACAACATTGTCCTCGCCTCCCAAGTCGGTCGTGCCATGCTCAAGCTCTCCGGCGAGCTCGATGGCAACTCGTCCGCCAAGGTCGCCGCCACCTCTGGGTTCCTCAAGGCCATCAGCCAGGCCAACGCCATCCCCTTCACCCAGCCCAAGAGCTCGGCCGACTGGTACAAGCCCGAGGTATACAGCGCCGCTCTCGGCCTCCGTGCCGCCCAGCTGGTCGTCGACCTGCGCGCCGAGATCAAATCCGGTCGCCCCTTCGTCGATCTCAGCTTCGAATGCATCGAGGTGGCCAAGAGCCACGCCGAGTTCGTCGTCGATCTGTGGTTCGGCGAGGGCATTCGGGATGATGCACAGCGTCTAGGTGAGAAAGAATGTGCTTGGCTCAACAAGCTCGTTACGCTGCACGCTCTCACCGCTCTGTCGCGCAACATCACGCCGTTGGTGCTGCCCGCGAGCCAGGGTCGTGCGTTGGCAGGCTACAAGACCGGTCAGGCGATCCTGGCGCCCGAGTCGGTGATTCTGCTCGAGAAGGCGATCAGGGAGTTGGTCACCGAGATTTTGCCTCAGGTGATCGGGTTGAGCGACGGGTTTGGTTGGTTGGACTGGGAGCTCGGTAGCAGTCTCGGCAGGAAGGACGGTAGGGTGTACGAGCACCTCATGGCAGATGCAGAGGCCAACCCGCTGAACCACCCCGGCGCCGTGCCGAGCCTGGAGACCATTGACAAGGTCGGCATTTACAAATACGGATCCGCTAACACCGGCAAGGGTATTCCGGATTGGTACGGCAGCGAGATCGGCCCTCTGCTCACCGCCGCTGCTCGACGGGCCAACTTGTAGAGACGATGATGGTATAGAATGCTTCTTCGTTTGCTTAATGTCATCTATGATTCGAGTCAAGAATTGTCTGTGTGAGAACGGTTCGAGGATGTGCCCGGTGTTGAAGGTAGCGCCAATCCGGGATGAGAAGATCACGCCTTGAACCACCCCTCAAACATGCCAAGGAACAAATCCTTCCCCTTGATCATGCCCGTCGGCCACCCACCCACCGTCATGACCCCCATATAGCTCGCCCCACCCTTCCTGCCCAGCGGCACCACGAAAAAGTTCGCCGACGGCACCGCTGCCTTCTTGGTCTCCTTCTCGCCCTTGATCGCCGCCAGCACGTTCTGCGCGCAGGGCACGGCGTGCTTGCCCGCCATCTGACTCGTCTTCAACCCGGGGGTGTTGGCTGCGTCGCCCACGGCGTAGTACTTGCCCCACTTGGACGAGTCGAGGTTGAACGTGGACGTCGTCTTGATCAGCCCCTTGTCGTCTACCAGGTCGAAATCGATCTTCTTGATCCAGGCAGTGTTGGATTTGCCGCCCGATCCAATCATGAGAAAGTCTGCCTTGATCTCCTTGCCGTTCTTTGTCGTGAAGGTCTTTTGTCCATCCAGTGGGCCGGTCTTTTGCCCCTCGAGCTCGAGCGAATCATCCAGGATCACCCGTACACCTTTCTCCTGCAGCTGGGCGAGGAGCTTCTTGCCCACGCCCACCAGGTCGTCCTTCCCGTTAGAGACCAGCAGAGAACCACGCGTAAGGAGCGTAACCACCTTGTTCGGGTGCTCGTCCAGCACTTCGCCGACAAACTCCACGCCCGTAGGTCCACCTCCCACAACCAGGATCTCTTGTGCTGCCGCCACCTCCTTTTGGGTCTTCCTGAACTGTTCCAATACATCCTCTTTCGTGGTAGCGGAAGGGTCGATGCGCATGGGGAAACCGTAGTCGCTCCCTACAGCCAAAATTACGCGGTCCACGGCCACTTTGGACCCGTTCTCCGTGCGTTCGACACCCGACAGTTCGCCCGAGACGTCGCGGCTGACAATCACATACTCCGGATGCAAGTCCACCACGCGTGTTCCGGCGAGAACGACGTGTCGCGTCTCCGCGCCGAAGACGGTCTTGCCGTTGAGGTCGTGCACCACCTTGGTCTCGAATCCAGGTGCAACGGAGGCACGAAGAGCGCCGATGGACCAGTAGGCCACCGGATTGGCTTCGATCAGCACGATGCGATGCGTTGGTGGCAGTGACTTGGCGAGCGTTTGCACCACTGTAATGCCCGCCGTGGCCGCGCCGATCACCACAACGTTCTTGAGCTCGGTCGACATGGTTAGGGTATGAAGTCGATGTGAGTGGAGGTGATGGATATCGAGCTGTCTGTTTTGCTGTGCGGGTGTTCGAGCGCGACGATTGGAGTGAGCGATGGTGAGAAGGATGAAAGGTGGATGTCGGGTCTTATACTCGTGCAAGGCGTGTTGGATGACAGCACAAGGTCGTGGTGGTGGTGACCTGTTTTGGTGTGGGAGGGACCCTGGACGGAAATCTGAAAGCTCGCCGCCAAAAACCGGAAACGGAGTCTCCGCGGATGTTGGCGCGCCTGCCCTAAACGCCGCGAATTCTTTTCTCTCGCGGGTCAACCTGCGGCACCATCATACCTGCCGCCACACTACGGGAGAGCTATCGAGCGAGCTCGCAGAGATGGTCGGCCATGACTGGCATGATGACTGGGTGTGGACCAAGAGCTGCTCGACAGCTGGCCGCATTCGCTTGCTGGACCAGCGAGTGAAGGTATATCGCAGGACGGCGATAGACGTTTCAACCCCCGCTCACCGCCCTGTCGAACCCACCATATGTCCGATGCCCAGTGACTGGTGTGCCGAAGGACGATGCATCAGGAGCATGCCCCCCCTAGGCCCACGAGCATGGCTAGGCCGGCGATTGAGCCTTTCAACCCCGCTGTGGCCAAATCGAACTCACCATATGTCCGTCGACGCGGCCAACGGCGGCGAGTCAGGAAGACCAATCAGCTCGGTAGCTGGCTTCACTAGCATGCCAGAACGGCGACGATTCCAGCTCCGCTTAGAGGCCGTCGTATATCCGTGCTGTGTGTGCGATCATCGGCTCGATCGTTCCGGCCAGGACGCAGGCGCTGCGAGATGTTCAACAAACGTTCGTTGATAGGTGACGATGAAATAGGCTAGAAGTACAGATGGTGTGATGCGATTCCTGGGAAAAAGGGGGCGAGAGGGAAGTCCGGTCGTCTGACCGATGACCGCGGCTGCACGATCAATGCGCCATGCCGAGACTCATCGTGTTGCTCGTTGTAGTCGCGGGAGCGGCCCCGGTGTCAGTAGGAGAGCGACTCATGCTGGTGGATGCCACCGTCGTCTCTCCTGACCTGGCACTGGGTCGATAGGCAGGCGGAGGTGGAGCATCGAGAGCGACAAGGGAAGGGGTCACAGAGTCGCTCAGCGAGCCTGCGGTGGTGCTTCCGTCGTGGCCAATGTGGTCTGCGCTGAGCGCTAGCCATCGTCGAGAGAGCTGCGTTGGGTTGCGCGACATGGGTGGGGAGACGCTCATGGGACTTCCATTGGTTCCTGTAGGCGATGTGGGGCCTCTTCCACCATTGGCGTTGAGGCTCTGCCCAACGAGGCCTGTCCTACTCGTCAGTGCTGGCGATGGCAGTGCTGGCCGCAAAGGCGCATCTGCGTCTCCGCGTGCACCTGCACCCTGGTCGACAGGCTCGGCCGGAAGGCTCCAGTAGTTGGGCAGCGCCGTAAAGTCGGTCGCAGTGTGTGATGAGGTGAGCGTGATGGGTGCCTCGATGATGATGTCGAACAGCTGAGGAGTCGGTTTGGCGGCAGAGCTCGACGAGCCCGCAGGATCGTTCCACACTTCCCATTCGCCGTCAGATTTGCCGACCCGAATCGACAGTCGGATCAAGTGATGGACAGCAATGTTCGACTTGGAGTGGTTGGTGCTCAGATTGATCCTTGTCGTTCCACTGGCGGGGATCACGAGATTGGTGGCCAGCTCCCATGGTCCTGTCGGATCCAAGATGGATGGCAATGCGTCTGAGTCTTGACTATCTCCCGCTGCAACACGAGCCAATGGCGCAAGCGGACTCTGGTCGAATGCGTCAGCAGAGTCCGACAAGATGGGCAGAATCGGCTCGGTGGCAGAAGCATGTCCAATCTTGAGGAGCGTCCATTTGCGTGGCACCTCGTGTCTCGCTACACGCCTCCCCTTGGCAAAGTAGTCGGTGCGTTCTTCGAGCGTCGCTAGGATGCGATAGATCTTGACCTTGCCGAGCGGCACAAACTTGAGCCAGAGCGGGATCTGTTGACCGATGGGGAAGCTCTTGCCGCTGAAGACAACCATATACGACAGAAGATCCTCCCAACATCGCTCGACCACGATCGAGTCGGTCTCTTCAAGCGCATCCTCGTCCGGAGCATGGATCAAGTTGACTTCCCGCTCCGCGACTAGATTGGGTGTCAATGCACCAGCGCGAACGACGTTGGCGCGGAGCACGTAGCGGTTGAAGCCGAAGTCGGCATGAAGCGTCGGGGGAAGGTTCGAGGGCAGCGAGATGCAGATGGGATAGGTGTAGGTTCCCTTTTTGAACTCCTTCGACTCGGAGTGGACCGGCTCGTCGTGATTTGTTCGGGAATCAGCCTGTGGCTCCTTGAGGAGACCATTGATGAGCATCTTGAGACCCGGCTTCTTGGTCTTGGAGTCGTTGCTCGACTTGCTGCTGGATTTGCCCTTGCTGCCTTTGTTGGAGGCATCCTGCACTTCGACGGAGCTTCTTCGACTCGAAGGCGCGCTCCGGTTGCCATTTGGCCGGGGCGAGACGGCGTTGCTGCTGGCATTCGGAGCAGCATCTACGCGATATTGTGGATCAAAGCGCACCATCTGATCTCTTGCGCGAGGAGTAGTGGTCGCTGGCTGACTGTGAAGGATGCTTCTGTTCGGTGGTGCCGAGGTTGGCGTTGGTGAAGCGGGGGGAGGCCGAGGAGGTGATTGTCCTGGGCGATCGAAGGCGGCTAGTGAGGAGGCAGCGTTGTCGATAGAGTTGGCGGCCGTACGGTCCATGGGTGTAGAGACGGTGCTGGGTCCCTGACTGGAAGGAACGCTGGTGCTCGGCGCGGCACCCGACTCCGCCGTAGTTGAGGTCGAGGACGTATCTGCGTGGAGCTCGGTGGGCCAGGCATCGTATCCTTGCAAGGGTGCGGAGCGAGGGGCGTACACAGGCGGACGCTCGTGGCCTTGCGATTCAAAGTACTCGTGCCATCTGGAAAGGTCCTGATGTTGCGCAGCGGGCGGGCCGCGATCATCAAAGAAGGATGCAGACTGACCGTTGCTAAGGGTTGTTGATCCAGCTGAAGAAGGCCCTGAGACTCGCGCCGGTGGAGATCGGGATTGCGCTGTGGACAATGCCGCATTGGAGCTTGAGCCTGAGGCGTTTGGTGTCCAAGGAGGACTACTCGAGCCCATGCGTGAGACGGGAGATCGGCTGTGCGAAGCCGACGAAGTCTGGTCCTTGGGTTTGCTGAGGCCCAGATCCGGTCGTAGTGTTGGAGGAATGATGGCAGTGCCTGCTTTGGCGGCCACGCCTGCGATCTGACGGGCCAGGTTACTGCTGCCATTGCCGCTCGAGCTCTTGGGTCTGTCTTCCTCCTTCCTGCTGGAGCTGCTGACCTGCCGTGAAGTGCTGGTCGATGGCGACCTGGATGGGGTGGATGTAGCTGTCATCCTCGCATTGGCTCTGGCTGCAGCGTAATCCCAGTCGACATCCTCCTGCAGGCCAATGCCAGGCCCGACCGAGTTGCTCCGAGGACGAATTGCGGCTAAGTTGGCCTTGTCGTGCTTGGCATTGTAGAGGCTGATGTCGTGATTGAAGATGGTCATCTCCTCGACTTGTTCTACGCGGTTAGGCCCAATGCCTTCGGGCCAATCGGTTCTGGCGGTTCCTTTGAGCGTGACGGTGATCTCCTTGATCTTGGATGGTTTAGGTAGATAGAGCGTGACGAGGCCGCGTAGTTGAGATGGCGGCGCATCGATGTTGACGGGGCGACGTCGACCGCGAGCATCTTCGCCTGAGGAGGACTGGCCTCGGAGGAAGATGACAGGTTCGAGCTGGGTGAGGGTGACGCTGGCAGGTGGCGACATGTTTGCGTACAGAATATCTTGGAAAAGAGACGGCGGCCGAGTCCTGAACTATGTACCGAGTTGTGAGCCCACTGGTGTCCGTGGGGAAGAGAGAAGGAAAGTCTACGGAAGAGCGAAAGGGAAGCGGACGGGGTGAAGGCTATGCGGAAGCTATCGCGGCAATCCTGACTATCAACATCGCTTCAACCGCTTCCCCCTACGAGAATGTGATGGTCCGAAAGGAAGAAGTGTGCGACCGACAAAAGGGAGATGCGCCAAGGATGGAGGATGTGATGGAAGCAAAGTGGATGAATCATCGGCCAAAGAGGCGCATGCAGCACCAGATTCGCTTAAGCTGAGCTTTACTCCGCACGCCGACGATCCACTAAAAATCTTCATTCTCTTGGCTGCTGCACTGTCTTGACCCTGCATCTTCTGCCTCGGCTCAATTCACCTTTGCCATTTGTCGTTCATGCATCTCACTTAAGCAGAAGCATGTTTCTTCTAAGCAAAATCGTTTTGCTCTCTTTGTGGCATCTTGACAGACGATCGATGCTCGATACCTCGGCCCAGCCAGCCCGCGTTGATACTTAACATCGCCGGCGAAGGATCAAACGGATGAGATTCGGCGGCAATGTAGCTCGGCACAGCGCTAAGGTGAATTTAAAGCTCGATTCCTTTCAGGCAGCTTGGCGAAAAAAGGGGCATCGCCGGTCGTTCCATGTGTGCCATTCCGCTCATTGTTTCTGGAGCGTATGGACCGACCTCGCCGACGTTTGACGCAGCGTACCGCCTTTGCCGTCCCCTGCATGGCGACATATCGGCATCTCCTTCGGCACGCCATTCTTCTTGACACCCTTCACTGCCGATCAATTCACCGTGTGGGCAGCCATGCTAGTGGGACGAGTTGAATGCCGCTCCGCTCGAGCCCGAGGAGTCGTGTCGAGGCAGAAGCGTCGTTGTGGGGCGAATTTTGGCATCGTTGTTACATCCGCGTCCCACCCACACAACGCGCAAAAATCCAAACTCGCACGACTCCACATGTCCGCTCCCTGAGCTTGCCGACGTTCAAACGGGGTCCAACACCTTCCTACGATCTTGTACGAACCGTCTTTCTCATCAGCTTCTTCTGCCTCTGTCGCACACCAACTGTTTACTACTGCGCCATGTCGGGCGACGCCAAGTCGGCCATTGCAGCTCGATTCCTCGACTCGTTCCTGCGCGAGATCGTCCTCGACACGGCCATCCTCACGAATGCCAAGATCAAACGTGCGCGCTCCATCTGTCACCTCTGCGGCGTGCGATGTCAAGCTCATACGTCCGCAGCCCAACAGTCCTCTCTCTCCGCGCTCGATGCCGCTCCTTCTCGATCCGGGACACCTGTGCCAGGAGGCTCGGCGCCGAAGCCGGACTACTACTCGAACAACCCGCTGTTTGAATGTCTCGTGTGCTCGCGACAGGTGAGCTCGAACCGATACGCGACGCATCTGGCCAAATGTATGGGGATGGGTAGCAAAGGTGGACGAAAGGGCGCTGCGAGGAATGCAAAGGCGACGAGCGCGACTCCGGTCGGCAGGGGCGCGGGGACACCGAGATACAGCAGCGATGCCGATGACGATAGTCTGACGAAACGCAAGAATGGGTTGGTAAAAGGGACAAAGAGGGCCAACAGCCCGCTTGCCCCCAGCTCGGTCGCAAATGCGAGGATGAACAAGAGGATCAAGACCAGTTCTCCGACTCCGCCACCAGCCGAGGGAGGGGGAGGGCTGAACAGGACTTTTTCGTCACAGACGTTCGCCCCGTCCGGATTGAGCAACTCGACCGTGCTCAGCGGCTCACCGCTCAATCCGAACCATACAGGGACCGCGAGCAACGGTGCGGGTAAGAAGAGGAAACGGCTCATTGACGATGACGAGGAGGAGGATGATGGAGGTGAGTCGTACCACGAAGCGTCGGATGGCGAGTCGAACGAGGAGGAAGGCGAGATCTCAGACGACGATGTTGCCCTTGCTGCCGGATCCACACCACGTTCGGGCGGGACAAAGATCAAGATCCCCCTCCGCTCCACACCTTCGTCCACCGGCTCGGCAAAACCAAAAACGTTTGTGGTGGCAGACGACTCGGATTCGGACGACAACCTTTCCAGCCGACGCAAGGTGCACACCGTCTCAGATGACGACGATGATGACGAAGACGAGGATGATGACGACGAAGATGACGAGGACGACGACGTGCAGGTCACGCGAGTCACCCACTCCTCGCACCATCCCAACGGAGACAAGAAGAAGAAGCATGCTGCCGGCAGCAGTGGCTTGCAGAGGGAGCGCGGGAGCGATGGCGAGTTTATCGATGTCGAGAGCGCATCTGAGCAAAGCGATAACGACTCGTTCTGAGTCCCTCATCTAGCAATCTCACTCATGACGCTTCTGTCGCTCATTGCACGCTGCTGACAATCGACTGAGGACTCCGAATGTGAAACGGTGAACTTCGAGAAAAGACAGTAGTGGGGGGCTAGAGATACAATCGCAAACTTCCTTCCTACCCAAAAAGAGCGTGTCCGTCATTCCTTCAGAGCGTGTTCATGGCGCAGACCATGACGGCGGTCGCGATGACAGCACCCAACATGGGCACCATGATGCCTGCGGGACTCAACATGCCCAAACTCAAAAAGATGTTTCCGTACTTCCCGCTTCCGTTGGTCGAGTTCAGCGGAACAAAGCCCAGCATCTTGCTGCTGTCGTCGCTCTCGAGGTCGGCGCAGTTGGGGATGGTGCATTCCTCGCTGTCCGGTACGTTGGCCTGGTTGCGGTACCAGCACTGGGTGCCCTGATCGAAGCCGCAGCAGGTGTTGATGAAGCCGTTGCCCCACGATGCCTGTTGATTGCTGGAAAGCTTGTTGTCCACGGAGCAGCCGGATTCGACGACGACGGCGTCGCCGCCGAGAGGTGCCGAGCCCGTGGAGGTGGTGTCCGGCGCAGAGGCGGTGGTTGTGGTGTTGGCCGCTTGACGCGCTTCGAGCAGCGCACGCTCGCCGAGGATCGCCGTGTCGTCAAAGGCCCGCTCGAAGGGCTGTGCGACGGAGTCGGCCAGCTGCGCAGAGGCCAAGGTGGCTAGTGCGAGGAAAATCGCCAAGATGGCGGTGGAGAATGTGAATGTTCGCATCGTGACGAGATGAAAGAAGATATGGAGATGAAGGTGGGAAGACGGTCTAAGGGCGTATGAATGAAAGCCGGATAGAGATGGGTTGTTGTGGTGCTCAGATGTCGAGTTACTGAGGAGAGAATCCGCTTGTGCCGCAATCAGTAAGCAAGGCCGTGCGAAGAATCGGAGTTGCGAGGTGACCAAGGTTTGCTGGATCGACACTCGATTGCAGTGAAGAACGCTCGAGCCGCTGCTGCAAGAGACTCGTGGTCTTGGGTCTAGATCGAGGGCGGGCGGGTGATAATCCGGGGTAAGGCGAGAAGGATGAGCTTCGTGTCTATCGGTCACAGAGGTGAGTGCAGGCTCGATAGAAACAGCGAGCTATGGCAGACGAGAAAGTGAAGGGTGGTGTTGGTAATGACAGATGAAGGATGATCGTGACGAGAAGGAAGTGCGACAGAGAGCGGAGGTGGAAATTGGAGAGCACGAGCTGTCTGCCAACCATCGAGTGAGAGATGGGCTGCGGTGGCTTTTGTGTGGGCTGCCGCCCTTTGAATTTTCCGCTGCGGGTCACCGTGATGATGCACGATGGATTCGCTTCAGCTGGACCGCGGGAAAGGGAAGAAAAAGCGGGTCAAACCTTGGAGACAGGCGCGCAGCTGCTCAAAAACTGGGGGATCGCCGTTGACTGTTGCTTCACAAGCCACAGACAGGAGGGTTCTTGGTCCAATTCGAAAATAGCAGCAGCAAATGGCAGCAGCATGGTCACCGATCCAGTGCAGTTGCATGCCTCTTTGTATGAGAGAGAGCCCTTGCTCGGCAAATTACACCCTGTTCCTGTCCCTCTCCACGCTTGTTTCCGATCTTCTGCAGCCCACAGCAGCATCGACGGAAGATCACTTCCAGATCAAGTGTGCAAGAAGAAGAGATCAAGGCAAGACTCGGATGAGACATCAGCACGCGGATCAAACAAGCGGAATCTGAAAGAGCAATTGATTCCAAGTTTGCCGCCCCCTGAGTCGATTCGATGAAGCTGTCGGCGACTCGACCTTTCATTTTTCATTGCAACCGCCCGACCACGCTTCCAGCTTAGCCGATCCATGGGGAAAATTCGACTCTGCCTATCAACCCCGCATGATCAGCGAGCAGAGCAAGCGCGTTTTCACGTTGCCGCCAGCCCCCCTGCTCCGACCTACTTTGCCTTTCCCTTCTAGGGTCCTGATTAGGCGAGGATCGCTTCACACACAACCCTTCCTTCCGCGTTGACACATGCCTGCCTTACGTCCGCCGTTTCGACAGCGGCGATGGCGGGCACAATGGGTGTCAAGGAGAACTTCTGACCCGAGCCAAAAAAAAAGTGGAAGGTGGGAATCGAACCCACGACCTCAAGATTTTTGGAGCGCCGCTCTATCAAGATACGTTGCAATCTCACGCCAAACCACTAAGCCTCTCCCACGGATGATGTCTCAATGGGATGATTGTGGCACCTATAACCAGTTAAAATATAAGCGGCGTTTACGATCGTCCTGCTGACCGTGCATCAAGAGGCCGAAGAGCGCCGTGACGCACAGGCAGACCCCGTGTTTTCCACCCCTTCCGTCAGCATGATGGTGGAGGGTCTGTGCGGAGGTCTCATCGCCGGGATGGCATAGGGAGGCCTCATATATAGGGCAGAGGAATGTCACACGACATCGTTACCACCCACAGCATCGTGCGCAACATCTAATATCGACTCTCCATTACCATGCCTATCACTGGATCCTGCTTGTGCGGCAACGTCAAGATCACCGTCAACGATGGCGGGCTGCCGCTCAAGCCTGTCGTGTGTCGTTGCACGTAGGTATTGCCTGCCCCGGGGAGAGAAGGCGACGAGGCGTGATACTGACGTTGGCTTTTGTTTGTGGCTCTCCTGCCCCGCGGCGGCATGTTGTCCTTACATCCTCACAGCAACTGTCAACAGACGGCTGGATCGGGTGAGTCGATCATTTCAACAGCGTCAACATCGAATCGGCAGCGATACTGACAATCCGATCCATGTGTACCCTCGCAGTCTTCTCCCTCGTAGCCCTGCTTCCCAAGGAGCACGTTGAGATTTCGGGCGAGACAACAGCCTGTACGTCCTCTGACCTTTCCCTCGCCTCTTCCCATCTTGTGCTTGCTAATTCTGCTTCTTCTTTCGACCGCGCAGACCGAGACGACACGACTAGTAGCGGGAACCACTCCTTCCGTCGTTTCTGCCCCACGTGCGGTAGTCCCGTCCAGACCGTCTCCCCCTCGCGCGACACGCTGGCCATCATCAAGATGGGTCTCTTCGCCAAGTCCTCCGCCTGGGGAAAGGAGATCCAGCCTCCCCAATCGCAGATTTTCACGCGCAACAAGAAGGACTGGGAGCCCCTGGTCGAAGGTAGTGCCGTCGTCGACGGTGCTCCTTGATACATGTTAAAAGTGACATCAGCCAAGACTATGAAAAAGTATCGCAAATTGCTCATTTGTGCCTGTGAGCGCGGAGAAAGACGGCGACCGCGACGAGATAAGGAGACCATTCACCGGCATGATCTGCTTCCATACGATGACGATGAATGCTTCTTGGCGCTGCTTCGATTTGATCGGCTGTAAGGACGACGTTCATCCGAAAGGGGGGCTTGACGATGAGAGATGCCAAGAAGCCGACCTAATCTTTGTGGGTTCGGGGAAAGACGCTGATTATGCACAACGGCGAGCAAGACGTCTATGCGGGGTTCGCGAGGTTCTCAGAGATAAGGGATTTTCGGCGATCAAAATTCCTAGCTGGAGGAAATCTGATCCGTGCAGCACGAGAAGAAGCTCGTCAAGCTCGGACTTGGCTTGACCGTGAGGGTGACTGTGTAGGTGACTGTTAGTGACTGATTGCTCCACATGGCCTGATCATCGAGCAATGCTCGGCGAGACGAGCCCTGCATGAGCAGGACGCTTGGACCATGGTCGTATAGATAAGGATCCGACAATCTGGCTTTGTTGCGTGGTATATAACACGTCCTCCTCGTCAAGCTTTCCATTGTCTTGTCTACACCACGCATCAAGCTACAAGCACAGCAGTACCTCGAACAAGCCTCCAGTCAAGCCGCAAACCAACCTTCAAGCACCCAAGCACACCATCTCAACTCCAAAATGGCGACCACACCCAAGATCCTCTCTACCCTCCCTAACGTCTTCACCTCGCTCCACGAGGCCAAGATCAAATCCAAGCTCACCTTTGCGCAGCTCGGCGAGGCCATCGGGCGCAATGAATGGTACACCACCGCCATCTTCTACGGCCAAGCACGACCGGACAAAAGCGATGTCGAGAAGCTCTCGGCCGCCCTCGGTCTCCAGCAGGGCTTCCTCGAGGAGGCTTTCGGGGAGGACTTCTTCCCCTTGCGCGGTCTCGGCGAGTTCCCCCCCCAGGACCCCGTCCTGTACCGACTGTACGAGGTCATCGTCGTGTATGGCTACCCGTTGAAGCACATGATCAACGAAAAGTTCGGCGACGGCATCATGTCCGCTATCGACTTCGAGGGCGACGTCGAGAAGGTCAAGGGTAGTCAGGGCGAGGACAGAGTCAAGATCACCCTCAACGGCAAATTCCTCCCCTACCGCCGATGGTAAATCACCTCGCTCAAGTTCTGCAATCACACATCATTGTACCAATCTGTGCGATGAGAATGTCTTTCAATATGCTTTTGGATCCGTAATGCATGCTAATCCTCGGTGGGGTCACCGTACTCGAAACAACCCCTGTGTCGACTTCTCGCCTCGTCCAGTCCCGCCTTCAGCGCCTTGGTCAGGACCGGATAGCTCTTCCAGTACCTCACCTTGTCGTCCAGCAGCGCATAACCTTCCTTGGTCAGCTCGTAGTTGATGCAACCCTGCTCGGGGCTCTGACCAATGCCCGGACTCTCCGGATCATACAGGCTGACATGTACCACGTTCGTCCCTGGCTCGACAAAGTCGATGTTGGCGATCATCTTCCTCCCTTCAGCCGCAATCGCTCGGAAGCGGTCCAGCGCCTCCTCGACGTACTCCGCCTGCTTTCCGTCGTACAGCCTGACGAACGACAGCCGCGCATCGCGAGCCTGTGGTGCTAGACGGGTGCGGCCGAAGCGCGAAGAATCGAGCGGACGCAGGTCGCGAAACTTGACACTCTCCTTATTGCCATAGTCGATGAATGAGACTTGGGCCTCCTTGAGTCCGGGTGAGACCTTACGGATGATCGCACGGTACCACGCGCCATCCTGGCTGAACTTGGCAGACACCAGATCGCCGACGCGAGGGATGAAGCTCGCAGAAGAGGCGGCGGGTGACTTGTGGTGAAGCGAAAACTCTTCCATGAGCGTCTCGAGCTCTTGGATCTGGTCGTTGAGTACTTGGATGCTGAAGCCGAACGGATCGTCGGGACCGGACGATCCGCGGACGTCGGAGATGATGCAGTCGACGTACTCTGTCCTTGCCGGGGCGGGAGCGGCGAGACCACCAGCAGCTGCACCGCCGTTGGCAGCACCGCCCCACGCAGGACCGCCGCTGCGAGCAGGTCCAGCTCCTGCACTAGCCCCACCCGCAGCGGCACCCGCATTGACGGGCTCGCCATACTCGGCCTCCTCCGCAGCCGCATCGTAGTCGTGCCACAGCCCCAGCTTGCTCGACTTTGCCTTCTCCTCCGCGTCGAGCAACGACTTGTAGAACGGCGTCGCCTCGGCGCTGTACCCGTGCACCGTGGCGAGACCGCTCTCGACGAGCGACACTGCCAGGTTGTCAGTCTTGTTGAGGTAGAGCGCGCCGATGAAGCCACCTACCTTGTCTGTGCTGAACACCTCGATCTCGACGTCCCGCTGCAGTGCACGCATGGTGGAGAAGTCGAGACCTTCGCGACCGAATGGCTCGTCCTTCTCAGAATGATTCCGTGCCGTCTTGGGAGCGCGGATACCAGCGAGGACGAAGGTGAGTCGCACGTTCTCGCGCGGCACGATCAGCTTGAATCGAGAGGCGGAAGCGACAAAGTCGACGATGGCGGTGAGACGACCGGCACGCTTGAGGCCGGGGAGGAACGTGTTGGCCTTGGAGGCGGTCTCGGAGGCATCGCCCATGCGTGGCGCTGGGAGTTCCTTGCCAGAGTGGATACCCTTTGCTTCCGTGACGGCTTTTGCCTCGGCCTCCATCAGGCCGTCAAAGTTAGGCGAGCGGTCCTCGTCATCCCGACGATGCCTCTGCACGGTAGCAAGTCCCTTGGAGATGAGCAGCAGACCAATGTCGGAATCCTTGTTGCCTTGCTTGACGGTAGCATACTCGCGCTCGTCAAAGTCGCCCTCCTTAGGCTTGATGTAGTCCATCTGCACCGAGACCGTCTTGCCGACGAGGCGCTTTCGAAGGAATTCGCGAGCTTCGGCAGCGTAGCCGGCTTGCTTGGCGTCCTTCGCCTGGGGTTGACGCAGCGACGAGAACTGGATTCGCTTCTCAGGACCAAGCTCGCCGTCAGCACCGACCTTGCGGACCTGTATCGTGTCGCCCGAGATGATGCGCGAGACAACGCCGTCAAAGGTGCGAGCAGCAACGGGCTGGCTGGCCAGAGTGGTGGACGAAGAGGCAGGCGCCGAGTAGGATCGCCAGAGATTGAGACGCTTCTCCTTGGCTGTTCGTTCCGATTGGCGGTACTTCTCCATGCCGCCGTAGGAAGCGAGCATGCCAGCGTGCCAGTCGACACATCGGGCCAGACCTGCCGACAGCAAGAACTGAGCAATGTCGCCGACGGGGTGAATCGCAAGACCAATCAGGACGCTCGCCGATGGCGCAGCAGGGGTAGGTGCTGCCGATGCTGTGCTTGCGAAGGGAGTGGGTGCTGCGACAGGTTGTGGCACCGAGAGAAGTGTGACCTTGATGTTGCGCTGAAGGAGGCGGCTCTCGACAAAGAACTTGGCTTCTTCGCCGTATGGCTCGCTTGCATCGGTAGGACTGGCGCCTCCGCCACCAGTGACACGAGGAGCCTTGATGCCGGCCAGGCTGAGGTTGATCATCTGCTGATGGGTCGAAGAGAGGAGCAGACGCACGCGGAGCATGCTGCCGTCACGGACCTGCTCGACGATCGACTCGATGGGCTTGCCCTTCCACTCGGCGAGGAAAGCAGAGGTGTCCTCAGGCATCGAGTGGTCGACCTTGAGCAGATCGTCTGGACCCCAGAGACCTACACCGGCAGCTATAGCTTCGTCTTGAACGGTCCTCAGCTTCTGCTTCCAGCTGCCATCGTCGGCCTCGTCGCTGCGACGAGCGACCGAGTCGTGCACTTTGGCCCAACCGGCAGCGAGGATCTCGTGAGCGACGTTGGTGTCTGGCTGACCAGGCGCCTTGGGCGGCAGGAAGACATGAGCGAACTGGCGCGGTTGAGCGACCGTGCTGCCAGGGACTGCTGCGGGTGCGGGAACAGTGTACTCGATGCGATACCTGATTTCACGGCCGACGGTGAGCAGACGGAGGTATTCGCGGGAAGGGAAAGCCTGCGGGTCGTCCTCACGATCGCGCGAGCCCAGACGAGGAGCAGCGATGCCGGCGATATGGACGGTCTCTTCCTTGCCTGGGATGTTGACGCCTTTAGGACGAATGACGATCGTGTCACCGGAGAGAACGCTGCGGACGATGGCGCTCTTGAGGGCGGGGACGAGCGGTGCGGCGGCGGTGGTGATGCCGTTGCTGGCTGTCGCTCCGTTGGTGGAAGGAGGGCCTGCGTTGGCAGGGATTGATGCTGCGGTGGCTGCTGATGCTGCGAACGACATGGTGATGAGGAGATGCTGCTGTTGATGCTTTGAATGCGTAATGGCTTGGCTGGAACGTGACTGAATGCTGCAAATGAAGTGTGCCTATGCTGAGAAGAAGGTTTGAAGACAAAGCAGAGATGAAAGCTGAAGAACAAGGTTGGAAGGATGTCAATGAGGAGGATCGAAGAAAGGGAAGAGTGAGTTGGCACCGCTGGCTTGGTCGGTCGATCGAGGCACAGACACGCACACACACCGGCAAACGAATCAGAAACGAGTGGCCCGTTCGAGAAAGAAGGCGGCTTTCTTCTTAAGCGAGCAGAGACCAACACTCACCTCGTGTTTGCATCGCCTCTTCGCTTTGAATTCATATCTCTCGCTCGCACGTTGAAGCTGATGACCTGCACACACTCGCTGCAATTGAATCTGATTGTGCAAGTCATGACCGCCTTGTCGCTACTCGAACCTTGTATGGAAGGGAAGCGTCGCCGTGAAGAAGCTTTTACAGACTGCATCAGCCGACCAACGTCAAAGGTGAGCCGCAAGCCTGGGTTGAATACAATATTGAGCTGCTCTGACTGCGCTTTGTATTCGCATTTGATTGAGGCTTGCGTTGGAGGCCGGGGCATGCTTGTTTTGCATTAACTGTTAAGCCGTTCACGATAGGAGATCGACCCGATGATTCGAGATTGCAATCTGCCAGCTCGGCAATGAAAGGGATTTTCGCTCGCTTGGGAATTCAACTTTCTGGGGCGCGAGCTCGGCCAGCCGTTGCCAGCTTGCACGTCGCTGTCTGTCTGCGAGTGCTGTGCATCCAGCTGCACCTCGGTCTGTGCTGGCAGCAACGCGTTGAGGATGCCATGTGCGTGTGAGCGTGTCGACAGCTTCCCACGCCGTGTTCCACCGAATAGCCGCCAGAGACACACTAAAAAATGTCCCCCGTCCGACCCCAGCTTGATGTCTAAGCACTTGTGGCGCGATGACGATCATATTCGACACTCGCACACGCGCTTGCGAGACAGGACGATCGCTATCGGTCAACCCAACTCGCTTTTCGTTCGGGTTGGCCAACTTATCTTGCTTTTGGACCTCCGCTCGATGCGGAAAGTGAAAATGCATTTTTGACGTGAGGCGAGTCTGCCTCTGACGCTCCTGACTCGGTCTTGGGAAAATCAGCAAATTCGAGAGCAACCACCACCACCAGGCGCGTGTATGCACTCTCGTCCCGCTGGGAACAAACGCTGTCGTGACACCAACCTCTGACATGGTGGGCTGGCACAACTACAGAACACTTCCTGCCGACTAGCAAGCCATGTCTGAGGCAAATTCTCCGTGTGCGACCATCCGCTCGCCAGCAGTCGCCCTCCGGCTTCTTTGCCATGCCATGTGGCTCCATCCCGCTGGTTCCAGCTGAAGCAAAAAGCGTGTTCTATTCGCCCTGCCGTGCGTGTCCTTGTATGCGCTCGTGTCTCGTCCCTCTCCCGCCTCGTCCCTCTCCCGCTGGCCAGCCTGTCCATGTATGCGGTCCCTCGTCCATAGAAGGCCGCTCCTCCCTCCCTTCCATCATCCTCTCATCCCATCTCCCTTCATATATCCTTCGTGGCTGGTTCCACTTCCCTTCCCCTCGTCCCCTCCTTTCGTACACTTCCGAACGACCTAGACGCCCCCCTTCCAGTCCTCGACAGCACTTAGAATCCAACTAGACGAGACAACTAGAACGACTCCGCCCAAGATGCGCACTTCCTTCTTCGCCGTCGCATCGCTCGCCGTGCTCAGCGCGCTTAGCTGGAATGCGCCCACGGCCCAAGCCAAGTCGCTCAGCAACCGACACCAGGACCACGACATGCTTGCTGTTCGCAACCTCCACGTCGAAGCTCGCTCCAACGTAGAACCTCGCGCCAAAGAGTGCCGAGCGGTCAAGAAGAAGAAGAAGAGCAAGAAGCACCGCAAGACAACCACCACCAAAAAGGCATCGGCGACCTTCCAACAGGCTGCCAAGGCGACCACTTCGTCCAAGAAGACCACCACCTCGACACGGAAGACGACGACCACCTCCAAGTCGTCTACTCGCTCGTCCTCGTCCAGCTCTTCGTCCTCCTCGTCCATCTCGCGCGCGACCTCCTCCAGCTCGTCTGCATCCTCCTCGTCCTCTACCGCCTCCGCAACCAACCCTGCCGCGTTTGCCGGCGCGGCACCGCCCAACAGCCCCTGGGGCAACTGCTTCCAGCTCACTGCCACCGCCTTCCAGCCCAACTGGAAGGGTGAGGCGACCACCACCTGGTGCGGTGTCGAGTTCGACAAGTCCTCGCCCATCATCGCTCTGCCGCTGCAGCAGCTCTCCAAGGCGTACGGCTCCGACAAGCTCGTCACCTACTACTCGAACGAGACGCTCTGGCGCCAGATGGTCAAGGACTGGTGCGGACGAGAGCTGTGGATCAACGGGCCCGGTGGATTGTTCAAGGCCTACTTCGGCGATGCTAATCTTTGGACCTCGGTGGTAAGTTTCTCGTGCTCTCGTTGGAGATTGAATGCTGAATGCCGTACTGACAGCTTTGTATTTTCTGGACGGACAGGATGTTAACATGAACCTGTACACCAAGCTCAAGGGCGTTCCTGTGGGCAGCTACGCCGACCCTGACGCGGCCAAGTGGATCAACAATCCCGAACCCCAGGGCTGCTTCACCGGCAACCAGGTCAGCATCAAGAATGGCTACCCACTCAACTACAACTGATGATCTAGAAATTGCGCGTTATGGCCCGCGTCGCATCTGCTGGTCGGATGGCGACGGAGGGCAATCACGCTCACAAGACACGTCGGGACCGGATCCCGACGCTCAGCGCAGTGCACAGAGGACAGCCGGTCTGTCACTCTTCGGTTGCTGGCATGGAACACGCTGGAATAGACACCCCCCCACCCCGGATAAGGAAAAGCAACGCGTCACCCTGTCACCTCCTGTATTACCTTCCTCGCAATGTAGAACATCTGTGTCGGTGGAGAAGCGAATCGCCCGCTTGTCTTGCACAAGACGAAGCGTTGGGATTCGCTCTCTTCCAAGCAGCTCACCTCACATACACACCCCATCCACCACGCCCGACGGTAAACCGTCAGGATGAACAACCCCCCTCTGTGCACGGTCGTGGTTCGCCGAACGTGCATACAATGAGCTGGGTTGCAAGATTCGCTAACATGGTGGGTGCGTTTCAACCCACAGACATGAGCCAAGCACGGACGCCACTCCATCAATGAAGTGATGTGCTGCGAGGTGGGACGTATCAACGAGGTTCTTCTCTTGACACGGTGGGACAAGTGTACCGCAACCTGAAGCAATCTGTGAGAAGCAAAGGATACAGTGAACATCGGCTCGCATCCCTCACTGATCATCAACAAGCCGTCAAGCCATGATGCGACTCGCTTTCTTGACCTTGGCACTGCTGCTGATCACCACCCATGCTGTCATGGGTGAGTCGGCGAGCTCCGATGCATGGGCAGACTCGCCAGCAGCGTCACAGCAAGGCACGGGATCAGCAGACGAAGCGTACTCTCCTCCGACGGGCTACTCTTTCCGCTCCAACGACAGCTGGACTCGCCGATCAGCCAAGAGCGTATTCGGTGCGGGCTGTCGTTGGGACCCGACATCGTCGAACATCGTCGAGGTGAGCTACACGTTTCGCACTGGGCAAGCGCCTCCGTCCACCTGGTTCTCCCACGTCGGTGTGCCGGCTGCTGGCAGCGCTAGTGATCTTCGTCGTCGCACTGCTGGCTCCTCACCATCTTCTACCTCTGACGACTCGCTTAAGTCCGAGGATTCGACTCAGGAAGGTTCTTCAGAAAGTTTCGACACGTCTCTCATCGACGTCCTAACCTATCGTGCGCGGTACGGTTCGTTCGGCACCTCTCTCAACGATGCTGGTTGTGCGTTGCCCTCGATCTCTGCCCGTCTCGCCTCGCTCGAAGCCGCCGAGCGTCAGCTGATCAACAACTACACGCTTCAACACAAACCCCTCGCTGGGGTGGACGACACGCCAAACGCAATGTTCTTCTGGGCCGGCCTGTCGAACTACAACCCCTCGATCCGGTCGGATCTCATCCAGACGGTCGTCTTCTACGGCGACGGGTGCGCTGCTGATCCACGCCAAGGGTTGTGCGTCTACGCAGCGGAATACTCGGCGTTTCGATACGATGAGAAGGACCACATGTGCATGGGAAGCAACATGCCGGTGTTCTACCCCGTGGAGACGGGGATGAAGGTGGTGTATCGGACGCAGAGGGGGTTTAGGACGCAGGAGGCGTGGATAGATGGAAAGATGGTTAGCTATTTGAGAAGTGCAGGGGACCAGGTGATGAACAGCTTTGTCATTACGCAGGAGTGCAAAGGATGTCAATGGCCGTTGACGGAACAGGTGTACGAGGGGATTCGGATCAGGTTCAGCGAGAAGGAGGAGGGATTTGATGGGTTGGGACTGTGTGAAGGGGGCGCGACGGCGAGCACGCCAAGGAGCGAGGATGGCGGGAAGGTGTGGGTCATCGACGAGGTCAGAGTGCCGAGTGGGAGGCATGTAACTAGCCAGGAGGGCGTTGGCCAGGCTTCGGCAGCGCAAGGATGATGGAGAGAGAGCCCACACCGGCGACTTCTTGGTTGCATCAAGACCCTGAGAGTTGTTCTTTCCCCCGCGCCGAAGTTGCCGCCTTGCCCACTCTCGCTTACGCTTTCGCCAGTCCCTTTCCCTGCGGCCTCTTCCCCGGCATGACCGGTGACGCCAATACGATCAGCCAAAACCTACCGTCTGTGTTGAACACAAGTTCGAGTGTATGGCGCTTGGTCGGTCGGCGAATTGCACGGCGTTTGCTTTACTTTGACCGCCGCCGTGCCTTCGGTCCGGGTCGAGGCGAACGGACCAGTCCTCCTCCTTGAAAGTCTGTGAGCGAAGCCTGTCCTTCCGACCACCACCTCAGCGAGTTCAAAGCAAACACCATGACAACTTCTCGCGGCAAAGTTGGCTTCATCGGCCTGGGCAGCATGGTAAGTCTGTCTTCCGCAAGCGATCTCACCGCTGTCAACACAACTGACAAAACCGGTTGTTTTTCTGTAGGGCGGACCCATGGCGCTCAACATCGCCAAGGCAGGCTTTGCCACCAAGGCGTTCGACCTCCGCGCTGAGGCGGTGTCATCCTTCGTCTCGGCCTCGTCCGCCTTCTTCACACCGGGCACTGGCGCAACCTCGGTCGTGGACGCGGCGCAAGGCGCCGACTTTCTCATCCTCATGGTGGTCAACGACGCCCAGGCGCGCTCGATACTTCTCTCTCCCACATCCACCGAGGCGTTACGCACAGCATTGTCGGTCCTCGCGCCGAACGCACACGTGATCCTCATGGCGACCTGTTCTCCCGGGTCGGTGTTGCAGCTTTCGCAGGACATTCAAACGGCTCGCTCGGACATCGTGCTTGTTGACGCGCCCGTCTCTGGTGGCGTCTCTGGCTCGACAAACGGCACGCTGACGATCATGGTTGGCTGTCCTACCGCTGCCTTCGATCACGTTAGGCCCGTGTTGGGGGCGATGGGCGATAAGCTGCACCACATGGGCGAGGAACCAGGTAAAGGCAACAGCATGAAGGCGATCAACCAAGTGCTGTGCGGCATTCACGTCGCTGCCGCCGCAGAAGCCCTTGCGCTCGCCAAGAAGATGGGCGTGGATGCATCACACGCGCTCGAGATCGTCAGCACTTCTGCTGCGAGCAGCTGGATGTTGAGAGACAGAGGACCGAGAATGTTGCAGGACGAGCCAGAGACGCACTCTATGACCCAGATCTTTGTTAAGGATCTAGGAATTGTCGCTGAGGCCGGGAGGGAGGTCGGTGCGGCGCTGCCACTGAGTGTCGCCGCGCACCAGATGTTTGTGGCGGGTGTGGGGAGGGGCCAGAAGTACATGGATGACTCGAGCGTGATCAGGTGCTATGATGCACTGAATGGCCAGGGCGAGTAGAGGCGGGGTAACGGATGTATGCTCGTTGCTCAATCGCAGTAGCTTCCATCCAAAAGAGCAGCTGATGTAGCACCGCATGACGGGGTGCGTAAGAGTGTGAAGAAGGTTCCATTGATTGAAGTTACGCCTATGGCCCAGAAACGAGCTCTGTAAGCGCCTTTTCCATGTTGCCGTTGTACTTTGCCAGAGTCGATTCGGCTACCGATCTTGACACAAGCAGCTCCGTTGTCTGAGTATGAGCAAGCAATGAACAGAAGCGTGGTTCGCTAGGTCAGTTCCACATCTACATCATCAATCACGGCTTCGTTGAGGCGACAGCACTTACGATAAAGTCAACGTCCTCCTTCTTGAGCTTCTGTCCCTGCGACGGTCCTGCCGCGATGTGTGCCGGTACGATTGCCGCATTGTCGCCAAAGCACAGCGCTTGAACCGTCTTCTCCATGCGTCCGCGCTCGAAGCTGTAGCCCGCCGAGTCAAAGTCGGCCCACTCTTGGATGACCTGTTTGGCACGGTCCAAGTCCGCACAAATGAAGCAAAAGATGTTAGCGAAGGGGATTTCTTGTCCGATCAGAGCAGGAGAGAAGCGCGCCTACCTCTGCCTGTGGTTTTGCCGCCATGATGTGTGTCGAGTCGATGGGTTAATGATCGCTAGGATGCGGTGAGGAAGGAAGAATGCAGAGTCGAAGATGTGCGGATTTCGGACGGAGTGGGCCAACGCCGAAAGCCGCGAATCTGTGAAGGCTTTGGACCCTTGATTCTTCCAAGCTTCGTACTCTCTCTCGCGGTGCTCTTCAGAGTCTCAACCGCTCTATGACAGCGCGCTGCGCCCTTGACACCATCAGCATCCCCGGCCAGACAGTATGATTCCGACACCGTCAACATCGCATCTGACCAAGGAAGATTTCCGAAAAGTCTACGAGCCTGCAGAAGACACCTTCATCCTGCTGGACGCCCTGGAAGCCGATGCGGAGGCTCTCACCCGCTCCCTCTCCGCGCCTCTCTGTGTCGAGATAGGCTCTGGTAGCGGCATCGTCACCACCTTCCTCTCGCAGATCTTTGGTTCGAATACAGGTACATACATCGCCATCGACCTCAATCCGCACGCGAATCGGTGCACGGTAACCACAGGTAAAGCGAACGGCGTCCACATCGAGGCGATACGAACATCACTCCTTTCCGGCCTACGCTCAAGATTACGGGGCAACGTGGACGTGCTGCTGTTCAACCCACCCTATGTACCGACGGAGGAAGAGGAGGAGGCAATGGCGCAGGGTAAAGCGGGGATCGAGGGGTCCTGGGCGGGCGGCGCGACTGGCACAAGGCTGGTCGACGAGCTAATAGACGATGGGGTGATCAGCGATGTGTTGGCGGAAGGTGGGAGGTGCTATCTCGTTGCTATCAAGCAGAACGACCCACAGGGACTGGTGAGGAGGCTGAAGGTGCAAGGTTTGGAGGCCGAGGTGGTGCTCGCCAGACGAGCGGGTGGCGAGCATTTGCATGTCGTTCGAGCTATCAAGCCGTAGCGCAACAGTCGCAGCCACATTGTTGTCCGGCACACCAGTTTGAGTGCAGCTCTCTAACGCTTCAAGGGCCTCCAGATACCCGTAGCGATCAACAAATCGCTACTACCGATCCCCCACCCACGTTCACGAGCCGTTCGCAGCACGGTTCGTTAAGCTTTGACCACAGCACATTCATGACAGTCGTTCCTGCGCGAGCTTATCCGCGGCGAAACGCCTGAACCTCGTCGATCGCCACCTGTCTCGTGTCACAAGTCCGCAACGCAACCAGATCGCCGCATCAGAAGCGGTACGATGCTACGCAGCTTCTCGCCTCGCCGAGTGCGGGAGCCTCACGGCAGCATGTGATATTTCCGCGGTATTTTCGAAGAAGATCGGAGCGAGCTCTTTGTGTGACAGGCGAGGCGCAAGAGGGGTTGCACAAGCGGGTCGACCGGGCATGCAAAGCCGTAAATGTGGAGAAGAAGGCGTTGTGCTGGACGAGCTTAGGCGATAGAGCCCCTCTTGCTGTCCATCGGGATAAGAACCCCTTCATCCCCGCGCTCATCATCGTCCTTGATCATCTCCTCGTGCTCCATTCCGAGCTTCTTCTCTCGAGGATGGTGACGAGCGCAGCCCTCAACCACGAGGCACTCCTCTCCTGGACACGCGCCCACCCCTTCGCCTCCCTGTTCACTCTCCTCGTCCTCTACATCACCTACAAGCTCGCCCTCCGACCCATCCTCTTCCCGTCGCCCTACCTTCTCCTCCCACGCCCCGTCCGCGCCTCCTACATCCTCGGGCAGCGCGTCGTCGAAGCCAAAGGCTCCACCTTCACCGACCCCACCACCGGCACCCGCACCCTCATCTCTGGTCCTGGCGAGGTCACAAAACACTACGCGCAGACGCTTCACACCGGCGTCTTCGTCTTTCCCGAACCGTTTGGTGGCGAAACCCTCCACATCTCGGATCCCTACGCCCTCAATGCGATCCTCAGCGACATCGATACGTTTCAATCCGACCTCCTCCGCTCCACCATCATCGAGTTTATCGTGGGTAACGGCATCGTGACGCGGTATGGCGATGCGCATCGCAAACAACGCCGCTTGATGGCACCCGCCTTCACACCGGCACATTTGAAAGGGTTGATGCCCGTGTTTGCCAAGTATGCCGATCGGATGTGCGATAAGATCGACAGGCAGGACGGGGAGAGGGTGGATTTTGGCGAGTATCTCGATGTTACCATGCTCGATATCATCGGGTTGGCAGGGTTCGGGTATGATTGCCGTGCGCTCGAAAGGGGTCGAGATGGAAGCGAACTGAGTAGTGCGTTCAACAGCGTCAATCAGGCGGCGATTGATTTCGGTATTGGGAGGGCGATCCATTTGGGGTTGAGCGCCATGCTCTATCCCAAAGCGTGCAAGTGGCCCTTGTCAGAGGCCAATCGACGCATCGAAAAGGTGAACCGCGTCATGGACCGCATCAGCATGTCGATCGTCAAGGAGGCCAAGCGGTCCGTTGTGGCGGAAGGCGAGGATCTGGGTGATAAGAAAGATCTACTCAGCCTGCTGGTCAAGTCGAACCTCTCCGCGGGGGCAGGGGAGAGGATGACGGATCGCGAGATCGCAGGGCAGATCCAAACCTTCATGTTTGCAGGCTACGAGACGAGCAGCGTCACCACCTCGTGGGCGTTGTACTTTCTCTCGCGCCACTCCACCATCCAGTCCAAGCTGAGGCGGATCATCGAGGAAGTGGTGAAAGATCGCAAAGGGGTTTCGCTAGAGGAGCTGAGCGCGGGGATGCTCGACTACGACGATGTATGGTGCGACGAGCTGCGCTATCTGGACCACATTCTGGCCGAAACGCTGCGCCTCTGCCCACCGGTTCCTGGAAACGACCGCGAAGCGACGTCCGACGCAGTGCTCCCGCTCATGACTCCCGTCCAGCTCAAGGATGGGAGGTCGATCGACAAGCTCGTAGTCAAGAAAGGTTCACGCGTCACCATCGGGATCAAGACCGTCAACTACGACCGTCGCCTCTTTGGTGAGGACGCAAACGAATTCCGCCCGGAACGATTCGAAGACCTACCGCAGGCGCATGCAGATGCAAAGCTACCCCCTTATGCCATGTACAGCTTTGTTGGCGGCCCCAAGTCTTGGTAAGCATCCCGTTTCTCTTGATCAGTAAAAGATATGCAGAAGCTGACACTTTTTGATGGTGGGGGGAACACAGCATCGGCTCGAAATTCGCTCTGACGGAAATGAAGGTGTTGCTGATCGCCGTGTTGGCGCGGTTCGAAGTGTCGGCGGAACCGGGGCTGGAGATCCGACAGCATCAGGCACTCATTGTTCGACCCCGCGTGGAGAACGCCACCGACGGTCCCGCTGCAGGTATGCCACTCCGCATCAAGCGTCTCCCCCACAAGACCACTCTATAGAACCCCTTTCTCATCACACAGGAACAATCTCAGGGAAGCATTTGCAAGTCGTGTCATTGCATGTGCATCAGTCGGCAGTAAGACGATCCGCATCGAACGCAGGGGTTGGCGGTAGAACACCTTCCATCTTGCTCACATCTGCCAGCGCCTCGGCTAGCTGCTCGACATCTTCCACTGTTGCGAGGGACCAGACTTCGTAGGCTGAGCCGGAGTGGTCGCCGTTGAGCTCCTTCTGCTTGTCCCTGTAGGCGAGTTCTTTGCTGAGCAGGTGAGCGCAGGCACGTCCAGGACCGAGACAGATGAACCGCTCCACGCCTTGGGCTAGCAGCGTATCGACGGTGCTGAGCCAGTGCACGGGTCTCGCGAACGCACCCGCGAGATCCTCGCGGATCGCATCGCTGTTCGGAAGCACCCGACCGTCTTTCGAAGACACCAGCGAGAAACCCTCCGGATCCGAGAGGGGCATATACTTGACCGCAGGTCGGAGGAAGTCGCTCGCCTCGGTCATCAGACTCGAATGGTACGCCCCCGACACGGGCAGGTTGACCGCCCTCGCACCGAGGTTCTTCGACCTCAACCGATCGCAGCAGTACGAAACCCCCACTCGCGATCCCGACAGCACGATCTGCAGCGCACTGTTGATGTTGGCCACCTCGACCACCTCGTCTCGCGCCACCGAGGGTATTTTGCCATTCCGAATGTCCTCCGATACCTGCTCCACCTCGCGGATTACCGCATTGAGCTTTCCGGGTCGAACGACGACACCGGACATCTGGGTCCGCTTCCATCCGGGTTGCGCCTTTTCGGCTGTTGCTGCGGCTTCTTCTTCGTATAGCAGATCGGCACCTTTGCCACTGCCGGCGTTGGCAAAGGCCCAGGTCTCGTAGACGCTCTCGGGCTTCTTGCAGCCTGGAGGGAAGAGGACAGGGTGGTTGGCGGTGTAGTGCGAGGCGACGAGACCTCGGTGTCGGAGGAGACGGACCGCATCGTGCAGGTCCAACGCTCCTGATCCGACAAGAGCAGCGTAGTTGCCCGACCCGTGACCGGATGCCCACTGGACGTGATCCTGAATGAGATCGATGTTGAACTCCTTACGAAGCACCTGAAGGAACGCGAGCGTGCAGGTGAGGATCGCCGGCTGTGCGTTCTCTGCTCGCGTCAACTCGAGTTGGTCACCTGAAAAGACGAGATCGCGAAGCCATCCCCGCCGACTCCGCGCGACGGCTGTGCCACTTGCTAGCAGACCCTGCTTCGAGTCGAGATGGCGTGTTTTTGCTAGCTCAGCTTCGAACAGCTCCCTCTGCTGTGAACTCGTTGCGCGCTCGCCCTGAATGAAGTGGTGAGAGTGGATGCCGGGCGTCATCATGAGCGCCTCTTCTGCTTGGTGCCAGATCGAACGAGCTGAGCGGAAGGTCTTGTAGAGATCTTTGGACATGGCGACGTACTGCGAGCCCTGACCGGGGAAGATGAGAGCCGACTTTTTGCGCACGATGCCGATTCCAGGGTGACCCTGGCCGATGCCTCCCGTTGCAGTGCCGGCTAACGGTGGCTGTGTGCCGGGCGCCACAAAGGACGAAGCGTTGAAAGAAGAGGATGGGGATGAGAAGTAGGTGTGCTGTGGAAGAGGTTGCTCGCTGCGGGTAGAGGGCGAATAGCGATGCTGATATCGACTGGCGTGATCCTGATCTGAGGTGGATGAAGGCGCGGACGCTGTGGCTGATGTGCGCGGTGCACCTGACGATGGACCAGAGACGTGGATGGTGTTCATCTTGCGTTTGCCGTAGTTGGGAATGGCACCTTTGCCTGCGTTGCCCATCACAATGGGTGAGCTGGCTGCTTTTCCGTTCGATGGGGTCGAACTCGCCTCTCCGGGGCCGACAGGGCCACATTGACTTTTGGCACCTCCGCCAAAGGCCCATGTATCGTCGAGCTGATCTGCTGCATTGGTGGACTTGGCGCGTACAGAAGAAGAAGCTGGCGATGCAGCTGGACCAGATGTATCTAGAATAGCGCCGCTGGTCCTTCTTTGCAGAGTAGTGCTGATCTTTGCCTGGCTGCCAACGGAGGTGGACGCCTCATGCGATGCGGCATGGCTTGCTTTCGTCGGTGCCGATGAAAGCAGAGGATGTGCTGATGCACCGAGAGTACGGTAGCGGGCTACATAGGCGGATGAATCGCGAATCTGAGCGAGAGAGCGACGCTTGTTGGCGGCGCTTGTGGAGACGGCAGTGGGAGAGGCGGCGATGGCGGTGGTGGAGGAGTGCCTCGGACGGGAGGGGCCGGCAATAGGAGCCGAATGAGACGCTGACGCAATCAGATCTCTTGCTGCGTTGCGCCGTGAAGAAAGCATGATGGCGAATGCGCAAATGTGAATCAAAGTAGGCTCGTTGGGTATATTGAGTCGAGGCGATGAGCTTGTTTGTTGTGGTCTCGGATGACCAGATATGATTAGGATGGTGCTATGAAGACGTGAACGGCATTGCTATTGGAGGATCGTGGACGGCGCTGTTTGAGCAGCAATCTTGACGTTGAGAGTTCGTGATGATGATTGGTGTGGAAAGGAAGCTGAGTCGATGAGCGTGTGCTGAATGGATTGCAGGTGTAGGCGGGGTACGAGAGCGGGGTCAGTGCTGCTGCTGCTGCTGCTGTTGCTGTTTGCTGCTGTGTGACTCTGCCCGGTGCGGTAAGAAAGCGCCTTCGGCTCATTCCGCTTTCCAAAGAGGCCGGAGTTGAATTTCAGGCTCAAGTCCAGTCAAAGGGCGCGATCTTCGCTTCAGCCTCGATGACTACACTCACAACGGACGGTCCGAAATTTCACGGGCAAATCTCAGATCGGCCGGATCAAAATCAAGCTGTTAGGCCATCAATAACCCACAAGATACAAATCAAGTTCACGTCAAGTGTTAGACTGATCGCACCGACGATCCGACGTGCCGACCTGGCTGATCTTGCCTGGCGTTTGGGCATCGATGCCAACTCGGCTGGAACTATGAATGTGGCGAACTGAGGATGTCGGGGGTAAACGAACCAGCAGCCAGTCAAAGAGCGGCGCAGAAGATCGGACGGACGTAGGGGCCTGCGCTCAACGCTTTGCATGGCGTGCCATTCCCGAATAGGCTCTAGAGCTACGTCGAATCCGATACAGGAGGCTCATCGGCCCAAAGCTTCCAACCGTGAAAACAAGGAAAAGACGGACAGACAGACGGTCTTTGACAACCAGCATCTAGAAGGACTGACGATCCTTGTTCGGAGACAAGGCCTTCTATCGGAGATTAAGAACCAAAAATTCATGTGCGCATAGCTGCAGATGAACCCTTTCGTTCTCGGCTGTCACACTTTGCGCATCTCACCTTGCGTTTGGCCTCCACTCACTTCTATGGTCCCCATCGTTGCCATCACCGCGCAATCTCCTTGCGCCGACGCTTGTCACCACAATTCGCTGAGCTTGAGCGTGGACCACGGCTTTAGCCATAACATCCCCATAGACGCAGACCCTTTATAGTCTCTCGAGTCGGAACCTCCTTCCACCTCGGCTCCACCCGAATCCACCTCTTCGAACAAGTCATCCTCAAACATGTCGTCTTCCAGCACGAGCACTGTCGCTCTCGACTCCGCTCCTCACGACCATCGCCCACCGCTCTACAACGCCGGCCGTCTCGGTCAAGCGCGCCAGCTCCTCGGCGTGGCCATCCTGTGCCTGTCCATGCTCCTCACCCAATCTTCGTTAGGTCAAACCGTCCTACCCATCCGCAGCATCGCGCGCACTTTCGACGTCGAGTCCTCCGACGCACAGCAATCCTGGTTCGCCGCCTCCTTCTCCCTCACCGTCGGCACTTTTGTCCTCCCCGCTGGGCGGATTGGCGATCTCGTAGGCCACAAGACGGTGGTCATCGTCGGCTACGCTGTGCTTAGCGTCTGGTCGCTTCTCGCCGGGTTGTCGCATTATACGGGCTCGTATGTGTTCTTCGATGTGTGCAGGGCGATGCAGGGTCTAGGATGTGCGGTGCTGTTGCCGAATTCGTTGGCGATACTGGGGAGGGTGTTTGCCCCGGGCACGTATGCCAAGCATCTCAGCTTCAGCTTTTTCGCTGCTACAGCTCCGAACGGGTTCCTCGTCGGGGCGCTGTTCACGACGTTGATGGACATGAACTCGCGCCTGGGCTGGCAGTGGGGATTCTACATCATGGCCATCACCGCTGCCGCACTGGCCGTGCTGTGCATCTGGATTCTCCCGAACGAGGCAGAGATGCGCGCAGTAAGCGCCGCGTGGGAGTCCGACACCAAGCCCGAATCATCCGAGCCCTCAACCCCCATCGAGAAGAAAGCACCCCTCTGGCAACGCATCGACCTCTTCGGCACCCTCACCGGCATCATCGGCCTGGTGCTGTTCAACTTTGCCTTCAACCAAGCCCTCGTCGTTGGCTGGCAGACGCCCTACATCTACGCCCTCCTCCTCGTCGGCCTCCTCTTCATCGGCGTCTTCATCTACGGCGAATCCAAAGCGTTGTTCCCGCTCCTCCCCACGAGCGTGTTTCACCTCAGCGGCACATTCATCCTCCTCTCCCTGGCGTGTGGGTGGGCATCGTTTGGCATTTGGTTGTTCTACGTCAACCTTATGCAGCAGACCATTCGGGGGTACAGCCCGATCTTTACGCTGCTCACCTTTGTCCCTGCTGGCGTGGCGGGGATTGTTGCCGCGTTCAGCAGCGCCCATATTCTAGGCAAAACAAGTCCGCCGTTCGTCATGCTTCTCTCGCTCATTGCGTTTTGCACCGGAAGCTGTGTTGCAGGCAACGCACCCGTGAGGGTCGAGAGTCTTCCGTACATCGCTTCGGCCATCATGCCTTTTGGCATGGACATGAGTTTTCCCGCTGCCAGCATCATCCTCTCCGACTTTTTGCCCGCGCATCAACAGGGGACCGCAAGCAGCATTGTCAATACGGTGGTGAACTACAGTATTGCGTTGGGACTGGGCTTTGCGGGCGTCGTGGAGACGCATGTCAATGAGGGAGGGAGGAACGTGTTGAAGGGGTACAGGGGCGCGTTTTATATGGGCATGGGTTTCGCTGGTGCGGGCGTGGCGTTGGCGTTGGTCAATTGGGGGATGCATTTGCGCGAGAGCAAGCAGAGCCAGCGGGACAAGGACGAGACGGAGGCAGAGAAGTTTTGAGGTAGAAACTGTCGGCAGCGACGATCATTTGTACACTACAGCATTCACATTACACAGCATCAATGCGTTCCGCTTCAAACATGCCCAGCTCGCGCTTCGTGAAGGAACGACAGTCAATTGCAGCCAACTACTAAACAGAAAAGAACAAGAACACCGAGATTCGAAAGCACCATTTTGCCAACTGCGCCACTACTGGTCGATGTCGAGCACGATCCTGCCCGCGATCTTGCCGCTGTGCATGTCATCGAACACCTGGGGCAGCTGCGAGAGACCGAGCGTCTTGAACGTCGTCTTGACCCTGCCGCTGGCGGCGATGTCGAGGGCCTCCTGGGCGTCCTGCCTGTTTCCAACGTAGCTGCCGACGATGCGCACCGATCGGAATACTGTGAAAAAGACGTTGGCTTTGATGTCCGCCTGACCGGGGAGGCCGACGGCAACGAGCACACCGCGAGGGCGAATATAGTCGAGTGCCTGCTCGTAGGCCGCAGCTCCCGAAGCGGCAACAACAGCAGCCTGAGGACCGAATCCGTCGGGCGTGGCGGCCTTGATGTCCTCAACAAGGTTCTTCGAGGTCTTGAAGTCGATGAACTTTTCCGCGCCGAGCGACTCGCACAGCTGCCTCTTGTCATCTCCCGTGTCGATCGCGATGATGCGATACCCGGCAGCCCGTGCGTACTGCACGGCAAGATGTCCCAGTCCGCCACCAGCGCCGGGGATGGCGACCCACTGACCAGGCAGAAGCTGGGCCTCCTTGAGCGCCTTGTACACCGTCACACCAGCACAGAGGATGGGCGCGGCCTGGTCGAGCGGCAGGCCATCCGGAATGATGCTCAGGTGGTTAGCGTATGACACGGCGTACTTCTGGAACGAGCCATCGACGCTGAAGCCTGAGCACTGAGCGTGGGGGCAGTTGGGTTCGGCACCCGTTCGGCAGAACGAGCAGTTGAGGCACGACGTAGCGATCCACTTGATGCCGACACGGTCGCCGATCTTGACAAACTGATCAGCACCCTCACCGAGAGCAACGACGACACCAGCGCCCTCGTGACCGCCAACGAGAGGAAGCTTGTTGTCGAGCGGCCAGTCACCGAGCATGGCGTGCAGATCCGTGTGGCAGACACCCGAGTAGATGACGCGGACGAGCGCTTCGCCGCGCTTGAGATCACGCTGGATGGGCACATCCTTGACCGAGACGGGGCCGCCTTGCTTGTCGAAGATGGCGACGCGGTTCTGGCCGGAGATCTGCAGGTCTTGCTCTCGAGCATCGGCGTGCGAGTGGGATGAGGTAGCTGAGGGCGCCATGTTGATATGCTTTGTCGAGTGTGCTAAGCTTGTCGGGGCTTTAGGTTGGAAGGCTGCTGTCAATTCTTCGTGAGTTCGAGAGTATGTGTGAGGGAGGATGGACGAGGCTAACTCAATCAGCTCGCTCTTTTATCCCTCTCAGACTAGCTCATGAGTTGCCATGATACCTCCATGACACACCAGTGGACGAAGGCGTAGTGATGATCTGTGCGCCACGCTGGGACACACAACTGCCATTGCTGCTGCTCTCTGTGTCACGAGGAAGGATGAAGACCGCATCCTCTCGCGAGCTGCCGCAGGGCAAAGCCGTGTGACTGAAAGAAGTGATTTCCGAAGATCACAATGGCTGCGGCGTGGGAAGAATCGTGTCTCAGCTCGCGAGAAGAAGTGTGGCCGCGCCGAGGTAGCGCCGCAAGGCAACGGCAATGTGATTCTGGACAGCCCGGTGCTCTGCCGCATCATTGTCCGGTCATGGCTGTGTTGGATCAAGGGTCCTTCTGAACAGGCGCGAGAGCGGAGCCTCAGTTGCTCTCACTAGCCACAGAACTACAAGCCAGCAGCCAGAGGCACACCGAGAGATGTTCGGGAGTGCAGGTCTTCGTCCACGGCAATCCAGCCCCGTCAGCGGTCAGCTGGCGCCTAAGTCCGTGCGCTCTGCCGCGAGGTCGAGCTTACCTTCGACCTGCTGTATGCAAGCCTCGCGTGCAGAGCGGCCTTTGGCGAGTCAAGAAAAGCATCAACCCCGCAATGTTGGGCAGGCGCACGCTCGCTTAGATCAAGACAGGCAGCCGAACCAAGTGCGCCAGCCTCCCGCATTTTCCCTTAGGAACCGGCAAATTTCCCCACACTCTGCGCACAGAGCTCTATTTTTTTCCGTGTCGCATCTCCGCTCCCGCAAGGTCACGCTCCTCCCGCGAGCAAAGGTGGTGTCGTGCGACTCGCTGGATCGTGCTCGCACTGACCGAACCAGATGTCTTTGAGGGTTCGCAGAACACATAACTCAGGGTCCTTTCCCCGCTAGAGACGGGTCCGCAATCGCAGGGAGAACGGACCAGGCTTCTAGAACGACACGCCGGCAAGCGACCGCACCACCCCCAGGGTCAAGCTCGTCCCAGTGCAGTAGCCAGATGTTCAGCGGATGGCCGGCGCACCCAGCTCAGGATCCCGGTCTTGCTCGTCATCTCTCAAAGCAAGGTGCTAAAGGCTCTTCAGAAGCGGTGTGAAGCGCCATTTTATCGACCGCATTTATAAACTGAATTTGTTTCATACAGTATTTTGTGCTGCTGGCTTGAACACAATTTGATCGCGATGGAGACGACGAGGACGCCTCAACACTTGAACTCGGACGACGATCTGAGGCTTCGATCGTTCGCTTGGTGTCTGTGCCGGACCAAAGGAGAGCAATTTGTCAGTCGTTCGCTTCCTGCTACAGAGAACCGGTGCGAGAAGCACTTACGCAGCAGTAACAGCGATCGAGCCAGAGACCATGCCTTCCGACGCCGCGATCATCTTGTTGTAGTCCTCGATCGTGTTGAGCGCCGCATCGCTTATCCTTTTGGTCAGCTTCGAGATTGCGCGCGAAGGTGGATATGGATGGGCATTGCCGTTCTTCTGTGTATGATCGTACACGTCGTCGTCCGCTTCGGCGCCGGAGATGGCCGAGAGAAGGGGTAGGGGAGGCACGTTTTGAGCCTCGAGCGGCGACGTGGGCAAGAAAGAAGCCTGCCCTCCCTCTGCTGCGTGACGACGTTGGGCTTCGCAGATAGCGGCTTTGATTCGCTTGTCCTCTGCATGTGTACGAAGCGAAATTGTCAGCTGTACTTCTGGTAAGGGATGTGTTGGGGCGGAACTACTCACTCTCTGCCTTGGTCGCAGCGTCCCGGTTCTTGCTCTTCAGATTCATCGTCTGATACCAGATTGCCGCGCCACCGAGACTGACCGCCGCAGTGGTGCCATAGACTCCAGCGACAGACTTGCGCTTCAGTCCCGAGCGCAGAAAGTCGTCGGCGCCCAGTCCGATCTTCGCGGGCGCCTTTTTGACCGATTTAAGCGGACGGACGAGACTACTGGTGCGTTTGGGATTAGCAGATTGAATGATCTGCTCGGCGGCCTCGACCGGCTCTTCAAGCTGAGCCAGTGACGAGCAGGCGATGGCGAGCATCCAGATGAGGATGTGGAAAAGGGCGATCCGAGATGGCATGTTGTTGGACCGCATGGTGATGTGAGCTGGCTGAGTAGCGGATAGAGTGTGGCACTCAGGGGCTTTTGAGTGGCTCCGCGATCGTGGCTAAGCAGACCGACTTGGGCCGATAGCGCGCAACACCGTAAACAAGAACGTGTGAAGCGGCGCCAAGGCGTGTGGGCTTGCGGGAATGGATGGCGCTAAATGTCGACGGGTAGTGACCGAAAGGATGAATCAGGGCTGAGCTCGTACTGTGTGGTTGGCAAGGCAACGGTCGTTGGCGTGTCATCACCTGTCACGGTCCTAGCTATATATCCGGTGTGTCCTGGATGCGTGGAGAATTTGGCGTTCTCTCGGGCCATGCACACAAGGTGCAATCTCGGCGCCGGTTCGTCCCGTCGTTTCCAAAGCCTAAGGTCGTGCAGCGACGGCCGCACGAGACTGACCGCTCGCAAGTGCAATCGATGGAGGACCGATCACGAGCCTTTGGTTTGAATCATATGGAACAATCGGACAAAAGGACCGATTGCGCAACGTTCCAGGGGTAAGCCGTAGCGAGATGAAGATGCTCGCGGTTGACGTTCCAGGTAATCCGGTCCGTGAAGTCGAGAGGCGATGATGGTAGAGGACAAAGAGAGTTGAACCATCAATGTCACGCTTGCCCCTGTGGAACGTGCTGGAACCATAACTTCCATTGATGCATGCGATCAGATAGCCCCCTGTGGCTTCCGTCTCTCCCGCCGGACCATTGACTTCGGACGGCAAAACGTGCGAGACTGCTCAGCCTCGTGACAATGGAGGAACCCACCAGACGTCGACACGTTCTGTAATACGCTCTGAGAACCATCGCGTCCCAATGGTTCCAAGAGATGAAATGAGCACTTTGGTGCGGATTGAGCGAACGTGCCAAGCAGCGATTGGTCCACGAAGCAGTGGTACGCAAATGTCGCAGCTTCATATGCAGAAACAAACGCGGCGTGACAACTGCCATCCCGGCGTCAGCGCCCATTCGACATTAGACTTTTGTCTTCGCACTCAGCCGACATGAGCAGAAGCAGACAAACCCACTTCTGAGAGTTGTCCTGTCGCGACGATGCACATCAAGCGGGAGATCCCAGAGCAGATGCTTCCGATGCATCACAGACACATCGCAGAGGATCAGGTAATCGCAGATGATTCCATCATTAAAGCATTACGTATATGTACAGAGACGAGTGTCGATGCAAGGATTCCAGGCAATGCTATGCCGCGATCCGCCCTTTTGAATTACTCGAGGTCAGCGGGGAGGTAGTCGGAGAACTGCTTGCTCTTGACCTTGTTGAGGTCCTCCTCAGTAATAGCCTTGACCTGGTCGCCGGCGTTGTAGCCGAAGCGCTTGGCCGAGTTGGTAGCGCCGGCCTTGAAGAAGCTGGGCCTCTTGAGGATGGTCACGACGCAGCTGCCGCCGAGGCCGATGTTGTGCGTGAGGGCGTGCTGGACGTTCTTGACCTGCAGCGCGCCAGCGTCGCCACGGAGCTGGTCGACCATGTACTTGATCATGCCCAGACCGGTCGCGCCGAGAGGGTGACCCTTGGACTCGAGACCACCCGAGGGGTTGACAACCCAACCCTTGCCTGAGTCGTTGTAAGTGTTGAGCTTCTGCTCGACGAGCTTGTGCGCTTCACCCTCGGCACAGAGGCCGAGAGCAGGGTAGGTGACCAGCTCGTTGGGGGCAAAGCAGTCGTGCAGCTCGAGAACCTGGACGTCCTTGGCCTGGATGCCGGCCTGCTTGTAGGCAATCTGGGCTGCACGGCGCGACATGTCAGCACCAGCAAGCTCGATTCGCGAACGGTCCTCGTAGAGACGGATCGAGTCGGTGGCAACACCCATACCGGCAAGCTCGATAGCTCGGTCCTCGAGACCGTGCTTCTTGACGAAAGCCTCGGAGGCGACAATGACACCGGCACCACCGTCCGAGGTGGGCGAGCACATGGGGAGGGTGACCTCACGCGTGATCTTGCGTGCCTTGAGCACCTGCTCCTTGCTGGGGGTGGCGCGGAACTGAGCGTAAGGGTTCTTCTCCGAGTGACGGTGGTTCTTGGCCGAGATCTCGGCAATGTGGTCCCAGGTGGCACCGTACTTCTCACAGTACTCGAGACCGGCAGCGCCGAAGATACGAGCAGCAAAGGGACCAAAGTCCTCGGTCTCGTACTCCTTGTCGCCCTCGATCTCGAAGAGCTGCGACATGGTGCCCTCCATGGGAGCAGCACGGTCGGTGAAAGCGGAGCTGAGCGAGCCAGGAGCCATCTTCTCGAAGCCGACAGCGAGGGCACACTCGGCCTGGCCGGCAAGAACGGCGTTGGCAGCGAGGTTGAAGGCGCTGGAACCGGTGGAGCAGTTGTTGTTGACGTTGACGATGGGAATACCCGTCATGCCGAGCTGGTAGAGGACACGCTGTCCGCAGGTGGAGTCACCGTAGACGTAACCAGCAGCGGCGTAGTCGACGTCGTCGTAGGTGAGGCCGGCATCGATGAGGGCCTTGACCGCACCTTCGAGACCAAGGATGGGGTAGTCCTTGTTGCCGGGCTTGGTGAAGGCAGTCATGCCGACACCGACGATGTAAGCTTTGCGAGCGGCCATTTTGAGAAGGATCGACTGTTGTTGGGAATGGATGGTCGGACGAAGGGGATGATGTGCGAGAAGTACAAAGCACTGTGGAAGGAGCAGACGATATTTAAGGAGCGTCTCTAGTGTCGGTCTTGTTCCAGGGTCTCTGTGAAGGAAGCAAAGTAGCGAGCTAATCAAGCACGGTTCTCAGCTGCGAGTGCGTGTGAGAAGGAGGCTGAGCAAGCGAGCAAGTCACGGCAAAGCCGGCTCATCTTGAGGCCGGACTGCCAAGGGGAAGGACCCTTTTGCGCGCCTACAAACTCGCACAAGGACGGACGATCAGGGTTCACAGCGGCCAAGACCAAAGGAGCGAGGTCGGACAGCCGACTACGCGTTTCAAAAGCCAATCGAGCCCGAATACAAATTCTACTCTCTTGGCTGGAATGCTTTCGAAATTACCCCAGATCAGCTGTATTACAAACATCGACTGTGTTCTTTGGCTTGCAGGCGGCGACCTGGAAATGTGGGGAAGGCGCGGTCCAAGCTACGTAGTCCTGCAGCTGAAAGCGCTGCAGCGTAGAGCCGCAGCTTTGGTGACCGGTGAGAGATTCTGACTTTCGCAGAGCTCTTGTGTTCATGAGGTTCCGTGATGCTTCAGGGTGTCAATCAGCTAGCGCACTTGTTATAAAACGCCATGCGTGGGATGTTGTCTGAGGACGATTCATAATCGGTCAGGAGCGCAATGCAAGTTGCTTCGGAGCAACCAACGGCAGCAGGCGGCGCTTCCAGTCGAACCTGTGTCAAACCGCGTCTTTTCACGCTGAGCTAGGATAGGAGGAAAAAATCGGCCAAATCAATCAACCCGTGACTCTAACATGGTCGAAATCGAGCCGTTCAAACAAGTGACGGTGAGGGAACGATACAGGACAAGCATGGCTACGAGAAGGTAGATCTAGGTGATTGCTTTCAACGGAGGGCCGAGTCATCCCGCTCTCTACATCCCGAACATGCTTCCGAGCCCGCCCAGCAGTCCGCCGTCCTTCTTCTTGCCGCTGTCCTCAGCGTCATTCGAATCGTCTGTGCTTGCACCATCACCACCTGCTCCCGCACCACCACCTCCAGGGCCTCCTTTCTGAATGGCATCGTACGCCTGGCCGCCCTCCGCATTGCTGCCCGCAGGTGTGATGACGTTGAATGTGCCCTTAGCGTTCTTGCACGAGTCCCGGACCGCACTCGACAGTGGACCACCGAGAGGCTTGAGCGCCACACAGGTCTGCGGGAGCGTCCACGAGTTGTTGTCGATATCGTATTTCTCTTGGTGCGTGCAGTGAAGGGCACCGGGGATGCTGGCTACGCGGGCTGTAGGGCTGTAGCACACGCCCACCTCGACCGAGGAGAACCAGTAGAAGGTCGAAGCGAGAGGCAAGGGGTGCACCGTGTAGTCGGGGACTGGGACTGCTCCCGCCGAGACTTGGGTGAGGGAGGTGAATAGCAGCGATGCTAGCGATACAAAGCTAGCTGTGAGGAGTGTCGTCTTCATGTTGAGTTACAGTGTGAGGAGGGGGATCGATCAGGTGGTACTGATCGTCGTTGAAGAGTGGACGACTTTGAGAGGACGACTCGTGCGCTGTGGCTTCTCTCTTTGCTCTATAAGTAAACCTTGACCAAAATGAGCTCGCTCATCCCCACCGACTTCATCTGTGCTGAAGAGAAGTAGTGCTTGTCGACCCACCTCGTTGCTCTCAATGCTTGTCCTATATCATTGGATGCCAAATGGCGCGAAAGGCACCCACGTCTAATCCCACCATCAGGGGCGATGCGCCGAGACACAACGAGATGAGACCGTCTGCGTCCTTCGATCAAGTGATCAATCCGCGGCTTCAAATGAACGTAATGTCTATTGTATGGTCCCGAAGACCGGTCTTGGATGCTGTCTGTGGTGGACAGACAATTCATGACCTCGCGATTGTCTTCGGCTGAACAGGATCGACGATGCATGAAGACATTCTCGCCTGCCCTCGATCGTTTCGAGCAGGCCAACATTCCGCAGATGGACACGATTCGCTCTTTCACCAGCACTCACATCCAAGCCTGGCGCAAAAGAGCGGACAGCCTCTTTGCAGCATTTCGACCGAAGCAGAGGATCCTAAAGAGCAGTATTCGACGATCAGCGTCGCAGTGTGGGGTGGGCGCGAACGTGCTCCAGCTGTCGACGTGGCCAGCTGCTTTACGCGAACCAAGGCTGAGTCGCATCCGTGCTCGGCTATGCACAGCTTCAACGCTAAAATCTGCACACTCTGCGAAATTTCTTCCAGATTGACCGTGTGCCACCGCTGCCTCTCTCGCTGATCTCCGAAGCCTGTTCGCTATCGTTCTGGCCTCAACAGGGAGAGAGCACTTGAAATTGAGTAGAAGACGAAGAAAGGGAGCGAAGAAGCAACCAGGCTTCGGCGGATAGCTGCGTACTCGCTTAAGGGTCCATATCTTGGTGCACACGTTGACGTCGAGTGCGATTTCACGTTCCAAATTTATGCCCGCACTTCTTCTTGACCGTGCGCCATCTCGATATATACCCCACTCCTTCGTTTCCATCTCCCCATCTGCACTCCACCACCCATCCCTCCATCGAAGAATTATACACGATGGCGACCGCTGTGAAAGACCTCTACTCGCGCCTTGCGAGCATCTACACCTCGATCTCTCCGCCCACGCTCCCGAAGCGGACCGACACGCCTCCTCTCCGCCTCGGCATTCTGGGCGCGGCCAACATCGCTCCTCTTGCTGTCATCGCTCCTGCCCGCACACACCCGGACATCATCGTCTCTGCCATCGCCGCACGCTCCAAGTCGAAAGCCACCGCTTTTGCCAAAAAGCATTCCATCCCACACGTCTTCTCCACCTACGACGAACTCATCAACGATCCCTCCATCGATGTGGTCTACAACCCGCTCCCCAACGGTCTGCACTACGAGTGGACGATGAAGTGCATCGCCGCCCGCAAGCATGTCCTGCTCGAAAAACCATCCACGTCCAACGAGGCCGACACCAAACGCATGTTCGACGCTGCGGCAGAAGCAAACGTGTTGGTGCTCGAAGCGTTTCACTACCGCTTCCACCCTGCGCTGCACGAATTCGCGTTTAGGCTGCACGACTTTATGTCGCCCCAAAACCCCATGATGGCGGTGGAGGCGTGTTTGTTCGCTCCCACCGGCGTGATTGGCGAAGGGGATATCCGGTTTGATTACACACTCGCCGGGGGTGCGACGATGGACATGGGTTGCTATCCGACCAGCGCGGTGCTGTATACCATGCGGGCGGCTGCGGGGTCTTGGCAGCGCGCAAACTGGGAGGATGGCATCGAGGTGCGCGAGGCTAGACCCACCGTTTTTGAGCCGAGAAACAAGACGTCCAAGGGACATTTGAACTCGCAGGGCGACTCAGGGATCGATGTGGCCATGGAATCAACGATTCTCGTTCCCACCGCAAGACCCGCTAAGCTGCCCTGCAAGATCGAGGCTTCCCTGGCAAGATCCCTGTTTACTCTTCCGGTGGTCGGTTGGCGCGTGCCGAACATGACCAGGCTCACCCCGACGTTGAAGGCCACCTTCAAGGACGGTAGCACGGTGGAGCTGCAAAACTTTGTCATGCCGGTATTGTGGCATTCGATCAAGGTGACCTACCGCGGCAAGTCTGCTGCCGCCGCCAACCTCCCCGAAGGGACGGTCAAGACGTACAAGGCGTACGTACCAGGCGACAGCGCGGGGACAGACCAGATGCGCAGGGCGGCAAAAGACGGTCACTGGCCCAAAGGCACAGGTGAGGTGTGGTGGTCCACCTACCGATGGCAGCTCGAAGCCTTCGTGCTCGGCGTCGAGGCGGTGCAGGCAGGAACAAAGGCTAGCGAGGTCAGCCCTATCAACATGATCAACGAAGACAGGGACAGGAGCAGCAAGAGGGTCCCCGTGTGGATGCAGAACGAGGAGAGCATCATTGTCATGAAGACCATCGATGCGATCTATGAGCGGTCCGGGTTGGGAAAGAGGGTTTCGCCTTCGTCGTAGGCACGCACACAGATCAAATGGAAGGATGTTTGCATTTGATCGAATGTGATGTGTCAGATTGGGTATGCTATGCAGGTGCTTTGAGTTCTAAGAAGTGTAACCCAGACAGCGACCGTCCATTCCACCGGACCACCACGGTGCACCGACCAGCACGACACAAATCAACACACCGGCCACCCAGGACACCACCGCGTACCTCACCGCCTTCCTTCGCGGCTTGATCGTCCTCAACTCGACCGCAAACGTGCTCACCGTCGACAGACAGCCGCAGAAGCCATCTTCGAGACCCTGTAGCGCTTCACAACCCGTCAGACCTCCGGCGAACGACCTCGGTGCTGAGCCAGCTCGTGAAGCAGTGAAGGCCGCGCAGATGACAGCGGTGGCGAAGAGGTTGGCGGCGAGCGTTCCAAGCGGAAGAGATGTGCGTTTGGAGAGAGGATGCGAGTTGAACCGAGAGAGGTACCACCGCAGGATGGTGCCAGGTGGCGCGAGGACGAGGCCGAAGGTGACGCGGCGGAAGGGCGGATAGAGGGCGCAGAGGATGGCGGAGGCGATCCAAAAGACGAGGCCTAGGAGGAACACCGACGTGTCGAGTACGAGGGTCTGGCCGGGATGCACCAAACTCTTCTTCTCGTCAACCTCCCGAGCCTGCGCAGATGCAGGTCCTTTCTTGTTGCCGAAGCAAGCACGTATCAACAACTCCAGATTGATCACCTTGGACAGCGCGATGCCGGCACTGATACTAACAAGCGCCATGCCGACGGTCAACGCGGTTTGCGACATTGCATCCATCACGTTGTGCAGTCCACCTCGGTTGTAATGCTGCTGATCACCGAAAGCGCGAAAGACGTCAAGCATCCATTTGGAGAAGGTGGTGATGCTGCCGCAGAGGCCTGTGGTGATCATGATGTAGGCCGGTGGGTAGCGGCCCTCGATGGCTTGTCTGTTGGCGCCTATGGCGAGACCCATGATGAGGCACCCAACGGCTTGGGCCCAGATGAGAGGCGCGACGCTCTGTCCGTCGTACGTATTGAGTGCGACGAGTCCTTCTCGAGCTAGTGTGCCCCATATCGCCGAGAACGCCAGCAATCCGAGAACAGCGCAATGCCGTGCGAGGCGGTGATGCACAGCAGGGTTAGGTGGCTCATGGCCAGGCTCGATCTGCTCGCCTGCTTCGTCAGCGGTTGGATCTTGTGGAGTACTACGATCGATGCTGGATGTCAGAGGCGACGCAGCTATCGGTGCTGGTGGAATAAAAGCTGAGGCTGTCGGTGTCGTGTGGGGGAATGGTGGGTCGGATATAGACTGATCTTGTCGCTGAGCTGTTCTATTAGAGGACGATCTCGACAACGAAGTGCTGCCACGATTGTCATCAAGTCCTCGTGCATTGATCGTATGTGGCACGCTGCCGAAACGGCTGCGCCCGTCATCGCTATGATAGGCGCTGAGATCTCCAGCGGCATCCGTGTAGTATCCATCTCCGTCGGTCGCGGTTGCAAACGTGTCGGTCGCGCTGACCATCGATGTCTTGTGCGTCAATGTGGGTGTTGCCAATGATCGCCGATCTGCGCTCCGTCTTGGTTGCGGCGTTGCCGGGTCTGGCAGACGCGACGGTCCCGCCTGCGCCTCCATTGTGAAGGATGTGGGTGATGGTGGGTAGGAGTCAAATCACAACAACAACACGCTCATCACAAAAGACAAAATCACCAAAAAAAAAGAGTTGGCCGAGCTAGACGCCGACGTCCTCCTCAAGTCTTGAAGGAATGACTCGTTCGCACTTCATCTCAATCCAGAGTGATCCAACCCACCCGAACAATAGCAACACCATTGGACCAAGCGCAGTGCTGTCATCACGATGTGCACCTACACGAAAGACGGACTCGGGCGGTTTCGCACGGCACAACCTGCAACTGGCTCTGCTCGCACGCTTGCAGAACTCGATGTGGCCGATCCGGACGAGAGCGATGTCGACTTCATCCTCTACGCCTTTGACTCTGCGTTACCTTATCTAGCTTCAATCGGCTCAGAAGCGCAATGGGGCACGGAGCTGTTCTCACAAAAGCCAGAGAGGAGGAAGCAGTTCACAGAGTTCGTGCAGAAGAGCTACGACCTCAACGCCCGTCAAGAAGCGGACTCGAACGACGACTGTCCTTGGCAGCTCATGACCCTCTTCGAAGTCAGAACGGAAGATGACAAGTGGGTCAGGGTCGCAGCACAAGGCCTGTCGACGAGGTTCCCAGACTACGTACCCGAAAGCTTGGCGAGTAAAGATCTGCGACAAGCAGGCGACTTCCTCTACCTCAATTATCTCATCGCCGACCGAAGAAAGGGAGACTTGGCGAAAGGTTCTGCCCCACATCTCATCTCTTTTGCGGAACAGCAATGTAGGAAACGTCATAAGACGCCCTTCTACGGTGATTGCTGGCGCGGCAACAATGACGGGCTGCTAAAGTAAGTTCGCCTTGACCACAAGGGTCTCCCCCGCTCATATCCGTCATGCTGACTCGCGAATACCACCCTCTCTCTACATCTGCAGATACTATCAAAAGCTAGGCTTCAATCCGATTGGTCCTTTCGACGTCAAAGACAAGCATGGGCCTGGCCTACCCTGGTTCGGCTACCTCTTCTCGAAGTCGATCTCGCAATAGCCGCGCAACACGATCGATGATGTGCTCTTTGCTGCCTGATGAAAGGATACAGGACAAGTACAGACAAGGTGCCATGGGGGTCGGGTCGAGGACCACAACGACTAGTGACCAGCCTGCCTTTGCTCCAGCGCAGCTATTCTTGCCCTCCGAAGTTTCGTCAGCTCGTTCTCCTCTTCCGCAGCCGTCGTGCCATTGGTAGTTGGGGCAGTCGGCTCGGCCATCTGTACGTCTGTCTCCGTGCCGCCTCCGCTGTTTAGATTGTCGACAACTTTTCGCGTACCAACGACTGGTCTACGACCATTTTGCGGCAAGTATCGAGCAAAGTAGCAAGCGAGCAGCTCGGCGCTGTTGCTCGTCGCATCGGTTCGCATCGTACCTCGAGCGCCTCCAGTGATGCCCTGGCCGAACGCCGACCAGTTCTTGGCATCTTCTCGCGAAAGCTCGGCCGCGGAAGCGCTGGACGGAGACGACGAAGCCGCTGATGCCTCGAGCGTATGTGCTCCATCTGCTGCACTCATGTGACGTCCCTCGAGGTAAAGGCTCTGTCCCTTGTACGCCGACAGGGCAAGAATCCTTTCCTCCACCGTGTCCTTGACGTAGTAGCACCAAATATGCGTCTCCTTCGTCTGACCGATTCGATGCACTCGGCCGATGGCCTGGAGCTCGATGCTCGTGTTGAGCAACGGCTCGAGGATGTGGATGTGCGAGGCGGCGATCAGGTTGAGTCCCGCGCTTTGCGCTTCCGAATGGAGTAGCATAACATGGACGTCGGTCTTGCTACGAAAGAGGTGAGCAGCCTCGCTGGCCGACTTGCCCTGTCCAGTGATGCGCACGAAGCGGATCCCATTCGCTGTAAGAGACTGAGCAATGACGTCCAAACCTTTGGAAAAGGACGAAAAGATGATCGACTTCTCCCCTGTGCGGTCGATAATGAGCCGCACGTGTTTGGTGACATGGTCGATCTTGGAGCCGAAACGGCCTTGCGTGGCTGCTCCATTCAGAGCAGACCGCAGCGAATCGTCGAGGTCGTGGAAGCGGAGTGCCAAGGAATCCGTACTGTCGGTCTGCGGCAACGAAGGATCCGAGGTGCCAAGAGTCGATCCAACTTGTCCATCTCGAGTCGAGTTCCGAGGACTATCGTAGACGATGCGATGGACTTCTCTTGGCAGTACCCGTGTCTGGCACAGAACGCAGGTGCGGTATCCCTGCGACTGCCATTCTTTCCAACAGTCCTCGCAGCAAACATGTCCGCACTTGTCGGTGAGAATGCCGATCTTAATGGGATCGGTGCAGATGTGACATGTCCTGGCTGCTTCGTCCATTTGATCCGCCGACTGCACCATCTGCAAATGAGTCAGGTATCGCAACCGCCTTTCAAGCTCGTCCACCTTGGTGACCAAGTCCGCTTCCTCTACCTGAGTGGCCCGGATGGTCTTCTCCAGGTCCATGAAGATAGGATCGCGCACTGTGTCGGAGAGCACCTGGATCTCCTTGAAGTACCGACTGCGCGCGTTGAAGAGTGGCGAGATGAGCAGCTTCTCCTCGCTTCGCAGCCTTTCGAGGTGCTTGTTCTGCTCGTTGATGATGCGCCTCGCCTCGACATAGGCTTGTCTAGCGAGCAGTCCCTCCTCGGCGCTCAGAGTGTTGTCGCGCATGGTCTTGAGATTCTCGGCCTCGCTCTGAAACGATGCAGAGGTGCTGGCGAGGGAAACGGACTTTCGCTCCTGATCGAGCTTCTTGAACTGCTCGAGTTGCTGCTGCTGCACGCGCAGGAGTTCCTCGTCCGTGCCTTCCTCCGGCACGATGCCTCTGAGTTGGTTCTGGCGGGCAACTCGTACCGCCGCCTCGATCTCTTTGTAGAGCAGCGGCTTGTCGGTCGCACCAACAGCGACGTTCCCTTTCAGCATCTTCTCGCGTTCCGACAACAGAGGGCGGTACATCTCGAGAAGCACTTCGGCTTCTGCTTGCGTGTCGAGGTTCTCCTGATACTGGTCGTCGTCTTCGCGCTCGAGGCTCACATCGCGATTAACGGCTCGCACCAGTCGAGCGATGATGTTCTCGCGCCAAGCGAAAAGGACCTCGGCGTGCTGGTTGAGCAGCCTGACGCTGCCAGCCAACGTGTCATATGACTCGGAGGAGAGAATGCCTCCGCCGCCCTCGAAGAGATCATGAGATGCTCGGACGGCGTCCAAGGTCAGAGGGAGCTGATCGCGACGAAGCTTGGCGACAGCCGATTGAACAGATTCACCCGCTTCAACGAGCAAACGCTGCCGTACCTTTTCGGCCTTGGCGTACGCAGCATCTTCTTGGTCCTTGAGGGCTTGACGTGCCGGGCTCATCGTCGCTCTTACGGGAAGCGATAGGACGTTGTCCTTGTTGTCGGCGACTGCCTCGTCCCTTGTGTCAGGAAGGCTGGTCTCGACTGGCACAGTTGCGGCTTTTACCTCGTCCATGAGGATTAGGTCGGTCTCCGCCTTGACAGATTCGCCATCCGCAGCGACTGCCGCGGTCGTTGGCTTGTTCTGTTCCGCGACAGCTTTCTCTTGCTCGTCGAGGTACTCTCCGCGCTGAAAGTAGAGATTGCCAACGAACTGAAGCAGCCGATGTAGCTTCATGAGCAGGTTGCGCAGCTGCGCCTTGAGCTGCGTGATGTGGCTCGCTCTGGTCTTTTGCTTGTCTTTGAGGGCAAGGTAGGCTTGAAGGTCGCCTGCAAAGGCTTCGAAGGCCCCGTCGACATCTTGACCATGCTGCGCGTTGACATCGTCCAGTCCTAGCCGCTTTCTGCGCATGGTCTCTTTCTGCTCCAGCTCCAACTCCTCTTCTGTGAATCGATACAGCGGGCCCGCTCTGGCGGCCTCGTGGATCTCTTGCTCCAGCACGAGCACGTCCTGGTTGATCTCTTTCTCGACATCGCTCAGCTGTGATGCCGCCAGGATACGCTGATCCTCCTCGCGGCGGTAGAGGGTGAGGATGTTTCGATGAATGCGTCGGTCGAACCAATGCGTTCGACGGCTGTGTAATTCCGCTTTGGTCGAGTCGATCATCAGCTCGAGCACCTCGTCGATGCTGCGCAGGTTTTTGGACCCGACCGTACCTTGGCGCAGCTGCACAGCGACCTCTGGATGAGTGCAAGCCTGACGCAGGAGTAAAAGGTGGTGGCGCATTTTGGCAATGTCGGGATGCTGGTTGGGAGTCTGAGCTTCGCCTTCCTGTGAGTATGCGATCTCCGTCAAAGCCTTGTTCCAAAGGTCTGCATAGAAAGCAGCTTCGATGGAGGTGAAGTCGATCGGGACCACGGTACGAGTCTGCAGGGGCAAGGACATTTCTGCAGCCACCTGTGCCTTGGTGTGACGGGTGCCAATGGTCCGAAGCACACGAACCAGCGCTGGAGCCAGCAGTGGATGCATCATGCTCTTCCATTCGGAAGGATTCGCCATGTGGCCAGGGACCCTCAGAAACCGGAAGCAGGATCTTAGATCATTGATTTTCTTGACCGGCGTGCCCGACACGGCGACGGAGGACCCGCGCGAGATCATCGCCACCGTCTCTGCAGCATTCGAGTTGCCGATCATCTGCACTTCATCCATCAGGACTCGATGGAAGTGCAGCTTGACAAGTGGGCTCCGTGGACGATCGTACTTTCGTTCGTGACGTCGAGAGCGCTCCGGCGCAGTCTTGGCAGTGTTGAGTTCGCTGCCGAGCGTGCTATACGAGGTCACCATGACATCGAAGCGTTGTGCCCATGTTTGCCAGGTGAGTCCATCTGGGACATCCTTTTCTGCCTTCGTTCTGCCTTGATAAGAGTAGACAGCAAGGGCAGGCGCGTGACGTCCGATCTCCTCGATCCACTGTGCACGCAGTGTTTCAGGCGCGACGATCAGAGTGGTCTTGGTGGGCACCACGTCAATCTCGTTGCGCTCGTCGTACCATCCAGATCGCGTAGCGGCATCAGGGTCTGGGTTGAGCAAGATGAGAGCCACCGCCTCGACCGTCTTTCCGAGACCCATCTCTTCTGCAAGCATCGCGCCTTTGAAGTTGCTGCGCAGAGTGAGGCTGGGATCCCGAACGAAGCGACACTCGATCCAGTTGTAGTACAGGTCTGTGCTGACTTGCTTCCACCACAGTCCTACGCTGCTCGGCCCATCGTGACCGATGATGACGTGGGTGTCGCTAAGGTCTCCGCTTGAGTCGATGACCTTGCCCTCGCGACCGAGTACGAACGCAGCGGAGCGTTGCTGGAAGGGAAGCAACGTTGGCTCAAGGTCAGGGTGCTGAATAGCGCCCGGTGCTTTGAGCGATGCCGGACGGAGGTTCTGATAGACGAAGCTGGCATCAATATCTTCTGTCCGTGTGACAGGATCGGGATGCTCGTCGGCAAAGTGGACGAGGGCAGCCATGTCCAGCATTCTGTCGCGGGCCAATGTTCCGCCGGCATTTGTCGAGATGGCCACCTCGACTTGTATGGAAATCTTAAGGAAGAGTGTCCCAGCGGTGACTCGATCAGAAGGAAAGTCGGATGGAGGCGACAGCACTTGCAAAGCAAAAGAGGCACGCAGATCGTCCCCTTGCATTGCCAACAAGTTGGACAGGGAAGCAAGCCATTCTCCGTTGGTGAGTTTGCCAGCTTCTGCAGCCTCGCCCTCGCTAATGCCCGTGCTGCTCAGTACAGGCAAGTCAGCGACCAGTCTATCTGTACTGCGATCGCGCAGATGAATAGTGTGTGTTATGATGCTGTCGTGAGGGCGTGCTGATGAGGTGGTAGAGACGGAGAAACTGAGGTCGGTGGTGGAATCTCGTTTTTGTGAAGTGGTATCGTCAAGCGTTTGCTTGATTGCGAGAACGACGTCCGTGTCGCTCGCTTCGCGCGCCCTGATGCGAAAGACGCAGCAAGTGTCGATGAACGCTGAGCGATCTCGAAAGTCGCGATCCGCTGGTACCTCTTTGCCTTTTCGTTTGAAGGTAGATGGTCCGCCCAGCTGATCCGGATCGGAAGCTGATCGCTTTCGCTTGCTGTATACACCGGATTCGGCATCCTCTGAGGTCGAGTGAATGCCGTTGCCATGTGATCGACTGTGTTCGTCGGCAAGAAAGGCGAAATCGATGAAGTACGAGACGTCCTCAAAGTCAAGCTGCCGAATGGGAACGTAGGAAAGCTTCTTGCGACCGACAAGCGAGCTGGCTGCGAGTGACGATCGACTGACGCCTCTATCTCGAAGCTGTACAGGCCAGACCGACGCGTTCTCCGAAGCTTTCCCTGGAGATGCGCTGATCGCGCTCGACCTTGCTGGGCTTGCAGTGAGTCGAGGCATCTTGAGCGGCAGCGGTGGCGATGGAAGAGGATCACGATCGTCTTAGCCTGATGTGCGATCGGAAAGGAATAATTCGCTCGCTAGCCTCAACTGCATGATGGTGGCGACGGACGGACTGACTGAGAGATCACTGCTCAGCTCGAGGCTGGTGGGTGCGTGATCTGCTCATGAGAAGCATATCGTGGCAAAGCGAAGCGAAGCTGAGTTCTTCTCAAGCTGTCACATCTTCGGCGAAAGATCCCGGCAGCAGTAGGCGGCTTCTGAGGTGAGTGGGAAAGCAGGGTCCACAGCTTCGCCAGAGTCGGGCGTCGAAATTCACGGTGAAATTGTGGAGGCGAGTATTTTCTAAAATGTTAGACGCTCTTGATCAACACTTTTCTCATTTTTGAAGACACGTCTCAGGGGCTGAAGCGAGAGACCAACACCGCTGAGGGTTTGTGTTGTTTTTTGGCGAGCTCTGGTTCATGCACGAGCAGAGATCTACCTTGCGTGCAGCAGCAGCAGCGTAGGGTCATGCAGGGCGGACAGCATCAAGAGCCTCACGAGCTCTGTTTTGTGGTCAGAAGAGTGGATCCGAGCCAATTGACTCCTGAGCTCAAAAGTCACTTTCGAGCGTCCACAACACATCTTGACTCTTTATCAACCACCTAGATCCGTCACTTACTCGAGCGACAGCCATCACAGGCGCATCCGACACACTCGACCAGGTGAGCCCTCGTTGTTTCAAGCGGAACGAGCCGGCCACCCTCTGTTCTGTCACAGCGTCATCAGCAGTACCTGTGTCGGTTGCCCCGACTCCTGCTTCTCAGCTTCGCGTCACTTTTACCATGGCCGGTCCGACGGCGCAGCCCATCATCACAGCGGAGGTGCCGGTGCCATCAGAGCCATCCAGAACATCCGCGCCTTCAGCACCTTCCAAATCAGCCGCCGACCGGATGGAAGGGAATGGTCGTGGGAAGAACCGATTCAGCTTGAACGCGCTGCGCCTGCCTTTCTCCTCGCCCCGCAAGAAAAGTGTCGATCTGCCAAAGCAAGATGCGGAGTCTCCGACCAGCTCCACCTCTGCCTCGCTAGCCAGCTCCAGCACAGCAGTCACCGTGGTTCCACCTACTGCCGACGAGCACCCCGCACCGACCAATGCGCTTCGCCCGAAACGCTCGACTTTAGCCGCTGCGGCCGATGTGTCGTCTAGCAGTGCAGCCAGGGCCATGTCGCCTCATCGCGTCAGCTTCAGCCCGTCTACAGAGGAGAAGGCTGAAGCCAGAGATCAAGCGCTATCACTCGCAGCTCCGACTGGGACAGAAGAGGCAGCCGGGCCGAAGAGCAACCGCGACGACGTCCACCCAGTCAAGTCGAAAGGCAATCTGAAGCCGGGCAAATGGCGCGGATTCAAGTCGCATTCGACATCGGATCTCACCACAACCACACGCAGGCTGAGTGTCGATTCGACAGTGAGTGACAACAGCATCGCAAGCTCATCGGCTGTTGAGCGGATCGAGACCGCCGCTGCGTTGCCCGGACCAGCAGCCGCAAAACGACGGCTGTTCCGATGGGACCGGAAGGGCATTCGTCCCGCTGGCGCAGCCTCCAAAGGCAAAGTGGCCAAAGTCAAAGTGACAAAGACGCAAGCCACAGCCGCACGCCACGCCAGGACCCTGGAACAGGTCATCAACGCCGGCATGGGTCTGAGTCCCGAAATGCCACGTCAGCGATCCGCACCAGAAGGCGACACGCCTGGCATCGGGTCACCCGGGAAGGCGGGGAAGAAGAAGGTTGCGCGTGCGAAGCCGGTTCCTGTGGTGAAGAAGTCGGAGCTCAACGGGCTCAAGTCAGCATTGTTGGACGCCAAGAAAGCCAACAACATCATCAGCGAACTTCGAGCTATGCCCGTGCCAGCTAATATGATGCGTGCGGGTCAGGCTTCAACCGTTCCAGATGCCAAGATCGGCACCGCCGGTGAACATGGACAAGAGCGGATCCTCACGGCCCAGCTGCCTGATTCGGTTCTGGACGGTCCTAAGGACGACAGCGATATCCGCAAAAGATCAGGCGCAACAGCAGAGGCGCTCGACGCATCCACACCAGCACGACCACCGATCGAGCGAAAGGCGAAGAGTGCCGCAGAGGAGGCGCTCCGAAGGATCACATTGCAAGCAGACGCTACAACCTCGCCGCAGAAGGCCCTGGTCAGTGCTCGAACTTCATCGCTTCCTCCCACCGCCGAGGATGATGTTGCTTCGCAGCCGGCAGCACAGCCTGTCGCCGCGACAGCCACAGCAACAAAGGCAGGACCAGCTTTGGCCGGGCCTCGACCACTCAAAGTCGTCTGTCTCGACTGCGGCGAGCAGGAGGCGCATCAACGACACGCGCAGCATCTCGAAGCAGCTTCGGTGATCAAGGATGGTGCCGCTGCCACCCAGACTGGCGGCGGCTTCAACGTAGCTGCAATCGCATCTGGCGCGGGGGCCGCCATCGTTGGGGTCGGTGCCATCCTGGGCGCGCGCTCTGCCGCCACTCCAGCTGAAGCTAGCCCGGTGACCGCGAAAGCGCAGTCGTCCAGCGCCCGACCACCCATGCTCAAAAGCATGTCCGTCGCCAATCTGCCATCGCTCCAGGACGCACCGCGGTTAATGGGATCGACACCGCTGCAGCTGCTTATGGACCCCGTCGGCACCGCCGCGCAAAGCTCGGGTGCCTTCGACATGCTGGCCGACGTTTCGGGAGCCGCCATCCGCGCCACACAAGACATGGAGAACATCCACCCGCCTCTCGACCGCATGGCCATCTTTGTGCACTGGTGGGGCTTCGAGATCACCCTCCCGAAAGCCTCGATGGCCTACCTCGGCACAGCGCATTCGGTCTCGGGTGCCTTCCTCTCCTTCCTCCAGACCATGGCTGTGGGCGGAGGCGTGCCCGAGTTGCTTCCCTTCATCAAGTACATCTCCACCTACATGGAGGTCGAGTACAAGGCGATTCAGGCGCAGGATCAAGGATATGGCGTGTGCATCGCTGGGACTTGGTTCATGCCCATGGCGCTGGTGCCGCGTCCGTGGGACTATCCGCTCGACGGGCCGATCGGAGAGAAGCCAGGCGCAGGAGCGCCATCCATGGCAGCGTCATTGCTTGCTTCGACCGGACAGAGTGCGGCGCCCGCTTTGATGCCAGCGCCGGCCCTGATCAACGACACTGCGGCATCACCCAAGAAGCACATCCTCAAGAAGAAGAAGTCTGCCGTCATTACTCAGGCCATCTCTGCAGCGTAAGCCTACGCTGATGTCTACGCGTCCCATGTTCCCACCCCCACGACACTTTCACGACATCTTGATGACTCTCATGAAGATATGGAAAGCTGCATTTCAGTCTCGTCTGCGTGTGGCACCGTGGCGCGAGAAGCGGCCCGCTAGTAACAATTGACGTCGACCACGCTTCCCAAAGGGCTGAAGCCTGGCACATCAGTGTCCAAGTTTGCGTTGAAATCATTCACATCCCAAAAGTCCATGTCCATGCGTTCGAAGCTCGACCATTGGTCAAAGACCAGGTCTCCTCTGACAGTATTTGCCCATACCCGGTCGAAAAGCACCGCCTTGAATTTGTATACGCCGCCGACGTCGATCTGGGTAAGCAGGTCCCAGTGCTCGTAGATGCTGGCCCCTTCTCTGATCGTCAGAGGAACACAGTAATCCTCGGCAAATTTGACCATGATCTCTGGGACGCCATCGGGGGGATGGTAGTAGACTTCTGCAATCAAGTTCCCCCGCACCCCGAACGTGCCGTCTTCATTGAGGGCCCGGATTCCCACAGGGCAGAACCAGATGAGCTCGTCAGGGTTGAACGGTCCCTCTTCCAAAGAAGCATCCGAAAAAGTATTGCTGGAAGTCGAAGACTGACTCGTTTCTGTCAGGGTAGGATAGCGGAAAAATGTTGGTCAGCGTCGCGCTAGAAAGCCGAACAAGTCTAAGAATCATCGCCAGGATCAATCTGCTTTCCTTACCTTCGTCGGAGATCATGATGGCGATTAAATGTGCGTGATGGACAGAAGAAAAAGCTGTATGTGGTGGCTCAGACTGGCTTGAGCGGAGAGGGGGGGTGTGCGAGAGGTGGGAAAGAGGTCGTGGTGGTCGGAGAGAAGGACCTCATTCGTAGAACAGCTTTATATACGCTTTCCACAAACAGTAGATACCGTCGTCCGGGGAGACTCGGCGCAGCAAGCCATCTGTGCTGAATCTTTTCTGCGCGGCTGAAACGACTGAGCTTATGATGCGCCGCCCCTCTTGTGATCGAGTTCTACCGCTCGTCCCAGTCGTACCCACCGACTGAACGACAGGCCCGTCTCAAATTTTTAGCTGCGCATAACTCAAGGTTTGCTTAGGAGAACGTGCAGCACGAGCTGCTGCAGCTCCACCGCGCAGTGAATAGCTGGCTGGATCCTCACACGTGAGGCGGGTGGGGCAACACGTGAGCGCCACAATTACAGCAAGACGTGCTATGAAGTGTCGCCATGATGACCGGCACTCGACACGACCAATTCTTCCGGCGCGCACGATCACATGACACTGAAACGAACTTTGTTTCGGGCGAGCACTTTGCAACCTGTTTGCTGGTGGCGTAAGCTGATCCTGAGTAACCGTCAGCCCCTCTCAGACCTTCTTCGTCACCATGACGCCAGCCTCGCCGTCCAACAGCTTCTGCCTGATTTCTTCGATCCGCAACTGCAGATTCATGTTCAGATCGAGTCCCCTGTTGAAAGAGCCATACTGTATATGCCCTTCTCATCAGGAGCACAGGCCGTCATCGGGACAGAAGCTGCGCAACATGTCGTGGATGCAGAATCCGCATCTCAAGCAGCTGAGCACGTGAAGAGCCACAATCTGTCCTTGTTGCCAGATCTCCAGCCCTGCGCCGAATGGTCCCACCGTCTGAGAGATTCTTTCATTTCATTACGGCTGCGCAGTTTTCAAGGTTCGTAAGGTCTGCAGAAGATTGTGTCGCGGAACGTTCCGGTGGCGCACGAAGGAATTGGCTCATGCCGCATGAGACGAATGATAAGAAAGAGCTTGAGCTTATGTCATCCTTTTGCGTAGTCACCTGTCGTCGCAAAGATGAATGACATCCACAACATGCAAAGACAGAGCACTGTAGCTCTCATCACACTTTCCATCGCATTCGTCTCTCTGATGTCCATGAAAACGGAAGCAGAATGATGGCAGGCAGACTGTCATTTCTGGTTTGAGACTAGTATCAGCATTCTTTCGGATGAGCTTATCGAGCTTTGAGCGCCGAAAAGAGCTACATCTCCCAGGAATGATGCTTGCTGACGGCCTGGGAGCTGCCCTGCCTTTTCAACTTGTCGAATTGACTGGCGAAGAAGCTGATCATCTCATCGTCCTCCTTGAGCTGAGGGTAGATCTGAAGGTCCCGGCGGCGATTGTATTCACTGAGCTGGTCAAGGGTGAGGCCAAAATTAGCAGGAAATGGAATGATCGATGAGCGATCATCGAAAGCAAGCGCATCCTCGCCATCCTTTTTGGCGCGCACAACTTTTCGAAATAAGTAGAACGCTCCGTCCTTGCATCGACGATGGAACGAGTCCAAGTCGTAAATGTTGGCGCCTTTCTTGATGACGAGATGAGCAGATGTGGAGTGAGAGAAGATGACGACGACGTCTTTTGTGTGTTCCCCTCGAACCTGGAGCTGACCAAGGAATGACATGCGCTTTTGACTAGCGGTCGAGGAATGATGCGAAAGGAAAGCCATGGGCGAAGTCAAATCGAGTCTGCGAGTGACAGGTGTGGGCCGAGATGAGGGAGCATCGATACTTTTGGCAGTCGAGGCAGAGAAGCTCGCAGAATCCTGGTCGCGTGACTTGCTCGATGCGTCCTCATGGTGATGATGCTTCAAGGAGTGTGTCTCGGGCGCGCACAGGACGGCTCCATACTGATGTCCTTCGAGTTTCGCATTTCGAGCTGCCTTCAACAGAGAGCGCTCCACGTCTTTGGGCTTGTCCGATTTGACGCGATTGAAAGTCGATCTACGAGGATTATCGGCATGAACGACTGCTTGCTCGCGAGATCGAGAGTGGGCTAAAGGACGGAATCAAAAAGAGCAAACGCTTGCGTCAATATGGAAAGGCACGAGCTGATCAACAATGCCTGGTGAGCACCATGCCCACTCTTGTGATGGGGAGCACCATACCCACTCTTGTGATGGGGAGGCATCGTGTTGAAAGTCGCGCCGTTCGCACTGTATCGGTTGATTGTCGTCTCTGAGCTGAGGTGTGCTGATTTGTAGAATATAGAGGGATGGAACGAAGCTGAAAGAAGGAAGGAGGTAGCAAACTTGGCTTTGAGCTGAAGGCCTTTATGTACTTCTTTACCATGCTCTTCGGAGCCGTTAAAGCCTTTGTGCGGAGTCAAGATCATCCAGGAGCTGTCTTGAAACACAAAGCTTGCCTCAGAGAGGCAACGACAAAGCTTTCGTTGTTCTGTGCATTGTCATTGTGCGGATCATTCCTTACGTATGACCTTCAGGCTCTGCTTCAAAGAGCGCAGAAGCTTCACGAGCACTGCACACATCACAAAGCTTCGTCTGGTCTTCATGCAACGCCTCAAGTAGTCGATGAGTGGTGACACCGGCGGAAGGACCAAATTCGCCGAGCAAGTGGCCGTTGCGGCATCCTCGGCTGCAAATGAGACACAGCGGAAGGCATGCTTCCGTCGAAAATCGCCTTTGTGCGGCTATCCAATTCCCATTTGCGGAAAATTGCCTTGCGCACGCCCCTTCTCGATCCAAAAGGCATGCTCGGCACCTTGCTTCCTCTTTCATTTCGCACACCATCTTCCGTCAACCCCGTCTCAAGCTAGTATCGATCACCATGACGGGCTGCTTCTCGTTTCTCAAGCCCGTTCGAGGCAGCAAGAACGGTCGCAAGGGCTGCGGCTGCGACTGCAAGTGCTCGTCGCACTCTGCTCCTACGCCCACCCAGGCTAGTACGACCACCAAGAACAGCGAGCCCGAGAAGAGCCCGCTGTCCGCGTCCATATACTACGACGCCTGCAAGCCTCCGCCTTTCGACGCCGGTCCGCAACAGCGCTGCTGTGGCGGCATCAACAGTGCGGTTCACTCGCACCTCCCCACCTACGGCGACTCCCAATCGCACGCCCACCACGCCGTCCGCCTCACTGAGCCGACCGCTGACCCTCAACTCAGCAATCTCATGCAGGACGTCTCCAAGACCATCGAGTCCGAGATCTCCAACCTCGACAAAGAACTTCGTCAGCTCTCGCTTGACATGCACGACCATCCCGAAATCATGTGGGAGGAGTCGCGCACACACGACCTGTTCGTCAAGTACTTTTCGGGCAAGAAGGGTTGGAAGGTGACACCTCATGCGTACGGAGTACAGACCGCTTTCGAGGCCGTGTTCAACCACAAGGCGGGCAAAGACACCCGAGCGATCGGCTTTCAATCGGAGCTCGATGCTCTGCCGGGTATCGGTCATGCGTGTGGGCACAACCTGATCGCCATCTCTGGAGTCGCTGCTGCGCTGTCCGTTGCCGCCACGCTTATCGCCAAGGACATCCCCGGCACGGTCATCCTCCTCGGTACGCCCGCAGAAGAAGGCGGCGGAGGCAAGATCCTCCTCGAGCGCGCGGGCGCCTACAAACCCATGGATGCCTGCCTCATGGTTCACCCCGCGGCCAAATCCGGCACCGGCCCGATGCTCGCCGTCCAACCTGTGGTCGTCACCTACACCGGCCAAACCGCCCACTCCGGCGCCGCCCCTTGGGAAGGCATCAACGCGCTCGACGCTGCCGTTCTCGCCTACACCAACATCTCGGCCCTTCGTCAGCAGATTCGGCCCGAAGAGCGAGTCCACGGCATCATCAAGGGCGACAATTGGGCACCCAACGTCGTCCCCGGCCGTTCCACGCTTATCTACAACGTCCGCAGTCCCACCGTTTCCGGGCTGAAAGCGCTGACCAAGCGCGTGCAGAGCTGTTTCGAAGCCGCCGCGCTCGCGACCGGATGCAAGGGCGAGTACGATTGGCAAACGGCCTATGCGGACGTGCACAATACGCCGAGTCTCTCTGCGACCTATGCCGGGGTGTTGGGACAGAGGTACGGATTGGAGGTGCCAGAGGATGCGTTTGCGGCGAGTACGGATTTTGGTAATATCACGTATGCGCTGCCGTCGCTGCATGCCGAGTATGCGATTCATCTCGACGATCCCAAGACGCAGGGGAATCATACGGTCGGGTTCGCCGATGCGGCTAGGACGGTTGAGGCTCACGAGAGGACCAAGGAGGCAGCGCTGGGGATTGCCGTGACGGGCGCAAGGGTGATTGTGGAGAAGGAGTATAGGGATCACATCTGGGCAGAGTGGAGCAAGTGGCGAAAGGGTGCGGATGGTCCTTGATCTCTCGACATTTCAATGTAATTGTATTTCTGAACACAACGATGGAGTGGCATCTAGAGCTTGGCCTCGCGACCGGCAGTGGCGCTGCCCTTGTGAGCAACGATCGAGCTGAGTCGCTCAATGTGCTTGACAGCGTCGCGCTCGATGTTGGCGCACAGTTCCTTGCACGAGGGCTGTTCATCCAATACAAGCCCATGTCAGCAACGAATCCCCTTTCACGACAGTACCAGTCTGGATGGAGTCTGCGACTTACGATATCGTGAATGAGACCGACAGTGATACCGGCGGACCAGATGCCGGCATCAATGTCGCCCGTCTCGTAGACCGTCTTACCACGGGCGCCCGAGACGAGCTCGCGCACGTCTTCGAACTTTGCGCCCTCCGGACGGTTCTCCAGGCGAACCACCTCCATCGAGACCTTGTTCCTGCGCGCATTTTCAAAACAGACAGATCAGTACGTAGGTCCCGACGACAAACACTGCCGGATCCCTAAGCCTTGTTCTCCTTGACGGCCCCGGTCTTCTTCCCTTGCGGAACGAGCCAGAGCAGCGCGAGGAGCATCTTGAACCCGGCACTGATTGCAAGTCCACCGCTGAGATTTGCACTCGTGTGGAGCAACGACTCTCCCACGCCGGCACCCAGGCACAGTGCGAGGATGGCGACCATCCTCCTGTCCCTTCCTCTGGTCTTTTCCGACGGCACTAGGTGGAAGAGGTACGGATCCGAGGCGATCTGCGAGAGTGTGGCTGTGAACGCCACCGTGGTTGCAAAGGCAGGTGAAACAAGTTTCTGCGCCTTGATGCTCTGCATGCCCATGCTGAACGCGACGAGCACGATGACGCCGGGATACCACTCGAACGTGGGTAGCTCTTCCTTGGGTCTGCTGAGCAAGATGCCCGCTGCACCGAAGAGGAAAATGCTCTGGATGATGCTCGAGAGGATGAGCCAGATGCGTTTCTGATGACCCATCCGGCGACCCAGCTGGAAGCCCACGAAGGAACCAATGAAGAAGCCGATGACGCTGAGGATACGGAGCAGCGTGAGCAACGGTTGCTGTTCGACACCCGGGATGACGAACTGCGCAATGTTCGCAGAGAACTGCACCATGTTGCCCGTCTGGAAGCCCAACCAGACCTGCGAGCGGCTGTAAAGCAGCATGTCGATCATCCCCGTCAAGAAGGCTTGCCAGGCAAGCGGCACGTTGGCCGCGCCGTGGTCGATCTCGTCGTTCAGATAGCTCTTGGCGAGACCCCAGGCTTTCCACTTTTGGTCGTGCGACGCTTGGAGGGCGTAGCTGTCTGGGTCGCGCGTGCCGAGCAGCTCGACGGCGCCTTCGCGCGTGGCTTGACGCCGCAGCTCGCGGTCCCGCGCCTGGCCATGGTCTGCAGGGTCGGGCGGCTTGTCCGGGTCATGAGCAGGTCGAGCTGCAGACACTGAATCGCTCTCGGGACTGGATGCGCTCGTCTGTTCCGACGCGACTTGGCTTGAATCGTGGCTCTCGTCGCTGTCGAGGTGCAAGTCGGGGAGGGAAGGATGAAATGGTCAGCATGAGGCCGAATGAACTGATCGGAGACGTCGTTACTGGCTGAGACTTACACAATGAAAGGGCCCTTGATCCGTATCGAAGCTCATCAAGAGTCGAAGTACCGAATCAAAGCTGGAAGTCGACACTATCGGCTATCGTGGGCCCTTCCACCGGCGCGTCGGAGGGGAGAGGGTGGGATCGGAAACGGCAAGAGAATCTCACAGGGACGAGAAGAAGGACTGGGATCAGAAGGGTACTTACTTGAAAACGCGAGCAGTGTTGCGCAAGGTGCGGAAGATGTGGACGGTGTTTCGCTCGTCCGATTCGACGATGGCGCGCTTGATGTTGTCGTGGATTTCGGCTTCCTTGGTGCACATGAAGCGAGTGCCCACTGTGTCGTGGTCAGAAGAATGTGCGCGATGAGGGTCAGCATGTGTTAGCAACGCCGAGACGACTTTGGGGATGGAAACTCACTGTTGGCGCCGACAGCACCGAGGGCAAGGGCCGAGGCGAGTCCTTGGCCGTTGGCAATACCGCCCGAAGCGATGAAGGGGATCTTGAGCTCCTCAGCGGCACGAGCCATGAGCACCAAGCCGCCAATGTCATCCTCACCGGGGTGACCAGCGCACTCGAAGCCGTCGATCGACAGCATATCGGCACCGAGTCGCTCAGCGCTGCGTGCGTGGCGGACGGCGGTGCACTTGTGGATGACGTAGGCGCCTGCCTCCTTGACGACCTTGATCACCTCGCCGGGGTTGTTGCCGGCCGTCTCAAAGATGCGGACTCCCTCCTCGAGGGCAGCCTTGGCGTAGCCGACGTAGTCGGGAGGGTTGATGGAAGGCAGAAGGGTGATGTTGACGGCGAAGGAGCCGTAGTGGTTCTTGCGTTCGTTCTTGATCTCATCGGAGATGAGCGAGTTGGTCTCGCGGATGGCCTTGCGAAGGGCCTCGGGCGATGGCTGCGTGAGAGCGGTGAGAGTGCCGAGCGCGCCGGCGTTGCTGACGGCTGAGGCAAGCGCAGGAGTGCCGACCCACTGCATACCACCCTGGACAAGGGGGACGCGCAGGCCGAGCTTTTCGGTGAGGGGAGTGACGAGCATCGTAGGCGAGATGTAGCTAGCGGAGAGTGTTGTTGTAAGGATGGTGTGGGTGACGGTGGCCAAGAACGTTGAAAGGTGGATCAAGATGGCAAGCACGAGCCTTGTTGGAAAAGCCTGAACAGGAGGTCGGGAGGGAGTAGCCGAGAAACCGGATGCAGGCCGAGGCCGCGCTTGATTTTATTCGGCACTGTTAGAGTGCTTCCAGGAGGATGCCCTTTGGATCAGGATCGACGACAAGTTTTTGCTTCGAGCAAGCCTAAGCAGAAGCGTCTCCTTGTACTCGAGACGCTGACGACAAGGCGCGGCTGGAATGACAACAGCCAGGTACGCCCTCTTGCGATGCGAGAGGTGGGAAAGAGAGAAGGTCTCGACGAACGCCCCTGAGTTGATATAATCGAGTGATTCATGAACCCCCCCGATGATGCTGATTGCAATCGATCATAGTTTCTCGGGTCAGGCTGGCTGGGCAATTGTTCAATGGCGTGCGAGCACGCTTTCCAGTCAGGTCGGGCGGCTTTTGACGTCGAAAACCCAAAAAGAGAGCAGAAAGTTTATCCTTTCGGCTGTAGATACGACGGAAGGTGCTGAGGATCCCGAGCAAGGCCGCGGCAGAATCAGCTATTCATTATTTAAATGTTGGAAGGGCAGATGCTAACACCTGGGGAGCGGCGTTTTAACCGGCGAGATCGTGTGGACCGTCTTGACGAGCTGCTCCGTGGAGACAGGTCGGACAGGACCCTTCCGACGGTCGGTCACTGCGCAGCATGCTGTGCTAAGCCAGTCCGCATCGTGTGTCGAGCTGATCTGAGCGCGATCAGGGCCGTGTCTTGGTGGCAGCGTACAATTGTGCACCTTGTCACCGTCGTGATCACCTTCATCCAGCTGCTGTTACATCGCCCGCACTAAATCAGCATACAAGATGGTCGATTTCGAGAAGCAGGCCGTGCAAGACCGCTACAATGCGGTCGAACCGTCGCTCCCCGCACCCAACGTCCACACCGTGACCGCCGAACGACGCCAGCGCAAGCCGACACCGACTCACCGCTGGGCCATCGCAAGCTTGGTCCTGCTCGGCTACTTCTGGCTCAGCTCGTCTTCTGGAGACGGTATCCGTCGCCGCGTCCATCACCACAGCGGCTGTTCCACCGACGCGCCCTTCCTACGACCCGAGAACGCGACCGACTTTTCGCAAGCCAAGCGCGGCGAAGTGGTGTGGTTCGACTGCGCCGATGAGCAGCGCTATCCTTCTCCGCTCAAGTGCGGTCGCATGAAGGCGCCTCTCGACTGGACCAACGACAAGGACGATCGCAACGCTTCGCTCGCCGTCATCTTCTACCCCGCCGGTGCGGGCAAGACGCCCAAGGACGAGGTGCTCGGCTCGCTGCTCACCAACCCCGGTGGACCCGGTGGGTCCGGCTTCGAGTTCATCGCCCGCAAGAATGCTGCCAAGAACAACGAGCTGCTGGCCGCCAACTTCGATACGATCCTCGGCCACAAGTACAACATTGTCTCGTTCGACCCGCGTGGTGTCGGTCGCACTTTCCCGCGTATGGACTGCTGGAACAATACGGAGAAGAGCTACGTGCATCGCATCGAGGCTGGCTCGTTCGGCGCGCTGTACTCGCACCCGGGCGCACTCGATAGCGAGGTAGGCTCCCAGCTGTCGAGCACCGATCTGCTGTCGGAGCTGTGCGCCGCCGATCCGTTTGTCAAAGAGCATGGCAAATTTGTTGGCACCACTGCGGTGGCAAGGGACATGCACCTGCTGCACCGCTTCTTTGGCGACAAGAAGATCAACTACTGGGGCTTCAGCTACGGTACCGTGCTCGGCTCCACGTTCGCCGACATGTTTCCGCAGGACATCAACCGTCTAATTATCGATGGTGTCGTCGACGTGCCCAACTACATGGAGGGTTTGTGGAGCACCAACCTCAAGGACACCGATGGTGGCTTCGACGGTTTCTTTTCCGAATGCGTCAAGGCCGGTCCCAAGGCATGCGCCCTCGCATCACAATCGTCGGACGCCAAGGAGTTGCAGAAGAAGGTGCTGGATCTGCTCGAAGAACTCAAGTACCGCCCGATGCCCGTGATCCAATCCGACGTGCCGCAGCTGCTCACGTTCAGCATGGTGCTCGAAACCTTCTTCACCGCGCTCTACAAGCCCGCCGGCTGGCCCAAGCTCGCCGACATGATCAACGACATCATCAACGGCAACGGCACCGCCTTTGTCAATGCGTACGGCGACTCGACCTACCACGTTCCCAGCATCCCCGAATCTGAAGAGGCCAATGCGGCCATTGCCTGTGGTGACGGCCTTCGCGAGCCCCGAGACAAGTCGTGGTCCATCGAGCAGGCCAAAGAACACATCGGCGTGCTCGAGAAGGACTCGCCGTTGTTCGGTCAGTTCTTCGCCAACCAAGCCGTCAAGTGCATCGGCTCGTGGAAGCTGCGTTCCAACGAGCGACACAGAGGCAAGTTTGACACCAACTCGTCCTTCCCCCTGCTCACGCTGGGTAACGACTTTGACCCTGTGACGCCGGGCAGGTTCGCCGATATGATGGCGGACAAGTTTGGTTCGGCTGTGTCGGTGCGTCGTGCGGGATATGGTCACTGCAGCATGTCCCAGCCGTCCAAGTGCATCAACAAGATCATCGGCGACTACTTTGTCAATGGCACGGTACCAGAGAAGGGCATCAAGTGCGATGTGGACGAATCGCCTTTCCCTCAGCCCAAGAACGAGTCGAGCGTCGTTGTCTCGCTTTCGGTGGAGCAGGCTCGCGAGATGGAGGTCAGCGAAGCTATGGCTTCGATTAGCGAGGCCGTCGCCGAATACAACGCCCGCCGATTGCTGTAGAACATCGAAATCTCAGAACTTTGACCTGTTTTGCACACGAGCTGTTATGCAATCCATCTCTCGACTCAGCTTCTGCGCGTACCCTGTCCGAGCTGAAGTGAGTTCGAGAGTGGTCAATGCAAGCATGTGTTGTTTTGTAGCAAGGTAGCCTGCTCGAGTGATGAGGAAGCGTGATCTTTGCAGGTAAAACCTCCACTTCCAGAAAGCGGAGATCCTCCTTTCTTTTCTTCGTAGAAATCATTCACCTTGTTCCGCTCACATCGTCAATTCGCTCGTCAGCTTCACCCAGCATTCTTGACCGTCGATGGCCTTCGGAGGCAGCAACAGCTAAGGCGGCGAGGGCCCCATCATGGACTCGCCCTCTATCAACCTCGGCCTGCTAGGTGCCTTACCGCTCGACCTGCTCTCCCCCATCCTCTCCTCCCTCCGCCATCGGGTGCGCGATCTCGCCGCCTGCACCCTCGTCTGCCGCCTCTTCCACCAGCTCGCCACCCCTTTGCTCTACGAGCGTCTCTTCCTGCGCGATCAAACGCGCCTGAAGCTCGTCTTCGCCTGTCTCGGGCGAAGTCCGCACCTGTGTCGGCTAGTCAAAGTGGTCGAGCTACGCGTCTTCCCGTTCGGACTGGACGCGGAACGACTGGAACGACTCGAGATCGACATCGAAAGCACGTTCGAACATGCGGTGAATCTGGAAGAGCTCGTGTGGACGAGAGCGGGGAGCTTAAACGACCGGTTGCTACCGACGCTGCTGCGGAGTTCGCCGAGGTTGCGCAGGCTGGAGCTGGCGGGTGATGCGAGACTTTGGTCGACGACGACGCTGCGCCGGTACATACCGCTGACGGTGGAGGAGTTGAGCTTGATACTGCCAGAGAAGGGGACGTTGCGAGGGCTGGTGGAGATTGCTGAAAAGCTATCCAAAGGATCTGCAGACGAGTCGATGTCGGCGCTGGCATCGCGCTTGGACGGGGTGCACCTCGACCGCGATGGGGAAAACACGGGATTGCGAAGTCTCAGCATCTTATGTCAGCACTCGCCGCACCTGACAGATGCGATCCTCATGGCGCTCGCTCCGCATCTCAAGCAAGTGCGGCGACTGTCGCTGGCAGGCTGTCGAGCCGTGACGGGGCGTGGAATCGAAGCTGTCCTCCGCTGTGCGTCTCAAGCCGGGCAAGGAGTCAGCGACCTCGCTATGGAAGGACTCAACATTCAAGCACAAGACGTCGGTCTGCTGCACCCGTATGCAACTTCAATACGACTCCTCTCGCTGACCTATCCAAGATCGGCGTCTTCGTCCGGCTCGCGGTCGTTGTCCGCGTCGATGCTGGGCGAGTTCTATGCCGACTTTGCCAAGCTCATCGAAAAAGCTGAGAAGCTGGAAGAGCTGACGCACTACGCAGGGTCCGGCTCACGACCGGCGATGGACGGAGGTCATGAGGGCGATGACGATGGACTGGTCGATCTGGACGAGCTGGACGACGACGATTCGGACTACGACGATGAAGGGCAATACATCCAAGCAGTGCGGTCTAACGGAAACGGCAGCGACGACGCTCCATGGTCATCGAGCGATTGGATCCGTCGCTTCTCGGGTCCGCCACCCGAAGGCAGCGTGCGCTACGGTCAACCGAAAACATCCACACCACCTAGCAACCTGCCGCTGCTTCCCACCTCGTTCCTCTCACGAGTCGTCGCCAGCCGCGGAGGGCAGCTGACAAAGCTGCGATTGCACGGCATCGGTCTGTCGCTCGACCAGCTCGGTGTGATCACGCAGCACTGTCGCAGTTTGCAAGATCTTGTGATCCAGATCTGGGAGGATGATCTACCGCGACTCGCTGCGTTGCTCTGTCAGCTGCCACGCTTGGAGACGCTGCACATCCTCGCGTCGGCATCGTCTGAAACGAGCCTGGGAGAGAGGGAGATTCAGTGGATCGCGCAGGTGTGCACCGACGCCAACCGCGAGCGTCGTCAACTCAAGCCAACACCGCAGACGGTCGAAGGAAGCGGTCTGCATCAGATCGGCTTCCGCAATCGCGTCTGGCTGATCGAACGCTCGTTCGAGCAGGAGGAAAGCTCAAGGGTACACAATGTGAGTCGCAACGATTCGAGCGACGAGGAGCCGATACGGGTGACACTCAAGCGATGGGATCCTGCAGCAGGTACCTTTCCAGAAGTGCTGCTCGTGGTCAAGTCTTGACAAAGTCGGACAGATGGATCTGACACACTTTTTCCATCGCATGCGTGAACACAATAGCCAAGGAGCATTCGACTCAGGGAGACGGTGCAGGCATTTGGCGCCTACGCTCGAACCATGTAGTTTTGGTCAATAGCGAAAAGATCAACAGGGCACCGATGTGTGTGTGAGAGTGCGTCGACTGCAGGGCAGCAAAGCAGAGGAAAGAAGCAAGCGCACGCTCGGATCGAGCATCCCTGAGAGGCCCGAGCGCCCGAGCGGTACGCGCCGGAACGGCCGAAGGAGGTCCAAGCGCCGACCCCTGTCGAACTGTGCGACCGGCGACTCTGCGCCGCCGCAAGAAACGCACACTCCGAAAGATTCTTCTATGATGGATTGTCCGGGTATGCATAGTGATGGTAGTGTACAAATGAGACGATGCAAGGGGCGTCGTTTTCCTGAATGTCCTGAATGGGTTCCCGGGTTTCGGGTTAGCTTCCGCTGAGCCCAAACCCGCGAATTTACATAGCGTGTTTCGACATGCCGCGGATTTTTTGTCCGTACTTGAACAACAAGAACGGCACCGGTACCATGACAAGCGCGATGAATCCCAACAGCGACGAAGCCCATCGTGGTGTTAGCGCATTGAACATACTTGTTGCAAATAATGGAAACCCGAACCCAGCCGCGGAACGACAGACGGTGTTGGCAGCGAGCGCCGACGCCGCGTTGGCGAGGTAGACGTCGATAAGGTAGTTAAAGACGCCGAGGAAGCAAAAGAGCACGCCGAAACCGATGAGCGATCCGGCCATCATGGGCGACCAGTAGCTGATCGAGGGATAGCTCGTCCAGCCGAACCAGAAGAAGGCCACCACCAGACATGGGGCCGCCAACATGATCACATAGAGTCGCTCCTCGGGCGGCACCCGGTCGACGCCTTCCGCCTTGAGTCGATCCGCTTCTTTGACGTACTTCGGGTTGAAGTAGGCGACGTAGAGGGCCACCGCGGCGCATCCGCCTAGGAAGAAGGGGACAAACATGAGCCCAGAGATGCCCGAGTTGAAACCGTGGCCCTGTTCGAAGACGATCGGGAAGGCCTCGAAGAGGAGATAGACAACGCCATAAACGAAGCTTTTTTGGAAACCGGGCCGTAAACAAGAGGCAGTGTTTGGAACACAGGAGGCGAAGGGTCAAAGACATGGGGGAAGATGTGGTCAGCGGGATGTTTCTCAGAGCCATGGGCCAACGCTCAACCTTGAGATCTCTATGCGGAGTACTTACCTCATCCAGATGGTCATGACGAGCAGCATCGGTTCCTGTGCGAGCATGATAAACGGCTTGAGGAGGGTCTTGTTGAGTCGGTCCTTCCATTCGATCTTGACGAGTTCGATCGGAGCCTTGTACCTGTCGTCGCCGGTTTCCTTCCTGATCCTCTTGGCCTTCTTCAACAGAATGATGGGTGCGTAGGTCTCTGGGAGGGTAGCGACGACGAGGATGAGGCAGACGCCCGAGAAAATGGTGCAGACCCAGAAGAGCCATCTCCAGCTGGTGCCGCTGACGGCAATGAAGCCGGAAACAATGGGACCCAGCGCAGGACCTGCAAAGGGCGCCAGCGAGAAGATGGAGAGCGCAATACCACGCGTCTTTGCGTCCCACAGATCGGCGATGACACCGCCGGAGTTGGTGAGGGGCGAAGCGGCAAAGGTGCCTGCGAGGAAGCGGAAGACGAGGATGGAAGCGGTGTTTTTCGATAGAGCACAACCGACGTTGAAGGCGGTGTAGACGAACATGGCGAGGATGAAGACGGGTCGACGACCGAATTGTTCGGAGAGCGGACCCCACAGGAGCGGGCCGAGACAGTAGCCAGCGACAAAGATGGAGAGACTGAGAACGGCCACCTCGCGCCCAAACTTGAACTCGCCGATGAGCTCAGGGACGATACCGGACGGAGCGGACGAGGTGAAGGTCGAATTGAGCACCAGCAGACCGGCAAGCATGGTGAGGTACCATCGATAGGCGCGGGACCAGGTGAAGGGGTTTTCCCTATCGTCCTCGCCCTCCCAATGGACGATGACGACGTCCTTGCCAGCTTGCGATTGAAAGCGCTCGAGGTGGTCTTCGGTATGCGAGCGTTCGAGATCACCACCAAAAGGATGTGTCGAGTCGTGGGCTTCGGTGCGTGAACGCCGAGAGAAGGTGCGTGTGGGTCGGGCGGCTGTGTCGTTGGTGCGGTCGGCGGAAAGGTAAGTAGGGGCGGTCTGAGGGGCGAAGCCGACCGAGGCACCCTTGATGGGGGCTGCGGGGGCCGAGTCTTCCTTCTCTGAGAAGGCCTTGTCGCTGTGACCGATCGCGGTGGCAGCGTTGGATGAGTTCTGCTTTTCCAAGTCGAGGTTGGATTGGTCGACCGAGGGCGCCGCCGTGGAGGAAGCCTGATGTTGCGACATTGCGATTCTGTAACACGCACGCGTGCGAGCAGGGTAGGGAAACAAGGGACACGACCGAATGGGGTAGATGATGTTCAGAAGGGAAGAGCGGATGTCGATTAGGACGGCATTGTATATATCCTCCTCTGCCTCGGAAAAGTTTCGACCAGGGACCGTCAGAACAATGATGATGTGTTGAATGCCACACACAAGGGGGCACCATGTTGGGCCGAGGATGCAGCGTTCCGGGTCAGAGTCTTGTGCGAGCGTCGTACATGCAGCGAGCGCCCTTTCTGTCAGCCTGTGTTTGTAAAAACACAGTCGAAAATCCCGAGGCGTTTTTGATTATCATTTCCGGTAAAAAAAAAAAAAAA